ACATTCGCACTGGCACTAGCACTTGCTCTCGCATCAAAATGCAGTTTGTTCGAAACTTGGTGCTCTTGGTGTCTGCTTTTATAGCTTACAGAGCATTTTTTATGCCAAAATTGCATCTCTTGGAAAACCAACGAGACAGAATCGAAATCGCATTTTTACAGTCTTGGCGAGACTACTTGGCTCACGGATGGGACGCAGATGTTTACCAGCCGCTCTCTAAAAAGATATCCTCCTTGCACAGATTATCAACCAAGCCTTTGGGCTGGATCATCGTCGATTCCTTGGACACTATGCTTATGATGCACAATTCTAGTTTGCGCCATCAAGAAGAATTCAAAACAGAAATAGCACGAGTCGAAAACTGGGTCGACACCAAACTCGACTACGACATCGACGTGTCCGTTTCACTTTTCGAAACCACCATTCGCATGCTGGGCGGTCTGCTATCGGCATACCACCTATCGAAAGAACTACACCTGGGAAACTCCACGGTTTACCTGGAAAAAGCTACAGATCTGGCTGATAGATTGCTGCCGGCTTTCGAAAATACCAACACCGGAATTCCGTACTCCAGTGTTAATTTGCACACGGGCAAGTCCAGAAAGAATCACGTCGACAGAGGAGCGTCCTCGACCGCGGAGTTCACCACCCTACAACTCGAGTTCAAGTATCTCAGCGCAATCACAGGAAATGCAACATATTGGAAAGCGGTGGAAAAAGTGTACAAGCCTTTGTACGAGACTAACGACCTCATCGGGAAGTACAAAGGACTGGCACCTATATTTGTCGATGCTGACACTGCCAAGTTTAGAGGTAACAACATCAGACTCGGATCCCGTGGCGACTCTTTTTACGAGTACCTCCTGAAGCAGTATTTACAAACGGGTGAGCAATTGTATTACCAGCTGTATCGCGAATCCATGGAGGGAGTGAAGCGGCATTTGATCTCTAGGTCCAGTCCTAATGGTCTTTTTTACATTGGAGAGCGATTGCGTGGAATATACAGTAATTTTTCTCCCAAGATGGACCATTTGGTGTGTTTTATGGGAGGACTACTAGCAATGGGCGCTACCGAAGGCTGGCACATCGATGATGCGAGGAAACAAGACTTTTGGGACGCAAAACGCGAAGAAGACTGGACACTAGCCCAGGAACTGACCTATACCTGCTACCAAATGTACCATCAAGTGCCTTCGGGCCTCTCTCCGGAAATCGTGGTTTTCAACGACCCTTTAGTCAGAACGGCCTATACCAATTCCTGGTGGCAGTCGCAGGAAGGTGATTTTTATGTGAAGCCTGCAGATGCTCACAATCTACAAAGACCCGAGACTGTAGAATCGTTGATGTTTCTGTACCATCTGACCAAGGACTCGAAGTATCGCGACTGGGGGTGGGAGATTTTCCGCGCGTTTGAGAAACACTCGGGCGTGAAATGCAGACCTGCCGATGAAAAATGTCCTTATACATGTTTGAAGGACGTTTTGGCAGATCCTCCGGTAAGGTCCGATAGTCTTGAAAGTTTCTGGCTGGCTGAGACGCTGAAATACCTGCATCTGCTCTTCCAGGACGATGTGGATCTCAAAAACTTGGTTTTCAACACCGAGGGACATCCATTTCCGATAATTACACCAGAGCAAACCGAGATAGGTGATCTTTTGTATACTGGATGGAGCCTTTCCTGATCACAGCAGTGCAGTACAGAGCAGTGCAGTGCAATTGAGCATGTGGGGTTGACGAGTGTATTTTTTCTGACAGGGAAATGCAAAGTATGTACATATATTCTTATTTTGGTATGTAGAGTAGGTATAAATCACATAATCGGGAGTGGTCTGTCTTTGAAGATGATTTTGTAGCGTATTACATCTTGCAAGTCCACAGTGCCAGTGGAATGGTCGAATTTTAAAAGCCCCAACGGCGAGTCCAGTTTTACAACCGATCCCAAAAGACGCTGTTTTTCACCCACTAACATCGTGGCCTTTTTAGACCCGGGCTCCACTTGCAGCAGACCGAATCTTACTATATTCTTGTTGTTATATATGCTAAATTTGTTGTCGACGTCATTAACAGGAGGAACTGTGGGAAACTCGAGCTCGCCTTGAATTTCGAGTAAAGTGTTGCCAAGCGGAGTAGTTACTGCCACGCTACCATCGATATCGAAAAGAGATTTCAGTTTCGACACGCTGACCTCTACGATTGGCATTAGCAGGAATCTTCACACCAGGGCACAGCGATGGATTCGCTGTGCTGTATTAGCCATTGTGTAGCACAGTGATAGAACTATAGGCGATTTTAAGATGACGTTTGGTCGCTTTATACGAGCTGGTATAAAATGTGCAGCGTCAGAACGTGAACTTTCCAAGCTTGTTGTGGTCGATGGAATGCCAATTAGTGGCTATTTGAGTTACCACTTTTGGGTTTGGCAGACACCATTTCACCAGCATTTGGGACCGGGATTTCTCGCACTTGGTGAAAACAGTTTTTGGTGCATTTACCGAAACCAAAATGAAAAGATCGATAATGAGACAGAGGGGTGGGTGATTTGGGTTTGATGAGCAGCGGGTGTGTACGATCTTCAGAATAATCGTAAAGTGCTGTCGATCCTGCTAAATAATTCATCATCCAGAAACTCAGTCACATGATATACGACTGTTTACTCCAAAGTGATATAGCTACATACAGGACACTGCCAGAGGAACAGGCATCGAAGAGTGCGCAAGCTCACAGTACATTTAAAGTTGCTTACAGTTGCTTAAGCAAAGACCCTGCAAAATATGGACAATGGTTTAGCGAGTACTCGTACTCGTATACGTATTTGTATGAGGTGTACTCGTCACGTGACCGAATATTCCTGCCGTTGATCCACTGCTAATAGTGCCAGAAAGCTCACATTTCGAGTGCAATTTGGAGAAGCAAGGGGAGGAAGAAGATGATCAAGAGTTAAGTGAAGCCTGAATAGCAGCTGGCATGCTGGGGTTTTTATTTCAGCAGTAATCAAAAAGGTAAACTAACCAGAAATCTAGTTAAGTAAACCGACCTCTTCTTTTCGTCACGTGACTGAATAAATGTATATTTTCGTTTGAAAAAATCGTCGTTTACGACTCTCGTCCAAAACTCATTACTCTTTAAAGGTTGATGTCTCTATGTCAAGCAAATCTCATCGCCGTTCTGACTTTGACAAACCACGACGATAGCTGGACTAATACCACGCTCTCGTGTCTTGTCATCGTCTGCGTTTGTTTAAGACACCCACTGGACAAAAAAATACCAGATCGCCAAGATGTTGCGCCAACTTACCGGGCTTTTTAGGGTTCAAAGTCAAGAAAGCTTGATCAAACAATACACGCAAGATCTTGCACGAATCACATCTCAAATCCACCAGCTGGATATGAGTTTAAAACAGAAGGATGTAGGAAAATCTAAATGGCACAAACGTTGCTACATACACGGCTCGGGTCTTTTGGCGCTCTTCAATGCAGTGCTGTACGTTCAACTTGCCGACAAACATTTCATCATAGCATCGCTGGTGGTGTCACTAATAGTGTTTTTGGCTCTCAAATGGGGGATTGACAAGTGGTACGAGTTTTTCACGCAGCGAACGCTGCGTAAAGTGGAACGGCTCAGAGCACAGCATCAGGAAAAACTGGAAGCTCTAAAACAGAAAACCCACTTTTACTCTACAAATTCGCTGATCAAGAGATTCTCGTCAGGCCAGCATCAAGAAGAGGACGCTATGACACTCATGGACGAAGAAATGAAGTCGAAATATGAAGAATTGACCAAACTGAAGCGCGAGCTGGCAGATTTCCAAAAACAGGGCAATTCGCAAGAATCACAGGTGCAGAGAGACAAATGGTTCGACAAAGTGCTGGACATAATATCTGGTGGGGACGTGAAACTGGAATCGCAACTTAAACCGGTGATTTGTGGGAATTGCAAACGTCATGCAGGCAGTTACACCGTCTCTGGGATGCGCTTACAATACGTATGTCCGTTGTGCAATTGGCGCTACGACAGCGACAAAAGTGACAGGAAAGACGTCGAAAAAGGCATCGAAAGAGGCGTTGACAAAGTCGTCGAAGAGAAACCTTCTCTTATCGACAGCGCAGCTGTTCCCTCGGACTCTAAAAACACAGTTGTGGATAACGTGCAGTCGCAACCCAGATTAATGCCTAAATAGCAGTTACATAAGGTCTAGGTTTAAGACAAGGACATAATGGCGTTGACAATGTCGGAGTCGTTGTCGCGCAAGGCCTTGACGGCCTTAGGTCTAGCGCAGTTGGCTTGTTGCATAACCAACTCGATGTCGTCCTGGTTCAAGCCAGTCTCGTCGGCAGCGGAGTCGTCATCGGCGACTTCCGAGACCTTTTTCTCGCTGGCAGCGGCGACCATGTCGTCCTGGATGGATTGAGGGTCCTTAGAGATGGCGTCAGCGCCGGCAGTAGAGACACCTGGGCCAGCGGTTTGAGCTTCTTGTTGGGCCTTGGCCAATCTTTGTGGGAAGTCGTCGATCTTGGCTTCACCGAAAACGACAAAGTTACCACCGTGAGATCTGAAAACCTCTGGCTTTTCGATAGCATAGATCTGGTTGTTCTTCTTTCTGAAAGTGACACGAGAGATACCTGGAACTTGCTTTAGACCCAATTGGCCAATGAGTTCTCTGGCTTTTTGTTCGTTCTTGGCGAAAATGGAAACGTTAGCGTTGGCTGGGATTTCAGACATGGTAGATTGATGTAGAATCGAGGCTCGTTGAAGATCAATTGGTAGGATCGAAATGCAAGCAAGAAAGGTGTGTAAGTGAGCTGAGCAAGTTCTTCAAGGTCAGAGTTTTTCACTTGAAAAATTTGGCTCTTTCGTACATGGTTATGAAATCGTTATTTTAATAAGATGTCAGTATTTAGCTCGACAACAGCGAATATATAAAGAATGACGAGATTGTCTCGGGCCGAATTGGTAGAGCGATATTTAGCCAATTGATTCACGATGAATTTATTGTTATAGTTCACTGTGAGCGAATAGGTCTATGTAGTATTCCTTGGAGTTGGAGTTAGAATTTGGGCATGGAAAATTGTCAGAATAGGGGAAAATCGACATCAATTAGAGGCCAGGGGAGTACTTTCTTATGATGAAGATTATTTTTTATATTGTGAAGTTTAATTAAAAACTCTATTTCATGTTGTCTCGCACTGAGAGGTATTCTGAATGATTAGCTTGGGAAAAGTGGCACAAGCAACTATTGAATGTTTATGTCTGCTTCAAAAATATGAAAAATGATTAAATTCAATTTTCTAAAAAATGCGAATTCTGTGGATCGAACACAGGACCTCCAGATTTCAATTGACCGAAGTTATCTTCAGTCTGGCGCTCTCCCAACTGAGCTAAATCCGCGTTATTGAAGTTAACTGAAGATTCAAAAAATTATACCGAATACCCATATAGGCGTGAATATGATTAAATGAGTTCCTTCCCACTTAAGCTAGGTATGGTTCAAATCAAATAACTGTTGCTAAGCTCCACCAACACTTCTGGTATCCACGAGTCTATTTCTTACTTGGCTCTTAGTCTTCACACAAAGGACGTCGGTGATTGTGAGACCAAGACTTTTTCAATCTGTTGCAGCGATTATTTCAATTGGGCCTCATCGTTCGAGAAAGACCCCATCAAACTCGAAACGCATCGGGCGGCTAGGGAATCAATGCAGCGTTATATCTTGGTCACCACGAAAGGTTGTTTGTCTCGTTACGAAGGCGTCACACATAAACCAATACTGATTAACGCCATCAACGCCAGACTTCATCCCAGAGCCCTATCTTTGAAACAGATTTCGGTACGATGGAACGCTCAGAAACACACTCCTAACAAGCCCAATGCTCAGAATAGCAACGAATTTACTTTCACTACGTCAGGTCAAAAGACTCTTTTTAATGGCAAGTCGAATTTGCATCCCTTCAAGTTCATCACGGAGAGAGACAGAATGCTAGTGCAAGCCACGGGCCTGCTTCAAAAACTTAGAATAAATTTGAAGTGGACCCTTACCAGATCAATGAAACCGTTCAACTCCGATGATATAAGTGCATTTATCTCATGGATTCTAGTCAGCAACGTGATTCTGATTATCCTGGGAACCACAACGTTCGCATCGTTAATAATATACTTGGTCAATACGGTGTTCGCGCAAGAATACGTAGCGACACAAGTCGGAAACCTTTTGACGAAAAACAGCTCCGTCTCTGTGGTGTTCGAGAGTGCCATTGTTCCCGATTGGTCGTCTCGCAAAATTTGTTTCAACAATGTCTTCGTTTCTCGCAGACCGAAGGTATCGCATAGTTTTACGAAGGGTTCTCAAAATGAGGCTGCAGAAAGAGCCAAACTGGCCATAACAGAGAAACTGCTTGTCAGTAGAGAGGATTTCGACGATGGCAACTATGCACAATTCGATTTGACCATGGACCAGGTCGAAATATCTCTAAGTTTTAGCAAGTGGATAAACGGGCGCGGTATCTTAGACGAGGTTACTATAAATGGACTGCGGGGGGTGGTAGATCGTACTCATGTTATGTGGAAGGAAAACGATGACCCAAGAAACTATTTGAACGTCCACCAGCCCGGAGACTTTGAGATTTCCAGATTCGAAATGAACGATTTCTTGATCACACTGTATCAGCCTAACGGTTTCCGTCCGTTCCAGGTAAGTGTGTTCAATTGCGAGCTTCCACAGCTTCGCAAGCACTGGCTATTTTTCGATCTCTTGAACGCGAACAATATCAGCGGAACCTATGACAACTCTTTGTTTTCGATTCACAAGAAGTATAAGGCGGACGACTCGCCAAACAATGCGTCGCCATGGAAAAAAGTGACTCGCATGCGAGTGGACAACCTGGACATAGACCATCTGAACGCCGGCGTCGAGGGGCCCTTTGGCTGGATCACAGAGGGGCAGGTTGACATGATTGGTGACATTTTACTTCCTGACAAGGATCCGGACGCGCTGCAATTGAGCGAAATGTTCACGGTCATCGGACAGCGACTGCTGAAAGAGGCACAGCGGCACTCAGCGTTGTTACTTCCAGAACCATACCAGGTGCCACAACAGAAAGACATCGACCCACAGCAGTACTTCATCATGGATTTTTTCCTAAGGCTGCACAATGTCACTGCTGAGGTCCCACTGTTCGACAACGCCCTCAGCCATATCAACAGCGCGCTAATAAGGCCTATTGTGGGTTACATCAACTCCAGACGCACCTACATCCCGATCAAGTGTCAAGTTGTCAAAGAAATGTCAGATTTCGAAGGTTCCTGGACCATTTACGACTGTCGGCTTATGGACGATCTAAGTGCAGAAGTTTACGACGCTTTTGCTGACTACGCGGCCGACGATGACCGTAAAAATCTACGTTTGAAGAGAATAGGTTTTTGGTCGCTACAATTGCTGGCTCAATTGGTGTTGTTGAGCTTGGGATCCATCGCTTGAGCGCGCTGACACCTTTCTCTGCCTATATGATCAAACGTGTCGTAGTAAACGATAATACTCGTATTTTTGAGTTACTACCGTAGTACTACAACTACAGCATAACCGACCATCCCTACACTTGTCCCTTTTGAAGCCATAGGACGACTCAGAGACTCGCACTTTGTGTTGGTGGAGGAACATGCAGAATAGGTCCACTCTTCAAAATGGTGCAATTTTTGGGGCTCCTTTAGCCCTTCTAGTGGGCGTAATATCTCGCTTTTCAATACGAGTGCCAGAATGGCTTTCTGGACCCACTGAAACGGCCAGTAATATGACAGCGTACGATGTTGTGCATGTGTGTCGATGCCAGGAGCAGGTTATCGAATGGCCCGACGTTTTTCAGTTTCTGGGCCGTCAGCTAAGGCAACTTATAAACCCAGACTGGGTGCCGTTGGCATTGAACATAGTGCTGACGCTAAATGTGATCCTGGCGACATCGAAGCATTTGAAAGCGAGATTTAAAAAAGAAGTGACAAATTCTTCAGTCATCACGAAACCGTGTGAATTCGATGCAGACCAATCCAGTCCGTATTCGTCACTATTCGGGCCACGAGAACGAGCAGTTCTGCAATTCGAAAAAGCGAAGCTGAAGCAGCTGAATTTCAAATACAGCAACGAGGACTCGTGGATCCTGGAGGAGGACTGTCTGCTGCCGAAAACAGTGGTCAAGAAAACGAGCAATGGCAGTGAACGCACCCTTCGCAGCCCGCGGACTTTGCTGTCCAACTTGTCGCCATCGACACTGGTAACGTCGGCTGTCGTTCAGGTCAGCACACCACAGAAGCGGTCGCCGTCACCACAGAGCGAAAACCTGCAATCTGAGGCCCTGCTGCCGGCTGTGCCAGAGTCCTTCACGGATTCGTCACTTCTCACGCCAAAACTAAAATTTGGCTCTACTAGCAGGCCTCCGCACTCCCCAAGACCACCAAAATCACCGAACATGGACTCGAACCACGCTCCACCAGCCGTGAGTATATCCAATGACGTGTTCGTCTTAGATCCTCGAGATTCCTCTCCAACGGCTTCATCGTCCCGTTCCAACGTCAAAAGCCTTCTCCAAACTCCAGAGCACTTCTCTCCTCCCTTCCACCAGCCTTCACCCATCAAATCCAGCATTTTGAAGACAGAAGTAACCCAAGAAGAGGTGTACTCACAGCCGTTCACCTACTAAAATATCCGATCTCGTGACACTTTCTGGTGAGATCGTTTTTGACAAAAAATTTTGGACGGCCCTGAATTATCGAGATTGGCTCTCATCTCATCTCATCTCATCTGATATCAACTCAACTCATATTCGCTCAACAGCGTTTGAGAAATACTTGTTAACAGAGGATGGATCCTTCAACTCTATTGGAATGCTTCGCTGGTACACTGAGCCACGACCAAAGTGTGCGTAGCGAGGCTGAATCTAGGCTCAAAACTGCAGGGAAAAGCACTGGGTTCTTAGGTGCAAGTTTGGACATCATATCTTCGCCAGAGATCTCAGAGAACATCAAGTTGCCAGCAGCTTTGTATTTCAAAAACAAAATTCTTTATGGGTGGAGCGGTCGTCAGCAGGGCAGAAACGAACTGCTGGATTTCATGGTCGATAACGACGAAAAACCCGTGGTGAAGGACATGCTGATGAATGCACTAGTGCAATCATCGAGATACTCCCCTAGCTGCATCAGGCTTCTGCAACCGGCCTTGAGTACGATTGTCGCGGAAGAATACCCCAAGAAACAGTGGGATTCGCTTTTAAGCAGCTCTTTCGAGCTGCTAGGCTCAAACGACATCAATTCCGCTCACATTGGACTTTTGGCGCTCAGCGAGATCTTCAGAACGTATCGGTGGAAAGACAATGATTCCAGACAGGAACTAGAGCACCTCATCATGCAGCACTTCCCGCCACTGCTGGAGTTCACCACAAATACACTTGTTGACGACGGGAGGAACATTGACAACGCCAAAGCAGGCGACATGGTGAAACTGGTTCTCAAAATCTACAAATTTGTCACATACCATGACCTGCCATTTACTCTACAGCGGCCCGAATTTTTCATTCCCTGGGCTAATTTGCACGTTGCCATCATTCAGCAACCACTGTCGTCTCAAATTCGCTCGTCTATGGACAATGCAAGCCGGAAAGCCCAGCCGTGGGTGAAAGCCAAAAAATGGGCTTACGCAAACGTATCGAGGCTGTTCCAGAGGTACGCGTCCACTTCGCTGTCACGCAAATTCGCTTACGACGATTTCAAAGCACTATATTTGCAGGAGTTCTTACCACAATTGATTCAGCTGTACTTTCAACAGATAGAACAGTGGAGTTCTAAATCGTTGTGGCTCAGTGACGAGGCGATGTACCATATTTTGGGCTTTTTCGAGCAGGTTGTAGTGCAAAAAGCTACGTGGCCTTTGATCAAACCTTACTACTCAGTGATCCTGGAACATGTCATCTTCCCGCTCCTTTGCCCCACTGAGGAGTCTTTGGAAACATTCGAGACAGACCCTCAGGAATACATACATCGGAATTTAGAGGTCTGGGATGACAATTACTCTCCAGATCTTGCAGCATTAGCTCTTTTAACCACATGTGTCACCAAGCGCGGCAAGACCACGCTTGAACCCACCGGACTGTTCGTGACCGAAAAGTTGAACAACAGCTTGTCTGATTCCGGAAAGGCAGTGGAGGTCGAATCATCGCTGAGGATATTCTCCAACATTTTGGATCGTTTGTGTCAGAAAAACTCCATTTTTGCCAAAGAAGTTGAAAGCTTGTTGGTGTCTCTTGTGTTTCCTTACTTCTATTCCCCTCATCAATTTTTAAAGGCGCGTGTTTGCGAGATCTGCTCCAAACTGGGTGAGCAACAGTTCAGCAATGAACAAACGCTGCAAACCATCTATAATGGTATTGTTACGTGCTTTATGGAAGACTCCGACTGCCTACCGGTCGAGCTCCTCGCAGCTTTGGGAATCCAGGCTTTCATTCACGCACCTGAGTTTCAGGGACCAATATCCGCCAATGTGGTGCCAATGACTCAAAAACTTTTGCGCATTTCTAATGAAATCGAATCTGATGCTGTTTCCGGCGTGCTTCAAGAATTTGTGGAGTGCTTTTCTGAACAACTGCAGCCCTTTGGCATTGAGCTGATGACCGACCTTGTGCAACAATTCTTGAAACTGGCTATCGATCTGAACGAATCCTCGAACCTTGACATCAACAATATCAGCGATTACAGCGAGTTGCCTGATGATACTGATAAACAGATGGCGGCATTGGGTATTTTGTCTACGGCAATCTCCATTCTGCTTTCGTTTGAAAACTCTCATGACATTGTGAGAAGTCTAGAGCAGTCTTTTTACCCAGCGGCCGAATTTATTCTCAAAAACAACATGGAAGATTTCTACCGTGAGGTCTGCGAATTCATCGAAAATTCTACTTTCCTGCTAAGGGAGGTTACTCCTTTTTCGTGGAAAATACTAGAGCTAATAGGCGAATGTAACCAGAAGGAAGAAGGTATGGTGGCATTTTATCTTGAGGATTTTATGGTCGCATTCAACAATTACCTTGTCTACGGTCAGGAGGAGCTTAAGAAGAATTCATTTTACTCTAACATTTTGTTTGAAGTTTATAAAAAGGCTATTATGAACGAGGATACTTCTCTCGATGACATGGCACATGTTTTCGAGCTGTCTCAGAAGCTTGTACTTGCTCTAGACGCCACGGCATCTGAGACTCTTTACAAGAATTTTCTGGAAGATGCCCTCTCCGCCATCACACGCGAAGCTGCTGATCTGAAAAAGAATGTGGTGTTCACTGTGAGCTCTTTCAATGTCATCATAGCGTGTCTAGCCTGCAACCCGAGCCTGACTTTGGGATACCTGGGCTCGCAGAACGCTCTTTCGAGTTTCTTCGACCTGTGGTATGGTTTCTTGGTCCCTCACTACAAGCGAGTTTATGACATAAAGCTATCTGTGATGGCATTGTTGAGTCTGAACGGCCAAGTTTCGCTTGCTGATATCCAGACTCTGTCGCTTGAAGCTGTTCTCAGACAGTCCAGTTCTCAAATCATGAAATTGCTGACTGCTTTCCCCCAGGCTCTGAAAGACTTGGAGGAAAAACGCAAGGTCTATTCTGCTGACCAGTTTGCTAGTAGCGCTTTCGAGCAAAACGAGTGGCAGGATGTGAACGACTACCAAGAGGGTGATGACGATGACGATAATGACAACGGGAACGATGCTGACGAGGAATCATATCTCGAATTTCTCAATAAGGAAGCCCAGAATCTCAAATTCGTCGATGGCAGCGCAGAGATCTTCGACCCCGTCGAAGACTTTGAAGATCTCGATGAGGACCCTCTGTCCGGCTCTGTGATTGACCATGTCAACGTCTATGACGTCTTCAAGACGGTCTTGTCGTCCGTTCAAGCGGATGTTGGAAAACACGACATATTCATGGCCAATTTGTCTCCAGAAGATCGTCAAGGCATTTCAAACCTCATGAGCCTATAGAGGATAATATTGCGGAACTCCCGAGTCTTTCTAACCTTAGAAGACTCTTCGGAGTCGCCGAATCCTAGGCTTTCTGTTGACGTTTGAGTTCCTCCAGCCTAATATCACGTGGATCTAGGCGGGTAATTTTTCTATTTAGCCTGGAAAATTTTCAACTTTGAGATGCCATACAGATGAGTATTGAAATTTCATGAGCTCATCGCATAGGATTGCCAGACACGCTAGGTCAGAAAAGGTGGACGCGTCCGATTCAAAGACGGGATAAGGCTTACAAGGCTTCCAAACTAGCTTCTGTTTATTCTGAAAATGATATCTAATGGCGACATAATTGCCAGCTTTTCTCCGCATGCGAAGACATTCGCTTTTAGATCAAATGGACTGCAAAGAAAATACGTGGATTTATACCCATTGCGTGAGGTCAGCGACTACCAAGTGACGAGTTCACAGGTGTACCATATTGATTACGAGAGTGATGACCTGCAGCTAAAAGATTTGAAGTTAACGACGTGGTGCTCGGAAAAAATGGCGGGTTCGAAAACCAAACGGAAATTCCCAGAGTCCGAGTCGAGTGCCGGTGAACAGCCAGAAAAAGCCGAAATAGCAGAGGAGTATTTCGTAAATATATTCACAGGCGGGAAAATCGTTGTTTTCTCGCCCTCGGGCAAGGAAATCGTCAACATAATAAAGAACAAACAGGAAATTCTGGGCGTGGGATCGTCGGGCGCCACGTTTTGGATTCTCGACGCAGATAAAACCATCAAGCACTTTGACTATCGGTCGTCAAAGCCTCTTAAAACTTTCCACCTTGTGGACGGTAAAAATGACGAAATCACAAAACTGCAAGTGCTGGAATGGCAGGACAAAGTGCTGCTGGCCGTCTTCACTACAACCAACCTGTACATCGTGGATCCTTCGAAGAGGCGACCCTCCACGGTGGTCAACATGGACCTTCCCATGGGAAAGCACTGCATTTTGGGCGCGGACGGTCAACTGATTATTGCAGCTCTAGACAGAATACACGTAGTGGAACTGAAAACCGGGAAAATCGTATCGAAATGGAATTTTCAGGCTGCAGAGCTGAGGTACCATGACGGCAAAGTAGTCGCACAGTCTATTGACGGTTTAGTGTTTGTGTTCGAACTCGGCAGCCAAAGCGAGATTTGTTCGATCAAGTGTCAGCGCTCCAAGATCATCAGCTTCACGCTTGTGAATTCCAGCATAATCATTGCATGGCTCAATGTAAACGAGCCCAAATTCGAGCATTTAACTCTAAAGGAGATGTTGGAGAGTCCCGAAATTGTCTTCAATCAAGAGAGTGAGACGAGCCCAGACAACGCGGAAGTCGCCGAGGCCGAATTCAATACAGACTCTACCAAAACTTCTCAGAAGTCGAAGGCAAAGGTAAAAGAAGAGGATATAGTGGCAGAGCTTATAGAGAGCTTGGACAGCAGTGAAGATTCGAGCCGGACGTTCCAAATTTTGGATTCCAGCGCGTGGTCCGAAACTCTAATCAAACAAGTTGTCGGTCTTGAGCTATCAGACGTCAACATACAGAGAGTTTTCCATGTCCTGTCGCGTGCAATTGCGCAAAACCCATGGTCTACGAGCGGCAATTGCTCGCTGTGGTTCAAGTGGCTGCTGACATTGCGCCATGACAAAATCGCACCGGCTGACAATCGTGCTAGCCAGAAAGGACTTAAGCAAATGCGGTCATCGCTGCGTCCCAGCAACGACGCCTACTCGCTTCTTCTATCGATAAAGGGCAAGCTTGATATGCTGAGCGAACAAGCAAAACTTCGTAAGGAATTTGCGAGTATTTCTTTGAACTCAGACGGCAGTAACAGCACTTATAAAGATAAAGACGATGAATTACTACAAGAGCAGGAACCTGTGTATGTCAACGGAGAAGGCGATGAGTACGTGGACGCTGTCGACTACGCTGAAGAGCGCGCTTCAAAAGCTAACGGCAACTGACATGTATAAGAAACTTTTCAATGAATGCTGCTGCTCCTGCTCACTATTTTATGTGTAAACTAGAAAAGAAGTCATACAGTAAAGTAGCTAACGCTGAGCAGATTATAATGGTGCGGTAACGTGAATATTTTGTGCTGGAGGTCGAATAGTTTAAAATTATGTACTACACGCTCTTATGAAAATTTTCGGCGATGAGCATCTCGATCTTGAACACCATAGAAGAAAATCAGAAAGAGCACATCTTGGTAAAGATTACTGAGCATAGCTCAACACTTCACAGATAATATTTGAATAATTCAGCAAAAATGGGTGAAGCTTCTGATGCTGTTCAGAAGATGTTCATTTCTTATAACAACATCCATAAATCTTGTCAAAAGATTGCCATTCAAATTATGGCCAAAGGCGAGAGACCGGATGTGATCATTGCAATCACAGGCGGTGGTATGATCCCAGCTAGAATAATAAGATCGTTTTTGAAAAGCCGTGGCCAGAAAAACATTCCTATCCAAGCGATTGGGCTGTCACTGTACGAGGACTTGGGACTGGACGACCATGTAGACACTATCGGTAAAGAGGTGATCAGAACACAATGGTTGGACTTTGGATCTTTGGAGCAGCACTTCGATTCGCTTATTGGTAAAAGAGTTTTGATCGTCGACGAGGTAGACGACACCAGAACCACCTTGCACTATGCAGTAACCGAACTCGAGAAAGAAGTCAAAGAGCAGCAAATTAAGCTGAACAGAACCAACGAAGAGACCGTTTTCTCGATTTTCGTGTTACACAACAAAGACAAGCCCAAGAAAGCCGCTTTGCCAGCGGAAATGATGAACAACGATCGCTACCTTGCAGCCGAAACTGTTCCTGACGTATGGCTGTGCTATCCATGGGAAGCATTGGACATCGAAGAACACACCGAGCTTGCTATCAAGCAAGGCAACAACTGAAGTGATGTTTGTTTCCCACGGCAAACGCCCATAATCTATAAGTAATAAATTTGATATAACGTCTTCTTGTTTACCTCACTTGCTCCTGCAACTCAACAAGCTGCTGCACCTGCATCTGCATCAGCTCCTTGAGGTCATCGACGTCATTTTCCAACTCTTCTACCCTCTCGGTGCGCTCGGAGAGAAGTTCAGCAGTCTTCGACAACTCCTGTTCCAACCTTTTCTCATGTTCACACGAAATTTTTAGCTGATTCTTGACTTCTGTAACCTGTTCGTTCTCCTCCATGAGTTTGAATATGGTGTCGTTGACTGCCTGTTTTTCCTTAAGCAGTTTTCCGTGGGAGCCCTGCAGGGATGCAAGCTCAGTCTCTAGTCTTCTTACCTGACTTGCAAGCCTGCTGATCATCTGTGCATTCATTTGAGTGTTTTGCTGAGTGTTGATGGTCTTGTTTTGCTGCCGCGAAGAAGTGTAATCTAGAGACGTTATGCTGCTTTTCCTCAGGTTGCTTGACAATTCAATATCTTCACGAGGCAACAGCTCGTCCAGATCATACTGCGACCTAATACTTACAGAGTCTTGATTATTGTTGCAGTCAGTATCAAGCGTTTGCAGATTCTTGAATTCCCAATTTGAGATCTTGTCAAGTCCCTCAAGATCAGTTGGAGTCTCCTCCTTGTCTTGGATGTGTGGCTCAAACTGAGACTTCATTTCGTCACGGGCTCTTGGATCATTCAAAAGCGAGTCTAATTCCGATTTTCGAACCATGTATTTCTCTTGCCAGAGCTTTGTTTCATCCTTAGCGTTACTAAGCGAATGATCTAGCTTTTCGATCATACTTTCCAGTTCCTTCACCTCATTTTTCAAGTTTTGTTGGCTCAATTTCAATGTATGAATCTGTGAATTCAAGGACGCGTTCTCATCGCGGGCAGAGACGAGGCTGTCGCTTGCAATTGACCTTTCTTTTGAGCATTCGGTTAGTTTACATTCTGCTTCGTATAGTTCTTGGCGCAATGCCGACTCAAGCCTGGACCAAGATTGGCGGCCGGTTTCCAGCTCTTTTTCAAAACGCTGGAGCTTTTCAGCAAGCTCAACTTGATTCCTTTGCGGCTCTGAAATGGTTGAGAAGTGTCTCGAGCTTATTCTTGTTTCTTCCAAGGATGTTTCCAATCGTGCGATCTCCTCTTTAGATGTTGCTTCCAAGCTTTGATATTTCATCTCTGCTTTCATTGATGCGGTTTCCAGCTTGTCTCGCGACATTTGCAGATGTGATTGTAGGGCCTTGATTGTTTTCTGGTCCGAACTTACTTGGTCTTGTAATTCCAACAACTGTCCCTTTTCTAAGGCTTCGTTCCGAGCTCTCACTTCTTCACGTTCCTCAAGAACTTTGGATAGCTGCTTGTTAGTCTCATGGTACTTTTTTTCGAGTTGTGCGAAATCCCGCGACAGCGACGTGTGTTCGTTAGCTTTCCGCTCTGTATCCTTTTTTAGCCTTTCTAACTCGTAATCCGAAGCTTTTAATTTGTCTCGAAGTCCCTTAATAATGTTGCTGTGCCGTAGTTCAAGCTTAGACAGACTCTCGCCTTCTTTGCGTAAATCTTCGATAATCGAATCCTTTTCCTTAATCAACTTTACTAGGCTATTATCCTTGGGTTCCCTTGATTCGAGTTCTTTACCACTTTGTTCAGGAATTGGCGCTGAAGTAAGTGATCCAACAAGGTATGGTTTCAAAGCTATCAAAAGGGCTTCTTTTGTCATCTCCTGGTAGTCTGAAGGCAACATAACCGAGATCTCATTGAGATCGTCTGAGCCCAATTGTGCTCGATCATTACCCCCAGAGTCAGTAGGAGTTTCTGGTGGGCTGGAAGTATCCAATTTAACTGCATTTGCATCTGTTGAGACAGCTCCCAGATCGGCTTCTTGCGGAGTTGGAACTGGAGAAGGAGAATCAAGTCTTTTGCCCTTTCTGCGCGTCTTTGCACGAGCAGCCAAAGAGAGCCTTTCCTCAATCGAAAGCTTCTTATTACTGCTGCTTCCAGTTGACATTGGTATTCACCAAACGTGGTTGGAGAGTGAGCGTATCTCTTAGCGCTTGGTGTGTAATACTTGTTTGGATTCAAAGCTTGAACGTAGATCAACGATGTCTTATTGTCATTTTGAAATTCATTTAAAAAGTGTCTTCCGAGGTTCGAGCGCAGGGCAAAGAAAGATCGTTATATTTTTTGTTAGGGGACGATCAAGCCAAATGGGATCCAAAAAGAGAATTAGGGCTTGAGAAAAATACGCACCTAACCTGATAGCACTTTCTTCACAACAGCCTAAGAAAGCTTTAGATAACGTTTATCATTAGTGCTATGGTCTTGCCTTTTTTGATGCTGAGAATCGGAAAAGTATTGAGCTCAGGGTGCTTAGTCTCGGGTTCAAACTCCATGTTTTCACGAATTATTTTCACGGGTTTTACCGACGGCTGGTATTTTTCCCCTGTAAAACCACCAATAGTTTTGACTTGGCAGACCTGTTGATAGAGCAGATTATAAAGTACCAAAATGCTGAATCCCATATCACCAAACACTCTTTAAGCCAGGCGCGCCAGGCCAAGATCTTTTTCTATTTTCCGCTGTATAGTGTCCTCTGTATGTAGTGAAAAAAATTATAAGCTCATCGCATCTCATCGCTTCTCATCGCGAAGAATCAAGATCAAAGGTCAAAGCAGGAAGAACGACTCCGTTGGCTATCTGTAATTCAAAGCTATCATGGCTTTAGAACCACTCTCACTATCCAAAGTGGCCAAGTCCCTGGAAACTAGCTCGAGCTATGAATTTCAGGTGATATTGAAAACTCTCACTTCGGCCAGATATGTCGACGATAAGCTTCTCAAGTCAGATTTGGCAGTTCTGGTTGCCAAAATATTGAAATTGCTCCGCTCTAGTGATGACTATTTTGTTTGGAAGGGCTGTAAACTGTCAGACGTTTTGTGTGCTTACAATGCAGTGGTACTCTGCTCTCAAGCCGGCCCTCTTCTTACAGCTCTTTTCGGCAAACTAGAGCCGAAAGCAGGCTTCTACCGCACTACTGTATCCAGTCTTCAGGGCAAAACGGTTCTTTTTTCTCTAGTCAAATCAGTGGATATTCTTCTCGACTTGATTCGTGGGAAGCCAGCACTAACTCGTGAAGTTTTGACGCCTAGACTTCCAGCTATCATAGGCGTTTTGATCAATCTGTCTCAGTTCGAGCCGGCTTTGTGCTGCCCCGTTTTGAAGAAACTTCTCGTCAAAAACACCACCACGTTCCGTCCTCACATCGGCAAATATAACAACGTCCTTGTTACTTTAATTGTGAAGGACTACAATCATTTCGACAAGCGCACAAAAAGGCTGATTCTCGAGAACTTTGCGCTGTTGAACTTGATCAAACAGAATACTGGTGTCAAAGATGAGACTATGCGTCACCACAAGGCGTTCCAGGATGAACAGTGGAGACAGGGCATGATGAACGTCCTGTACAGTTTCAAGCCTGTCATAAACCTGTGCGGCGAAATACTCGATTTCTCTGCTGACGAGGACATGAAAACTCTCATGAATAAGCTGCCTTCCAGCAAATCGGAAGAAATGAAAGAATTCTTACCACCAGTGAACGTGGATTTGAACAAACCAAGCTCGCTCTGGGCAATCGCCGAAAGACTTGACCTTTTGTGCGACCTTGTTGTTGCCTTCGTCACCCAACACACTCCATTCCGCATGAGAGTTCCTCTGGGCGGCGTCGTTGTCATCGCAGAGGCTATTCTAAGTTTGACCACTAACTATCTGCCGTTGCAACGCTTGTTGCGTCGTGATGCTGAACTTACATCCACAATTAGTGCTATGCTTCCCACTCTACAGGCCAGCGGCGTTTCACTACTTGGTAGTATGTCTCAGATGTATGGCAAGTCCTTACTTCCCTATACACCATCCGTCCTGGCCTCGTTGGAGTTCTTCATACCAATGAAGCAAGGAACCACGTCAATTGACTTTGACAAAGTAGATTCATTGAAAGATCAATTCTTCGGCTTATTCGCTATTGTGGACATTTTCCTAAGTCATACAGGACATTTATTCAATGAGACTACTTTATTCACCAAACTTATAGACATTGCATTGCATATGACAAGAGATGCGGTACCCTTGAAGCATCTCTACCAGAAACAGAACGCGACGTCAAAGGCTTCTTCACAAAAGTCCAAGAAAGCCGGTAAACAAAACACTGGATCAATGTCAGACGTATATTCACACCCACATGCGTTCATTGGCAAGTGCTCGCTGAGAAAGTATGATTCATTGAACTGCTTTTTGACGAGAATAGTTGTGAACCTGAAGCTTCAATCCGCGCATCAAATTAAAATAACGAACTATGCAATCACGACGACTTTGAGAGTTCAAAAAGAGGTCGGCTTTCTGCCGGAATCGTTTGTTCACCTACTTCGCGCTCTGGTTATGCACCCTGGTTATGAAAAGATTTCAATTCTTCCTATAGCAGTTACTCTGCTTAAGGGTCAAGGTGACGAAGTTTTCGAGGTCTTCTGCAACCCACGGTTGCCAGTTGCTCCAGTCCAGTCAGTTTTGAGACAAGAAGAACCAGAACTATCTCTCGAAAACAATGAAGAGAACATGGTTTTGGAGGGTACTTTTGGCGAAAATGGTGAGGTGGGGCATAAGATTTCCCATGCAACTATTGAGGGGGAGACTAAGAGCTCAGAAAACTTGGAGTCGCCATCCATTTCTTTGCCCACCAATTTTGAACAGGTGTCTAAAGAAGAACCTGAGAAGCTTATGCGCAAAAGAGTCGTGGATGATCATGATCAGATTGCCATTTTCGAGACCAAAATTCGTAAAACAGTGGAAACGACCAAAACTGAGACGCCTGAAACCCGATATATTCCAGTGGAGATTATTGAAGAGAAGCAATCAACCGTTGAAGTTCACGAGAGCGAAAAGGACGATGACTCTGACTTCGAAATACCGGAAATTCATCTCAGCGACGACGACGAAGAGTAAGTAACATGGCTGCTGCGTTGATTTCGAACCATTCAAATGAAAAGCTAAAAAATTTCCGAAAAGTCTTCTAGCTCTGCAAAACAGTCGTCGTCTGTTTTGCGTATAAAATTAGCCCTTAATAAAATTCTATAGAGCCCAGAACACTGGCCCTCGAAATCTTTCGCTGCGACTTTCTCACGCTTCTTGACCAAGCGTTCCATCAACTTGAACATATTCTCTGCCACCAAATCAGTATCTAATCCTTTCGGCGAGAGATCCACGGCAACGAAGTTTTCGAGGAGTAGTTTCAAGATGGCCCACAGTTCGGAGTTGCGTGACAGAGAGGATTGATATGTTCTTTGGAAATTGCACGTTTTGGAGCCCTTCAGTCTCTGCGAAAGCAAGTATTCCAGCTCTTGTAAACCGTCATTTAGTGTCTTTTGAACTCCTAGCATCTCCTCGAGTGGCTCGAGGGGCTCTTCCTGTAAGTACTGCTGGCTGGATTCCAGCCGTTGTCTCAGCTCATACGACGCCAGACTTAAACCGGCAGGATCCGACCTATCTGGAAAAAACATAGGTTTCTCCAAAAAAGAATTCCAAAGATCAGGGTCGTCATTCAGGGTCTTTTCTGATCCGTTTTTCTGCAATGCTTCCAAAGCATTTCTGGCTTGTTTTAAAAAATATTCCTTATTCTCGATTTCCCTTTCCAAACTTTCTTGATAAACTTTCAATTCCTCTTTCGACTCCATAGCCTATCCTATCTCTTGACTTCCGAGACGAGATCAAAACCAGCAGTGGCTTCCCTAAGTTCTTGGTAGGACATCATTAAATGAGATCGAAGTTGAAGTAGATCACTCGGTACTAAAATATTCATTTTTCAACAAGTAGTTTCAATGCCTCGGCAGAAAGTGTGAGCAGTGAAGAGTAGTACGTTCAACTTGGCCCCAAATATCAGCAACACACACTTCAAAATGTCGTCTATCACTCAAAATGACCTTGCAAACCTTGATGATCAATCCAAGAAAGAAATCATGACCTTTTTGGAGTCGGAAAACTCCAAACAAAAGGTTCAGATGTCCATTCATCAGTTCACGAATATCTGCTTCAAACAGTGCGCTTCGAACGTTAGCAATGGTAACTTGAGCTCTCAGGAGGAGACGTGTTTGAAAAACTGCGTCAATCGTTTTCTGGATACCAACATTAGAATTGTGAAGGGCCTGCAAAGCATCCAGTAAACAGGACGTGATGATCATAATGCGAACGTTTGGAGACTCGCCATGTAAATATGTCAGTAATTTGTAAGTGAAACAATGCTGTGTTTTCCTTTTACTCTTTGCGAAATTATAGGGCGATTCGTAATACGCCCTGTGCACACTCGCATTTCGCGCTGCTCAGGTTTCTCGTGTAACGCAATTATAATTCCAAATCCATTGACATAAGTCGACTGGTAACAAGTCTGCTTTCGTCCTCGGTCCATTCACCACCTTTATCCTTCAAAATCCTGATCAGCGGAAGACACTTTTGGTGTACTTTAGGATCTTGGGAATTCTCCTCAGCGTAGCACCTCTCGCACATCACCAAAGCACAGGTCAGTAAGTTGTATTTATGAGCGATGACTCTATCGCGCGCACACTTTTCCACAAGTCCAGTCAGGACAGCTAAAACGCTCGGTAAAAGCGGTCTAAAGTCTGTGATGAAAACATTGCAAATAAGGTATTCTCCAAACACATAGAGAATGCGCTGCATGTGTATCACGGATTTTTCGCCCAGGACGTCGAGACATGACCCTACCCTGTTCACTGTGTCAATCGTCAAATCCATATAATCCGCTGAGATGCGTGGAACGGTGACCTGGAGTAAGGTCTCACCTAGAAATCTACTAACACTTTCGCGTAGCAACTCTGGCCGGCTAAAGTACTCGGCGCGATACAGTGACATAAGAGCTGGGAACACCGTACCCCAAATTTTCTTCGTGAGACCGGGCTCTGTGGACTGTGGGAAATGGTACCACATTGAGGTCAGTATAGGCTCAAACACTGTAGTAAGACCAGTGCTTGCAAAGTCAAAGCGCTGTTCGGACTGGATATCCAGAGATTTTTTTAAAAAGTGATTCAGCAGTACGACACCCTGCAATTTGATACCTTCCAAATCGGAAGTGTCGTCCATCAAGTTGAGAATACCAGGAACTATCCACCCCAGATTGGACGACACATCTTTTGGTCTTAGCTCGCCAAGAACCGCATAGAACAGGGAAACAGCCCTTTCCCCACCATTTTCAGCCCAATCCGAGCGGATTTTGTCTTCGGCGAAAGCAAGGCCTTTTTTTGGATTCAGAACCAGTTTATTTTGCACTTTCAGTCTTCCTTGCTCCGAGAGCTGGCTATTCTTTACTTGTAAAAGCATTTGACGCAGATCTTGGATAACAATGGCAAGCAAGTCTTTGTGCATTACTTCGCTAAAGCAGTATTGGCATCGGTCTCTCACCTCCGGCAAAATTTCATAGTCCAGACAGAAATATCCCAAGCTTTTGAGGCTTCGTAAACGCTCTGCATTGTCCAAATCATTAAAGCAGTTTATCAGATCTGTACAAGCCGTCTTCAACTCGCTGGAACTCGGGGAAAATTTGATAGAGCTTTCTACCTTTCCATTGAATGCTATGAGACGCCTGACTGCACTCATTGATACGCGCTTGTGTCTCTTGAGATGCTAACCAGACCCAGCTTGCTGAGCGATGCGCTGACGTCTAATGATGCGCGTTGATTATTTCTATCCAGTTGACGAGTACACGAGAGGGTACTCGAATACTCGAGTACTCTCTCATGTATCTGTGATGATTGGAATCTGTAAATTAGATACTTGAGCGGGTATTTGACAGAAACTCTCGAACTCCTAAACGCAAAGCAGACCATACAATTCTCTTCGAAATGTTATATAAACTTCCTAATCGTTTTAATCTGGGAACAAGACTCAATCGAGATTTTCAACGATGAAATGAGCTTTATACTCCGACTAATAAGCAGCTCTTATAAATCACAGAAAGATTTGCGCGTTCAAGACCCTTTTTCACCTCCTTTTGCCTTCTGGTTGCGAAGATGGCTCTAGTTTCAGCACATATCAATATCCGCTGTACCAATTGTGGGAGTTATCTAGATTTAGAAGAGAAACTCGATGCTGAAAGCGGGTCACCGACAGTTTGGCAGTAAGAACAATAAAGTTATGATCTATGGATCGTCTTTTCAACTATGTTGCAAGCAGCAACAGCCTATTTTTTTTCCTGCTCTTGAACTGTGAAAACTTATAGCTAGGGGCTTGAATCGCAAGGGCCAAAGAGATGCAGATCACAACTTTCTGAAGGATAGAGCTAACTATGGTGATATGACAAACCCCACAAACTGCAAGCAGTGACATTAACTGAACTAATCTTTCGCTGAGCTCTCTTTATTATGACGGTGTGCAGCTCTCACATTATCGAATGAATCCACAAATTTTTTGTAAAACCAACCAAGACTTCCATGACCACAAAATGACTATTACCAACAACCACATACGTCCAAAAGACAACACGTATGGTTACACTTCTTTTTTCAAGATCCGTCATGCAATTTTGGTAAAACCCAAGTTATCGTTTGGAGATTTCGATCTGCAAGCCTTGAAGCATCAAACTGTTGAAACAAATTAAGCCTCAGGAGCTCATTGCTATCCAAGACCGATCTTCAACTGTCTGGAACGAATGCTAAGTGATTGCCAGGACCGCCGCCGTTGATGAGTCGTTGCAGTTCACTGTGTCACGTGATGCTACATTTGAAGGTTCCTATCCATCGATATTTACCGATGAGAACCGCTCAACACCGGTAAAGATCTCAGATTTAGTGACCAATGTCTAGGTTCTTCGCGCCCTTAAAGTTAAAGAGGCACTTTCACCACCTCAAAATATCAGATGAGGTAAGAAGTGCATTGCTCGGTAAACAACCGGTGGTTGCCTTAGAGTCCACTATTATAACACATGGCTTACCATTTCCTCAAAATTTAGAAATGGCCACACTTGTCGAGTCTCAAATCCGCAATGAGGGTGCAATTCCGGCCACAATAGCCTTCATAGATGGACTTCCAACGGTGGGACTTCATTTTTCAGAAATTGAGCGACTTGCAACCACTGCTACGACTAAAGCTATAAACAAAGTCTCCAGGAGAGACGTAGCTTATACGATGGCCAACAAGCTACTAGGAGGCACCACCATCTCAAGCACCATGCTTCTTTCGCACATGGCAGGTATCGATGTGTTTGCTACAGGCGGCTTGGGTGGTGTTCATAGAGGGGCAGAAACCACGATGGACATCAGTGCAGATCTTGACGAACTGGGCAGAACACCTGTGGCTGTGGTGTGTGCTGGTCCAAAGGCTATTTTGGATATTGAGAAAACCATGGAGTATCTTGAAACTAAGGGTTGTATGGTAGCGACTCTAGGAAGTCCAGGTACAAATGTTCCAGGCTTTTACTTTCGAGATTCAGGAGTACCGTCTCCTTACAATTTCGAAAACTTCTCTCAAGCTGCCCAAATAATAAACGCTGGTCACCAACTAGGTCTTCAATCCGGCTATCTAATGTGCGTGCCACCTCCAGAGGGGATTGCCCTGGACGAATCGTGGGTAAAAGGCATAATAGATAGCGCTACAATCAAGGCCAACAAATTGGGCATTCGCGGGAAAAAGCTGACACCGTTTCTGCTAGGGGAGATTTCTCGAGAGACGCAGGGTGTTTCAGTCAAAAGTAATGTGGACTTTGTCCTGAATAACGCGCGAGCGGGTGCTCAAATTGCAATCGAAGTGTCGAAATTAAGCAGACGCAATGATGCAGTTCCACACATTCAGCCGTCCCAAATCTTTGAACCAATTCGTTCCGCAGGTAATGTGTCTGTCGTGGTAGGAGCAGTGGCTTTAGATACGCAGAGCACCGTTGCAGAAGATCTTCGCATGAAAGATTCTAACCCAGGCAAGGTTTATTCTTCTGTTGGCGGAGTCGGATATAATGTCGCTCTCGCAGCTCACTTGTCGAATAGGTACTCGGAAGTGTCTACCAAGCTGATAAGCAGCGTCGGCGATGATATATCTGGGTCAGCAATTTTGGCAAAACTCGGCCTGCCAATTGATTCGATTTTTGTTGATCCTCATCATGCGACAGCGCAATATTCCTCAATGCACTCGAGTGATGGAGAGCTTGTTGTTGCCTGCGCGGATATGGATATCACAACCAAATTACCTAACAAGTTTTTATCAAATCAACTTGAAGTCGCGAAGCCCAAGATTGTGGTAGCAGACGCAAATATTGCCGTCCAGACACTGCAAGAACTGCAAAATTTGCAGAGTAAGCTCAACTACATGTTGGTCTTTGAACCGACATCTGATACAAAGGCAAAGAAGCTCAGTCTACTGAAAGGTCTCAAAGTGTACCCACAAAACGAGGTTTTCCTCATTACACCCACCACTACCGAACTAAAAAGTATCTACGAGTCTTTTGAAAAAGCCGATAAATTTGACGTCGACAATTGGTTTCCTGTTCTTGACTCACTGCAGATAGATAACGCATTGAAAGTTGAACAACAGACTGAAAGTTTTTCTAAAAGCTTGAGCGATGTCCGGAGATCGGGGGTTTTCCACATGGCCTGCAACCTACTTCCATACTTTCCCAGGATACTGGTCAAGGACGGGGCAAACGGAATATATGTTTTCACTTTGAAGGAGGACGTTGCCGAAGAGCACGCGCAAGAGTCTCTAGCAAAGTATGCTTTTATGACAAAGGGATTGAATTTTGGTGGCAAGCGGATAGGAATGATGTTTGAACACTACGAGGTTCCCGAACTTTCATCGAATGTCAAAAGCGTCACGGGTGCTGGAGACACTTTACTGGGGGTACTCTGTAACGAACTCTGTCACAAGGGAGATGTTTTTGGACTCTCTGCCTCTACACGCCTGGCCTCCTTTGAGCGAGCACAGCTGGGAGCCAAGATGACTGTTGAAGAAGTCGGGTCTGTTAGTAGGAGGCTCAAACAACTGGCTTGAAAGAGTAAGGTATTGTTTTGTGCACATATAGGTATTGAATGATCACTCATACCAAGGTCTTAATTTTGGACACGAATGATTCTCTTGCTGCACCGCTCAAGGGCTTGGGGCCACTGAGATATTGGCTGAATAACAGTCTGCCGATCATGGGCTCGTCAACTCGACCCAACAAAATGCTCTCGCTCGATTTCCGAGAACGGTAAGACAATTGCAGCGAACCGTTAGCCTGAAGCTCGATGAGCAGATCATCATTTTTGGGGACAACCCCCTTTCTCGTGAAGGCATCTTTCAACTCCCGGATACCACGAGAAACGACTTCTTGGTTGTTTTTTGCGTCCGGATGGTTCAAAATAGATTTCACTAGTCCTTCTTTCAAGTGATTGAAATCAGTATTCCTGATCGGAGTAATCTTGGCCATCATCCGCACTCCGCCGTCAATGAGACTACCTATCAATGCCCTCGACTTGACAGGATCTTGCAGCGCCTGCTCGACGTTTTCAGAGTGATCTTTGGAATTATCAGTGTCGACAAAAGCCAGGGACAGATAGTTCGTGCTGAAAATCTTAGAAATCAACGGCAAATCCTCGTTGGCAACGTACAGACCCAACCCATAAACTTTAAAGTTGACAAATGTTACGGAACGGACTCCAAAACCCAAAAGAGTGTAAGGAATGGTCAAAGGGAACTCAGGAGGGCCCAGTTTTGTTGGAAAAGGTGAAACCGCTTTGTCCACCTCCACTGAAGCAGAAATATCTTCTTTCAAGTTCGCATCGTTTCCGATCAATTGTGACTGCCACGCAAAGTACCCAAGACTTGCCAACCCAGTTCCTAGACCTAAAAGTGTTACCGGAGAAGGTAGAAGAGGAGAAGCCAAATAACGGCTTCTGACAGAGTGCTCGGAACCAAAACCTCTTCTTAAAATAACGCGAGAACACCGCAAATGGCGTGCAATTGGAACTCTTTTAACACTGCTGAACATCTCGAAAACTGACAACTGAGCGAGGTTGTTGTTGATCTTGAACTGTCTTCAACTGGTTTGACGGGGACGCTCAGCTTTGGATTTAACTAGTTCACTCTCGTCAAAAACGATTGCATTATGACAATTTCACAATTCACTTACATAAGCCGATTAAATAAGCACTTTAACGCGAACCCACGTGACAGAGATATGCTTTTATAAGCAAACTTTGGCATAAGAGCTGGCGCCAGTGAAATGACAACGAAAGAGCTTATACAGATAGAAGTTCAATAGCTTTACGGCTATCAACCTAACCATTCCTCTCTTCAAGTCTGGTCCAAGGTTACTATTGATTCTATAGCTATGTTATTTCAGCACTGTTCTCGAGTAATCTACAATTAAATTACAATGCCTCTTGGGGAATGTCATCGTGGAAGTATCTACCTTCCAATGTTGGTTTGATGACGCCAGTTCTTACGAGGAAATCACCGAAATGCTCGCCTTCTTGTCTATGCAAAGACCAGTTTTTGAACATTGGCTTCAAAATCGCGATGATCTCATCCTCTTTGACGGAGGCCCTGTATAACTTGTTTAGTCTTTGTCCGTAGTAGCCACCGCCCAGCATCAAATTGTATGTACCTGGTGCTTTACCAACGCAGGCGATTTCAGCCAACCATGGACGAGAACATCCGTTAGGACACCCAGTCATTCTCATGACAATCGAGTCGTGACGCAACCCATACTGTTCCAAAATGTCTTCCAACTTGGTGATGAGCACAGGCAAGTACCGCTCAGATTCAGCCATGGCCAAACCGCAGGTTGGCAGCGCCACACAAGCGGCCGACGAAAGTCTTAGTCCACTGAAGTTGGTGTTGTCGAGTTTGTACTTTTTCAGTAGAGACTTGACGTGGGCTAAGTGCTCGTCAGTGATGTCGCTAATCACTACGTGCTGGTTACCGGTCAAGCGGAAATGTCCACTACCAGTCTCCTGCATGTACTCAGCGACTTTCTTCAACCCTGTCTTTTGAGGCAAGTCGGGACTGTTCTCAACTCTACCGTTCTCAATGAAGATTGTGAAATGGTTCTTGCCAGTTTCATCTTTGACCCATCCGAAGTAATCGATATTGGACTTTATCTCGTAAGGTTGCTCTGGACCAAACTTCTTGCCCCATATTTCTTCTACCTTCTGTCTGTACACGTCGACGCCCAAATCATCAACAGTGTACTTTAAACGGGCATGCTTACGATTTTCACGATCACCGTTGTCTCTCTGAACAAGCAAGACTTTCTCAATGGCAATGTGAACATCTTCAGCACTAACGAAACCCAACGAAGAACCAGTTCTTGGATAGGTTTTCTTGTTGTTGTGCGTACAACCCATACCACCACCAACATACAGATTGAAACCCTTTATTATTTGAGATTCTTGGTCAACGATGGCAATCAAACCAACATCGATCGACCACACGTCAACGTCGTTGAAGGGAGGAACGGTCATATTGATTTTGAACTTTCTGGGCAAGTAAGTGGGGCCGTACATGGGCTCGACGTCAACCAGAGCATTCCCGCTTACCAAAGTTTTCTTCTTGTTAGGACCTTCCTTTCTGTTCTCGAAGATCGACGGCCAGTTGGGGTTTTCATCATTCTTGTCGGCTCCTTCTAGCCAAATTTCATGGTACGCGGTCGTTTGTGGAAGAAGATACTCGGAGATTCTGGATGCGATGTCAGAAGCTTGTTTGTGAACTTTGGCATTGGCAGGCAAGGCAGAGACCATCACATTTCTGTTCACGTCACCGCATGCCGCCAAAGTATCCATCAAAGTAGAGTTCATGGCTCTAATAGTATGTTTCAAGTTGCTTTTAACCACACCATGTAATTGGAATGTGGCTCTTGTGGTAATCTTAATAGTACCGTTACCTGTCTTGTCGGCCAACTTGTCGAGAACTAACCATTGCTCTGGAGAAGCTTTACCACCGGGTAGTCTGACTCTGCTCATGAAAATGTAGTAAGGTTCCAAACCTTGGGCCTTGCGGGTGTCTCTGATATCGCGGTCATCTTGCATGTAAATACCATGGAATTTGGTCACTTGTTGGTCAGAAGCCGAAATGGCACCAGTGGAATTGTCATTCAAAGCCTCAGTGATAGTGCCTCGCAAGAAGTTGGACTCAATCTTGATATCTTCGTTGGTAATAGGTTTGGGTTCGTCCAACACAGCAGCACCAGACACGCCTAGCGATTCCCAAAGTTGGGGCTCCCATTCACTGTAACCAGTTTGGTAACCGTCAGCATCTTGGTCGTCACCTAAGCCCAACGAGGCTAATGGCTTAGCGGATAAAAGTTCCAATTTTTTAAACAAATCTTTGGCGGGCTTGTTGTAATAGTGCTTATCTTCTTTACGAGGCCAGTACAACGAGTCACCTAGCCCGAAGACGGAAAAGTTCAAAGATACCAAATCAAGGTCGAGAGAAGCCTTGAGTTGATCCCAGAAGGCCTTTCCGTCTTGTGGAAACTCACCTTGACCGGCAGTGGAGGTAATGAAGACGACATTTTCCTCGTCTGCAAAGGTTTCGAAATCCAAATTATCCATAGACAATACTGTAGCTTTTAGCCCTCTGCTGGTGGCTCTACTGCCCAATCTTTTGGCCAAATTGGTAGCGTTCCCACCATCCGAAGCGTAGTAAATGTGTAGAGGAGGACCAGACAGCCCTTCCAGCAGTTGATCGTATGCCGCGTTAGCCCTTCTGAGTTGCTTGGCTTCGATTTCGCCGCTAGCGCCTTGTTTCAAATTTCTTGCAAGTTCTGGGCTTTTGCGAGTGAGAAGAGTGAGCTTGTTTTCTCTGTCGAGGAAATCTTGAAGTTGTCTTCTAATGACCGACGATTCCAACTTGAAAGCGTTATCTGGGTTTTGGTCTTGAGGGTTGTAACGGTAAAGTGGCCAGTATCCAGACTCAACGCCAATCTTGGTTTGCTTCAGGATATCCAAAGGAGTGTCTCTTTCAGAAGAGTATGGCAAATAAGCCAAGACAATTGAAGGACCTGGGAACTTGGCAGCTTCGATGAACGCAGTGAGAAGCTGGGTGTACGACGAGTAAACGGCCACGGACGCAACGTAGGCAGTTCCGAAATTCAAGGCATACAGGCCAACATCTTTTTTCCTGAGTTTGGATTGGGAGTTTTTAACGTGTTCGTAGGGCTCGGAGTCGATAATTAGCATGTTGACGTCTAATTTGGACGACAGAACATGATGGACACCGGAGTTTCCCAAATCATAGGACCAAGCGTCGGATCCAATGAGCCATTTCGACGCGAATTTGAACTTTTCGACCGTGGGGGCCAATTTCAAGATTTTGAGAGCCACGCTGGAATCCTGGTTGAGCTGAAGAAGCTCAAACACGTCTGCAGCGATCTTGTTGGCGTCTTCGAGGGAAACTTCGCCCCGGGAGCGTTCGTTATCGTTCAAGCGAAGCCATTTGGCCAAAAGCTCCACAATGCGGCTCGCATCTGGGGACGGGTACGCACTGGCTTCGAGAGATTCTTCTACCAATGCACACAAACGTTGTCTTTCACGGTTCTGGTTGGTGGCCAGTCCAAACCCGTACTCTGGGCTGGTGGCATTGACGTCGGGGTCTTGAAATTGATTCAAGATCTGGAGGTTCGAGTCAAACAGCTGCCGTAGAACCTTTAAATACGCATCTTCCAAAGAGAAGACGCCTTTGATGGCAGATTGTAATTGAACGGTGTCCTGTAAAGTGGAAGAAGGACGTCCAATAAATAAAGTGGTGTCTGGGGACTCGGCACGGGCGTTGTCGACGACTTGTTGGAGCGTGGTGGTGAGTTCTTGAGCGCCAAGTTCGCCAACGTTGGTCACCAGTAATTGGTCCACGCCTCTTGCAACTAGCGTGTTGAAATCTGCGAAGAAGTCCAACAGCACGGGCTCGAACCCGCTGGCCGTCAAATTGCCGTTAGTACGTTGCACAATGACGATTTTTTGGACCGATTCGGGCACTTGTTGGAAGAACTGTTCGGAAGACCAGGGTCTGTACACGTGAATGTCGAGCAACGCTGCTTGTGCAGGCAGGTTTTCTGCAAAAGCGTGAGCGTAGGGCGAGAGGTTGACCACAAGCGTTGATGGCGATTTGGCTGAGCTGTGGTATGTGAACGGGGCTAGGTTTGTGAGTTCTAAGGCCTCTGTGGCCTCTGCGAGCTGTGCAGAGAGCTTTCCGTCCATGTCTTTGGCGTTGAGGTCCACGAAGTGGAACACCAGCTTCTGCTGTGCAGCGGCGCTCTGCGCCGCTGCCACTGCATGGCGTGCCAGAGACGTGCTGGACGTCGACACCAGTGTTGCGAAAGCCAGTTCCTTGACCAGCGGCACAGCCGCATACTCACCTGTGCCCAGCTCCACTGTGACCACTACAGGCGTGTTTTGCAACGCCTGTAAGTGAGGCACACTGCGCACCAGTGTTATTTCATCTGTGAAAACACTTGCAAGTTTGCCGTCCGTTTGGCCCTCTACCACTGCTGCAAATGGGTCTGATCCGTTCAACAATTGCGTGCAACGACGTGCTATAGTCGATTCTTGATCCACTCGCAACGTTTGCAACGCTTGCAGCGCAGCAGAAACACCAGTCTCGGCTGCTTTGAACTGGGTTGTGTAATAAATATCGCCTTGAGTAGCGTCTGCTACGTTAGCTAAAAGCTGCGCTGCACTTAATTCAGCCATTGCGTAGTCAATCGTGTGTGTAATTTAACGTACTTTACGTATTGGATCTGGGAAGATCGTAAGTAAGCCGTTGTAGCGAGATTGGCGTTGGTACTTATATCAAAGAGAAGCTCGTTCTTGGTGAAATGTTCGAAGCATACAACACCAGCGTAAACGCGCAATCTCAACAACACACAATTGTGGCATACAGAGATGAGTTTTGGGCCATAGTTGTGAGAATGAATAGCCGTGGCAGTATGGAGTATGGCCATTTCATGTGGTATGTAGAGAGATGTCACGAGGTGAAACGGTGTGGCGGTGAGTACAAGCGAGAGTACTCGAAGCACTGTTGAACAATCGAGAGCGTCAGCGATCGATTGTGAATACGTACGATGGCCATGAGCATGGTGGAACAATTGAGAGCGTTAGCGATCAATTGTAAATAATTAGAGAACTCGTAGTATCATTGAACAATTGAGAGCGCCAGCGCTCTCAATTGTGAACGCTTAAAGTGGCTTCAAGCAAATGGGTACGAAAACTACATTTGGACGCCGAAAGCACTGAAACAGAAGCTCTTATAAGCCATTTTAAAGCACTAGCGTTGTCTATGAGAATAGATTGATTATGGTTTTGGTTTTACTTGTATAATGAATATAATCAATCTAATATAATCGCGATTAGGTTTCTGAGTACGAGTACGAGTACGAGACTTTGTCGCACTACCGAACAATTCAGAGCGTCAGCGACCAGTTGTGAATCAAGAGGGTACCCTAGGCACTATACAATTGAAAGCGAGAGCATTATCTATCAATTGTGAACATGTAGAGAAATTTTGGTTTAAAATAACTTGTGAAAAATTGGAAAACATGTAGTATGAATGATTTTAAGCTTCTTTGAACGCGAAGCTTGAAGTTAATATGACTACAAGCACTTTTAAACTGCTAGCGCTCTCAACTGCGATTAATCAGAGGCTGAGGTTGTGTCAATAGTGTTTCTACTTTAGCTAAGAGCGCCAGCGTTGTATCCGCGACAGCTTTTGGTTTTCGAGGTTTGAGTACGAGTGCGAGTACGAAAACTCTTCACACAGCTAAACAGTTGAGAGCGTCAGCTATTAATTGTGAATGTGTAGAGGACTCTCAGTGTTATTGACCCATGGAGAGCATTAGCGAAAAGATAGCTCCCGTTGATCAGTTGTGAATTTTCAAATGTCTACCATTACGATTCAACGATTGACAGTGTTGGCGATCATTTGGAATAAGCAGATATTTCGCGATATTACTGAGCAATTTGAAGCGTCAGTGTTTGAGTGTAGAGAAGTAGAGATGCTCAGAAGATCCGACGAAGTAGAGATTTTTTAGTACAATTAAGCAAATCAGAGCGTCGGCGATGAAGTGTTTTAAGTTACAAAGGTTGCAAGCGAGTATGACTGTAACGATAACATAACAATTTGAACCTTGGTATTATATCTACGGCAGCGATCGGGTTGCCAAGCTTGAGTGCCATTTAGAGCGTCAGGGTGCACAATCTTATTTTATATTCAAATCTACTAGGAAACTGTTACAATGGAGAGCGTCAGCGATCAATTATGGATACCAAAAGTAGAACAACAGATCAGCACCAACGCTCTCAAATATGAAATCGAACTACAGTTTTTCAATTTTGAGACCTTTTACAGATTTTCGTCTAGCTACTTTTTCACATTACTAAATCTTTGCACTATTGGGCCTCCACTTGTACATCGCAGACGCTCTCATTTGTTCAGTTGTGTTTATGGTCGCTCGAAGTGTCCAAAATTGGTCGCTGACGCTCTCAATGGTTCAACAATACTATGGGTTCGCTACTACGATGATCGCTTTAAAGAAGCTTGACCCAATTAACGGCAGTGCTTGACGGTGATCCTCAAGCTCCAAAAAGATTCATCACTTTCACACTCCCTCTAGAAGCTTTTTTCTTGCGTTGGAAATGTTACTGCCTGTCACACCATACCCTAGGTCTTCGTACCTCCGGGATTGTGAGTTTTGGTTTCATTTCGCTCATACTTGAGTGTGGTTTTCGTTCGCGCTGTGAACATCTGGTAACTTGTTCAAAAAGTGTGCCGTCTCACTCTGCACCACCATTCCAATCGTCTGCCATGTCTATCGCCTTGTGCTGTAGAAATCGAAGTCACGGTGGTGTAATCGGTCTCTACGACAGATGACAGACGAGAATGAAGTGACAGTGTTCACAACCAGTATCAGATTAAACATTTAACTGGTCGACAAGATGTTTGTAGTAGCCCGTTTACCGTGGAATGACAACAAGCGCAGATTAGGAGAATCACAGGCATGATTGAATGCGATTGTGATTTACTGTGATTATGAGAATCTGTGGTGTCTTTGGAGTGATAAAGTGACATTGCCGCGAGCGTAGCAGAACAGAGCTCGTAGAGCACCAGTTGTATTTTTGGACATTGAGAATGATCCAGTGCACTAAAAAGAGGTCATAAGCAACTAGCATTAAATCTTTGGAAATCAATTATGACAAAACGGGGAGCTCGTAGCGTAGTAGCATATTGAGCAGTACGCACTACATGCGGTGGTGAACAATTGTGATTGGTCTAGGAAATAGTCAGCAATCGATTGTGAAGAGTAGTTTGTCTAAATAATGCAGTTTTAATCTCTTATACGTGATTGCTGAGACTCTCGAAGAGCAGAAAGCTGCACGACCTCTCTTCTCAGTTGCTTTGCTTTAAATATTTCACCAGCCTTACAACCTCGTTTCTCATTCGCTTCAATCTGACTTAATCGTCTTTATAATAATCCCCTTCTTCGATCAAAAGCCTTCACAAAGGATGCCATGAATGAGACATTCCTTACAATTTAAAGCACTGTAACTTTTGTAAATCAGTGACCAGCTGTCACGGAGCTATCTGGCGTTTTCGCAAGGCAGAAAGCTAGCGACCCATTGTCAAAGCTGTCCTTTCTTTCACGTTCGATGGATAACGGTCACTAATGATCTCCGTCAGCAACTCGTTCCTCAGCCAGGGTTTGCTCAATCGATACATCCCGGTTTTCCGACCCCATTTTCTTCAGCTCTTCGGCGACCTTTTCCAACTCTAGCAAGTTCGCGTCTCTTATCCTCGAGCACTCTTCCAAAGTAGCATCCACTTGTAATTGTTAGTCGATGTGAAAAAAACTGTAAATCTGTTCATGTCCATACGTTTTAATTGCAGCTGGTCTAGCACAGCTTTCCTGATGCTAGATTTCGCTTCTTCACTGAGCATTGCAATGACAGTGCGATATGAAAGTGAGCGTTAAAGTGTCAGTTTTGACTTTTCAAGGTGGTTGATTTTTCTCGTGAAAGATGGCTCTTACTATTGAACAATTGAGAGCGACAGCGACGAATTGTGAATAGAGAGGGCTACAAGCACTATTGAACAATTGAGAGCGTTAGCGAGCAGTTGTGAAGAGTCACGATGGCTCCAGACATCGGCGCTCCTTAATTGCGACTAATTAGGATGGCTACAAGCACTGACGCTCTCAACTGTGAATAAGTAGGATGCCTACAAACATAGTTGAGCGATTGAGATTTCAACGATTCAATTACGAAAGAGAGAAATCTTGGTTTTCTGAACAATTGAGGGCACTAGTAATCAGTTTTGAAAAAGTGAAATGGGTAGAGTTAGAATTGTTAAAATTGGGCTCTTCTACTAGCCGGATTGGGATATCAAGAGCCCTAGCAATAAGTTGAATTGCCAGAAGTAGTGCTCTGAATACTCGACATTTCTACAAGCCCGGTTGAAAAATCGAGAGCGTCCCTATAAGCACAATTGAGTAACTAATGGCCAGCAAGATGGTTCCAAGTAGAACAGAGCTATTGGCACAATTAAACGATCAGAGCTCAAACCGATCAACCATGATCAAGACAAGACCTTGTTATAGATAACTGGTTTCATCAAACAGATTAGAAGTGCCATTGATCAATCCATTGAATAAGAGAACAGTTGGTGGCCGTTAAACGTGTTCGTACTCGTGCTTAATAACGAGTACAGGCACTTGGTACGAGTATACAAGTCCGAAGTTTTCAGACGTTGGAAACAAAGCTGTATTCGGCGCATACAGTCTTCATTAAAAACTTGGAATAGTTCTAAGGTTCCACTTTCTTGGTATGTATATTCTCTCTTTCTTTATTTAACCTCAAAGATCATGCATGGTTTGCGATTAAATGTCGAGAATCAGACGAGATCTTTTAACAACACCATACATCAATTTGATTGAAGGGCACCCCAGCGACTTTAAAAGAGCTCCATGCTTCATAGGAAAGATGTTAATCATATACTTCGTCGATTCGTGCCAAAGTTCTTGCCAATATGATCATTACGTACGGATGTTGTGCTAATAAGTTACAGAATCGCACATAGCGATCAACCTATACGTGCAATACGTTCATTTCGATCAACTCACTTGACACCCATCATTGCCAGCGACCAGCCCATTTTCTAGCGCTCCCCTCTGTACTTAATGTATCGAGATTCTTGTTTCCAAAGCCATCATATGCTCCAACCCCACCATTCGCTGTATTTGGACTGGAATCAAGACATTTTCATGTCGCCAGACCACACTGCCCCAAACGGCCTGCGTTCGGAAAACACATCGGTCCCTATAAACCCGTTCTGGGACTATTTCAACGATGATGACGACTGGGACCAATTTCATCCCTTGCAAGTAGATTGCAGTGGCCAATTGACAGCAATGCCACCACTGGTTGAAAGTCCCACTGCATTGGGCTCCATTTTCGCGTCAAAAAGAACGGAACTGGGATTGTGGCGTGACTTTGGACTAGATGAACTCAGACCCCGGTGATGAGCTTTTTCGCTGCCTCCATCAAGCTCAAAACCAAATGGATTTTTTTTTCGAAAATAAGAGAGAATTCAAAATTGTCACCTATTTGAGCCCACTGGGATAATTGGTAGGTACATCACGACCCGACCAGTGCGAAAAACACTTCCAATTCAACGCGTTGCAATAGATCCTGCTGTCATTGGCGTCAACCATATTTCCATCTGGACTTCGAAAGCTTGCCACGTGATAGTTCTGTAAAGCTGTGAATTTGAAATTGGATATTGTCTCGTCATAGCCATCTATTCAAGGAATCCAGTGATGCAAGAAACGACGACGAGTTCGACATCCTAGCGGGAAGGGTTAGGAAAGGAGAACGAGGAAGTGAAATGTTTTCACTGCAACAAAATGTAAACACATCTCTCGGCTCCATCCTAGGCATTTTGAAAGAGCAACTGGATTCTGGCCAATGGCCGAACTGCACCGTTAGAATGCTAAATAGCGGTAACTTGACCCTCCAGGACAGTCCCGGGTCTCCTTTTTACCAACAGCCCAGTAACGTGCCTGCGTTTTTTCTTCAATGCGCGGATGAAGCGGGACGCAACCTCACAGAAGTCTACTCATCATTGATGAGCACGCTGATAGAAGAGAGCACCTCACCTCTTGCAAACGGGTCTGCCCCTTCGCTGTTAATAGGCAAAAATCCATTTAGCTCTGCCATTTTATTGATAGCGTTTGCGGTGTGCGCGGTGTGCGCAGGGTCGTGGATGCTTCTGATAGTGTTGCTGCTGCTCCCAGCGAACAATCACAACAGTGGTAAAAAAATGGTCTACTTAGGTGTCACATATTCTGCGATATTTCACACAGTTGTGTTGAGCAAATCAATGCACTCGATCTTTGAAAAACAATACGAGGCTAACTACCAAAACTCCCAGGAGTTCGACGAACAGATGCTGGATTCAACACTTTTCAACGTGATGCTTTTTTTCACCGTCCTGATCAGCAACTTGAACTGGATTGACATTGTCTACTACATGTTCCATAACTATCGCAAAACTCAACGAAAATGGATTCCAAGAATACTCAGCAATAGAAACAGGCAAATACTAGCAGTAGGATTGACGCTGACCGGCATACAAGCCCTTGTTATGGGCCTCAGATTGTGGGCTGCTAGACGAAATACCGAGTCCCTTGGGATACTGTTAAGAGTAGTCGACCTTGTCATTTATACTGCCTTCACTTTGTCAGTAACGTGTTTCGTATGGCGCAATTATGGGTTCACGCTTCGCCCAAAGACGTTGGACCAACAATTGTCATGGTGGGGGCAATTCAAAGTTTTCTGGAATGATTATCATGAGCTCGCATTGTTGCTGGTCTACAATGCGGCCGTGATGGCTCTATTGTATGGGGTACGGATTTTTACGAGTGTGATTTCAAACGATGTTTGCAAATGGCTTAAGTGTATTATCATATTCCTAAACGTCCTGGTGACCGTTAATACTTGGGGGCTCATTGGAGTTTTGGAACAACGTGAAAGGACCTTTAGCAAGGAAACTGTTCTGGGGAGAAAGATCAATAACAGGGACAGGTTTTTCGTCGATCCCAACATCAGCTATGGAAATGATGACTGCCTGATGGTTGAAGATGGCTCGATCAACTCACAAAATGCGTCTCTCTTGGCGGGGGGAGAGAAAAGTGGTGGCCACAAAGGAGATTTAAAATTCATCACGAAGCCGGCTCGGGCGCTGAAGTCGAAACTAAGGGGTCGTAAAGGGGATGAAGACGTCAATATTGGTTTATCGAGCTCTCCCAGCTCAAAAGGCGTTGAAAATGAAACGCCACAAGAGGATCAAGAGGACCGCAGTTGGCTTCATGGCGAGCACGATTGGGCTCATGACAATGAATCTACAGAGACGCTGCTCACTAGAAACTACATCTTTAACCACGAAGAGGGATAAATAATACAAATACTAAAGCCTACTAAGCGAGCTCTTGGATATGAAATCAGTAGGCGAGCAAAGAGCTCCTGGCGCGTACCGTCCTGCTAGTTAAACATATCCGACAGTGATGTTCTCTCAACAACATATACTAAAATTACTCTTCATCACTCATCGGTTAGCGCAAGTGGTTTAGTGGTAAAATCCAACGTTGCCATCGTTGGGCCCCCGGTTCGATTCCGGGCTTGCGCAAGCTTTTGAATTTCCATTTTTTTTTTGATATATTAAATAATGTTCAACACCGATCGATGAGTATACCCTTTAACAGCTACTCATCAACATAACGAAAAAGAGAACAAGTCTGGTGCCATTCAAGCTCTACGTCTACCACTGTTGTCTATTAAATTTATTATCTTGTCATGAGAACCTGTTCCCTCAACGGCCGGATTTTCTGCTTGATTATCGGACTTTTTGCTTGCGCGATGGAAGCTAAAAACGTCGCACATCTGGATGTGTTGTTTGATCCTACAAGCGGCAAGTTTAAGCGCCAATTACCCAGCTCTTGGCGTGCATCTGATGCTGAAGACAAGACGTTGAAGGTTAGAGACGCCAGGAACGTCTCACCTTTGAATTTGGATGAGTTATTTGAAAAAGGGTCATTTGACAAGAGGGAGGTTCAGCAGCAAAACGTCTACGCTGCTGAAAAAGAGCAAGACGAGCAGCAAACTGGAGAAGCGTGGGATCCAATTTGTCTGGACTCTAGACTAGCTTCTATGAATGAAATCAGCATCTTTACCAGTTATTTGAGAGATGACGTGATCTTGTCACGGATCATGTGCGACCCTCTGGAGAATGTTATCGTCTTTGCGCCCTCTGATCGGGCGGTAGAATCGCTACCCAAGAAGCCTTGGCAATTTCCTACCGACGTTGAGGCCCTGGAGGCTCAGAAGTCGGACGAAGAAACTATTGATCGAGCAGTCAATAGCAACATTCAGCATTTCGTCCAATCCCATATCGCGACCAGTGCTAGTATCAGAAGAGCTCAAGATATGAAAGATTGCATGCACGACATGGTGGTGCTAAGAAGCTTTGCGTTTGAAGGAGATGATAACTCTGGTGACATTATGCTAATGAAACAAAAGGGAGAATACTATGTGGCCCATGCAAATTCCGTTGATGAAGGTTTTCAAAAAGTTCACGCTATGGAGCAGGCTCAGAATGGTATTGTGTTCACTATTTGGAGACCTCTCATTTCAGCTTAGGAAATGCCTCTATTGCATCGGGTCCCATGGCGCATTCGATGCTTATGCTTATGCTTATGTAATGTATGACATCGCGATTATCGCGAGAACGGATTATAATCAAAACGATGGTACGTGTTCAGTATCCTAACCTGGCCCGCCAGCATTGGGCCACAGTGCTTTTCTAGCCTTTTTATAACCACCAGTATTAAACCTAAGGCTGCTCATTCTAAAACGAATGGTGAATCATCTATTATACATATGAAACCTTGACCCTTTTAGGCTGTTTGAAGCCTTTTAAATAACAATGCGTTCAGCAACCCTAATGATCCTCTTCATCTTCGCTGAATTCCTCGCTTTGACTTTCTACATCAGTGTCGTCGTCCAACTGCTTAGTTCCGCACATTAGGGCAGTGTCAACACAGAAATCTACCAACTTGCCCCGTAGCTCTAAGCTCAAGTTAAATCCAGAATCTTTTCCAAGCAGTATCCTGATGTTGCCAATTAAAGACTCAAATCTAGGGTAGCTGTTCTTTAAATCTTCGGAATTTTCTCCTTCGAACAGATTCTTTAGCGCTAAAATTACAGCGGAAACTCCGATAATGGAGATGCTTTTTGAAGCAATAAGCTTAGGCGGAATTTTGGTAGCCCAGCGGCACGCCTGTTTGACGTTTCCATTTGAAAGCAGGTTCCTCACTATACTGGAGTAGAGCACTAAAACCTGATCGTTGTCCGATCTGTTGAATTCTTGATCTGCCGATCTTGTCTTTACCAATCTCAGTAGAGCATTAATGTTGTTTTCTGTAGGCTCGAACAAAGTGGTGAGAGTAGTGAGATTTTCTGAAGACATTTGAAGCTCCGCGTTGTTGAATACCTTTGACTCGTAAACTTTATCGGTCACTTCTCCAACAGAGCTTTCAGCCGAGCATAGTTCAGTCATTAGATCCACGACCACAGCTTCGCTTCTGGATTTGACAAGAAAACTATTGACAAATTCAACGAATTCTTTTATCGTGTAAGATCCCTTTTTAATAATGGCATCTTGAAGCTCTTCACAGTCTAAAGTCTCATCTGTAGGGCTTGTTATAACGTTCGTGATCATTTCCCATTCGAACCCATTCTTCAAAGCTCCGCCACTTCTGAGATTGGCCAGCTCAACCTGTTTCTTAACTCTTGTCCATGTTGAGTCAACATGTTTGCTACTCCAAATTTTTAGAGGAAACCGAAATTGGTAGTATTTGAGTGCGAAACAGCAGGCAATTTCAGATTCGATCCTTTCAATGGAGTTAACTGGGTATTTTAGCCTGTTAAGAGTAATAGTCTTTTTCAAAGTCTCAAAAATCTGTGAAAAATCGCCAAAACAAACCGAATCAGTGAATGTAACTAGCGGCAATTCGTGCTTCTTGTCCTTATCACCAATGTATTTGTGAGTGAAGAGTTTAATAAAGTGTACGACAGTCGCGAAAAGGAGTGAAATTTTGAGCACAGAGAGTAACATCGTAGGCATGTTGATGACACCGTTGGCGTCGGAGAAGGTCAGACCACTTCCAGGAGAGTAGTGAATTACGGGCATGGACATCAGACTCTTGGCGTTATTGTAATCGTTGCCGTCCCCGAAGCACGAAGCACCCATTGTCATAGCAAGACCTGCCATTAGGTATTTACTAGACGAAGACTCCTTCCTTTTTGGATACGCTGGAGCGTACGGACTAGTATTTTGAGACTGATCCGGTGCCAAGTTTAGCATGAAATCGTTCGAGCCGGTCGAGAGGTTTCTGTCACTTTCGGGGGTGGTAAATCCTTGACCGGCCTTCAACTTGGTATTTTCAAACTTCAAAGTATCGCATCTGTTCTCTAAATGGCGGATGTACTCGATCGTCTTGATCAAAACCGAGGCTTTGTTGAGTTTGCGGGCGACTTCCAAGCCGTCCAGTTCCTCATGGTCTTCACGGGTCAAAGGTTGGCCCAGTTCCCGCTTTACAGCACATCTCAGAGTTGGGATAGTGTCTCTAAGCTGTAGGATCTTGTCGTTAATGTTTGTTCTATACTTTTTTTCGATAACGTTGTGGGAAATTCTCTCACGCTTGGGTTTGTAAATCTTGGAGTGGGCAGAATCATGGAGCGAGTTGAGCGATCCGACCGAATCAGAAGCCAGACCGTCTTCCGGTTTCAATAGATCTTGCAGCTCGTCAGACTCGAATGCCAGACCAGGCGATTCATCGCTTTTAATACGAACAAAGCCTGGCCGGTCTGCAGAAACGCTGTTAAACGCAGCTAGACTCGCCTGTTGTTGCTGTTGCTGTTGTTGTTGTTGCTGTTGCTGTTGCTGAGCTTGCTGAACTTGCGACTGAGACGGTTGCAACGGTACCTCGTGAAACGACTCCGGTGTCAAATCGAACCCGCCTGTAATTTGGTCGCTCCAGACAGTGTCTTGGCTGTAATCGTGGTTGCTTCCAGAGGGCGTGCTTCTGTTGTTTGAGCCTGGATAATCGCTCTTGTACTCGTCACTGCTGTCGGAAGACTGCAGCGACGCCAGAAAGATTTCTGCCTCGCTGAGACCAGGGTTAAAACCCATGGAAGAGGCCATCTTATCTCACTTCACTGCGACGGGAGTTAAAGCCAAGGAAACTGGTCAAAAACGCTTTAAAAATTGCTATAAGCACTCAAAAATAGCGCCAGAAAGCTCTCCAAAAAGCTAACAAAGAGCTCTATACTTCAAAAGTGAAATCGAGTCAAAGAAAAAGGTGGTTAAGACTTCAAACTCTTCTAAAATCGAACAAGTTTTCAGACTTCTTCAAAAATATCGCGGGCTCCTCCAAATGTAAAGAAAGAAAGCGTTCCCAGATAATATATGAAATAAAAAGGTATCTAAGTGTCCGTTTGAATAGCTTAAAACTATAAACAATGGCGTTGTAAATAGGCTTTACGAGACCAAAGAGAAGACACGCAAAGAACCAGGATTTTTCGGCTTGAATGAGGATCAGACAACTGGAAGGATTGTATTCCCATTGACTGGTTTTGGAATAATCGTACGATAATTTTAAAAAAAATAGAAAGTGGGTAATCAGTCGCGATGTACGAGGGAATGTTGAGATAACGACACGAAATTGCAGAGTGATAAACGAGGGTCGAAGAGAGTCAGAGAAAACGAGAGAGGATAAGACATTAACTAGGAACAGAACTCAGGCATGTGTGATTCACGAACAAGACTATTCACACTAGCTCAAAAATGCACAGCTGCGCTTCTTTCATACTCACATATGTGCTCAGGCTTACGTATATTGATTGAAGTGAGACAAAACACGTGACTTTGAATGACACAGTAGTACAGAGTGATGTGGGGATCGATTCAAGACAGCTTGCCACCAGTTTTACAGCTTACTGGATCGTTGCACGTATGTTGGCACGTCGTCGCATCAAGTAGCAGTGGCACCTCAGTGCGCGTGGATTTAAGCTCTTGATTCTCATTTATTTTTTTCTTCATGTGACCATGTTTGTGTCCTCCTCACTGACTCGCCAGCGTTACAGCAGCGAGATCTATCCGAACCGCGCAACACCAAGCCTTCGACTTTCAATACTATGGTATGTTCGTAATGGTGTCTATGTTACAAGTGCGGTAGTAAAAAAAATGCTGAAAATATGTGTCCTCTGAAGTTCTTCTCCTCACTGCCCGCGATAAATGAAATCGGATAAACTTACAGTTCTTCTTGCTTGACGTTGTACTTCAGTCGAGGACGGCGACGACATGTAGTGTTTTGATCTGCTCAACCCGGGCCGCTGTTTTTCCAGGACGGGCCGCTGTTTCTCCAGAATTTCAGCTTTACCCACACCAGCTGACGAGTTTACATTCGGATCTCTTGGCTTCAATGGCGCCCTTTGGTAGCTGAAGTTTTCACGCAAGTCAGCCAAGGATGCACAGTGTCTTTTGTTGGCGCGTGCCGAGGGTTCTATTGGTCTGGAAGTCTCGTCCACTTCACTTAAAATCTCAGACTCCTCCTCACTAAATGGTGTAGAATCCTGATCGGTCTGGGCGGGAACCATAGAGCTCGGTATCTCTGTAGATGCCATAGAACTCGGAATTTCGGTAAGCACATCTTCCTGCGAAGTGTCGGGATCACTATTTGACGATGAGGATGTAAGGCTCCTGGTAGCCAGATTAATATGGTTAAACTTCGACTTCTGCTCTACCTTCACCTCAGTCGATTCGACAAGTCGAGACGTGGTAGGTAAATCGGGCGCCACAGTAGGTCGCGGATGCTCCGCAATTTGATTGGCTTGCTCAAAAAACTTACTACCAGAAGTACCACGAGTCGGCATATCGTAACGAGATAGCTTGCGACGTTCAACTGTAGACTGTAATTTTCTCTCGCTTTGCTCGAGCTTTTGTTCCTGTTGTCTTTGGAAAAGTCGAGTTTTTGTGTCGGCCCCATCTGGCACCGCCGATACAGTGACCAAGGCAGATTTATGGAAAAATGAGTCGATTGATCTTACACCGCTAGTTGCCGTAGTCGAGATCTCGGGCATAGACTTGGCAGTCAACTGCAGCTTCCGCTCACGATTGACCAGAACCTTTTCGAAGTCATAGGGACATAGATCTCCCATTGCAATTTTCCCGTGCAAAACGTGGTCAATGTCAGCTGGATTAACGACAGTTCTTTTCACGCGATCCTGACAGTGAATGACTTTCCCCACGCAATTGAACAGATCCTCTGACGTTTCCAATTCCGAGGGAACCTTGTTGAGAGTTGTGATGATTTTTTGCTGGGGACAAAATACTCTTTGGTACTGGAACGCGTACGTCGCCCATTGAAATTCATCCAAAAACTCTTTAGGTACGACAAATTTGCCTTCCCGCTGAATGTTCAAAATTATCTTGTCCATAGTCTTGTACTTCTTCACCAACTTGATGGCAGTTAAAAGCCCTACTTTTGGAACTCCCGAGGTGTAATCACATCCGGACAGACAGACCATAGCCCGGATTTGCTCTGAGTCTAGCTGACAAAGTGGGAATTTGGCTGGTAAATGAGAAAAATCATCGCGACAAATTTCCACGGCTTCTCCATGGTCATTGAGCTTGGTGATCAGCTTCCGACATCCGAATATCACAAGATCCGAATCTTCTGATATAATCCCATGCGCTAAACCTTCTTTTTCTAGATAGACCATTTGTGCGTCAGCCTCGAAGGGCGCTACAACGTATTGGATTTCTTGCGTTTTGCAATAGTCTATGATGCATTTGGCCATTTCTGGTGTCACGTCGACGCACTTTTGGAAGTACTCGAACGCTTGTCTTTTATCACCCGATTTCCAAAGCGCCAATGCCTTTGTCCTGTTCTCCTCTCGCTTCTGTCGCCTTTTGATCTCCGTGTCTTTTTTCACCATCAACGCGTCGCCATCGAAGACCACATACGGATGGATATGAAACCGACTTCGTAGCATCTGCAGCCGTTTTACAAAGTACTCAAGATATTTCGTTGAAGGCAAACCCAAAGCTAAATCTTCAGCACACGCATGGGCTGCTCTGTGGAGCCATGCATACCCATCAATGGCCAAGGTCTGGCCCTCATATCTAGCCAGAGTGACTGGTTGCTGAATAGGTTTTAGCTGCGGGAGCAGACCCTGAATACCCATAACACGAAACCTCCTTTGGAGAGTTAAACGTCAGGCTTTCAAGGTAGATTCGATGGACCCGGCAAGTTGAACTGGAATTAATTTGAATTGAAGCTTTCGTGCAACGGGACTTGTTGTCTTGCCTGAGACGCGTTTTTTTGTTTACGCGTTTCTCGAAGGCCACGTGATAATTAGAGAGAAGAGATGGTTCTTGATGAATGCCAGCTTCAGCACTGCTATGAACCGCCACGATCCCAGCTTCCTTCCGAGCCTTCGAGACTCCCTTTTGAAGTCTCCTTTTGTTCTTGAACTTAAACCATGTCTTCTTGTGGTAGTGTTGTCTCTGGCAACGTGTACAACGTTCGGTAATCGACTTCTTTATTGTTGTAAGATGCCTTAAAACCTTGTGGAGAGTACAGTAGTCTTTGCCAGAGGGGCGCTGTTTGGTCGCTAAGAAGCCAGAAATCTTTCAAGTTAGTCTTCCAGCCATTATTCGTAGCGAATCTACCTGTTCCCACTCTGGTCTGAATGGAGTCCTGCTGACCTCTTGCCGAGCCAAAGAAACCACTCAAAATCACAGGAAGCTGGTCTAGGCCAGTGAGCCCACAAAGCGTACTGAAACATGTGCGTGGTTTCATCAGCCTTCTGTCGTTCGAATTCACAGTGCCTTGATTCAAAGCACTCAGCTCGTCTCTGTCCATAAGATCAGTTGGAGTAGTCATAAAGAATTCACTTGGCTCGTTCTGACCATGTCGTTCGCGCGACTTTTCATTAAGTTCATAACTGGTAATGCCCTTGATTGTCTGGAAGAGCTGGGTGGTCAGTAAACAAGAAACCCAAAGAACTTGCAGGCAGGCCCAGGCCATCACGAACAATGCGAAGGGATCGATGTGGAGCCCCGCACATAACTCATCGTCAAGGATCATGCATTTAAAATCCGAATTCGAAGCGTCCTCCAAAACATCAAAGTATTCCATACAGGCTTTAGCAAAGCAAATTGCACCCACTATCAAAGAAGAGAGGAAATATAAGAACAGTTTGTGATTCCTCAAACCAATATCATTGTAGACCCAAGGGCAAAAATGGTCAAAGCGGGTTATCAATGCATTGTTGAATCTCGAATACTTTGACCTCAAGGGTTTTCTAACGTAAGTCTCGATGCAAAAGTGTCGCGCGTCAAACTTACCAACACGAAGAAGTTCTTGAATGGTCTCCTTGATTTTATCGTGATTTTCCTCTTTAACTATTTTGCCTGGATTTGACGACAGCAACTTGAAAAAGGAAATGATGCACACAGTTGCGAAGAACAAAAATGCGAGGTTGATGAATGGCTCCTCCTCAAAAGTGGCAATAAAGACTCTGGCCAGCCATACATATAACACCCAAAGCAGACTTCCCAGCAATATCCCAGCCCAGAACGGCGTTTTGAAGAAACTCCCGCTACCTGAGCTTGAAATAAAGGACGGTAAAACCAATTTCTTCAGGCCTATAGCTGCTGCAAAGCCGCTGAGCAGAGATAGCAGAAGTGCCAGCAGGAAGTTTATTGAGGCGAACAATTTGAATATCACCCCCAGCAACACAAACGGCGCCATGAAAGTAACAAACTTTGCATAATGGGGGTTTGAGAAGTATTTTACAAGCGGGGTGCCGTCGGCTTTCAATCCATTTTTCAAAAGGGCGAGGGAGAGGCTCTCGGTGGTGTTCATTTCCTTGGATATTATGAAACAGTCTTTATTGTCATTTGTTTTTTGAAAGACATCAGCACCATCGTCGATCAATGCCTTGATGACTTGAATTTGGCCCTTTACTGTCGCCCAATGCAGCGGTGAAAAGCCTCCAGAGTCCACGATGGACGAATTAGCCTTAAATTCTAGCAACGCTTTTACAGACAATGAATCTCCCTGGTATGCGGCCCACAGCAATGGAGTTCTATTGTTTGGATCAAGCGCGTCAATGCTCAACTCATCTCCGGCAATGAAAAACAGGGCGTAGAGCACAAGCATCACATTAGAAGAATTGATGGATAAATGTAAAACATTGAAACCTTGCTGGTCGACTAACTTGGGATCTGCTCCTCTTTCTAGCAGGTAATGTACAATGTAAACGTAGCCGTACCTCGCAGCCCAATGCAGTGGTGTAGCGTCTAACTTTCCGCCCGCAAAATTGACGTCGGCACCATTCGATATAAGGTATTTCACAACCCCAAGTCTATTGTTGATGCACGCCCAATGAAGCCCCGAGACTCTATCCTCATCGCTGTAATCATGCTTCAAATCAATTACACCTGATTCTACCATTTTTTTCACTATTACGAGATCTCCAGTCTGGCAGGCTTCCCGGTACTTGTTAAGAGTGGCATCTAGCGCTCCAGACTGATTGTCAGTATTGGTGAGAGAAATGTTCTCTTCAGAGACTTCACCATCGTTACTTGGCGGTATAGGTTCAATTGATGAAATCGATGCCCTCTGGCTTTCACTGACGCTCAAATTTTCCACTTCTTTCCCAGTATCTAGAGTAGCCATATTCGACTGCAATTCAAACAATGAGTACTCCTAAAGTCAAAAGGGATGGTACCTATGATGCTCGGTTGTGGGATGCTGAGGCTTTGTCATTTAGTCAAGTAACCTGGTTCAATTTCTTGAAATATATCATTGTTAACGAACATGTCGCTTGGGACAGGAATGAGACGTCGTCCGCTGCCAGTAAATGACACCCATGATGGGTAAGAGGATGCTTGGTTTACTGAGAACATGACTCTCGCTCGTTTTATTAGCACTTTGTCGAATTATGACACAAACTTGAAGATGCGATTTTCCATGAACTAGAAAACAATAGGTTGCGGTGATCATCTTGATAGAATGGAATGGAAGTGATAAGTGGTACGGGCAGCGATTGAGGATGGAAAAGGAGCTTATTACAACATAAGACGTGTTTCTCCTATTTTTCGATTTCTTAGGCAGAGTGCTTTCCTTCGCCAATGACTTTCTTAATTCGTGGGTGACAATAAATCGCTAAAAATTAGATCTTTAACTTGCTCAGCGAATCGTTGATAGACGTGAGATAGTCTGAGTTACTCGCTTTCTCGTACTTTTTGGCCTCCAATAATGCTCCTTTGAGTTCCGATTTTCGACCTGATAAAGCCTTGGTCTGAACTCCAGAATTTATCACGGCATCGAAGAAGACAATGAGACGATGTCTCATTTCGGCGTCTTCACTTTGGTCACGTAATATTATAAGAGCGGTTTCAATCAATTCATCTTGTCCAGCTAGTTCCTGGGCGATGAACGGAACAGAGCTGGCAATGTTTGCGAGAATCGCAGCAACAGCCAGTCTTGAGTTTCGATCGTCTAAGTTCAGCAGCTTAACCAAAATGTTGAAATTGCGTACGCTAACAGGATTCTCGAAGTTGAAGAACTTGACAGCGACATGCAAAGAAGAAGCCATTAGATTCGATAATAGCTCTAGGGTTGATCTTTGGTTTTCTACCACTGAATCCACCATTAGGTTTTCAACTTTATTCCAATAAGCTGGGGTCGACACGATTTTCTGACACAAATTTCCGCTTTCAGATAGTGTGGCGAGATTCGTTAGTGCTAGCAAAGCTTCGTAGGTATCCTTGGCCAGCAAATTAGCTTCAGCAGGCCGAGTGGTGTCGGGAAGGAGTTCGAACAAAAGAGGCAAAGCATTTAACGCGGAGAAATTTCGAAAAACAAGCTGCGGGTTTACTGCCATTAGGCTTCTTGCTAAAGCTCTCAAAGCGAGAATTCTAACTTCTGAAGGAATACCTGAAAGAGCTAAAGACTCTAGTAAAATGGTGATACTGCCCTGCTCGACACTTTTAGTGATAAGTGCTTTCGTTCTGGCAGCATTGTGAATTAACCTCAGTAATTGGTAACGTGCACCCGAGCCGTGCAGCTTCTGTCTCTTTAGGTGCGTCCTTACAGTTCCAATTATGTTATGACTTAGTATGCATTCGGAGACGAATTTCAGGATACTACTTTCCTTTAAAGGATTCGTATCCGTGCTATTAGACTTATGATTCGCTTCTGTGTATTCTCTAAGGTTTTGCATAGTTCTTTCATTTTGTGTATTTGGAGTAAGTGGATCTGATAGATTGCCAAAGATGATAAGTATACCATAGTACATCGCACTGGGGGTCTCCTTAGTACCAAGATAACTTATGAGGTGAGTGCGCAGAGTTGAGTTTGATATCAGCAATTTCTTGACTGATGGTTTCAAAGTAAGGTAAGCCAAACCTTCAACAGCAAGCTCGTCACGCTTGATTCGATCTGCTGCCTCCAGAGTGTTAGAGCCGTCAAACTGCTTTTCAAGATCAATGGCCATTTCATCGATCATTTCGGGCTTTAATTTCTTGAAGTTCCACGTCTTTAAAATAACCAGAGTAGCCGCAGACTTGAAGTTTTCAATACTGCGGCACTGATATAGCAGATCAAAGTACGTCTCTGCGATAAAAGTCCTACTCAAATTATCAATACAAGCGGTAGACATCAAGTCTAGTATCGAATGGGTTACAGCGCCACTAGTGAAGAAGTTTTGTTGGGCAACAGTTTGAAACTGCTCGCTCAAGAAAACTTCGGTACAGAAGCTTGTCATTTGCAAATAAAGCATCTGCAGTACTGATATCACCATCAAAAGGTAGCTTTCAAGGATGGAGAAATCTGATTGCGCCTCCTGGAATAACGTATTGAAAACAGCCAATAACTCGCGCTGCAGTTGCTCCTCGTGTTTCTCGCACAGTGAAATCAAAACCGTAAGATGCTCAAAGTCGCCGTGGCACCTTAAAACAGTACTTTTCACCAAGGGCTTGAACTCCTCGAAATCAAATTCGTATTTTTCCAGCAGCTTTGAAGCGGCTATAAGCAAGAAGCTGGCGAGAGAAGTGTACTTGTCGTGTTTATGGCTGTGAGTTGCATGCCCAATGGTGCCCGTCATCGAAGATGAGCTGGCATCATCAGAGTCCAAGGCCTTTTGTATTTCAGTAAGAAGCTCTTTGGAAGCTTCTTGGCCTTCAAAACAGCCCAATAAAGTGTCAATGGTTTCTGGTCCACACGAATTGAATACTTCGAAAGTAATTGGTATATTTTTATGGACTTGAGCTACCAGAAATTCTTTAGAAGCGGCATGATTGCTAAATGCTCTCTTTATCAGCAAAACATTCTCGTATTTTTTAGATTCAACACCGTTGTCATCAAACAGTTTTCTAATGGCATCTATAAAGTCGTTGCTGGTCCATTTGTCGAAAGACTGATGGCTTCCACTGGAACGCTGTGTTTCTTGTTCAACGCCAGAATTGAGCTTCTTGTCCTCTAAATCGTGTAAATTGCCCATCGTCAAACGTAGTGGATAAGGTGAACACCCGGCTCAGTCACTTTCAGTTACTGTCGCTACTTGAACTGTGATCTCATTGAGCGCCGTAAATAGACTTTGAATCTCCAGGAGGTAAATATATTCACGTGACGAGTCTTAAAAGGCACCATTAACTCGAGAAATCAGGTACGCTGTGAGCGAGTAGGTCGGACTCTATTCTAGCTGTTACAGAATCGATCTTAGATGTTATGTCTTGCACCAAAAACTGAAGTCTAGGACGGACTTTTACCTGCATACTTTTTTGCCAAGTGATGCATTCTCGAAGCCCAACCAAGACATAATTTATTTCCGTCTTGTTTCGGCCGAAGATTTAGCGAGAATAGACAGATTGAAGCATTCCAGTGTTTCCACTTATGCCACAGTCTATCATCTTGTAATGGCGAACTGTGTGCTATTTCTCAAAACATCATTGAATTTGAAGATCAATGACGGAATAGTAGAAAGTGATAAAGTAATACTAGGAAATGAGGTAAAGACAGCATGTGTGTTTATATCATTAGCGGTCAGCCTTTGCCTGGATATGTGATTAAAACCTGCTGTATATCTAGCTTGATTATATTTTGAATGACCTTTCAGGACATTCCGGCGGAAGACTTTCGAGGATATATTAAACTACTTCCAACTCAGTCTGAGTGACAGACTTTTAAAATAGTCAAACAGATACAACCAGACACAACCAGATATTGTTTGAGGATCTGAGCCAGGCCTTTTCTACATCAAAAACAATTCTTCCTACTTACGTGGAACAGGGTCTTTGGTTATAGTCCGTTAAGCTGTCAGTGGATGGCATCGTCTTTTGATCAGACATCTGTCACCCAATTTGCTACCTATCCACCTCATATGAGCATAGCATATTTACCGGTCAATAGCGGCTCAGATATAGTCAGATTTGACCATTCCAAACCTAGTTAATCTCTCTATGATACGACGACAGGAAAGTATAAAGTGATGTCATCGCCCGTAAATTAGGTCAATAAAACACTATCTAGTCAAAGATCAGATTAATCTATAGCGATCACAACTTTGATGCAATGACTGAAGCTCGCAGACTGGAATTTGCTGATGCCGCTTCTATTGGTACGTTATCCCTACCTATCTTTCAACCAAAAGTTCGAAGCTTTTAAATTATGGTACTAACATGAAGTTTGTTCGCAGTTCAATCGCATCAGAAAGATGAGCAGGTCGAGACTTTGCTGACTGAAAAGCTGGAAGAATTGGTCAAAAAGCTGAAAAGCCAATATTTTGCCAATGCATACGGTCCAGAAATAAGCATAGTGGCGAAGGTTTTATATCTTGGCTTGACTACACTTCGTGGAAGAAGAACTTTGGGCGAGGAATATGTCAATTTGGTTCATCTGGACAGAAAAGGCAATAGAACAACGAGTTTGAGACAAAGGCTTCTTTTCATTATTTCCTATACACTTCTGCCGTATACATTGTCCAGACTTATAAAGCGTTTTGCCAAGAATTATAGTGCTCAACTCATAAATGAGGGCAGAGACGAAGAAAAGGATCAAACAGCCAAGAATTCGAAATTGTCATTGTTGCTACAAGTTCTGAAAGATCACGATCTGCAAAATATACTCAATGGGATAACTGACTTGCATCTTATTTTGTTTTATTTCAGGGGCTCTTTTTATCACATTTCCAAACGCATTTTTGGCCTGCGATATTTCGCGGCCCGCGTCAGTGATGAACACGAAGAAAAGTTCAGGCAGTCTAGCGCTCGGACCTACAGAATTTTAGGGGCTACTCTGCTCGTGCAAACGATAACAAGAGATCTACCACCACTTTGGCGATGGTTTAGCAAGATTTGCAGAAATCCGGATGACGAAACTGACAAATCTCAGGATCCTCACTCTTCGCTTCTGTTGTGTGATATTCCTTCCGATGACCAAGTCGATCACATAAGGCTCGAGAACCCCGAAGAACTCCAGTTCATCAAAGAAGGCTCTAGAAAGTGCATATTATGTCTAGAGTATATGACAGACCCAAGTTGCGGGCCATGCGGGCATGTCTTCTGTTGGGCCTGTCTACTCAACTGGTCTAAGGAGAGACCGGAATGCCCCCTGTGCAGACAGACTTGTCGCATGGAAAGCATCTTAACAACTAGATAATGGAAACGAAAAGCCACAAATGCAAGGTCTATCGAATTTATCTAACTATTAAATGCCAATATGAAATAAGAGCTGCTTTTGTTTGCCCTTCTTTTTGCCATTTGAAACATTTAAAGTGCCTCCATTAGCGGTTTGGGGAGCACTCGATGAGCTCGGAGAGTTTCTACTCCACTGCGAAGGGTCTGGTATCTTGGACTCGTTTACCAATGGAGCGCGGAAAGTCTTTGCTTTAGGTAGCGGTGGGAACATCGTCCGATCTAGGGAGGTGGTGAAACTCGATGCAGGTTTTTTGCTTTGAAGATAGGTAGGTTTGTAAGAACTGGCTTGTTCGGAAGGCGTTGCTGTAATAGTTTTAGCTTTTGGCATAGCGTTGGTTACCTTCTTGTACGACGCGGGAGTGGGCTTCAACATGGGAAACGATGATTCGGCTGGCTTTTTCAAAGCCGGGAAATTATACTGGCGAGCAGCTGGTTTGGCAGAGCCACTTGCTCGACCCCATGATCCACTTACCACGTTACCTGCGAGCAAGTTCGGACTTGATGAGCTGAGCGATGGAAAATTTACTTGTCTATCTTGCTTTTCCTGTTCTCTGTCGTAAACGGCGCGAAGGTCCTTGTAACTTTTTGAATTTTTGAAGAATAACTCGGAAAAGTCATACAGAAGTAATGTTGTGTTAGCTTCTGCGGACTGAAAAAGGTTTTTGTACGCTTCAAATAGGTCTTCTGCTGTGATCATCCCGTTTTTGTAGCCTTCATTGATGACGAGAAACTGTTCATAATCAGTATGCGAGTAATTCAAGTAGTGTCTTGCTCTTTCTTGCATTCTTTTACTCTTCATTTCAAGCGAGTCCGTGTCGTCATTCTTCTTCTGAGACGCCCGCTGGGACCCTGAGCTTCGTGTATTCGAGGTATTTGTCTGCTCAAAAGTCGACAAACGTGACTGGTACCTACGTCCACCATTCGTCATGGAGTTGGTGCCACTAGTGCGCAGCATATTGCCATGTTCCTTGAGGATATGCGCTTGTAGATCCAGCTCGTCCTCAAACACGACAAACTTATTATCCAAGCATGATTGAACGGTACAGACATAGTGCTCAGCTTTAAAATGCTCGAAAAGCTGATCGTAGTTTTTGAAATACTGTGGATTGGAGGAGTCTATGCGGTCACAAATATGACATCTTTCGTGCTTGTCACGCATGTGGACATTGAGCTCATCTTCTGAGTAAAACCTTTGTCCCGAGCAGAATTTGCACATAGGATGGCCAGAAAATCCTTTGACGTCTCCCTTGGCCTGATGAACACGCAACTGATTCGGTGTGTATATTTTCAGCTCTCTTGGGAAAGCCTTTTTGTGCGACGCACAAATCATGCAAAGCGTTTTGTTGTGTTCGGTTTTCAAGTGTGCATTATACTTCGCATAGCTCCCAAAATCGAGGTCTCCTGTATCGCCATAGGGACAAGTGAATTTCAGCAGATTCAACGTTGCACGCGCAGCGTTTTCCGTTACGAAGGATAACCCATACTTCTCGTTGACCTCGGCAAAATTCTTCCCCGCAACGGAATCGAAACTTGCATCTTTATCTCCGCACACTACAACAACGTCTGCGTCTGTTCTGCATACTAAACATGCTTTTTTGTCGTACAGAGCCCGTTGTCTGAAAGCGCAGGTATGGCAAACTACGTGATTGCAAGGCGAAACCGCTGCATAGACTATAGTTTCTGCACAAACGACACATAGATCTTCGTCTCCAGACTCAGAGTTCTGTTGAGATCCGAGGCTGTTAGCATTTACGGTAACCTTGGGCTCTTTTCCAGCTATTTTTTCGACACGACCTTTTTGGCGGTCTTGCGTTCTTCTAAAACCGCGTTTTGGAGGAGGTTTGGCAACTTCTGACATTTTTTAAGTAGTTCGAACACAGATTGAGACACCTTGATCCTGGTAATGGTCTTTGGATCTTCTTCAGGAGGTGTTTGATCAAGGGCCCGTTGGAGTTAGCGTTGACTATTAGGAAACCATCATCATCTTGGATTTTTGCAGCTTTTTCCGTCACGTGCTTTTGGTAATTTTGATTGAATATTTGATTATATAAGTCCTTATAAGTACGTAATATTAATTACATAATATCTGGTTTTTTAAGCTCGGGTCGCGTTATTCTTATCACGTGATGAACTTTCACATTTGTCTTAGCCAAGCTCATCGCTTAAATCCAGTCAACTCAGACCCAAGTGTTCTTCTATCCATCGATATCCTCTCAACCCAGGTGCTATTTATCCTCCTTCTTGTTTTGTATCTGTGCAGAATATGAACTTTAGTGCTACCGTAAATGTCCTGCGGCTTTTTGTGAACCCTAAGCTGTGCATTCCACAAACTACCATTGAAAACTTTGGGCAACTTCCAATACCAATTGGACCCTCCATCAAAGCAGTTGTTTTGGACAAGGACAACTGTTTCGCATACCCACATACTAATAATGTGTGGTCGGACTACGAGGTATGATTTTACACTATTTTTGCCCAGTAGATAATTCAAAACTGGCAATACCATCGATCATATACTAACCGACAGCGGAAGAAAACATGGACGAAGCTCAAAGAGACGTATCCCGGTGCTTCGCTACTAATCGTGAGTAATAGCGCCGGTAGCAGTGACGACGCTGGCGGCATACAAGCCACAAATTTGGAGCAAACAGTAGGTGTACCGGTGCTGCGCCATTCAGTGAAGAAACCAGGGTGTCGCGATGAGATCTTGGATTATTTTGCAAAGCACAATATTACCAGTGAACCGCACGAAATTGCCGTTGTTGGGGATCGGCTTTTTACTGACATACTCATGGCGAACTTAATGGGTAGTCACGGTGTGTGGGTAAGACAAGGCGTAAAACCTCCTACGGGCCCTCTAACATTTATCGAGCGGAAACTGTATAAATGGATGAGCCCTGAAAGTTAGAGAAACGCCAATACTATGCTTTAAAATTTAGCATCGCAGTTCTTTTGCGACGCAATTCCGTCGCGCCCAACTATTCATGGCATCGGTGTCTACAAACCCAATTTGAATATGCGAAAGCTACGTTTTGGACACTTCACCCTGAGCCTCTCAAGAGTAGCACTACAGGATTTCAAGTATGAGCATGAAATTTCACGTCGCTATCATTTGCGGTGTACTGTGTATCTATTTGTTGACGGTGCTCAGTGCTCCTTTCGAAAACGTCACAAATAGATCGACGATTTTTTTTACCGTTCTCTGTACGACTTGTTCACGGTCTTTGCTTGTTCGGCGCTCTCCATATTGATTCAATATTATGATCAATCGTGGTCGCAGCCAGGCCTTGACATCCTCTGTGCCCTTACGTTTTCAGGTTTACTTTTTGCCTCCGTTTCGCTTGCCTTGGTCTTACAGACCATTTACACAGGAGCAACCTTTATTTTAATTCCGAAAAAGAATGAGCATTTTGTCGTGACTGATCGAATAGTTTCTATCTCACTAATGTTGGTGTTTACTTGGGGTTCGACATTCATGTTATCTCTTGCCTGGTGCTGGAGCTTTTTCAGGCACAAAAAAGAGAAAGAAGCAAGCCGCTTCCTTTCTCGCCAGCGTAATGATTATCAAATGCTGGAAGCAATTCAAGGCCAGCCGCTATGCTACAGCGATCATGTTGAGAAATTCGTGGACGATTCTCAGTGAGCCTTCTTCAATTAAATATACAGTATTATGTATATATTACATCTTCAGCATCTAGAAATATGGCATGAAGCTTTGATCCATCTTGGCCAAGTTTCTTGGGCTCACAGCAGCACTTATGGCATCGAGAACATATTGAGTGGCCACCGAAGGCTTCGAACTCAAATGACCAAGCTGTGCAGTTTTCCTCGTAATAAGGTCAACGTTAGTACGCACAATTTCGCGCAATTGAGGATCTTCCACGATAGAACGATGTAAATTGCTGTACCATGAGATGACTTCGTCACGAATAAAGAGAGAGAGGTAAGTGTTAAGCTCATTTTCGGGCTCTAGTAAAGCACGGGCTACCACGAAAACATTGACAGATAAGATTCCCTCGAGACCTGACTCACCAATCAGTTTCTGCACGTTTGGCGTCAACCGGAATGGAACGGCCTCGTTGTTGTGAAAGACAGGCGAGTCTGCTGGTATATTAGCCTCGAAATTTTTAACTGTCTGTTTGACTCTCTCGTATAGATACCTCGCTGGAAGCATCTCCATGGTGAAAACATCGCCCGATACCTGGTCAATCGAAACTTTGTGGGGTGAGCGATTGTTGATTGCTAGCATGTAGGTCATAAAGACAAACAGCGCATACTGAGACGAAAACTGTTTACGGAAATGCCAGAAATCTTCAAATTGTGTGAATAACTTCATAAAGTAATCTTTCATAACCGTAGCAGGAAGGTAGATAGACTGTACCGAGCTGAAAATTTCAACTTTCACAGCTGTGACGTCAGGGGGCGGTAGTATTTTATCGTACGCAGCATCTAGTTGTTGGCAAACAAAGTCTTGGATAGCATTCCTATCCATGTCCTTCTTATCACAGTAGCTGTCATAAATGCTATGCATCGTTGTGACTGTAGCACTATCATTCATTATGCGAACTTGAGGAGACAGTGGTACGGCAATCGGAAGTGTGAATTGGATATTTCTGCGACGAGTTTGCACATTCTTCGAAAGAGTTTCATTGAATAGGCGGAACAGTTGGAACATTCTTTCCTCTCTCCGTGAATGCCGTACGGCAGGGTATTGAACTGCAAAAGAGTGTAGACTGCCGTCATGGCCACGAATCGTCAGCCGCCTGTATGAAGAATGAGTTCCCCGAACAAACTCAACGTGAGGGAGGAAGCGCGCGATTTTGACGAAGTGAGCGTTGCTATCCTTGTTCAATAGATACTGGCCAGGAATTTCAATATCTTCGAATTTTTGATGGTGGAAATTACTCAAGTGAGGGCACCACTTTTCCATGTTCTCGATCTTAGGAGCTCTGTCCAGTTTAGCCTCTAAGCGATTCCGCCAGTAGCGCAACCTTTTTATGTATTCTTCGAAATTGGGTTTTCCGTCGATAAAGTCTGCGTTGAACTTGACTCGTATGTGTGGCGGAAGTAGGTTTTCTGAGAATCTAATCAAATTCGTTTCCGTACTAGCTGGAAGCAGCAAGTTTTCTCTTGGTAGTGGGAGTCGGTTGTAATTGTAGGTGGCATCGATCAGCAGAACATTAATCAATCTGAAGAGGTCCTCATCGGATGTCGTTTTGAACTTTTGATTAATTTGATCCACCAGCGATTCCAGAGACAACGCTAAGAGTGGATAAGCTGTTTTCAGTATTCCATTCAGTTCGTCCAAATACTCCCAGGGTTGACGAGTTCCATTGACGGGATTGGGAGCTTTATTGTTGGGTGGACGTGAGTTGCCCATCGCGACCATGGTCTGGCGTTGAATAACCGAGAAGTCTTCTTTTGTAGTTCTGAGCTGGAAGTGCAATGCCTGTGGATAGCTCTTGGCAATTCTTATCAAGATTTGACGAACCATATTAGCCTCTTTGTGAGACAATGACGTCAGCAATTGAGGAATGAATGTGATCCAGTACCAGACAGGAATTTCTCCTCGGAATGACTCGAAAGCCCCTGCAAGCGTACCGGTGCTGTCGTCAATACCTATCAGCCACAGTATTCTGCACAGTAGCTTTCTCGTTTTGGAGTTATTGTACAGGCCCGCAGCTTGGAGGTAACAGCTGATGGCATTGTTGGCAAAACTTATATTCTGGGGTTCTTCAGAGAGTCTCCGGTCGTTGAAAAACCCCCATTGAGCCCAGGCTTTCGCCAGATTCAAATCTATCTGTACAGCAGTAGCAAATGCCTGGTTGGCTTCATCGTGTGCTCTTAATTTAGACAGGAACATACCCTTCAAGGTAAAGAACTCTGCCTTCTGAACAGTACCGAAGTAAACCAAGTTTGTATTACTGATTACGTCCAACCCTGTTGTTAGCTCGTTCATGTTCTGGTAATGGCATTTCGCTTGCTCCCGCAACTTCAAGAAAGCTTCTTGGATCTCGATGTTCGGCAAGGTATAGATGCGCGCCAACTGGCTGATGCAAACATCAGGCATGTTGTGCTTTCGGGCGACGTGAGCGAATCTGTTTATGACCCAAGCAATTTCATGATAGCCACGGTAGGCATGTGTGTTTACATTGCTATTACCACTTGCTTGTTGCAAGGCTGGAACCAATGGCAAGTAAGCATTGTTGATGACTTGGAAGGCGTGTTGGCGCCACGTAATCAAGTCATTCCAGATGTTTATATCATCCCATATATTTGGTAGCCGGTCACGCCATGTCTGTAAAACCCGCTTCACTTCTTGAGCTTTAGAATCGAGGTTTTGAACAGTAGTCGAGGCGAGATTAGAATATACTTGCGTAGCTTCCAAGAACTCCATGTATTGCTGAAATCCATGCAAAAGAAATTTGTGGGCCGGGGTGAACCGCTCGGGCATGGAAGCCCATTTGTGAAGCGATAACTGGATTCCTTCATCGCACAGTCTCCTCACTTCTTGATCTCCTTTTTTCGTCTCTGCAAAGTTTTGTAAAGACAAAAACGTCTCAAAAATTTGTCTTCTAGGTGTAGGAACGTCCATGACACTTTTCACTGACTGTTCTAAGGCTTCGCGATCGGCACTCCAGTCGGCCACTCTCCAGCCGCACTCCAAAAGTAGATCTGTAAATCCTTCGTGTTTAGCCAACTCTGTCAGAACATCCCAATGTTGGAGTTTTTCGGCACACATAATCCAATTATCTTCCCACGCTGCATATTCAGAATCAGAGTACGGCAAAGCTCCGCTTCTTGCCTTCACCTGAGCTGCCTCGTAAAGCTGCTGAGCTTTGTCCCACAAACCGATTTGCTCGAAAGAGAGACCAATGCTGGTTTCTGCATATTTAGCTCTGCGTCTCCAAAGCCCATAAAACATGTCCTCCTCCTGCAAGTTGATGTAAAGCTCAAGTAGTGCGTCTTCATTTGTTTCGATGATTTTTGTATTTTCGAGAGTGGCTTTTTCTTCCATAGCCTCAAGAATCTTGATCGACTGATACCACGAATTGTAGGACCCCGCAACGTACTTGATCAGATGGGGAGGAAGTTCAAGAGAATCAATTTCGCCGATGGAGTCCAACAAAGTGCTTACAACATTTGATCTGACGTTTAGCTGTCGGGCGTGGTAGTCCTTGGACAGTAAAGTCACTAGAGAACGCACAAACCCAAACTTTTCATTTTTGGGAATGGATTTGTATGCTGCGCCAAAAACATTTATCCAAGTAGAGTGAATAGCCTGCGGGCTTTGGTAGATAATATCAATCAAAGGTTCTAGCAGGTCATTGCACAAAATGTGCTCAAAGCGCTGAGCAAACTGTTTGTGTCCCTCTACGAGTGAAGTCAATGAGCTCATTTCACATTCTTCAATACTTTCAGCTATTGAGAATTCACTCGCAAGTGCTTCCAAAGTGTCCAGCTGATACGAATCGAACAAACGAAGGGTGTACTCCTTATCAAAAGCACCATATAGGAGCTGGAGGGCTTGATTCAACCAAGGGTAGTCAGCAATGAACTCCCAATTTTGGTCTCTGATCACGTAGTATAGCCTTTCCCTTATATCCTTCTCAAGGCTCTCATCGAGAATTGACATGAGTCTTTTACGAATGTATATGTCATCAACACGAGTTCCGACCAAAAATGGCTGCTCCATTCTGACCGTAATCTCACTGTTATTGAAGCTCTTATTCTCGAAAAGTTCAAGAATAATTTCATAAAATTGTCTAGAAAGCTTTGGTTCTCCTCTGACCTCGAAAGCAAGCATCTTTGTCAGAATTGCAGCTTTTTCTTTAACAGTTGGGAAAATCTCGTTGGTGAAAACCCACGTTCGAGCTATTGTGATGACTTTTTTCAAGAGCTGCTGATTCATTGACCGGTCTATAAGCAGAGCGACTGTCGATAAAAACGGTCTTCGAGCATCGCCCAAGGAGGCCACTTTCATTGCTAGCAAATACAGGACCTTCTCTAACAGTTTTGTGGTGATTCTAGATTCCTCTAACGCGGCAGGATCTTTAGGCTGAGAAGTCGCAAGATGATCCTTGCAAAGTTTACTGAATGTCTTCATGATAGACGGTAGAAGAGGATCGATTTGTTGCTGAAAGGACATGAACAAAGTCCAAGCCAACATGACACCGGCTGCAACAGATGATGTTCCCTGTAGATCCTCTGTGATGATCGATACCAACGTGCTCACCATTGTCCTGCCTGGTGACTCGATCTCGCTCTCCACTTGAAGATCTTCCTCAGATTTTACGGCAGAGAGTATCGTCGCGATCACCTTTTGCAGAACTTCTTGGATGTCATGATGATCGGTACGCATACATTTGTCTAAAAGTCCATGAAGGTGGGTGAGATTCGAAAGAATCCAAGCTGAGGTTTTTTTGCGAAGAATAATCGCTAACACATCTAGCGCGTTCATACAGTAAAAGGAGATGTTAGATGCAGTTAAATCCTGCTGAACCAGAAACTTCTCGAAAAAGCTCAATTTGATATTCACATCCCGCCATGAATCTTCAGTCAATATATCTGTGAGGATCTTTAAGGACCTAGATCCCAATTCAGTCTCGAATGCACGATGCGTGCTGGCACAGACGTATCTTATTAAACAGGACACAAATGCCTCTTTTTGAGCAGGACTTATATTTTGTGCGCTTCCTACCTCTCCATCAGTTTCTTCTGGTTCCTCCGACGTCAAAGTTTTTAGTCGACACTTCGTGGTTTTCTGCTCCCATGTCAATACAAGCTCTGCCAAATCAACAGCCAAAGATTGATTTTCTATGCTTGGATTGGCTAGCAGCGTCAATTTGCCAATGTAATTTATGACGCTAGGAATGAACAGATCTCTAGAGTCGAAAAATTCATTAGGGTGGCTGATAAGGAGCTGGTATAACGTACTGTTTTGGCTTGCATTGTTTTCAGAAAGAACCCTCCTAACCCAGTTGATCCAAGAGCGAGGCGCAACAGCCGACGACATCCGATCATGCATCACTGGAGCCAGAAGATCTAGCGAATGCTTTACCATGTACCTGGATTCAAGTTGAGAGGTTCTTAAGAGTGCAACAAAAACCTGGGTCACAATCTTGACCGGAAATTCGTACTTCGAAATGAAGTAGGCAGTAACCATATAAGCCGCTTGCTTGAGCAACGGATCCTCGAGTTTTATAAAGTTCCAGCAGAACCTTATTATATCCTTTCTTATTTCAGGGTTAAGATCTTGAGCATACTCAGTGAAAATCGATGACAGCTGTAAAAGTTCGAATCTGAAGGTATCATAGTCACCAGCGGCAAAACTCTCCAATACCTCATTGGATCCTTTCCAGATTTTGGAGTACATCAAGTTTAGCCATTCTGGTAAGGCCTGGCCTTGTTGGCCTGTGAGTCTTGTTAGTGATCCTTTGGATGCGCCTTCGTACACGAGCGTGCTATTAACGACATGCTTCAGGACAAATACGCTAGCTGCCAGTAGTCTGTCACTGGTTGCAAACAACACGGCCTGATGGAGGTAAACCCTTTTGATTTCAATATCAGGCGTCGTTATCACGCACCTTTCGATGAACTCTATTATAGATTGAGAGAGATTGATCTTTGCCGTAAAAGCGAAATTCAAATACTCAAACAGTAGCGTTGGGTTCTTGACATTCAATGTCAAATACCGTGCGTACAAGTTTTGAAACTTCTCGGAAGCCTGCGAAAGTTGTAGAGAGTCGAAGTGAAAGTCGCCCTCGTCGACGGTATCGATAGCAAGCTTGAACATGGATCTAATCTTTGTAAGTGTTGAGCCGCTTTCTGCTAGCCAATCGTCACCTTCTACTTCGACCAGAGAGTCGAATATCTCCACCACGTTAGCGAAGAAGCTGACAACCCTGACTTTGTTTGATGCTATTCCACTCATATAGTACTCGTAAAAATTATGGAACTCCACTTTGAAATCATTTTTCAGCTCGAAGGCCTCTTTTCTTCGTATGATTGAGCACATCAATAACACCAAGTCTCTCGATCCTAAGTTGTTCTTGAAATAGGAAATGACCGATGAGTGAAACCTGTTTAGGTACTTCGCCATTGGTACGCGAAATGGCGAGTCTAGTTGAAGTCTCAGCTTCTTTTCCACCATCATAACTTTCAATAATAGATCGTTCAAAAAAATGTCAGCCTGTGGTGGTAAAAGGTGGAAGATATTGATGATTCCATAAATGATTTTGGTGGGGGTTTGTTCTTTAAGATCTTTTCCAAAGAGCATGTCGAGCACCTCCACTCTGCACCAAGCGTCCAAATGGTCCAGCAGCTTCTTACCTATCTCAACCTTGAAATATGCAATCAGTAATTCTAGCAGTTTTGCTAAAGCTTCAAGTCCAGAGACAGTTAACTTTTGATGATCCGAAAGGTTCATAAGCATAGGCTTGAGCCCATTTTGTAGAAGCTCCTTTGGCAACTTGGAGTTTTCAGCAAGAACACTTTTCAAACCTTGATAAGTTGCTTCGATGATCTCAGGCGATGTTTTCAACATTGTCTTGAAAAAAACGGCTAGAACTCTGATTCTTGTCGCACCTTGTTGAGCAGAGGCGAAGTCACTGTTTTTTAAACCAAGAGAAAGCAACCTTATGCATACTACCCGTAATTGTACGAGTTGTTCAGCCGTTTGATATTCAGTGACCCGTTGAGCACTAGCAAGCGACTCGTCTTCCGCGTCAACCAAAGCTATGGCCTCATGTAAAAGTCTGTACAACTCTTCATTAAATTCCAAAAACGTGTCGGGAAGTTGTAAGCAGTAAATGATGGCATCCACGTTTCCGATCTGCATCGGAAATGGCAGAGCTCTGAGTGGCTTCGCGAATATGGGAGAAAGTAGAAAATTTTTGGAATGCTCCATCAGTTTTACAATAGGTATTCCGGACACCTCCGATATCGTGGAGAGAGCCTTCTGACAAGTACTCCTCACAACTTCTTTGGCGTTACTGAGCTCGCACACGATGTCTATAAGTGTGTTTTGCAGATCTTTTTCTCTGATATCATCCTCTTTTATGTCTCGACAGGTGCTCGATAAAATCTTCATGATCATATTGCCGGCCCGTTCACGTATGATTCCAGGAGCCTCCATCGGGGTATCTATCAAAACGAAAAGCAGACCAGCAATCATGTCAAATTGATACTTCTTAAGGTATTCAACAGGAATGCTTTGCTCTTCTATCAGGGTTTTGATACCCCATACCCCGCTACTTTTCTCGAAATACGCTTCGTGGTAGCATTTATGAATGAATTTTTTGGTGAGCACCGGAATGAAAGAGTACTTCAAGGCGAGGTCTGCGCCGTAGATTGTATTGCTGGTGTCGAGGATTAATTTCACCGCAGAAACCGCTGTTATCCTGGATTCCTCCAAGTAGGATCCTAGCCCTGTCAGTATCGCGTCAAGAGTAATATTTGCATCTATTGTTACTTTGAGTAGCTTCACGTTGACACTGAAAGCAGCATTTTCTCCCCGCTTCTGTTTCACTGAGTTGTTCAGCTGCAAGAAGCAAAAATGGCGTATTATGTTCTGGAGTAAGTCTTCCGCCTCCACTTTCAATTCTGGAATAGAAGCAGAAAAGATCAAGGATTCTAACAGCTTCATCAAGAGTAGTTCCTGACTTTCCAAAAGATGCTTATGTTCAACCTTGCCATCATTAATATCGGTCGATTCGACAGGGTCCACAACATCCTGAGATAAAAGTTTGAGAGCGCTTCTGATCCATTGTTCGTAGTTGTCGGGGAACTTGAGCGAAGATTTGAGAAACAACTGCAAGATCGACTTCAAGTATCGAAAAGCACTTTTTTTGTAAAAAATATCGCAGCGGTAATCTTTTAGGATGTCGAGAGCTGAGCGAACACCCGGAGTGATCGATAGCGGGACTTCTCCGGTCATACCATGTATCTTGAATAGCGCGTTGACCGGTGTGTCCAGCTCTCCGGCAATTTTTAGATCGGAGTGCTGTTTTAAAAATCTTCGATTTCTACCACCGAGCTTTCCTAGAATTCTAACAGCGGTATGGCTTATTTGATGATTGAATGGTTGTGGCTTCAAGAGCTTGAAAAGAGAACGGATGGCATCTTCCACTACAGGCTCAATTATAGGGTCGAAGTATTCCGCAGTTAGATTGTCGATACAGAGCTCTAAAGTTCTAAGGCCTTGTGTGACAAGCTCGGGAAATCCTTGAAGTGCATAAACCAGTGGCTTCATGAGATAGGTCAGGTAGGGTGCAAGTACGCTCAACCGAACAGGCACAGTAAGACATAGTTCAACATAAAGGTCTCTTTCGTGTGGCCGCCTAGCAGTCAAAATCATTCTATTCAACGATTGAAGAAGCACTTGGAGAATCGGTTTTATCGATCGATATAGGTTCTCAAAGCGTCCACCGCCTATGCTCCTAAAAAGCGTCCTGATCAAATAAAGATAGACGAGAGGTTCTTCGGCGGTGGTGGAATATTTCAGAGAATCAAGAATGAGATTATTCAGATGAGGAAGCAGTACAATTTCATTGGTGATTGGAAAGAGGTTGACTGACATGAAAGATAACTTGAACAAACGAATGAGAATGTTGGATTTGTTGCCGTCGACATTCCCCAAAGATTCAAGTTTCTGTTTGAGAAACCGTAGTAATATTCCAGTGAATTTAGGTGATGTTATCTCACTTGTAAGAAATGACTGCGCAACATGAAGAAGAGCTGAATCTCGCAACATTGCCTCGTAAAGAAAGTCGATCTTTGACTCAACAATATCATTGAAGGTTGGACTGTCGATTTGCATGAACATTATGGCAAAGTAGTCCATAAGCTCTCTGCCATCTTTAGTAGCAGAAACTGGTAAGCTCGGGGTCGCAATGTCAAAATGCTTTTTTTCAACGGCAGCCTTTCGTTCGGGACTGGAGAAAAATTGCAGTCCCAGTATACATTCATGGAACAGTTTTTTGAAAACAATCACCTCCTCGTGAGAGAAAATTCGCGATAGCGAAGTCCAAACCTTAGGGTTCATTGTCGTATACTCAGTAGACGGGGGGTTAAAGACCTTCAGGTCGTGTATGATCGTCTTTAAAAAGGACATTAAAGTTCTGTAAAGATAAAATGCATCCTTCAAAGGATCACCACTTGGGGGTGGTGAAAGCAAGATTGGACTTTTGAATTTAATATCAAAAACATCAATAGTATCTTCACTGATCGGTAGGCTAGAAAGTTGGCTGACAGTTCCTTCTGTGGCATCTGATACTAATTTAGATTCTTCCTCTTCAGTTTCTTCCATCTTGATGTCACCATCGTGATCTTCCACCTTCTGAGAGGGTTCCTTTATCTTCAGCATCGCATTTATGAAATCTTCTGTGTCTTTATTATTCTTTTCCAACTCTTCTCTGAATGCTTCTGTTTTTGCTATTTTCTGCTTCTCGTATTCTTCGTGATGTTTCATTAAGTTGTCGTATTGACGGTTGAGATTTCTAAACCGCGCCGTGTAGGCATCTATTATGACAATCAACAGCTTTTTAGATCTTACCGAGTCGTTTGGGTTTTCTTTTCCTAGTTTGAGAATTCGTTCTACTAAGTTCAGTAGTAATTTAGCACTCATGATCTGCACAGTCAATGCTAGGCTTTCGTCCAAAAGGAAAGTAGTGTACATTTTTATTGTCCTTTCGATGTCATCTAATTGCAAATCGCCCCTCACATTGTGTACAAAGTCTGCCACAGTGCTATAAGCTAGTGGACGAAGAGTTTCGTGTGAGGTAAACCCGTTTCCTATCAGAACTTCTTCGTCAAATAAAAGATGAATTTTAGACAGAAACAGTTTTTTGTAATTTGTGGACAGAATATGTCTCGTTGCGTGCAACAGTTCTTTCCTTGCTGCTGAGAGCTCGGCTGGGCAGTCTTGCAGTAGCCTCAATATTAGGTCAGGGACAAAGCCCACGTATTTTTGTAAATATTCCGCCGCATAGCCTCGAATGAAAACGTAAGCCAGAAAAGAAGTGGCCTTTATCTGTGATAATATAAAGTCACAATAAGCCGACCGATTCTTAATACCGGGACTTACATTAATCCATCTTTGACCACGCGCTTCTGACTCCTCGCGGGTTCTTTTCTGGGCATCAGCTTCCATGGTGAGTAGTTCAATAACCAAAGGCATGAACTCGGGCAGCGACGAAGTAGTAAGCTGCTTGTAAGAAGAGTATAATGTCACCATCGTAATTGGGCACTCTGACAGGACTTTGAAAGAAAACATTGACCGTTTTAGAGGCTTCGACGACAGAGCCAGATTTTTAAAAGCTTGATTATCGTCCTCTGCCAGCCCGAAGTCGCCAACGTCAAGAGCCGCAAGAGATTCTACGGATGAGCCCGGCTCTTCTGTGGAGTTTTCGCTGTTGAACGTCTGCTCAACGAGCTCAGGCATGTGCTTGTAAATGTTCATTACCACGTCAATAAAGCTGGTGACTCGTTCCTGGAGAGCCGATTTGTATGCTTTGAAAAAACTGGTGATGATCTTCATTGCCAAGACACCGTTTTCCTCGTTATCTTCTTGCAGAACCGTTAGCACGGCATCCAGATTGTCCAACGCATAAGGTTCGAAAGTTTCGTTCATGTTGCACCGGCTTAGAACCTCTAATATGGAGTTTCTGAGTTTATGCTGTGCAGAGCTCCCATCCAGCGAGATTGGCGTTTGTTGCAACCGTTCCATCAACACTGCGACCACTGCCTTGAGAAAAAGCTCGTACTCCGTAGACGAGCCTATTGGATCGATGATATCGCATATTTCTGAAACAGCAGCTAAGTGTGCGGCGCTGCTATCGTCACTCTTGAGTCTAGACGCCCAACCATCAAAGCGTTCTAAGTGAGCCATTCTGGGCTAGTTTTCAGCCGTTTTTTAGCGTAAAAATGTCCAGACACCAACAATTCCCAGCAAACAGCTGAATGACACGACAAATCTGCACCAGAGACTTCAAATAAGAGCTGAACGATCGATGCCGCTCTTACTTTTATGGTGTATGTTGATATCCTCTGAGTTTGGATCTTGACTTTTTTTTCCAAGGCCTAAAAAGCCCATAGACTAGGAAGAGCTTCAAGTCATGTGACCTCTTGCCTAATGAGGAAAGAGGTGTCAGCGTTTGAATAAACTCGCTTCGAATGCGCCAAGAGGCAAGGCGGTAGCAATGATGAGCAAACCGGCAATGAATCGATGATGTTGAATCATTTCTTTAAGGTGATTTGTTAGGGTACTTTAGGTCTCTGAGATGTTTCGGAGTCGTTGTTTTTAAATTCGTGAAAAATCTTGGTTAGTTTCGATCGCGTCGCGATAGGTGTGTCAGTCAAGCATAGTTATTATGTCGAATGATTTGACAAGCTTCAAAAGACTCTTAGAGATAATAAGAATATTTGACCATTCTCTGAGAAGCTCTTTTTAATTTTCTTACGTAGGCAGATTACGCGGTGATAGCATGAACTGGCATAACATGAATATTTTCCGTTCCATGTACACTATGCGGAAGTATTGAATCACTGGTGGTGAAAGTGTATATCCTGATGTACAATGAAGAGCTGACACGAACAACTCTCTAAGAATTGTTCTCTGTCATTTATCTCTGCAGTCTTGAGGTTTATATACTGGACACAAGGTTTGTCTTAAGACGTAAAAGTTTGAAAAATTCGAGTTATATACTATTAGCTGTGAGTTGCTGACTGACACAGTGTTTGAGCCAAGAAGTCTGAAAACCTCTCTGAGTGCCAGCTTTACTCTCTATATGGACAAGAACCTTATTTTACTGACACTTCTCAACAATGAAAAACATCAATGAAGATTCCGATGCCAACAGGTGAACATTTATGGAAATACTGTCGCTCAAATAAAGACCTATAGTGCCACCGTATATGCAGTTTTGTGCGTTAATGTACCACCAGATTTTCAATAGGCATTTCAAAAAAGCATCAAAATGCGATATCGCCAACACTCGGCGCCACGCACAACTTGTGAATAAACTGCTACGAATTTGCTTCGCTCTTGAAAGCTTTGAATCGAAATGGCACACCTGTTGAAGCATATCATGCATTCTGAAAATGCTCAAGCTAATTAAACAGTAACAAATAGTACAATAACTGTTTGAAGTCAGTATCTAATTACACTACCGAGGTTTCCAGCCTCCACAGCCTTTACACGATCAAAGCAAGTCTCGAGAAAAACTTAGGTCCTGTCATTACGAACTCTCATCTCAACTACTAATCTCTCGCACCACCACTCCCATAGTGGAGTCTTTGACATAAGATTCTGTTCCGCTCAATGATAGGGCAGTTCCCTTTCTCTCGAGGTCAGTTTCCTCAACATCCATACCCATGGCACCTGTCCAGCCGTGGTTGACCAAATAATTGTGAAACTTGACATCTTGTTCCATCAAGTCGTTTTCCCTAGAGTGTGGGATCAAAATCCAGGTGGCTAAAATGCCTGCAAGACCGCAACAAGCGGCGATAATGAACACGTAACGAATCCCTAGATTCGCTTTGACTGGGTTGAAGCAATAGACGCCAACAACGGCACCGACTTTGCCCACAGCAGCCGAAAGTCCGTAACATGATCCTCTGATGGCTGTAGGGAAACTTTCGCTGGACGTGAGCCCCAGCATGTCACCAGGTCCAGCATTAGCAAGACCATTCATGAGCCCGTAAAAGACAATAAATAGACCGGTAATCTTGTGTATTTTGTCCCACGCACACCCGATGATTAGTCCAAAAATCAAGTAGCCGCCAAACCCGAACATCAGTGTGTATTTGCGTCCAATGCGATCGCACAAATAGGCGCCGAGAAACACGCCCGGAACGGCAATGATTCCCAGTAACAAGTTCCACTCTGCCACGGTTTTTATGTTGCTGCTGTCTTTGATGACGGAGCTGATGATGGTAGCACTGAACAGGCCGTTGCTGAAAGCGACGAAATCGTAGCAAAACCACACAAAACAGGTGCCCAGCAATCTTGACCAGCTGTACTTGGCAGCGAGCCAAAGTGGAACTCTAGATTTGAACTGGCCCTTGGTGTAAAGCGCGTTGGAACTAGTTTTCCAGCGAAAGTAGAACACACTTAGAGGCCACGCACAACCTAGCGCGAACATGGTTCTCCACAGCGCTGGCAGGTGCTGGGGCCCGCAGATGGAGTAGACAATGAGGAAAACGATGTTGGCAAAGGGCCCGCCCAGAGAAAGAGGCAAATTGGTGACCAACACCATGATCCCGCCTCTTCTGGTCTCGCTGTGCTCGTTGGCGGCCTCATTAGCACTCACAGAGCAGCAAGGGTACTCTGCACCCAGGCCAAACCCGGTTACGCCGCGCATCACGGTTAACATCCAAAACATGCCGTTTACAGTGGTTCCGTGGGAAGCAGCACACAACGCTGAGCCGCCCACCAGCAGGACGGTGGCCACCAAGATGGCCCATTTGCGGCCCATGTAGTCGCAGGCCACGCCAACGACCACCTGGCCCAGGATCGTGCCGATTAGTGACGCGTTCGACACTCTGGTGGCCACGATGTCGGAATAAACATGTTTCCCGTACTCGATGGGGAACACTTTGTTGAGCATGGACATGACGTTATTTTGGTACCCGTCCGAGATCAAAGCGAATCCTGCTGCCATGATCATGAAGATGTTTGTCAAACGCTGTTCGCGCGACGCACTCAGCCGCTGTTTGCGAGCGTTGGCGTCGTAGGTCAAAATCCTGGAGTTTTCTGTCATTGTCCAGAAATCGACGATAGATCAGTGAGAAACAATTTAACTGGTGTTTATCAAGAGAAGGTTTATCCTAATGGTACTATTCTCTAGAGACATTTATTCACACTCGTCTCTTCAGGATTATTATTATTATACCAACCAACTTTAGTTACACTTACTGGCCACGCCAAGGCTTGAAAATAGTAATTAATCTCAAGACCTTTTTTGTTCGCAAACTCCTGGTCTACCAGAGTATTATCAGTATACTACCAGAATACTATCAGAATACTGACCCACACCAAAAAGAATCCCGGAATTTCACCATTCTCGTCACATTCGTCGTCTTTATATATGTCACTTTATTGCCAAGTCTTGGCCCTTGTCCGTTGTATTTAGATATTGGTCTAATTTTGAATTTACTGACTTCGACGCACGATGTGATGCGCCAAGGCGAAATATATTACGTAGCTTCATAATGAGCATGACTCCGTGGGACGCACAACGTGTCGCCAAGATTATTAAATTGAACACGAAAACTCCCTCAAAATTGGCTAATTCTTGGCTTACGCTCTGTCCTGTCCTGGTTTATGTGACGAAAATACCCACATGGATTCAATTCGACATACGTGCGAAGTCGACCGATGCCTTGCACGTTTGGGGCTGTTAAAGACGTTTGAACAGTTCGTATGGAACCTGTACGGCGCACTTTAGGGGAAACAAGAGTCTTCCAGGAGTGACGAGAATGTACTGGAGGATTTCAGGTAGTGAAAATGCTGGCAGAAGCCCAGGCAGTCAAGAGAGCTATGGAAGATGAGAGGAAAACGTCTTGGGGATTAGGATGACTGGCTACCAAGAACCAGTGGTAAATACCAGTAGACGATTTTGATTAATATAGTGGTTGGGGCCAGGGTTTGGGTATCGGTTGTAGGAGTGCGATTGGTATATAACAAATATTGAGTGGGTAGGTGGGTTGGGGCCAGGGATGGGAAAATTGATTGAACTTTTGGGTCACATGATGCAATTAAGGATGTAGGCTTCCCTGTGAAGTGAAGTGAGGTGAAGTACTTGAGCGTGTGGTGTCGGTTGCGAAGAGCAGAGCAGTGTTGCTTGTGTCAGGCCGCGTTGACTTGGCATTGGGGCGTATAAAGTTGTGTCTTTACTCAAGACTTGTAACGAGATGCATGATCACCATTTACGTAGTGGGTTGCAGCTGACCAACCTGCAAAAACATATGCTCCAGGGGAGGTTCGAACTCTCGACCTTCAGATTATGAGACTGACGCTCTTCCGACTGAGCTACTGAAGCTAGTGTTGAGATTATGGTGGTAAGCACCGTACTATATGTCTTTACTTATATCACGGTTAGCGTCAGTGTACACTTGATAGTCTCTATTTAACCATCCATCATCTTTCTTCTCCTCTAGCCGTCTCCATTTTCGACTCATGCGTCACTCAGCTCTCTTGATCTACTAACGCGTTCTCTTTTCCTCTCCCTCTCTCTTTCCTCTCTCATTAACAATCGAATATCTAAATTTGAAAAATAAGAGGGCATCGATAAAAATACTACACCACACACCGCATCCTCCAACACCGATGGCATCCTTCCAGCCAGTGTTCTTGTGTGCTTTGGTACTGCGAGCACTGCGGTTTTGTATAGCAGATGATAGCCAAGGCTCTCTCCCCTCGCTAAGGGTGAACAAAGACGCATCTGGTCTTTACTACATCAACGCATCTGTAGGTACCCCAGGCCAAATGCAAATGCTTCGAGTGGACGTCGTGCAGCCATACACGTGGCTCCTTGCTAAGCAATTCGGGTCAGTACTCTTTGAAGAGGAGGGCGTCGCCGAAGGCTCTACGTTTTACAATTCAGACGACAGTTCAACCGCGCTTAACATCTCAAATGGCCAAATTTCCGAGTTCGCATTCATGGACCGCATCTCCTTCAATAGTTCCGCTTACAGCGACACTCTGGAACTTGTGTCGGTAGACCAGATCGGTACTTCAAGCTCAAGCGAAGCGAGTAACGGTACGGTGAATTGGCGCACTAACTCGAGTTCTCTGTGGTTCCAAGATTATGCGTTCTTTGGTGCCACCGAGGCGACGTATGGTTTACTACAAGGAGCCCTAGGGCTAGGTGGGAAAATCAATTATCCTGGCAATGTCGTCGACTCCTCTCAGTACAATAGGTCGTACTACTTCTTGGATCAGATGGCCTCTAACGGTTTGATCAACTCGTCTTCTTACTCGCTTTGGATGGGAGGAGATACCGTCAATCCGATAAGCTTTTTCGAGGGTCTTGAAAATTGTGGTAAACTTATCCTGGGCGGAGTCGACCGCTCCCTATACACTGGCGATTTCGTCAAGTTCGATACTTTGCCATTCGTGAACAGTTCCAGTGGGTTTTCTTCTAGGGGCTACCCAATTATCCCGCTTAACAAAGTCAGTGTGCGCAACAGCGCTGGTCATGTTCTAAATTTAACCTCCGATTACTTTTTAGAGCCCGTTCTGCTTGATTCCCGATACCGCTACAGTTTCCTGCCTCTAAGCTTGATCATTCAGATCGCTGTACAAGCGAATGCGTATTACGTCGAGTCTTTGGACCGTTGGCTTCTGGCTTGTGATGTGGCTTCGATGGACGCCTCCATCCTTTTCCAGTTTGGAAATTTAATTATCAACGTCCCTCTGAGGGACCTGATGGGTCCAACATACGACCCTGCCACTAACGACAGCTTACATTTCTCTAACTCACAACCCGCATGCGAGCTGCGTTTGCTGCCGGAGACGAACATCGGCTTGAGCATTCTTGGCGGATCGTTTATCAAAAACGTATATCTGGCGGCCGAGCTCGAGAGTCACCAAATCGCATTGGCGCAGGCCTCTACACTGCCGAGAATCACAACTGAAACCACATCATCCACATCCTCCACGTCAACGTCGCTGTCATCGCACACATCTTTCAGCGATGCGAGTTTCTATACCAGCGGCCAATCACATATTGAACACCGGGCTGTGTCCACTGCTGAAGACGCATCTGCCATCAAATCGGGCGTAATTCCCTTCGCCACAAGCAATAACTACTCGTCTTATGAGACTTTAGTTCTATATGCGTCCACTGCGGAGCCAGCCGCTAGTTGCAGCTTAGTGAACCAGTTTACAGCCACAATTTCATCTGACGGCGTCATTTTCACTGGGAAAGTCCTATACAACACAAGCTACACAACTGGTACCACATCGACATTTAGCCGACGCAGACATCATAACAGTGCCATCAAGACCGCCTCCTTGAGCTCTCGCACATGGAATAAAACATGCGCCTATCTGACGCTGATCCCACTGGTAATAACAGCGACAATGGTGCTATCAATCTGAACAAAAACAAAAGGCTTCCTATTGATTTTGACCGGCTCAAAAAATATCCATACAATCCTCATAGACTGCAAACAAATACACACTATTCCTACACCAGTCCTAGATCGATCCTAGACCATTGCACTAGTCGAAGTCCTTTGACTGACAGGTATTGGTAAAACAACGCTTCCGTAGTAAGTGATTATTCACTATGATTTTTTCCAGCCTTGTAGTAAATAGAGCATCAGAGCCTCTTGAAACTGTTCAGCTAGGTTAACGCCAACGTCAACAGGTAGTTTCAGCTGTTCTAGCAGACTGTTTATTCGTCATTTCGTTGATGGAGGGACTCAATCATAGTCTTTCCAGTCTGGAACTGGACCAAGGCCCGGTGGCCACTGGGACCAGAAAAACAAGTCGAAGACCCAATCGCGCCTTTCATACTTTTGATTCTGGTGTTCAAGCACCATCTTTCCCGGGTATTGAAACTAACGCGCCATCACCAATTGGCCAGCATGTCAATTCCACATTTTCGTCTCCTGCACCTGCACCAAATAGCCAATTTGCTGGAGCGGAATCGCCAAGTTTGGTGACATCCCACTATGTGCCCAGACAAAGGCTTGACGACCAAGCAGCATACATCGCGCAGTCTTTTGTCACTTCTAGAGACTCTGTTCCACCTTGTGCAACTACGCAGTACTACTGTGTCGATCAAGGCTCTAGTGATCCGCGTAAGATGGGTCTCACCATGTACAACGTCCCTCGGAATGAGCAGATCCGTTCAGCGGCAAAATTGCCTATGGGGGCCGTTCTCCAGCCGTTTGCAAGCTCTTCTCCTGGTGACGACGTTCTGCAGGTTGACGTGTCAAGAACGAGTGGTCCTTTGAGGTGCAGGAGGTGCAGATCATACGTGAATCCAGCATATTCATTCACCTTTGATTCGAAGGCCATTTGCAATTTTTGTAAAGTCAGCACGCAATTGAGCGAGGATTACACAGCTCCTTTGACGCCCAACGGCATGAGGTCGGACATTCACGAAAGGCCGGAGCTTTCGAAGGGCACCGTGGATTTTCTGGTTCCCGATGTCTATAACTCCAAGGGAGCCAAAGTCAATGTTCCATTGCACTACGTTTTTCTCGTGGATATCTCTACGATGTCTAATGAAAACAAAAGCTCTTTGGTGATGGTAGAGGGTATTAGGGCTTGCATCGAACACATTGCAAAAGAGCAGCCAAACTGTAAAATTGCCATTATGGCCTTCGATAAAGAAATCCGATTTTTCAACCTCCGGAAAGAGCTCAGTCAGGCTCAAGAGTACATTGTCAGTGATCTACAGGACGTGTTTTTACCGATGTTCAACGGGCTTTTCGTTAGGCCAGAGGAATCCATGCACGTCATTCAAGATACGCTTTGCAAAATAATTGCATATATCGAGGACAACAAGTTCTCGCATCATTTCGAGGCATGTTATGGATCTGCCCTACAGGCCGCCAAATTGGCCATAGACACCATAACTGAGGGACAAGGAGGTAAGATTTTGGTCAGTTTGGGTTCCAAACCAGCACACGGCGTTGGAAATCTAAGATTGAGAAAAGAAGAAGCCTTGAAGAAGACACTTAAATGCGAAAACGATTTTTACTTGAAGCTAGGTCAGGAATTTTTAAAGTCTAGTATCTCGTTAGACCTGTTTTGCACAAGCTCTGCATTCATGGACATGGTTTCTGTTGGACAACCTGTGAGGGCGACGTCTGGATTTTTGAAATACTACCCCAATTTTCATTTGGAGAAAGACGAGTTTACTTTTGTCAATGACATTTTGCACAGCGTAGCTAATACGATCGGCTATAATGCACAATTGAAAGTCCGGTGCTCTGCTGGACTCTCGATCTACAATTACTACTCTGAGTCCGTGGACAACTCGAGCCGAGAGCCACTGATACCGGTCATTCACCAGGACACGACTTTAAGCGTGCTTTTCAAATACGAAGGTCAGCTAGCGGTTCCCGAGGACGTTCACTTCCAGTGTGCCGTGTTGTATACAGATTTGAATGGGGTGAGAAAAGTGCGCACCTTGAATGTATCCGGGGCTGTCAGTGAAAACATCCATGAGGTTTTCAAATTCGTCAACCAAGACGCCGTAATCAGCATAATGGTTCACGACCTGTTAACGACTTTGGGCGACTGCAATTTTGTGCAAATGCGGAAGACCATTGATGGAAAAGTCATTGATGTGTTGACACAATACCGTGGCTTGGTGTCGGGATCGCCATCGAGCCAGTTGGTGCTACCAGACTCGCTCAAAACCATGGCAGCCCACTTGCTTTCTTTCGAGAAATCTGAGCTGATGAAAAACAATAGCAGATCTGCGAACGGGAACGCACGAGTTCACGATCTATTCCAATGGCTGACCAGCCCTCTGCCTCAAATGCTGTACAAACTATACCCTCAGATTCTCCCATTGCACGAGCTTTTGCAAGAGACAGACTTTACATTTGCGGATGAAAACGATCTCTTGCTGCAAGCTATGGCCTCAGAACTATTGTGTGTGCGTGCGGCACGTCGCGAGCTCGTAGACGGTGGATGCTGTTTGATTTTTGACGGCACAACGGCATTTTTATGGTTAAACGAAAATACCAACAAGTTGCTCCTACGCGATCTATTGAACGTTCATGATACAAATGCAAAACCAGAAGAGGTGGCGCTTGTGGGCAATTGTCTGCCCACGGTTGACAGCATAATCAACACAAAGGCCCGCAATGTTTTGCAGAACTGGCGCCAAATGGTGGGGCGGACGTACGTGCCAGTGGTGACACTGCGGCCACATGTGGATGCACATTATTCGCACACCATGGCGGCGCTGCTGTGCGAAGACAAATCGATTGAGATGGTTGAGAATTATGATAATTATCTGGTTTCGCTGCACAAGCAAATTCAGGCCCGACTGGCCAACGATAATTTCACAAAAATTTCGAGCGCGCGGGATCACGAACATTTTGGTCAGAAGTTTATACAATTTTGAGCTACAAATGCAATCGAGAGTAAGAGCGAGCGATGGAAGGTGGGAGAGGATGTAGGAATGCTTGTAATAGAAATGGATACTCAAAGCATGTAGCAAACTCGTAACACGTTTGAACAATTGAGAGCAGAGCGATCGATTATGAGAAAGAAGAGACTGTTAGTATCACTTTGGCCACCGTAAGTGTTCTCAGTTGAAAGTGACAGTTGAGGACTTGCTCACAAGCACAATAAAGAGAGGACCCTTACACGTTTTCACAATAGTGAGAAACAGCAATTATACTTGAAGCTGCTTGCCTACTGACGATCGACAGCTAGCGCTCTTGATTGTTCTGTAGTAGTGTCAGGTTTTGTTACGTAATCAAATCGATCGCTGACACTCAGTTGTTAAAATGCTACGAGTGACTTCCTGCGATTGTTCGACCTCGCTCAATTTCCATTGTAGCTTCTATCCATTTTACGCATTTATAATCAGTTACTGACGCTGTCGTACTGATCCTGTCACTTGTTCAATAATACTACGAATATCCAGTTATTTACAACTGAGCGCCAGCGCTCGTTTGTACAGCGTCCTGATAAGTCACAATTATACTCCAACGCTTGCGATCGCTCAGTCATTTAGAAAGCTCTCTACTCATGGCCGAGTCTCTTCTCAATTGGTTGTCTTATACTAGCACAGTGAAGTAGGTGTGCTCGTGGGCGTACTTGGCTAGCTACAAGACAGCGACACCATTTCATTGTGAACATTGTGAACATTGTGAACATTGTGAACATTGTGAACATGAATATGGTACAAGTGAGATGCAAGAAGCTTAAAGTTGAGGGAGCTAACGGTATTCAAGTCAAACAGTGGTGGAAACTACAAGCTGGTGGCCAAGCTTATTGTTACTACCGATCGCTGACGTATGTAGGGAAATTTCTCCGCTAAGGCTTGTAAATTAGTTACTTAAAGTCCATTACAGACGTCTTGAACTGTTCGGAAATACTAAGAATTCTGTTCTTCATCAACATTGAACGCTGACGCTCAATTGTTCAGTAGTGCTTGTAGCCCTGTTCAATGCGCCTGTACTCGTACTCGCGGTCGTACTCGTACTCGGGCTCATCAGTATAACTGCCACGCCTGGTAGCTGACGCTCTCAATTATTCAAGTGTGTTAAGAGTTCTCTACATGTTCACAACTGGTCGCTATCGTTCTCAATTGCTTGATGGTGCTCGAAGCCCACTTCGCTAAAACTCTCAGCTGTACTCGTACTCGTACTCGGGTTTGTCAATAATCATACTGCTAGACCTTTACTCATTCAAAATTGATCGCTGAAGCTCTCAATTGCTGAGTTGTGTTGATAGTACTCTACCAACATACAACTGCTCTCACTAGCGCTCCCAACTGTTCATAATGCTAATAGTCAATTATAACTTGCTCATCAACCCCGTACAAAACGACACAACTCACACTCTCATAAAATTTTCCCTTTTCTCGTCCCCATACTCATTCCATCAACATACGCGTTTCTAGTCCTCCAATTTGATCCCACAACACCTCTTAAACACGTTTTAGCGCGTGTTCTGGCGTCAATACCGCGCTTTCCAAATCCAGCACCATTTTTAGCCCGGCCTTGCTCGCTATATACCCTCGTACACATATCTTTTTTCGTCGCCACCGGTAGCTTTCGCGTTAAGCGCCCAGAGTTTAGTTTTTGACCCAAACTTTTTACCTTTTTTACTCAAACACACACACACACAAACGCTGAGCGATGCCTGACCTGCCTATGCTACGGTCGAGGAGTTCTGATCGTCCTCCCGCTGTTCCCGCTCGCCGATTGTCGTCGAATAACCCGTTTCGCACCGACTCGGTCGTGCAACAGCAGCAGACCTATCAAAGTGACGAGGAATTCCAGAAATGGGTGTCGTCGAATGCGATACACAGTCCATACAAGACCTCAGCTAACGCTGGGTCTGGGTCTGGGTCAGGAGCCGGGCAGTTCTACCATAAGAGCTCATCGTTACTGAGTTTTACCGACAGCATTGAAGAAGAGCCCAGCGAGAGTTTACCACGTGTGAGTTCACCACGCAGTGGAAGCGATATGAGATCAAGGTATGTTACTACTAAGAGACAGAGAGACAGAGAGACAGAGAGACAGAGAGACAGAGAGATGGAGAGAGGGAGATGGGTCTGGGACATGTGGCACGTGATGCTTGATGCGTGATGTGTGATGCATTAAACATCACGTGTTTTGTCTGTCATGTGCTTTTGACTTTCCTTGTGATATATCACGTGGTGGATTTTCTTCATTTCCGTTCGTGACGACGTGTATCACGTGTTCTTGTACTTCACGTGTTACCCGGGGACCAGACCCGCGTTCCAGCCAGCCAGCGCGTCCGCCGCGCGCCCAGTCGGGCGGTTTTCGCAACACACTGCCAATATAAACTGCAAAGGGGCAGTTTAAGGTCAGTCTAGCAAGAACATGGATGCATTCCTTTGACGACGTTTTAAGTTTGAGGTTTTTGGAATTTTAAGCTTTTTGAAGTTTCTGAAAGCTTGAAGTTTTGGAGGTTTTAACATTTTAAGGTCCCTAGGTTTTGAAGTTCTAAATTCGTGAATTCTTGAAGTTTGACGGTTTTGGTTGAAAGTTTGGAAATTCTTTGCCGATTTGTTGTCTCTCCCCCGTTAAACCTTCTTCATCACACCCTCTACCACATCCTGGTTCGTTTACTAACTTTCGTTGATACTGCAGCATGACACCACCACAACGCCCAGCGTCGAAAAACCCATTTCTCGAGGACTTGAGCCCGCAGTCCGCCACAGACGACGCGTCGACCGCTTCGTCGACGTACCCGACTGCTCAGGAGGAGAAAGACCGGCTGAGACGTCGATACTTGGAACACACGCCCATCGACGATCACTCACTTCCCGCAGAAGACCTGCCTCCTGCGTACGACGAGGTTGCAGGCCCCAAAAAGGACGCTGCGCGTCCACGCGAGAAATCGGCCTCGTCGCGCTCCCACAGACACCGCAGCCACCAGCATGCGTCGCGCGACCGGTCCGAGCGCGAGAAATCCGGGTCCTCGCGGTCTTCTGGTACTCACCAGCCTTCGTCGTCGTCGCAGCGTAAGTCGTCCAGGGACAAAAAACACTCTTCCAGCTCGTCTTCGTCCAAACCACTTGCCAAAAACGTCGACACAATCGATAAACTCGACGTCACGGGCCTCTTTGGCGGCGCCTTCCATCACGACGGACCCTTCGATGCGTGCACTCCGCATCGCAACCGCAACCAAAAGGTGGCCCCTGTAATGGCTTTCCCAGCAAATGGACCTAATTCTTCTATCGCTGGCGCTGCTAACAGCAAGTCGCCCATGAAAGAGGTCTTTGGCCAAGAGTCCGTTGACGACGACGACACCTACTTGTACGCCAGCAGGCCGTACCACCAGGTCAACAATGCATCGTCCACTGCCACCGTAGACGCCATCAAACCCAACAGCCGAAAAATAACCCAATTCGATACAAAGGCTCAAACGCAGCTTGTCCATGGACCCACCACCGATGGTCTAGGATCCACCACTTTCTTGGATGGTGCTCCAGCCAAGGGTGCTCAAAACAGCTACAATCGTCTACATCCACTCTCTGCCGATACCCGCAAACAAGAGCGTTTACAACTCACCAAGACGCATTCTGGTCATTTGGAGTACGACAACGTCGATCCAGACGAAGACGTATACGTAGGTGGACGCATTGACCCAGCTGCAAAGAAATCTGCGTCAGGAAACAAGTTTATGAGAAGAGTCAAGAGTCTAAAAGTAGGTAGAAAGCCATGAGCTGGGGGAAACCATAGTTAGTCATAAACTGAAGAACATATGAAAATGGATCACGGTCATGGATTGTATGAAGGCGCTGTTACTACCAACTAAAGCCATCTTTACACGGACTTCAAGTTTAAAAATAAAAGACGACAAGAGGGTAGCCTCGAACAATTGGACTTACCGAGCTTCTAAAGAGCCAAAAAAGCATTCACTGATATGCTATGTCTATTATATATTTACAGGAAAGGTTTTTTTTTTCTCTTAAAAGCGAGCTCACGTTAGTTGGTAATTCGGGGCTCTTGCTGGGAGTCTCTGTTCCACGATATTCCATTCGATAGACTCCCATACTCTTTCCAAGTACAGATCCTTACCAAAAACGCCATAATCTGTGAGCCATGCCTTAGGGGAAGCATCTATAGCCAAGAGTGGAACATATGTGGTAGATTTGAAAGATTCCGATTCTCTGGCCTCTTGAATTGACTTAATTTGCAGTGGGTTCGATTCCTTGGGTTCTTCTTGCTCCGCCACGGGCTGGAGTTTCGCGAGCTGCTTCTGTAGGTCAGAGATGTGTCCAACTTTATTGAAATTGAACGGAGATCCCGCGTTATAAGTATTCAAAACGTATAGCCAGTCAAACTCCACATTACCGGAAACTAACGATTCTCTTTGAGATGTGTTGACTTTTCTGGCCACTAGCCAGGTGAAACCATCGCCGGAAATAGCTTTGCTGGAGTTGAGCAGCAAGGATCGGAATTCAATCAAGGACCCGAATGACGAAGCGATGACAGAACTTAATCTTTCGTTACCAGTCTCTCTAGGGTCATTTTTGTAATTAAGTTCCAGCTTCGGCGTTTCCAAAAGCGCACTAGGACCTGGTTTCTGAGCCGCTGGCAGATCGCTGCCGTGCAGACAAGACATGGCGAACCTTAAGTTGTAAAGCTGAGAAGCCTGGTTGAAAACTTCGCGCTTGGATGCCGACCTTGCATATTCGTGTACTATACTTTCTAATGGTTTTTCTTCGCTGTGCCTGAGATACTGGTTAAGTTTATCGGTATAAAGCTCTGCTCTGTCGAACCAAGCAGTTTGTAATCCCTTTTCCGAGAAAATACCACCTAAACCGGCGCCTTTTTTCAAATGTTCTAAGGACGGAGTAATGTACGACCTGGCAAATGTCCTGGGAGTCAATTTGGTCCCGAACATGATGCAACTGCCACTTAAAGAGCTTCATTTTCCATTGGATCATCGCTTCTGGCATAGCTGACAGCTTTAAAAATTTTTTGGCTGGTCCAGTTATCACTTTTATCAAAACAGACGCTTTTTCGCGCAATCTAAGAGCGTAACGCATCATTTGGCTACGGAAGCTACGCCGAGTGGTTCAATTTACTGGTGCTGTTGAGACTGGTTTATGTGAGTTTCACGCGTAACGCGGCAGTTTTTGTTCAATACCGGTGACACTTTCTTTCAACGCAGCCATTCTATCATAACGTCGTCTTTGGACAATTGTTCTTCGCTACTTTCGTAAAAACCGCACAATCTGACACCCGCCACTCTAAAGTGTAAGAAAGTGTTTGAAAACCTCAGAAAATTCACTACTACAGAGATTCAGCTTTGTCTGCCATTGTAATGGAATATAAATCGAATTTTGGCCCAATTTGCTTGAAAGGGATGTTTTAATCACGAAGTTGAAGTTCGATCAAATCGTGCTCTTCGTGAGCCCAGATCGTGAAAACATGGTTTGAATGCTAGAACTGGGATACCGTTTGGACATCGCAGCTCTGAGCTCGCCAGATGCACCACACAACCGCTTCTGACTTTTAGCACCTCAGAAATCATCCGCGATAGTTTAGTGGCTAGAATTCGGGCTTGTCGCGCCCGGGACCGGGGTTCAATTCCCCGTCGCGGAGTATTATTTTTTGTTCTGTAACAATTATGTACCTTATGATCGTTCTTAATTGAGATCTGAACCTAGCCAAAGAGAAACAGTAAGAGGAATGTAATTCTGTCTCGTTAATATTCCTATGATGTCCCAGACATCTTCATCTCGATCAACTCTTCGTAGTCTCCCGTCATGTAATTTACTTTGAAAATTGTACTCATGCTCGTGTACTCGTATTCGTACTCGAACTTTTTTCTCAACATATAACCTTAAACGAAAGATCTCCTCTACACAATGAAAAAAGTACAACACAGACATCTAAAGCTCATCACACTCCTTGTTCGATGAACATAACACCATCTCCAGTCCCATTACGCTGTATATAACGTATAGTGGTGGTAATTCTGGTATTTCGTGAATATTGTTGGTTTTGGTTCTCGTTTTTGCGAATTCTTCAAGCTTCCAATCTCGTTCCAACAGTGATCCTGTCGTAAAAGATCGTCAGGCGCATTTTCCCCTTTGATTCGACACCAATCGACCATTTCTGATGTTGAAGTGGATTCAAGGTGGCATTTCTGCCGTTACCGGTATCGCAGAGCCTGAATACGGCAAAGAGTTCATCCATCCAGTGACCGAGAAAGTCGAGGGAAAGCAGCCGTTCCATCAGACCACAAGAGATGATTTTAACTGGCAAAGCCCCAGTCATACCAATGTGGAGACCGCTACTTTCTACTTCTCAGACCTCAAGCAAGGCTACATCGGCTTCGCCCAGGTTATCCATTCCAACATCGTGGGACTGCACACGACGGCTCAGCTAACCTTTAGAGTCTACAACGTCAACACGCCCGAGCTGAACATCTGGACCTCGACCAAACTGGAGAATTTCCGTATCGAAGGTCCCAACTTCTACGCCAACAACCTCGCCATCGAGATGGACGCAGCTGGAACCCAGATCACGTTCAAGGCTTCTGTCTCTCCAGACACCACGATCGACTTGACTTTCGACCGCGCAGTTCCTGGCGTTAAAGTCGGCGAAGACGGTACCACTTACTACGGTGACAACCTAGAGCAACCTTGGGGCAGCATGAGACACGTTTTCTGGCCCAGAAACATGTGCCACGGTTCTCTAAAGGTCGACGTGAGCATAGGCTCTGAGAAACCCAGCTACAAAGAGATCGTTTTCGAAAACGAAACACCCGTTTACTCGATGTTTGTGATGGCCATGCAAGGCATGAAGCCCCACCACGCGGCCAAATCCTGGAACTTTCTCAACTTCCAGTCTGACTCTCACAGTGCTGTTCTTATGGAGTTCACGACACCCAAGTCATACGCCAACACGAAAGTGTCGATCGGGATACTTTGTACCAAAGACGACATTGTCAGTGTCACCGTCAACAACGAAGCGACCCATGTCGATCCACAAGTTGATTCTGTGGGTTGGCCAGTACCTCAAGAGCTCAAGGTCGATTTCAACGGTGTTGCTTCCGATGTTCCTAACGAGAAAATTGACACTGCCGCTGGCGTGAAAGCCCTGGCGTCGGGGCCTCTGTCACAGCTGGTTGAGAGAGTCGATGTCATGAAAGAGATTCCTTCTTTTGTCAAGAATATTGTGTCCGGTGTTGCTGGCACCAAGCCCTACATTTACCAATACGCTAACGATTTCGACCTCACGATCGGCGACGAAGCGCCAGTGAAGGGTATGGGTTGGAGTGAGATCACTTTCATTTCTGAGGCTGAGGAAGTGACTGAGGAGTCCTATAGTGAGGCGTAATTGCTGTGATAGCAGGTAATAGGTATTTTTCGAAGCTGAGATTTTCATGGATTGGGCTACTTATTTTTACCAAATAATAAATGGAACCCCAACGAATAATAACTATGCATATGGTTGGTGTTCTAGTGTTATGTAAAGGCTGCTGGAGAGAGAAACGCTGTTGTTTGTGTCACATCTTACGTCTGTGTCGCAGGAGCACGAACGTTACTCAAGGCACGCAAGGGTGTGTGCTCCGCATAACGAGTCTACAATTTAGGAGTGCAGCCCCCGAGACAATCACGAAGCTGCCAGAATCAATGATCGTCATTATACATTTAAAAAGCTCAGAACGAAACGCAGTCGTCGAAGCGACCGACGTCAGTGGCAGTAGCACTGCTAGCCTTTCTTCATCAAGAACTACACATAACACTCATCAAACACACATAGCAAGTAGGGCATGCATCTGTAACTGCCTCTGCTTCTGCCTGCCAGGCGGTTTTCCCATTCATCTCTTGTCCAACGACAGCAATTGGTCGTCTTCAAGAATATCAAAGAACACCAACACGTAGTTTATTTGGAGGCCACGGAAGAATTCATCCATCGGCAATCAAAACCCAGTTCCTCCGCGGTCGGAAAAACTCTCGCAGCAAAGATGTTCCGACCGCGCTAAAGTCTGAGCAAATTGTTTTTCCGAAGGGCCCTGAACCGGAAAAACCATTACACACAGCGATTATGACGTTGCGATCACGTGATTTTTGAAATATGAACAGCAATACCATGTCATAAGCCAAAAGAAGCCGGCGCTTTGTTGGTGCCCGCTAAACTCATGCAGCTCAAACTGGCCAAGAGAAATTGATTGCAAGAACCCTTTGGCAGCAGAGCTAATAAATTACATTCGTAGCCCCACGAATCAGAATTAAAGCTCTCATCAGTGGGAGAAAAAGGTACCGTCTACTCAGATCCTCCTTCGTTCAGCAACGCATCACCCACCAACCAACTAGCAAACAAACACGACCGTACGGGCCAGGCGGTGTTGAAACTGTTGGCTTGACTTGGCCACAGTCGCTATCGCTGTTTTTTCTTCGTTCTCTCAACTTCTTAGCACTCTGCTTTGTTTTTCTTTTGCTGTCTTGCTTGCAAACTGACACGCACACCTCGGAAAAACTTTTTTCCGGGATCCGCTGCGACATTTCTGGGCCGGAGTCGCACCGGAAAAACTTTTTCACGCCAGTATTTTCCGAGTCTATGACGTGCCGTCTCTCACAACTCACACTAACACTCACACTGATGAGAAGAAAGAGCAAGCCCAGCATGCCCAGTAAGTAAAGTGTCCTTTGCCCACCAAAGCTATGTGGAATAGCAGCCTGCTAGTTACTTGCTATCTAAGCGGTCCAAAGCGAAAGCGGGAACACAACTGGTGGTGGTCTGAGAAACTGGTGCGCTAAAAAAAAGAATGATAGTGGCAGCAGTAGTAGCAGCAGCAAGAAGAAAGCAGGAGAGGGCAGGACGAGGACAGTTAGTCAAGCAAACAATTTCGACATCGAACGATTCAGAAAAAGCACCGGGGTACGAAATGTGCGCACAAGACGCTGCCTACCTACTGCACTCAGAGTTTGCCTGAGCTAAGAAAAAAATTGCGGGACAAACATCAATAAAACCCATGGCATGGGAATTTGTATATAAGTGGAGAAGAATCCTGGAACCAACCCCGCCGAATTTAGGTATGGTTTATAATATTTCTTCTTCTCTTCTCTCCATCGACTAGTAGGATTACGATAAAGCATTTACTAGAGCTTTTTCTCAAAGTATAAGTTTTTCAAGTCCATTCTTGTCTAATCGCACACTACACATCGATGAGCAGTACTTCGCCTGAGGTGGGTCCCTCCCAGGACATCTTCACCTCCAAAAGTGTGTCGGAAGACCAGGGTTCTCGGAACTCGAACGTCATGAACGCTCCAGAGCCCAAGGCCAACAGAGTCGACTCGCACGACGAGATCGATGAGCTGAAAAAGGATGCTGAAGAGCAACTCGCCAACAAGAGCGGTGCTGATTTCGCATTCGTCTCCATCTGCTGTGTCATGGTTGCCTTCGGTGGTTTCGTTTTCGGCTGGGATACCGGTACCATTTCCGGTTTCGTGCAACAAACTGACTTCAAACGCAGATTTGGTCAAGTCAACAGTCAGGGCGAGCACTATCTTTCTAACGTTAGAACCGGTCTGATTGTCTCTATCTTCAACATTGGTTGTGCCATTGGCGGTATCGTTTTGGGTAAAATTGGTGAGGTCTACGGTCGTCGTCTCGGTCTAACCGTCGTCGTGATCATCTACGCCGTTGGTATTATCATCCAAATCGCTTCTATCGACAAATGGTACCAGTACTTCATCGGCAGAATTATCTCCGGTTTGGGTGTCGGTGCCATCACCATTTTGTCCCCTATGTTGATCTCTGAAGTCGCTCCAAAGCACTTGAGAGGTACCTTGGTGTCTTGCTACCAATTCATGGTCACCGGTGGGATTTTCTTGGGTTACTGTACTAACTTCGGTACCAAGAACTACTCCAACTCCGTGCAATGGAGAGTTCCTCTAGGTCTATGTTTCGCTTGGGCTCTTTTCATGATTGGTGGTATGTCGTTCGTCCCAGAATCTCCTCGTTACTTGGTTGAATACGGCAGACTCGAAGAAGCCAGACGCTCTTTGGCCCGTGTCAACAAGGCCCAGATGGAAGACGCCGTTGTCACCTTGGAATTGGAACAAATCGAAGCCAGTGTCGAAGCTGAAAAGATGGCCGGTGAAGCCCACTGGGTGGAATTGCTCACTGGTAAGCCTCAAATGTTGAAACGTACCGTCAACGGTATTGTGATTATGTCTTTGCAGCAATTGACTGGTGACAACTACTTCTTCTACTATGGTACCACTATTTTCAAGGCCGTCGGATTGACTGACTCTTTCGAAACCGCTATTGTGCTTGGTGTTGTCAACTTCTTCTCGACCTCTCTATCCCTGTACACCGTCGATAGATTCGGTCGTCGTAACTGTTTGATCTATGGTGCTGCGGGTATGGTGGCGTGTTACGTCGTGTACTCTTCTGTTGGTGTCACCAGACTATATCCTGAAGGTGCTAACCACCCCGACGTTACCTCCAAGGGTGCTGGTAACGTTCTAATTGTTTTCGCCTGTTTCTACATCTTCTGTTTCGCTACTACCTGGGCCCCAATTGCCTACGTTTTGATCTCTGAGACCTACCCATTGAGAGTGAAGGGTAAGGCCATGTCTATTGCCTCTGCCTCCAACTGGCTATGGGGTTTTTTGATCTCTTTCTTTACTCCATTCATCACCAGTGCCATCAACTTCTACTACGGTTACGTTTTCATGGGTTGCATGGTTTTCGCCATCTTCTACGTGTTCTTCTTCATCCCTGAGACTAAGGGTTTGACTTTGGAAGAAGTTAACGAGATGTATCAAGAGGGTGTCTCTCCATGGAGATCTAGCGGCTGGGTCCCTGCCTCCAGAAGAGGTGCTGACTACAATGCCGAAGACTTGAACGATGACATGAACTTGCCTTGGTACAAGAGATACTTCTAATTTCGAACTTACGAAATGATCTAGGCCCCACAGCGGGCTGACAACAAACGCATTGTGTTGATTTGAATTGACATGTTATGACTAAACTAATTCAGCAACTATTTTTTGGCATTTTTGATCGGTAATAGAATAACCGTATTATTTGTATATCCAGATGTTTGTATACATCATCTAATTATCGTAAACAAATAAAATTATAAACTTTTACGAAATGGTGTGTATCCTATCCTAACTTCCTCAGTTGCAAATTATTACTCACTAAGTTGAACTTCTTGTATCAAGACACCTGTGACGTTTGGTAAATTATTCAGCAAGAGCCCGCTCCTACCAGTAGTATCGAAGATACGCCACTAGCTAGACTGTCGATTTCGCAAGCAATTGAGCTTTCGTACCTTTTCTCCCCCACATATTCTTGAATCAAGTGGCGAGCAATAAAGCACCGCATAGAGATAAATAGCAAGCGGCTTAATTTGCCTAAATGCTGCTTGAACCGCTTCGTGGGTTAGATGACCTAAAATAAAAACTTCGCTTAATATTTTTCAATCGCGGTAAAATACTGGAATGTCTGCCTCCATGCATCATAGGTTTTCCTTTTGCTGTAGCACTTTATCGTGTCACCTACATTGCGAAGATGACGAGATTCGAACCCGATGCGCCTGAAGTCAAATTCCATTTTCTAGTTGATTCTCCAGTTGAAGCGGGTGGGTGTCAAGAGAATACTCAGGACGATTAGCATAGACAGGATTGAACGATATACGCCTCTCATAGCTTGTACCGAAATACAAGATGGCATCTGTTATCGGGCGGGGCTAGTGATCGATCTATTGTTTTTTCATGTTTTCTAAGAATCATTGGATTTTGAGATTGTGTTTATTGGTAGGAAATGTCAATTGTTAATTAACACAGCCAAGTGACAACAGAGACTCCCGATCTGTTTTCTACACAACCACTTGAGTACCCTGGTATGCCCGAAAAGTCCAGCGAAATGAACAAATCAGATACTGTGAGCAAAGGCGAAGTGAAAGATGTGCATTGTGGTAGGGCACTTGGCGAAGCAGGTCTTTGGTAGTATGATTCTTGACGGTAAGAGCGCTTTACTGAATGGGTTGAAAGATGAGAACAGGAAGTAGAAGACTGCTGGACAAGATGAACGGAGTACATATGATGAACAACATCTTTAAGGTTGTGTGTTGAGCGAATGTGAGTCACGTGATGATATCTTGATAGTGACAATAATTAAAGCAGTATTACATAATCGGATAACCGAGGCGAGTACGGGCACGTTTGCTCAACTTACTCTTTTCTACAGCCAATATCAGCTATCTTCCATAGGTGTTCGAGTACATGAAAAGCCAAACAGTATCCATGGGCATCAGCGCTTAGCTTGCTGCAACGCGTTGTCGTTATTTAATTTCAAATGTTGTCATTGACTAGATCAACATTCATACATCGGCCCCGGGGTTGTGGTACCAATGGTCACGATGCTCGCACGTTGCACCTGTAAAGACGACCGCATCGAGCGGCAATTCCTCTTTCAACGAAAACACACACAAGTCTCTATAGTTTTGCCGCTTCGGGCTTAAATTGCCACTTTAACTCAGTGTTTAGTCGTTCAACCCAAAATGCGCATGTTTCGTCCTCTTTATTTTACTCCTACCAAGCTTGGGGCCGGAACAGTAGACAAAGCGCGAGAAGCCCGTGGTCGCGTTTGATTGCCTATAACAAATTCAATATCATTTTCTGTGGTCAAAACTCTCTAGTTATTTGGTCTCAGGTTTAGGAGCAGCCGCGATACTTTTAAACTTGCTCCCCGCTTTGCCTTTCCCAGGAGAGGGACCCACTGTCATTTGTTGCCATCGAGCGTTGAGATTGTCCACGTACTTTTTGACTGCAGCTTTAACGTAGCACTCTAGATCCGAAGTATATGTTAGTTGTGCCAAGACATAGCGGTCTTTGAATCGCGACAGACAGTGGTGACCATCGCAAAACAATATGGAGCATTCCATTAGCTACAAGCATCGAAATTGGGATTTGTTCTAGCTGCAATAATATTTTATTTTGCGAGGTCATCACCAGGGTTTTCAATTATATCATTCTTGAAACATCGCGCACCATAGGGTTCCCATCCTTAATCAGGACGTCCAAATAGAACAGTAAACAAAATTGCAAACAAATTCTCGAGATATGTTCAAAGCCACTTTCCGATTGTGTATCAGTACCAATCTGAAGTTACAGAGCTCGACGGCGAACAACGAAAAGAAGAAACCGTAGAAGTATCTTCGAGATGATATCTCATAAGTAATGATGAGTCTCAAAACGTCTCTCGGAAGAGGCTGTTCGATGGATTCGTGGATGCTGTACACATGGTATGGTGTGACCAGCGGAGTCTCAGAATATTTCGAGTCTATTGTATGCTTGTACTCAACCAAGCTAACTCAGTCTACAGTTGCCGGAGTTCATGATTGAAACTCAGATGCTACTACATAATATTACAGTCTATTTTGCGCCAATAGCGAGTACATGAGTACAAGAGTACATGAGTACAGTTGTTCTACGTCGTACGTACATCACACAGTGACACCTATTTTAACGCTTGGTGACGCTGTGACACAACTGGGAGACAAGTGCTGGCGTAAGCGTATGGTTTCTGTTTATAAGAGTTGTAAATTCTTATAAAATCTCGTATCAGCCTTCAAAACAGCTTTTGAGAGATCTTGGTGACTGCCAATTTGTTCACCATTTGATCACGCCAAAAAGAGCTGGGTCTGAGATTCATGATGCAACCTGTTCTGAATCTTGGCGTCTTTGCTAACGCTGCACCCAAATAGCAAAGAGTTATGAGTACCGGTTTTGAGATGATAAGTCTGCAGCAGACTTTTGAAAATCGGAATCTAATCTCTGCAAACAAACGCGATCCTTACATACGTGTTGTCACTACGTGTATCTTACAGCTCTAAAAAAATCTTGAAAGCTCCAAAACTCGCAACCCCAAACCATAGCAATTATCGAGAGGACTACCCTATCTGGACCCCAATGCCTCGAGTCGATACTCAAAATGCCGGTGTTCTCTGCTACTATTAATCCAACACACAACGTTGAATTATTTTTTGATCTGTCTGCTGAGACCTGACACTTGCTGAGCTAGTGACAGCGACGCTCACGGACGATGATATAATTTGAGAAACTCGTGCTCGATATGATGAGGGACGAGAAAACAAAGCTCGTCAAATTATTGGAAAACAGTTCCTGCGTTAGTATCACCACATCATAGCCAAGAGTAATTAAACCCTACTCTTGGCGTGCCAAGCCTTATTGTATTTCATGCCAAGTGTCGTATCAGTGTTCTCGAAACATCACTTTTCACCTGTCCCGTCATCTGGCACTAACTCACGTGGCATCCAGCAATTCAAGCTCGCAAAACGTAGCGATGAGACACCAGTTCATACTATGGCACCACTCCACCAACGCGAACAGTCCCCTAGAAGTCTCGCTTATTCTAGAAAATGAAATTTTCAAAATTTCACCGCCCCTGATCTGAGAGAAATCATCAACAGTCGAAAAACCATTGCGAGAACTCGACGACCGTAAATAACATCTCTCTGAAACTTTACATAACGTCTCCCCAACTCTCCACACTACCTATATTCCTGATTAGATTCCCCTCCCTCCCCCAAGCAGTGTGTCACCCATCATATCAGCCGACATGCTAGTTCACAAACCATGTCATACAATTTCACCACGTCCTTCCACAGCACACGGTCCATTCATACCTACTTTCTTCTTAGCAAAGCACACATTAAAGCGATTATCCTATTTCCAACAACCCCGCGTTGCCAATTGTCAAGTCAAAAACTCCCCATATTCACTCTTGCCTGTCCCACTGGCTATCGCATCCCCCGGATCCTTTCCGAGTCAAACCTGATTTAAGAAAAACCAACCGCTACGATAAGCCAATATTATCTTGAAAACCGTTCTATGCTCTTGTTCAGTAATACCCTTTTTGATCAAAACAGATATTCACACCACTTATCTGCACATCGGCACACACACCCACACTCATTAATTTTTAGTTCGGTTAGCACTGTTCACAACTGAACTTAGCTTTCCTGACTCTGTATGGTCGAGCCCTTGATGTTCCACACACAGCGCGCGAGCGACTTCGGAGAAACTCGGATTAACCTAGACGCATGAAAAAAGTGGTGTGAACTTTTTGGTATTGGCAGGACGGACACCGACGCTCGACCTCTATGCTCCCCGGAAGAATTTTCTCGGCTCCTTCCCTAGCTTGGCTAAATATTTCCCCAGAAACATGCGTACGGGATCAAAATTTCTCCGTAAAGACGCATCTGTTGTGCAGGTCAAAAAGAATTGAAAAGGAATTTCCCGGGAAAAAGCACCACTGAGGGGTGTCTGGAGAAACTTCACGGATGCGTCTAGGGAGATTTTTCGGAAAAAATTTCCCAGCACGCATGCGGAAAAATGTATCTCCAAGTTTTTCCGGGTGGCCGGAAAAAATAAATCCGGAGATGCATATCGCACAGAGGAGACCGTAGAGGGTGGAGAAAAGATCTTCCCATCGGTCGGATTTATCCCTCTCGATCCTGACTTACCCCGGAACGAAAGGTCAACTGATCGACTTGGCTCAGAACTAGCCGCACGAAACGACTCCAGCCCGAGAGGCATAACGGTAGCATTGGCAAATATACTCCCACCAGACGACAGCTATTTTGTCCGTTTGACTGGGTCCAAAAAAATTGTATATAAGAAGCACAATTCAGAGGTTTATGTTCAATTAGTTTGGTTTGGATATTTTCTATTCTATTCTTCTTATCCCATCAATCCACTCCAGTTTCTCAAGCTTCCCTTCTTAGCTAAGAACATTCCAAACATTTCATAAAAAAAATGTCTGCTGCTGCTTACAATAACGGCACAGCAGCCTCTGCTACGCCAGTCGACTTGCACTCCACAGTGAGTCACGGCTCGCAATTGTCCACTCCTTCGAACAAAGAGTCCCGCGACGATCTTAAAGACACTCGTTTCCCTGAAGACGCCGTTGAAAAGGAAATCGACATCCCAAAAAAACCTGCTTCCGCCTACATCACCGTGGTCTTGCTATGCTTGTGTGTCGCTTTCGGTGGTTTCGTTTTCGGCTGGGATACCGGTACCATTTCCGGTTTCGTGCAACAAACTGACTTTAAACGCAGATTTGGTGAAATCAACAGCAAGGGCGAGTACTACCTTTCTAACGTTAGAACCGGTCTGATCGTGGCTATTTTGAACATCGGGTGTGCTTTTGGTGGTATCATTTTGTCCAAGGTCGGTGACATGTACGGTCGTCGTATTGGTTTGATGACAGTTGTGGTCGTCTACGTCGTTGGTATTATCATCCAAATCGCTTCTATCGACAAATGGTACCAGTACTTCATCGGCAGAATCATCTCTGGTCTTGGTATCGGTGGTATCGCTGTTTTGTCGCCCATGTTGATTTCTGAAGTCGCTCCAAAGCATTTGAGAGGTACTTTGATTGCTTGTTTCCAATTGATGATTACTTTCGGTATTTTCTTGGGTTACTGCACCAACTACGGTGTCAAGACCTACACCAACTCTGTGCAATGGAGAGTTCCTCTAGGTCTATGCTTCGCCTGGGCTCTATTTATGATCGCCGGTATGTGTTTCGTTCCCGAGTCTCCACGTTACTTGGTCGAAAAAGGTAAGATCGAAGAAGCCAAGCGCTCTGTTGCTAGATCCAACAAAGTTAGCATCGAAGATCCTGCCGTTCAAGTTGAAATCGACCTTATTGCTGCGGGTGTCGAAGCTGAAAAAATGGCTGGTTCCGCTTCCTGGGGCGAACTTTTCTCCACTAAGACTAAGGTTTTCCAACGTTTGATTATGGGTATCATGATTCAATCTTTGCAACAATTGACTGGTGACAACTACTTCTTCTACTACGGTACCACGATTTTCAAAGCTGTCGGATTGACTGATTCTTTCCAAACATCTATTGTCATTGGTATTGTCAACTTCGCTTCCACTTTCGTCGGTATCTACACTGTCGAGAAATTTGGTCGTCGTAAGTGTCTACTATGGGGTGCCGCTTCAATGGTTGCCTGTTTCGTGGTTTACTCTTCGGTCGGTGTTACCAGACTATATCCTGACGGCCCCAAACACAAGGAGAATTCTAATACCGGTGCCGGTAACTGTATGATCGTTTTCACCTGTTTCTACATTTTCTGCTTTGCTACCACTTGGGCCCCTATGGCTTACATCGTTGTTGCCGAATCTTACCCACTGAGAGTCAAGTCCAAGTGTATGGCTATTGCTACCGCTTCTAACTGGCTATGGGGTTTCTTGATTGCGTTCTTCACTCCATTCATCACCAGTGCGATCAACTTCTACTACGGTTATGTTTTCATGGGCTGCCTGGTGTTTGCTTTCTTCTACGTTTTCTTCTTCGTTCCAGAGACTAAAGGTTTGACTTTGGAAGAGGTTCAAGAACTATGGGAAGAAGGTGTCTTGCCATGGAAATCCGCTTCTTGGTTGCCACCATCCAGAAGAGGCGCTGACTACAACAACGAAGAATTGATGCATGACGAAAAGCCATGGTACAAGAGAATGATTTAAATCAATCATATTTCAAATGAGCTACAAAAGCTCCAACTGTGAGAATCGAAATCGTCGATTCTCGACCATTTTGCCTAACTCTTCCTCATTCCTGATGAATTTACATCATATGAACTGAGACTTGCTGGCGCTGACACCCATCATGAGGTCATCATCTGGCCATAATTTTAACGATGTTATGACAAAGATCTATAATTTGAACCATACACACAATAGACAGTATATAATATAGAATTCAGAATATTATCAAACTTCGCTTCGTACTATATTTGGAGAAACCATTGTCTCTTTGTTGACAAGAAGCTTGTGCAATAGTTCGTTCTCTTCGAGAAGCATATCATACCTGTCATATATCTCCTCTAAGAGGCCTGTTTCGTATGTCAGTAAATTCCGTAAATTTTGAAGAAAAGTGATATATTTGTCATTGCGTTCTCTGAATTCTAAAGGTCCTTGTGGATGACAATCAAAATTCATAATCCAATTTTGGTTTTGCTTGATAGCATTACGCATTTCGTTGAGATAAAGAGCCTTTATCTCACTAAGAAGTGCTGTGCGTTTCGGTTCCCCAATTGTAATATAAAAATCGCCATCAGCAATTTCTTGCTCGGTCAAATATTCCACTATTTTGGGTTGTTTTTCTGAGAGTGGGTAAACTATGGGCTTCGGGCGTGGCCTGCCTAGCTCGTCCACCTTTACATTTAATGTCTCTGGAGAATTACAGTTTTCTTTTCCTTCGGAAGTGGGCTTAATAGCGTGTCTATTAGAGGGCCAGAGCGTGGTATGGTTTAGATGATCTCTACCAAATAAAGAGATAATGCTGAGATGGTCAATTTCATGGTTTTTTCTCTCGGCCGGGCTTGTACGGGACTCAGGCGACCCTAGGCCCATTTCCAGGATTCGTTTGGCATTTTTGAGAGACCGTCTGATCTTGCTATTTCGATGCAAAGTCTCCCCAGGGAATAAAACCTTTGGAGGCCCGATACCGGTAGTCGATTTTGTTGCACCTTCTGCGGTCCGAGCTTCAGAACCACCTTTCGTTGTACCTCGTTGACTTAATTTACGGGCTATCTTTCCAAAGAGCCCGCGCGAACGAGAATTTGTTTCTGATTCCATGATAAATCTACAAACGTCTTGGAACTTCGATTACAGACACAAGATTCCCGATCAATCTGTAGTTTTAAGAGGTTCAGTCACAATCGATCTGCTATTTACATTTCGCCCTGCGTCAGATCATCCATTTTATTTGTGACGCGGCAATCTCAATATTTAAAATGACGGTGGTGATAAAAAGAGCTTGGCACCTCATCAAAGAGCGAGCAGAACAAGGAAAAAGCCATCGGAGGGAGCTACAGAAGAGGGAAACTCAAAAACTTGGGCATCAAGATAAAAACTACGGGATAAAATGGTCAACATCAAGCTGTTCATAGCTTTTAGGACCACTATATCATAATATACGAATGTGACGTTGGTTGTCGATATAATTCCTAGAGTTTAACAAAAATGTTCTTGACCAAGATAACGTCAATTAGCACCAAGTATCCAAAGTACATTAACGTGCGTCCATGTCCATTCTAATACCATTAACTCTTACTCAAAAAACTGTAGCTCAACCTTGTCTTACTATTCAGTTCTTGGTACCTAGCATCTTTAAAAAATTTTACCCAAGAAAACGAAATATTAAGAAGTTATCGTTTTACATTTTTGGTTCAACTTCTTTGGTGTATGCTTAGCAGAGCATTGGGTCGTTTATATCGAGTTCACAGTTTAAGCTATCACATCAAACCACATTGTAGTGTTATTGCTTCTTTCCACGTAAAGCCCACGCAACGTATCGAGCGAAAAACCATGTCCACTGTATCCATCGCTTCTCAGCTGCAGAAGATGTCTATTGAGCAGCCTGCGGCTCTAGAGGGTTCTTTCCCCGAACACAATGTTGTCGATTTGATGAGAAACTACGTCAGTGCCGAGCTTTCCAAGATTTCTGGCGTCAGCACCGATTTGATTTACCCAGCGTTGGAATGGACCAACACTCTTGACAGAGGTGATCTGTTGATTCCAGTTCCTAGATTGCGTATTAAGGGTGCCAATCCAAAAAATTTGGCCACAGAATGGGCGGAGAAATTCCCAAATGGAGACTATCTGTCTAAAGTGGAAGCCAATGGGCCATTTGTGCAGTTCTTCTTCAAACCAGAATTCTTGTTCAAAGTGGTGCTTCCTAACGTTCTTACCGGAAAGGAACAATACGGAGCCATGCCCTTGGTGGAAAACAAAAAAGTCGTCATCGAGTTCTCTTCTCCTAACATTGCCAAGCCCTTCCATGCCGGTCATTTGAGATCTACCATCATTGGTGGTTTCTTGTCTAATCTGTACGAAAAACTGGGCTGGGACGTCGTCAGACTCAACTACCTCGGTGACTGGGGTAAGCAGTTTGGTCTTTTGGCCGTTGGTTTCGAGAGATACGGTTCCGAAGAAGCCTTACAGAACGACCCTATAAAGCACTTGTACGATGTCTATGTTCGTGTTAACAAGGACATTGAGGCCGAGGGTGACACTTTGCCAGAAGACAAATCCACGCACGGTCTGGCCCGTGCGTACTTTAAAAAAATGGAGGATGGCGATGAAGACGCTCTAAAGATCTGGAAACGTTTCCGTGACTTGTCGATCGATAAGTATGTCGATACTTACGCCAGATTGAACATTCAGTACGACTCTTACTCTGGTGAGTCCCAGGCCTCTAGAGAATCCATGGCCGAAGCCTTGAGAATGTTCTCCGAAAAGGGCTTGGCTCACGAAGATAGAGGCGCCACTTTGATTGATTTGACCAAGTTCAACAAGAAACTCGGTAAAACGATTGTCCAGAAATCCGATGGTACCACTCTTTACATGACCAGAGATGTCGGTACCGCCATGGATCGTTACAAGAAGTACAAGTTCGACAAGATGATCTACGTGATTGCTTGCCAACAGGATTTGTACACTGCGCAATTATTCGAAGTGCTAAAGCAGCTGGGCTTTGAATGGGCTAAGGACTTGATGCACGTCAACTTCGGGATGGTTCAAGGTATGTCCACTAGAAAGGGTACTGTTGTGTTCTTGGACAACATTCTGGAAGAAACCAAGGACAAGATGCATGAGGTTATGAAGACCAACAAGGCAAAGTACGCTCAGATCGAGAACCCAGATGAGGTGGCCGACTTGGTTGGTATTTCTGCTGTTATGATTCAGGACATGCAAGCTAAGCGTATCAACAACTACGAATTCAAGTGGGAGAGAATGACCTCGTTCGAAGGTGACACCGGTCCATACCTGCAGTACGCCCATTCCAGATTGAGATCTGTGGAAAGAAATGCATCTGAAATCACCAAAGAGATGTGCATGAACGCAGACTTCTCTCTATTGAAGGAGCCTGCTGCCGAGATTTTGATTCGTTTGCTAGCTCAATACCCAGATGTTTTGAGAAACGCTGCCAAGACTCACGAGCCCGCTACCGTGGTGACTTACTTGTTCAAGCTAACTCACCAAGTATCCTCGTGTTACGATGTCTTGTGGGTTGCTGGCCAGACACCAGAGCTTGCTGCTGCCCGCTTGGCGCTGTACGCATCCGCTAGACAAGTGCTATACAATGGTATGACCTTGTTGGGCTTGACACCCGTCGATAGAATGTGAAGGTCTCCTCTTACCAAAGATTCAGAGAGGAGAACCCTCAATGTAAGTGTGTGTATATAATAATTGAGAACTACGAAAGCTTGTAGGGATGGTAAGAGGTAATGCAAATTGGCATCCCGCAGTTTTATGAAGAGAGTAGCATCTTCTCGCGAGAGTTTACTTAGCCATAACATGGGCAGAGTGGTTAATCTGCAGCTTGTCCTTCTTATTATGTGGCCATGCCTCTCTTCTTACTGCTAAGGTACGCTTGATATCTTCTCACAAAAAACTTGTTTTTGAACAAATCGTCCCAGTGGCCGAGTGGTTAAGGCGATGCCCTGCTATTCGACATTTCGAAAGCGAGTTAGGCATTGGGTTTTACCTGCGCAGGTTCGAATCCTGTCTGTGACGTTCTTTCTGACTTTTTTTGTTTTAGAATTTTAAAAAATTCAAGTTTACCTATTGTAAGATGACGCACATTTTATGTCCGATTCCCTACGTTTGCACTCTATTTTTTTTAAGCCTGTCGAAACAGACCCAAATAGAATTACGGGCTTGGTTTTGGTGTCCAGCTTTTGTCTGGCTTGTTCTTACCTTCAAGGTAGCTGTCGTGAGTGTACCATATACGTATACAACGACACTGAAGTTTTTCAGTAATAACGTACGTGTGAAATCGTGAAAGCGATGAGTTAGCGATGAGCAAAACACATATACACATACAAGTCGGCTACCCAGCGTTGTTCTGCTACCAACTACACGCACCTCGAAAAACACTTGTGAATCATGGGTAAAGCAAAAAAAACCAGAAAGTTTGGCCTCGTCAAACGTACTTTAAACGCCAAGAAAGATGCCCGTCTTAAGGCCAATCAACCCAAAACGGCCGGCAAAGAAGACTCCGAGCTTACAAAACACGTTCCACAGGTATCAAGTGCGCTATTTTTCCAATACAACCAGGCCATCAAGCCGCCCTACCAGGTGCTGATAGATACCAATTTCATCAATTTTTCGATCCAGAAGAAAATAGACCTAGTGCGAGGCATGATGGACGCGCTGCTGGCCAAGTGTGTACCGATCATCACTGACTGTGTGATGGCCGAACTCGAGAAACTAGGCCCCAAGTACAGAATCGCTTTGAAGCTGGCACGTGACCCTCGGATTCAAAGGTTGAGTTGTAGCCATAAGGGCACCTACGCCGATGACTGTATTGTGAACCGTGTGCTCCAACACAAGTGCTACATTGTTGCCACCAACGATGCTGGACTGAAACAGCGGGTTCGTAAAGTGCCGGGGATTCCGCTCATGAGCGTGGGTGGACATGCATACGTGGTTGAAAAGCTGCCGGACGTTTTTTAAGGCTTTTAAAACTACTCGACAGTTAAAAAGTTATATATACTTAGTTTGGTGGGGTTTGCCCAAAATTTTCTCATTGCATTACCGGCGTTCGTTTCGTTGACGTTACGGGCGCTGCCAATCTGTTGTACTTGCTTTTTAGGTGCTTTTCTAAGACCAACACATTTCTTGAATTGGCTTTGTAGCATACCGAGACCAAATCACCCACAATCGGAACTAGACCAAGCCCGAAATCCACGGCTATATTGGTGATCATTTGTGCGGACACTGTGGGCGGAAGCCCGCCGTTGATCTTCATCGCTTCCTTATACACCTGTAGCGACAACCAGAGCACCAGGATATCACCGACAACGGGTAATATCCCAATCACACCTAACCACCCGAATCTTATGCCAAAGATATGGAACTTCATGTCCAGACTATATGCTCTCTTGCGCACACGGCGTAGAATTTTACCATCAGCCTGAGGGATTGAATCTGGAATGCTTTTGTCGCGGCGTTTTTTGACGATTTTGGAACTTCCAGACCAGAAAGAACGTTTTTCAAACTCAACTTCTTCAAAGAATGGATCTTCAAAAGCGCTGCCTATTTCCACATCTCCAAAGACCTTCCTGGCTAGATATTTCAAAGGATATGATGCAAGTCCCATGTTGATTTTACTCAGTCAAACTTTAGTAACCAAAATGGAAAGGAGCTGAGCTGTGGTAATATTTCTGGATAGTGACCAGTAATTTCACTCCTTCTGTCAGGGTCTTTATATACCTTGATGCGAGGGTTACCTTAAGAGGCCAACGCCTCTCTTTACTTTGCTTTGCTGGTGGTATCGCTAATATTGCTAATCTGGGTCACGCGATTGCCAGTTTAAAACTACATGCTCACAATTTGGAAGGAAAAGACGGACGTATAAAACGGTTTGTCGATGCTTACGGTCGCGAACCGGCTGGATTGTGAAAGTGGTGGTGTTGAATTAAAGGAAAATGTCGGTCAAACACAGATTCGAAAATATCAAGCAGTAGTGAATTTTCTTGGAAAAAAGTTCCAGCTCGCATGTGGTGTGTGTATCCCGGACAGAACGTAGTGTAATGATCACACACTTGATAAATTCCACAAATGACGGGGATCCAGACTATTGGAACTGAAAGTGAGTGGTTCTCTAATGAGTCACGTGTAGTAGATGACAGAGAGTAGCTCAGTGATATTAATGATTTGCAGAATCGATGACAACAAGTGAAAACGTATTTGCGACTGGACATCATTCCAGCCACGACATTCAAGCACACAAGTGTTTAATTTTTAAACGTGTATGTATGAGATCAGCTACTTCATTGTCCGGTTTTCCAGTCTGCCGATCCGGAATTTTTCTTTTCATTTTTCACTTCATGATGGCCTCGCTTTAGTAGCAAATGCTCATACAATTTCCTGTCCAAAACAAACAAACCCGTCCACACAGTTATAGCCATCATGTTGCGGTTTCTGGGACTGGTATCACAAATGATTGGAAGACACGCGTCACTTTAGTACAAAGTGATGCACACAATTTTGCATACACACACACACTTCAATATAGAACCGATTGCGAGCTCCAGAAGCATGCCAGTGATCAGCACTGCTCAAGGCTCAAAATACTCACGGCAGGCAGAAACGTCATGGGCCGTACGGTGGCTAGCTGATTCCAAAAGACTACAATCACGTGACAAAGATTACAAATTTTAGCGAAGTCTGACAGCTAGACGCCTTGTAGTTAATTCTTCACCACAAAGTTTCAAGTAAAACGAACGATTAGCGCTCGTTCGATTCCCCGACCGCTCTCCTATCATCATGGATCCCAGTTCAGCGCTCGAACAAACGACACTCGATGTCTCAAACCTGCAATCAGAGTTCAAATACATTCTGGACGAGATTGGAAATGCAGACCTAAAGATATATGACCATCGCAAGCAGTATCTGCAGCGGGACTCGCAGATACAGAAACTTTACAAACAACAAGGCTGCGGACCTGAAAAAGCTCGCGAAACAGAGCTGTCCGACAAAATATGCCAGGATTTGGCCGAATGTCAAGCACTGCAAAAGAGCAAATGTGTTTTGGCCAACACCGCGTTGTTTCTGGTCACCAAACATCTTACGAAGCTGCAAGACACGATAAAAACGCTAGAAGAAGAGGGCTCTTTGGCACCGCTGGAAAACGACGAAAAAGAGTCTGAAAGTGCCAACGAAATCTCGCGCGAAAGTTCAGTGCTGTCAGGCACTGGTGAAGCACGCCGCCGCAAAAACGCGACTCCAGGGCCCCTCAAACGCAAACGCAAGAGCGAGGGCACTCCTGTGGGCCGCAACAAGGGAAGCTCGCCTATGGCGGGCTCCACGGACCCCAATTTCGACCTCCAAGATTACAACGACGATCTCTTTTCGGGCTACAACCAGGCAGAAGAGGACGACAAACAATTATATTGTTTTTGCCAGAGTGTTTCTTACGGCGAGATGGTGGCGTGCGATGGGCCCAATTGCAAATTCGAGTGGTTTCACTACACATGTGTCAATTTGAAGGAACCTCCCAAAGGCTCCTGGTATTGTCCCGATTGCCGACAGGAACTTGCCAACAGCAGACTGAAAAAACGCAAACTGTAGCTCAACAGCGACCAAATCATACATAAACACTGTTTAACGACCTAACGATTACGATATTCTGGCGGGAGATCTTGCCCTGGCGGTTCGCTAGCGCTGCGTTATCGGTGACTCCAGTACCGATAAATAAAATATGTACTTAGTTAATCAAATGCCTTAATTTAAGATCGTTAAACTGTTAAAAGCTTCAGCTCATCGAGCAGTAATCAGGAACAGAATCAAGCCAGATAGCTCGTTGGCGTACCTACAACGCTTGAAACTGCTAAAGAAAGTAGCTATATATACTCTAAGCTTAAGATGACAACAATGTTGACGAAGAGTTTGGCACAGATGCATCCAAAACTGCGTACCAATGGTATGGGTATCGGTAACAACCACAGAAGGATATCGTTGGGGTTCCTTCAACCCAGCAAACGGAACCCATTGGTGAAAAAATATAAACCCAGGAGAAGGTATGGTTCAGATCAGCAGAGTTTCCGGTCTTTGGGAGATGACTTTGGGAGCACAGTCGCACGTGAAGACCCAATGGATGCGATCGACGAAGAGGTTGGAGATACCGAGTCTCAAGACGGTGGAGAGCTTAGTAGGACAGTTTCACTCCCTTCAAGAGTGAGTGAGACTCCCGATGTGCATTCGGAGGTAGATTGGATCTTGGAAGAGCACGAAAGAAGATATTCCACTGCGCATCGGAGCGAAGAGGGTTCGGTACAGGATGAAACGGAATACAATCGACCACCGGATCAGGACGAACAAGAGCAGCAAGAGAATCTGGAATATGGCGACTTCATGAAGCGGGTCAGACAACAGCTGATGTACGACGTACACAGACGGCAGCCCAGACCGTCGTTCGTGTCCGTGAGCAGTCGTGGATCAGTCCCCAATATTTACGAATCCGTGGACCATGAAGAAGATTATAAGCGCGAACTGGTCATTTTCAAAAGCGAGGCAAAAGTCTTGGCTTCTTACTCCATACCGCTAATCCTGACTTTTCTTCTAGAACAGCTTTTTCCCTTGGTGTGCTCGCTTACAGTTGGCCACCTAGGTAAAAACGAGCTTGCAGCAGTCTCTCTAGCGTCAATGACCACGAATATCACTTTGGCAGTTTTTGAGGGGATTTCCACAAGTTTGGACACACTATGCCCGCAGGCTTATGGGTCTGGCAACTATCGAGGCGTAGGAATACATTTACAAAGATGTATTGCGTTCTCCATGGTTGTCTACATTCCGTTTGCCATTTTTTGGTATTTCTCAGAGTATTTCCTGGGCTTTGTTGTGAAAGAAAAGGAGCTGGTGAGCTTAACAGCCAAATTTCTGCGAGTGGCGATACTGGGTGCTCCTCCCTACATCATATTTGAAAACCTGAAAAGGTTTTTACAAGCGCAGGGCATTTTCGATGCTGGAATATACGTTCTTTTGATCTGTGCACCTCTGAATATTCTGACTAGTTACACGCTAGTGTGGAACTCCAAGATCGGTGTAGGGTATATTGGTGCCCCAATTGCAATGGTCCTCAACTTTTGGCTCATGCTTGCTCTGCTTTTGCTGTACATTCTTTATGTGGACGGCAAACAGTGCTGGGGTGGCTTCAATAAGAAGGCGTTCACTCATTGGAAGGCGCTTTCTGAGCTGGCCATACCAGGCATCATTATGTTGGAAGCTGAGGATCTCTCGTACGAGATCTTGACCCTGTTCAGTTCCTACTTTGGAACCAGCTATTTGGCTGCTCAGTCAGCTGTGTCTACGACCGTGACTTTGACCTACATGATCCCATTCGCCGTTGGCATATCATCATCTACTCGAATCGCGAACTTTGTAGGCGCCAGGAGACCAGACTGCGCCAAAATGGCATGCAAAGTGGGCATATTGTGCTCTTTGTTCGTCGGTCTTTTCAACTGCGTGGTTTTGATCAGCTGCCGTGAGCTCATTGCTAATGTGTACTCCAGAGACGCAGAAGTGGTCAAATTGATAACAGATCTGTTGCCGTTGGTTGGTGCAGTCGAGATTTTTGACTCTTTGAATGCCATCGCAGGCTCCTGTTTGCGTGGCCAGGGTATGCAGGCGATTGGCGGCGTCATTAACCTGGTTGTCTACTATCTGCTAGCGATTCCAATGGGTATTCTACTCGGCTGGACTTTCGACATGAAGTTGTTCGGCTTGTGGATTGGTATTGGAACCGGGATGTTTTTGATTGGCATGACAGAGGGCTACCTCGTGCTATTTCCGAACTGGAAGAAGGTGCTCGAGCGTGCTGAGATGCGCAAAGAGGCAGAAGACGCTGAGGAATTAGAATCTGATGACGAATATTTCTCCAGCGACTCCGACGAAAACGAACCCACTGAAGAGTCCAGACTGCTACACAGATAAACTTGGATAAGTGCGATGAAGAGACGAGGCTTGACCAGCCCTCAAGAGGACAGCATGGAGTGTGCCGACACACACTGGGCATCGGGCCCGGTCCAACAACTCAGGATTCCCTTCACCATGACACACGTGACCTCAAAGATACCGAGAATCTGATCTAACGGCACGTGACCTTTTGGATATTACCGTTATCAGCGATAGAACTCCAGATGTGGCTCGCCTATTTTGCAGCGGTTGGCTAACGAATAATTTGGTAATAATGAGAACAACCATGATGAATAAGAATCTATCTTCGAAGAGCTTTACTTGTCGTCAGATCATCGAGCTCTAGAGCCAACGACACGATATGTTTGGCATTAAGGTTTTACGCAGCTCGGTGCGAACGAGGCGACTTTTTAGAGCCCGGTTTCACCAATTGGTGCCAATGCAGTCTAAATCTACAAATCCAGCAATGCAATTCCCGTGTCTTGACAAAATGGAGGAATTGTCAGAACAGCTCAGAAATAAGCACGGCAGCTGTCCGAGAGTAGATGCTACGTCATCTCCGAATAACGAGCCAAATTACGGACGGGTGCGATCGGGTTTCAAAGTGTACAAATCGGACCAACCACTGTTTTTGGATTACGGCGGGGTTCTGCCAAAGTTCCAGATAGCATACGAAACCTGGGGAAATCTCAATAGTGACAAGTCAAATGCGGTGCTCGTACACACGGGGCTGAGTGCGTCTTCACACGCTAAATCTTCACCGGACAATCCGCAGCCAGGCTGGTGGGAGAAGTTTATAGGTCCTGGAAACGCCATGTTGGACACGAATGAGTTTTTTGTTATTTGCACTAATGTGCTTGGTGGCTGCTACGGCTCTACAGGACCATCCTCCCCGGACCCAGCTGACAACTCGCCGTATGCAACTAGATTTCCAATGCTCAGTATCCAGGACATAATAAGAGGTCAGCAAAGGCTTGTTGAAGAAAATTTCGGCATCGAAAAGCTATATGCTTCCGTTGGATGCTCTATGGGTGGCATGCAGTCGTTAGCATACGCCCAGCAATTTCCGCAAGGCGTGGAAAAGGTAGTAACGGTTTCTGCTTGCGCCAGATCGCACCCATCCAGCATTGCTATGAGACATGCCCAAAGACAAGTACTCATGGCTGACCAGCACTGGGCACGAGGATTTTACTACCCAACGCCAGATGAACCTAACAAAATTCTCCCACATGTTGGCATGAAGCTGGCGCGAGAAATTGCCACCGTGACTTACAGATCGGGACCCGAATGGGAATCCAGATTTGGTACCGAGCGTCTAAACGACGATAGGCCTCCAGTTCTGTGCCCTGACTTCCTAATTGAAACCTATCTCGATCACCAGGGCGAGAAGTTTTCCCTAGAGTATGATCCCAACTCTTTTTTGTACCTCTCAAAGACCATGGACTTGTTTGACCTTTCCAAAAGCCACCAGGACAGAAGTAATCGCAGAAAAGCAGAAGCTCAGCGGCTGCTGGAGGATGGAGACTCGTCTGAAAAACCAGTAAGGCTTTGTGATGAACCATATGAGCCGATCAAGAAAAGAAGAACCACCACTGTTGAAGAATCCCGTGAGGACCTTCGAAAGGGCATGGAGTCAATCAAGGATAAGAACTTACTGGTTGTAGGAGTCAAGTCTGATGGTCTTTTCCCTTACTGGCAGCAAAGGGAAATTGTCGACTTGCTAGGAAACGGCCAGAACATTGAGCATGTTGAGCTAGACGAGTCCCAATCTTTGTTTGGGCACGACACCTTTCTTCTCGACTTGGAGCACGTAGGAGGGAGTATAGGAAAATTTTTGAGAAAGGGTCAAGTAGCAGAGCTGAATACGATTTGATTGAGTCTAACTTATATTTACAAGGTAAGCTTTATGTGTACATTTGTGATTTAGATGCGGTTTGGTCGTCATTTCATTTTTCAATTGTGTGCTCTTCTGGCAGACCTTCTCTGCTTGCGGAGGTCTCTCCGTTTCTGATCTGCTACCCTCTTGGAGTCCTTGATTAGGATGCGGTCGCCAAAGAATTTGTAGTCTTGCATGTATCGCCTGTCCATGTTAAACTCGCTGACAACGGCGTTATCACTGAGTCCCAGCTTCTGTATTGTCCAGAAGTATTTTTCAGGCTTGTCACGTTTCAGATATCTCAAGATGTTCTGTCTCTGTTGCACTAGCATTCGCAATATTCTGGTATTCTTGTGATCATTTTTGTTTTCCTGGACATGTTTCGCCAGGTTTTGGATACGAACTGTCATTATCGCAGCTTGTACCTCACTAGAGCCAGTGTCTCCTTCAAACCTCTGAAACTCTTCCCTTGCCTGGCGGACTGCCAATTTCATTGAATCTTTGTTGTCGGCATTTCTCATGCTCAGAACTCTCAGTATCGACTCTCTTTTCAATTCCAGATTTTGCAGAGCAGTTTCGTCATTTTCGGAAGTCAAGGATTGGTTGTTGAAACCAGCTAGTTCCATTTGCTCCATTTTCGCTGCTTCAACAGATGCTATAAGCGATTCTACCTCTTGAGCCCCATAACCTTTGGCCAAGACCTTAGGTTCTTTTAATTCCGCCATCGTTCGCACTATAAAAGGTGTATGATTCCGTCCGAAAACAGGGTCCACAGTATCCAAAGACGTCTTTAATTTCAGCTGTTTGGCTTGATTCACCTGTCTTTTTCTCTGAGCCTTTAGAAATTTAACAGCTTTTGGACCATTGCACCAATGCGTCTGGGAAAAGTGTCTGAAATTCCCCAATTGCGGAGCTGTGAGGCGACCATATAAACCAACAACCGGTAGCCTCATTATGGGTTTCACAGCTTGTTTTACAGGATTCACATCTTCAACTCTATCTGTAGTCTTCACAATTCTAAAATTTTTCAATTTCGACACTAGCTAGAATTAATGTGATGTCAGTCCTGGAAAAAGTGATGTGAAAGGGCTCTCAGCTAAAAACACCCAATACATCACTGTTGTAAGCCCTTCTTGAGCTCTCCAGCTTTGCTGGATTTGAGAATTACTTTAATTTGAGCTTTGAGCTTTTTCGGATTTGTAATTTCGACCACTTTGCGGTGTTCATGGGGCTTGACATTGGGATACTTTTCGTTAGTGACAATTTGGAAAAAGTCGTCAGTGCTTGAACTGAGGATGAGCAATGCTTGTTTGGCCGTCCGTGATAAGTCTCCCGCATTGAAGGGAATGCCGCTCGTGGATATGATAACCAATTTGTTTCGGTGAGAATAGTTTTGATAGAATACATTGATGCATTTGGGTGTGGAAAGCTTTTTAAATTCTGAATGTTGCAACAAGTCTCGAAGTTCACTTTCGATAGCGCGCTTTTGATACGGGGACAGAGCAATTATGCTGATCGAATCTGCAGGATACCCTATTGATCGAAGGTAGGCATATATGAGAACGCAGTGTTCAGCTTCGTCCCAATTGACGTTGTTCGTTGTAATCTCTCCTGGAGCTTTTATAACCTGAAAAGCATTGCCCAGTCCGGAAATTGAAGTGACCTTTGAAACTTGCGGCAAGCGTGTGCGGAGGATCATCGGATTCGTGTCAAAATTTGTAATAAGCGGAGAATTCATCAATTCTGCATTGATGAATTGCTGCAGAACATAAGGCACCGGACTGTTTAGAAAATTGCCAGTGATAATGAGTTTATGCCACTGAACTCGAATACTCAAAGCTCGCCAAATTTCCAAAGGCCGAAAATAATTGGCGTTGCACAGCACCAGATTGTCGAAAATATCCATTTTGAAATTGTTAGCCGCAACAATACTCTCTAACTGTTGATTTGTTACCAGAAGAAGATCACCACTTTCCCACAGAGCCTTTTTGAAGTCTCCAGGAAGATATAGAGCGCGCCATTTGTGCAATTGTTCAAAAATATTAGAAACCTCAGAGCTTATCGCGGCTACACGATGAGATATAGTCTCGTTGGCATGATTATTGATGTCAAGAAGCGGGAACTTCGAGACCTCAAAGTTCTCAGAATTACAATCTTTGAAGTGCTGCAACATAGGTTTCAAAAAGTACTGAAATAGGATGAGCGCTGCGTCTACGGTGGTCGAGTAGTCTCCAGAAATGTTGAGTTCCACTGTTATCTCTTGAACACGGGACAACAATGTTTTGATCTGTCGTTTCTTATTCTCGTAGGTGACTTTAGCATTTTCTGACCAGCAGACGATTGATTCTGGAGGTATAATATCTAGCACGCCTGCCAACTTGTAGCAAGTCTCCTCCGTGTCGCAAACGACCAAAGTTCTTCTCCTCAATCTGCCATACCTGGAATTCAGAAAGAGGTTGTCCAAAATAGCTGCAACTGTGGTCAACTTCCCGGTTCCCACATCGCCACTGACTACGCATTGTTCTATTTGTAGTCCACGCAGTATTAATTTAATTTGATTTTCTGTAAAGTTCAGCTTTGGCTTGCTCTTAATGAACTTGACCCTCGAATAAATGCCTTCCTCAGGCTTAAAACTTAAAGCACATTCAAATCTTTCTGTGCGCCTCCTCTTCTCGTCATGCTCCTGACTATCTGAAGTTTCACGTATAAGGTCTTTGGCCTGGTTTGGTGTCTCGAACACGTTCGATATGAGCAACGATTCTATAGCTTCACTTGGCTTCAAGATACAATTCATATCGCAGGTAGACCACAATTTATCATGAGCCAAAGCATTGTCTAGGTGATTCTTTAATATAGTGGAGTTGTTTTCGAGTTCTTGATTCAGTACAGATACAAGATTGACAGCACCCAAATCAAAGTCCTGATCCAGTTTTAATGTCACATCAAGTATCTGTTGATTATTCGTAGCGCTCTGAATTAGACTTGAAATTTTATGACCCGTTTCACACAAAAGCACAAAATTTTGTCTTTTGAAGTTATTCCACTCGGCTATGAATTCATTTCCATTGGAAAGCTCTTCTATATTGATCTTGAGGCGAACCGTTTTCACTACTTCGCCTGGAAATAAGTAAAAATGAGAAGTGGCATACTTGCTGTAGCCTTGTAGGTGGCCATCTTGTCTGGAGAATCTAGATGTGACCGTTCTCAAAAAGCCCTCGACGTCGCGTTGAAATTGAACGAATTCATGCATATAAATTTTGAGCGCATGAACGTACATATTACGCGACGGACTAATCCACATCCCAACAATACTGTGATCTTCGGTGAATAATGACGGCCAGAAACTATCCGGGTTGATTGGGGGTCTTGTAAAGTACTTCAAGGTTTCGAGTTCAGACTTTTTTTTTTGAGCTCTTAATCGAAGATTCATGGAAGACACTAGTTCGCTTTGTGCGTCTGAAACATCGCTAGGAAGCAAAGACGCAAATTCGAATATGCTGCAGTACTGCAGGGGCTTGAGTATGCCCATAGAGCGAGAGGTTGCTTGAAGAGTTTGAACGTGCGAGTAAAAAGTGGACCGGACGGTGGATTCAAAGAGAAGCTCAAGAAAGTCCAATTTCTTGACGCAATCAAGATTAGTTCGTAGCCACCAAAGTATACCAGATTCATGAAGCTGGTTGAACCACGTTTTTGCATCATTTTCAGGGAGCCATGGATGCGTTGATGCCAAGTAGACTAGGTCCATTAAGCTGGAGGAATTTTCTCTTGATTTCGTAATCTCTTCAATGAAGTCCAACCTATTCAACAGAAATTTCAAGTCTTGCTCTCCATCCGAAACTGCCAATATGGCATTGATCGTGCACAGACAAACGTCTATAGCATACGGATCGGAGCCCACTTTTTGAATGGCGTCGACCGCTGCATGAAGAGCGCTAGATGTGGCTTCCTTGTCTAGGATTGATAATGGTGTGCAATTCAGTGTCCTTAGTATTACCAAGCGTTTAAAAATGCATTTGGAGCTTACTGATGGTTTCAAATCGCGCAGATGAGAGAGTACAACTTTATCATTTAAAATGGATGTAATCGAGTTCTGATCGCTTTTTAAAAGCGACCAAAGGTTCCCATAAACTCTATCATCATCATTCTCACCTGAGTAGTCACAAGTCAAACTAGAGACATCCATGGATCCTTTTTCAGGGGAATTGTTTTCTGCATCGGCATCGAGATATGTGTGCTAACGTCTAGCGAATATCAGAGTCTTTAATCTAAAATCGCGAGTACGAGTACGAGTACAGAGTAAGCTTAGGAAGAGGACAGTATTAAAAGCGAATTTTAGGTAATATTCTCGACGCAGCGCACTCTGATGAATGGATATTATATGGTTGGTTAGGATCAGATCGACGCGAATGTGATGAGGAATACTAGAATCTAAACTTTTTTGCGTTCAGCATATGTCACCAGGGCACTTCGCTCTTTTGAAAAACGAAATCTCAATTGCTAGTTTTTGTGAGGTCTACGAGCAGCCGTTAGGCGCATTTGTGTGCGACCAATCCTGGCGAACAAAGTAGTTGACGGCTTGGAGCGTTCGAGACTAAAATCGATCGTGTCGTTATGTCACATGATCAGGCGTCAGATAAAAGAGATGAGGCGTCAAATAAGTAGAATCAGAGGCCTTGATTAGTGTATCTCTCCATGAGACAGTCTAGAGTGGGGGAGCAGATGCTTCACTTATAACTTGTAGAGCCGGTTTTTTAATGGGGCTTGTCAGCGTGTTTTGAGCGCCCAAGTGACACGTGACACACAGACAGCTAAGTATAAAGTGACAATCTACGACCACAGCAGCCGTGTTGGCCAGTGTGCCCTGAAGCTACCACTTGCACTCCCGCGTGTCAGTTTCAAAACAACAACAGCGCAATACGACGAAATGCCAGGAAAATATTGAAGCCGCGAAACTATGATGACGAAACCAGAGAGTGTAATCAAGTTTAGAAATACTGTTTGATCAAACCCAGACAGAAAATGTGATCAAACTCATACTTGAACTGTGATCACAATTAGACAGACGGTATGGTCAAAGCTAGACAGACAGTATGGTCAAAATTAGACATAAAATGTGGTCAAAAAATTAGACAAAAGTTGTGGTCAAATGCAGTCACAATAATTAGTCAAGCTAGGATAAAACATTTACTGAAGCTCATAATATTCGGCCAAACCCAAAGTAATCAACATGTCGCAGAATACAATACAATTAAGCGTAATATTGCATAGTATAGTATAGTATACAATTTAACGAGACATCGGTTGATCACCTCTCACGAACGCTTTTTCGCAGTGCCCATACTTTTTAAAAATTTTCAGCTCATCTCTTCTCCAGCACCGATGAGCTCGATCTTTGCAAACCTTTCTCCAGTAAAACATAAGGTTCTGTCGATTGAAACTTCAATTTTAACGCTGCAATTAGTTTCATCGAATTGAGACCTGTTTCCCCCGTTTTTTTTTCAACAGACGATAATTTAGCATGAGTTTCAGAGGAGGCAACAGAGGTGGCCGTGGTGGATTTGGCGGTGGCCGTGGTGGTCGCGGTGGATTTGGCAGATCGATGCCCCAGGGTCCACCCGAACAGGTGTTAGAAATGGGTCAATTCATGCACCCTTGCGAGGACGAGATCGTGTGTCGTTCGATTAATACAAAGATCCCATATTTCAATGCACCAATTTACCTGGAAAACAAGACACAAGTGGGCAAAGTGGACGAGATTCTAGGACCTTTGAACGAGGTTTTTTTCACCATCAAGTGCAGTGAGGGTGTCCAGGCGTCCAGTTTCAAAGACGGCGACAAATTCTACATCGCTCCCGACAAACTTCTGCCCATTGAAAGATTTTTGCCCAAGCCTAAGGTAGCTGGCCCACCAAAACCCAAGAAGAAGAGAACCCCAGGCGCTCCAGGCGGACGTGGCGGTAGTCGCGGTGGTTTCGGAGGCGGTCGTGGTGGCAGCCGTGGTGGTTTCGGAGGCGCTCGTGGCGGTAGTCGCGGTGGTTTCGGAGGCGGTCGTGGTGGCAGCCGTGGTGGCAGCCGTGGTGGTTTCGGAGGTGGCCGTGGTGGCAGTCGCGGTGGCTTCAGCCGTGGTGGAGGTCGCGGTGGAAGATTTTAAACAACAAAAAGGACTTTAAACCCTCTTTTAAAAACGAACATATTAACCCAAAACCAAGAAAAAAGAGTCTGTACTGCATCACTTCCCATTATAAGTTAAATCTAAATCTCACTGTATAATACAATCCTTATATGTAATAGAAGAGAACTAAAATTGACGGCAACAATTGTGTCTCCCTCTGAGAGTCACTTGGATTTTATCTTCAATGGCCTGACTCCTTCCTCAAGCCCACAGCTTTCGAGTATAGCATTTCGCAGACTGCTTATTCCAAGTCTTTTGGGGAAACTGGAGTTCGTAACTGAATTTAGAAAAAGCATTCGAGGCATAGTGGGTAATTCCAAAACCCCACTCTCTTGAATGATTTGGTGAAGTTTGCCGACATTCTTCACTTTGTCCAGTTTCGTGAACACTAACTCGAACGGAATACCGAATTTAGTCAAAAACTCGATCACTTGAGAATCTGTCTCTGTAAAACCTTGTTCTGCTGATATTAGTAAAAAGGCTCTTTTTAGTTCTCGCCTTTCCCTCAAATACCGCATGATCAGTTCCCCCTGCTCGTGTGTGCCCCTTACGCCGTAGCCTGGAGTATCAATTAAACGGAACCGTCTACCTACATTGAAGGAATTGATGGTCTTGGTGTAGCCTGCCTTTTTTGACGTTTTGGCATATTCGTCCAGCTTCAGTTTCGAAAACTCCGTCGTTAAGTTGTTCAAAAGAGTGGACTTACCAGCGTTACAGCGGCCCAAGAAAGCCACTTCAGGAAGTCCGTTCAGTAACTCAAATGGAATCCCATCGGTTTTGCCAAGATATTTTTTAACGCTGCCATTCGTATGTGCAAGATCGCCACTGATCTGAAAAGTGTGCTTTTGATCGAGTGTTTGCTGTTCAGCGCGCGCTTTCAGCTTTTCACCCGGTATTTCCCAGAATGAAGATGCGCTCCACTCGTAGGTAACTTCAGCAGCATTGAAGAAATAATTTGCAGTTCCTAAATGCGACTTTCCTGTCCTTGAATAGCCTGGATTGTAGTTATCGTACAGCTCTTCAGCCAGATTGGCTATTCTTTGCCTAGACGATCGGCTTTCCGATTTCTTTCCATCAAGTATGATACTCTTTTTCTCTAAGGATGAAATACTGTCTGCATCTTGCTTTCGAGCTTGCAAGACTAATTTACCTGCTTCAAGAGGGGAGACTCGTGTGCCGTAATTTCGAGCAGCTAGTTTTAAGCACTCATTTAGAATAGCTTTCATGTCTTCATGTTCAGCAAGTCATCGTGTACTTCATCGAGATTGAATTGATCTGAAATTACAACTATTTATATAGTGCAGTACATGCATGCAGATGGCCTAAAACTATGTGAAATCAGCAAGTGATGAATAGTTTCAAATTTTTCAGACCCAGCTCTCTAATATTGATCGTCTATCGAGTTGACTTGATTCAATGCATTGCGCCGCTGGGAGCCTTCTCAATTAGGATTGAAATAACGAACCAAATGCTCCATCCTCGGTATTAGGATCATCCAGCAGGTCTTTTTGCACCTTGTTTTGCTTGATAAGCCTTTCGTTAGCGCGCTCTAAGATGGCTTCCCTTTTCTGCTGTCTTTTCTTGTCGTCCTCGTCATGCTCTTCTTGACCCTGACCATTTACAGTCTTGATCCAGTCGATAAATTCAACCATAAGCGCACGCTGATTCTTGTAGTTTTCGACACTCCTAACATTCTCATAAAGGGCCTCCACATCAAAGCCATGCGATAGTTGACGTAGATATTCTCGAGAAGTCTTGTATTCCTTGCAAAGAGTCAAAAATATGACGGTAAAAATGTAAAGACCTTCGTACAGCGAATCTTTGAAAGCGCTTTGGGCGAGAACGTTCAATAACAGATTGGGCATCACTTCCATTGTATAAAACTGGTCGATCACTTCATTTTTGATCAAAGTGTCTACGAGACAACTTTTCATCACCAAAATCGAGTTAAAGGAGCACTTGCTATCCCTGAAAGACATCAAGTGGTTCAAGAGCCTCAAAAATGAGCTCATAACCTCGCTGTTTCCAAAAATGATTTTTCTCATCTCGATTTGATGCGAGTTCAATTTCATCTTAGAGGCTTGAGAGTTCGTGCCAACTTGTCCAACACAGTCAATCAAGAGTCTCACGACCACAGTGGTGAGCTGTCTCAACAAGTTTTCTTCAAGAATTTCTTCAGTCATTTCATCGTCGTCCCTTGGTGGTGGATTGACGTCTATATCATTCATGTAGATCGACCATTTTTGGCAAAGCAGAACGTCCAACGTATCAAAGAGCTTCGGCAAAAAGGCAGTCATGAACTTTTCAGAGCTCTGAGACGGACAGTTTTTCAAAAGTGGGCGTATGGCCACGTTAATGATGTGTTTCCAGCCATGCGTAGATACACCAGAGCTGAACTCGCCCATGGAAGGCTTGTAGATCGCAATCGAGTCCATCAACATCTGTGGCAGTTCGTCAATATCATAAAAGATACTACCAAGACTAGACATAGCGCTAATGACCAGTAAGACGTATTCCCTAGTGTACCTCACAATGTGGCCAACCGAATCAGCAAAATCTCGCAGTGTTTGCATCGCTTTCATATGCTCGTCGATAAACTCATCCTTCGACTTGTTGGAAGCACCTGCTTCCCAAAAGCGTTCAACTGTAGAGCACTTAACGAATGACTGTACTACAACTGGTAGCTCTTTCCAATTCTCCGGATCGTGATATGATTGTAACTGATAAAGTAACCGCATGATATAAGGCAGTATAGGAACCACTCTTGGCTTCCAAAGCTTCTGTAGCTCTTCAAACTCTGCATCACTCTTAATGCTCTGCATTGAATAGTGGACAAACATCCTCGTAGCTCTTACGGGGAACAGCGTTTGCCAGCGTTTTGACAGCTGAGTTTTGAGTTCCTTACCTTCATCATCGATTGGAATGGACAGTAAATCCTCACCACCTGTGATAGCTCTTCTTTGAAAATACTCTGAGATCTGAACTATACCCAATCTCTCCATGAACCATGGAAGGTCAGTCAAGCCGACGACGGTTTCTTTATCAGACCAAGCGCTTAGCTCAGGGTCAACAATTGCAGTAAATCTTTCTTCCTTCCCACCCAATGATGATTTCAAGACGATTATTAATAAAAACGATTTGAATGAGATCTTCTCATGGTAAGAGAGTTTGGGCATGATACCGGCTACAACATTTTGCAACTCCTCGTAGATTTTACTGAGCGAGTCGGGCATTAAAATAGCCATCCTGTTGAGCTCTATACCACAAGCATACCTCAAGTCCCGAATCGCATCAGAATGTTCGCTTTTCTCATCCAAGTCTACATTGGGGTATTCCAAGGTGGCGCTAGTGATAATCTTCTCTAGCAGCTTCAAGAGAACATTGTCTTTTAGCATCGTTAGGAAAAGAGCAAAGTTCTGTATTTGTTTCTTCAGTAACAGAGGTTCCCTTAAGGTGAGAGCGATGAGTTGGTCTGAGAGAGTTTCAATTTTTATCAGAATGTCGTTCAACTTATCGTTGTATGCAGGGCTGTCGGGGTACCAGATTTTCCACCGTATGCAACCATTTATGAAACATTCGACCACCATTAGCTGAGACAAGGCGCTCAAATAAGGTTCTGTCTTGTGATCCAAGAATTGAGAACTTAGAACCTCTTGGCCAAACGAAGAGCTGAAGAACGAGTTCAGTCTTGCATTGAGCCAGTCGTATGCAAAATCTAGCTGGACGCAAGATATTAGTCGAATTATGTCTCTAATCCTCTTTCTATAAGTAGAGCAGAACGATTGAAACTCTGAAGTGGACTGAAAATCGATGTCGGCAAATTGTTTAGATACATGCCCATCAATTTGCTCATAATAGATTAAAGCATCAGCTGAAAACTGTAGAAGTTCCGGTATTATAGTTTTCTCTAGTGCAGGCAGAAAGTCATCGTTTCGTAGACAAGAGCACCATAAGTCAAGGGTTAGGCCACTTACGATCAGACTGGGATTGAAAGTGGTCCTCAAGACAAGCCTGAGATATTTTTGTATGATTATTTCATCCTCGTCAATCTTGAAAACGCAAGTGTAGAGGCAGCTGACCATATCGACAAATTTCTTAACAATTGGGTATTTCATTTCGTCAATATTATGCGGGTCGAACTGTAGATTGTCGTACACGTGGTTCAGCAGGTCCATACTTCTGAAAACCTTGTTGATCACTGTTTGATAGTGCGCATCATCATTATAGGGCCGAGTCAATAGAATATGCAGAGAGTCCAGGGCCATTGATTGCGCCTTTGGCATGTTGCTAGAGAGACAGTCTAACAACAGACCACAGATATCATTGCGAATCATGATCTCACTCAGCGGCCAGTTCAGACAGGTTTTCAGAGTTTCGAGCAGTCTCGTAACGTATACTGTGTTGCCTGTGCTAAGGGCACCACGAAGTTCTGTGACCCAGAGTTCAAACCACCCGTTTCCTGTGCTTCTGAACAGGGTCCATTTGTCTGTGAATCGATACCTTGCGGCAAATATGTCCATCGGACTGATGATCATGACGCACAACGGCTGTATAACAGAAACTCTCTTTAGAACAGTCAGATCCTCAAGAAGAAACACGTCTTCGAATAAGGTTCTGAAGATGATGAGCGTAAGCTCTCTAGAGGACTCATTAAGGTGCCATAGCTCTGTAAGATTGTTGTCCAATTCCACCCACGATTCTTGCAACTGCGCTTCAGTGGGATCATCTTCTCTGAGAGCTTCACCCCATACACGCTTGGCAATTTCGACCCACAAGAATGCGAGCTTTTCCTTGATGTAGCGAGGGTCTGTGTGTTGAACTCGACAGTTGAGCTCCACGACCCACTTACGTAATGCGATCTTCCTTTCCTGTGAATATTCACTCCATTTCCGCTGAATAGCGTATGCTAGCAAACCCAGCCCAAAGTGTTTCAAAATGGAGTTTTCTGGGTTGTTCAGAGCGATCTCATACCCCCAAAGCGGAGACTGTTCCCGCATTTTGACATCGTCCAGAAACTTCTGGGCTTCTAAACGGGTAGCATTATCAGATTTCATGGAATAAATAGCTTCCAGAGCTCCTACAATCTGAGAAGCGCCATTTTCATCCATTGTTAACCTCACAGAACCTAAACCACGCGCCAAATAATTGAAACAAAAGACCAACCTTTTATAACAGTTGCAATAACTTTTCTAATAAAAACGCCTGGTTTTTCGCTCGGTCGTTTTTTACTTCAACGATTGTAATTGCAATTAAGCCAACAAACAATTTCTGATAGAGGGGAGACGATGGGATTCGATGCCTGTTTCTAAGTGTCTAAGCCTGTTCACGATTATTTGAGTTGGGCCATCTCAGTTTTTTTACATAAAGGGGGATTGAATTGGATCTGATTTTATCACGGTATACGCTCAAAACGTATAACCATGTTGTGTGTCGTTGAATTTCAAGAGAAGAGCGAGCATTAGGATGGAGAGCATTTAAGTTTGGTTATAATATAGCTCAGTTGTTAAGTGGCGACTGTAGGACCTTTCTAAGTTGAACAGAATTCTTCGAATATTTTCGCAAGTTTATTCGAAATTATAAGAACGAAATCGTGAATCTTTTTTGGTCCTCAAGAACCGCATTTAGAATTTCTACACTTGCGACGTAGGCCTTTTCAACTAAAAACAATGAGTAGCGCACACTCTTGCCCGTTGCAAGCTGACGAGCGCTTGATATCATCAAGTTAAATTGCATTGAAGGTCACGACCGCTCTTAACAGAATAGTACGAAGTGATATGGTGGTTGTAGGTCATACTTGACCAGTAAGTCACGTGCGTGGATATTCCTCACTACTCGGTATGCCTTTGTCTTCCATTCTATTATACAAGACAATAAGCTACAATTGCAACCTTCTGACACACTTACTCTGTTTCCTTAGCCGTTTCGTTATTAGCTTCTTTGTCGCAACTAGTATCACCATCATTTTCGTCTTCTTCTCCGTGAAATAAGTGAGATCATCGTCGTCATCTATTTCCATAGAATCACAATCATCGTAGAGTTGTCCTTCAGATTCCTCGAGGTCATCCAATTCGTAATCTGAGTCTTTTGAAATTGTTGGTGAACGATCGAAAAATCAAATTTCGTAAATCTGTCTCGTAGAATCATCAGGGTACCGAAATTAGTATACTTGAGGCGTCTCCTGTCCTTTCTCATAACCCTTTCAGCTAGAGAAAAGCACCTTCCCACGTCTCAGGCGCTTAACTTTGTATAATAGAGCGAAACGACTAACTTGAATAACCTGGGATATTTTTGTCTGCGTTCATACCACCAGCTAATGGCTTCTTCGTTTGACTCAGCAACTAGTTTTGGCTCTTGCTGATATCCAAACCACTCTTTGGTGTATACCTCGAAATCCTCATTTTGTTGTTCCGTTTCGTGGTTAGTGGTATTTCCCGGACGTTCTTCTGCTGAAAGATCTTCCTTGTGGAAATAGAAGCTGGATCTTGACCGTGAGTAGATTGGGTTCTCCGCAACCTTCTGAGACTCAGACTCATTTACCGGGCCGTACTCCCTCATGCATTCTTTTATGAAAGCTTGAGCTTCGAGAGCTCTTGCTGTCCCTTCTTGTGGGGTCATCATGTTATGGATGCCTTCAACTTTAGTCGTAGGATCCAGCATCACAGCAAAGTAGTTTAAGGGGTTGCTCTGGACGTAGCTCATATATTTCTGATATACTCCTCTTGCAAGGTCTAGAGTACCAAACACGAACTTCCCATCTTCACAATCGAGATCTGCAGACGCATTCAAGAAAGAATAATCATATGTTGACCGGCTCTTCGTGATGTGGGAGCCTGAAGAAGCCTTTGGACATGTGTCGTAGAAGTGCTGCAATAAGTAGTACATTGGAACGCCATTTGAAAGGTGATTGAAGTCATCTTGCTGAATTTTCAAGTTCAAATCATTGAACAACTGGAAAGTTTGTAGGACATACTTGCATAGCTCCATTGTTCCTTTACCAAAAGAAATATATTCCTCGATCTTGAAAGCCAAATCTTCCTGATCATTCTCAATCAGCTGTAAACGCCATGCCTGATAATTCCCATAATTTTCCACAAAAGTATGTAGCCGAGACCAAAGATACATCCATCTGCTTGGCGCTTCTAAGGGAAAAAGGGAAATTTTTTTCGACCTCAGACTTCAAGAATTACGGGATGACTGTCTCATAATTTTAGCCAGCTTCTGTAATTTCACGTATGTTTCGGCAAAAATAGTGTTTTTAAACAAGACTTTAGTAATCGCCTTGAACTGAAGATTCAAAAAATGACTGGCACACCTAATGTAACGGGTTTTCCCGAATAAGCGATGAGCAAATGGTTTGGAGGCATTAAAAACGCCGAAGGATAGTTTGAAAAACATTGATTCCTTATTTGAAGCATTATCCATCGTTATTGGTGCGGTTTTCTCGGTGAGCTCTTATTTTTGCATGAGGGAAAGGACTATTTTGCTAAGGTTTTCTCCCGTGTGTTTCTTATCACCCAGACTTGCGAAATCCAGGATGTGATTATTTTGTGCCTTTCCAGAATTGTTCAATAAAACCTTTGGACTATCGGCTAGTTCTAAAGTCTTACTGGCCCAGATGTTGGGAGCAAAAGAAACCATAGTGGCCAATAACGATTTACCGTTGGGCGCTGTCCATATGTCGAGCTGGATGTTTAGGTTTGCTAGTAAGGTCTCATTTATGTCGATTGAATACGACTTCAACTTTTTCACCAGTGTGGTCCTCGACTTGATGGTAGTTTGAGTGGAGCACCGTTCGTTGTACTTTACCCATGCTGATAACAGCACGAAACTTAATGGTAGAAACTGTTCCACGACCAGCATTGCTGTTCCAAAGATCCCGGGGTTTCTCTTGCACTCATTTGTGATCGATTCAGACACCTTCAATCCTCTTGTTTTCGAGACCTTTCCTTTCGCCTTAAATGCACTGGGATGCAATGCTCGAACGTGTTTGACCATATTAACGACACAATGTCCTTCTGAATACTGCTTGCTACAGTATATGCATTTAGCCTTCACCTGTCCATTGATGGTGTTAACCTCGAAAAATGAGCGGAGGGAAGACTTTATCATCTAGCCACTGCCGCCCTTCGTGAACTTGTTTGGCTCGGAGCCACCAGATAAGTTGCTGTTCATCGCCGTGGCTTGAGAAATGGCTTATGTCGCTCTTGAGGAAACGCGACGTTGATGGGCGTCCGGCGAAGACTTCTGTAAATGATGAGGGCTTGTAAGATTATTTGAAAGCATCTTTCAAACAAGACTTGGTTGTTGCGACTAGCAAGGGCGAAACAACATGGTGAAATGGGTTCTTATTTCGCGAATCTTCTTACAAATAACGACTAGATGTTTAACTTTAAGTAATTGTCGTGTTGAAAATTAAACTCTCACGCAAGTAATGCAATTAGTAACTTATGTGCAAAGTGAAAAGTCTTCTAAGTAGATTTCGTATGAAGCACGACCGAAGTAGTAATAGGTAAGGGTGTCCGTAGATTTGAACCTAGCTTTAGAATGGACTGAATCAAGAATCTCAGATCGTCTTTAAAATGATGCGTACGAAATATATTGATATTTACATACAAAAATGGAGTTTGACTTGTATTGCATCAGTCATAATGTTTGAACACGACCATCTAGTAACGTCCGCTCCAAAAACGTTTACGAGCTGGGATTCTGCCGATACTGTCACAATCTTGTGATTATTGGATGTCATCTCCGAAGACTAGACCAAATTCCAGACCAGACGAAGTCCTAAAAAAAATGATGGCAGAAAGCTCTTGAGTGATAGTGTTGCACACCAGTGGGGTTCTAAAGCCTACTGAATGAAATTTCCTCTCCATTAGAAAACCTTGATATTTTATAACTTTTATCAATTTGAGCGAGGCGGCGAAAACTATTGATGTCCCTAAAAACCGCTGCAAAGACTACCTCGCATTACTCCTTCCGCAGCACTTGCTTACGCACGCAGCGAAACGCCGTGCCAAAATTCTGTGTGAATAACGCCTAAAAATCGAGATCTCTAAGACTTCACTTTCGGCCTCAAATATTTCTTCAGAAAATAACGTATCCCGCAGCTGACAGACAACGATTAACACTTCAATATCCCCCGTGTAATCGCTCAAGTGTCATCGTGATCTTAGTTAATACATTGTTCAACAAGCGCTACTTGCTACGAGCACCAAAAACTCACACACTGATGAACATCGTGATGCACACAGTTCTTTGGAAAATTATAACTCCCAAATCACAAATAAAACTTCTTCTTTTCCTTGTCCATGGCAGCTGAGTGCTCCCACTCGGTTTCTTCCTTGATACCGTGTTGCAAGCGTTGCAGCTTTAGCGTGAACTGCGGACCAAGCTCTTGTAAACCAACCTTTTCTTCATTGCGGAACACGTACCGGTGTCTGCGGAAAAAAATGTAGTCTCGCTGGTTGTGCAAAGTTATTACTTGACGGCCTTCGAAGTCTGGGTTTCGTGGGAAGATGGACTGAAAGAGCTTCCCCACAGTTTTCCCGAGCCTGGTGTTGAAATTGTTGAGAATGAGCTCTGGGATGTGACTTGTCGGTCTTCCGTGGCCCACGATTTTCTGGACTTCGACGTAGGAGCTGACCTTAAAGTAGAACGTTGGACCCTCGGGTAAGTGAATGAACGTTAGTCCCGTAACCTTTTTCTTGTCTTCGTTGATGATCACCAGGTCGGTGTAATTACGGTTGTTGCAGAACTCGGCCATTTCCTTGAGCTTATAGCCAAACTTCCTCTTCACAAACGTTACGTTGGGCAAAATTTCGATAAGCACGTTGGCAAATTCGTAAGCCTTTTTTTTGGCATTGACGTTGGTCGTCAGCAGGATCTTTGGGGGTTCGGTGCCGCGATTGAAAAAGCGGGCAAAATCGTTTTCGTCACCATCAGTAGGCTGGCTAATAGTCTCATCATAAACACGCAAGCTATCGATGGTATTTGTGACGTTCTCTTGAAGTCTTTTTTCCTTAAGTTCCGGGTTTTCTCGTTCTTCCTTGGCTCGGGTTCTGCGCATGGAATGACGGTCCTTGTTTTTTTGATCCTTGAGATCAGCAAACAGCGCTTGCCGCTTCATTTTATTGCGTATGCTAATTTCGTCCCGTGCCATTGTAGTCTTGATGGGTGATTGTAGTGTTGGGTGGTGAGTAGCTCTCTGAGATGAGATGAGATGAGATGAGATGAGATGAGATGAGATGAGATGCTCATCGCATTAATTAAAATTTTCAATATATTGGACTCGGCGACAGTAAAAAGATTAAATGTTTGTCGGAAACCAAACCAAAAAACGAGCAATGCAAAAGCGAGTGAGTGAAAGCTATTTTTGTCGCTCGCCAAGCACTGAAATGAGTCTTCAAGCTTGCTGAAACCTGCATTGGTGGTCTTAGACACCTCGAGGGGGTCAATGGCACTCTCACTGGAGACATTGGTAGTCTGAGAACTCACGATTCTTCAATTTTGAAAAAGAGGTGTGAGGATTTAAAGCAAGATGGATGATTTTGCATTCGACACCACGACAATGTAACCACTAGGAGCCCTGTGGTCTACCGTGATTAATTCGGGTGTAAGCGGTTGTATCCCCGAATTGTTAAAGCAATTGATGGCGAATTCGTATTTCCATCAAAACAGGTTAATTAAGGCTGTCACTTCAAATGACTAAAGCTTTCATTGTTGCTGAAATAATGGCTCTTGAAGTAGATAATAAGACTTGATGCTATGGTACTGTCGTTTATTGCAATTCTTCCATTATAATGTCTACCACACAAGGTATAATTACTAAAGTCGCGCAATCAAGGCAATATTTCTTGATATATTACTTCTAATGATCACTCGCTAACATCCCAGCTTGTTATAAAATCAATACTCGATCATCATCATCATACTCAAAGCTGTATCTTCTTCCACTTGCTCAATTGTGCTTGCATTCTTCAGCATTAGAAGCTCACGTTTCCCAATGGCAGTCAAAAAAGTTATCGAAACAAGTTCTGCACTGAATGAGTAGGTGCACTTCAGTCAAGGACATTTCCTTTCCATAATGAATGATCTTAACAATATATATATATATATATAATCAAATTAAAAAAGCGTATTGATGGGAGCCGCCGTACTATATTCGACAATGATAGTGTAGTATTATATTTACAGCTGGAACAAAAAAGTGAGGGAGAAGAGGTGGGAAAGAGCAAGTTCAAAAGGGTATTTTATTGTGTTGTATATTGTATTGTAATGGGGAACATGCCCTGCGATCTACCCCTACAACGTCTATTTCTCCTGAATCTTTTGGGCCTCGGGCTTGCGCTCGTCTGCAACTCTATTTCTCTTCTTGGGCACACGGGCCAACCAGTAGAAGAATACGGCCGCGGCAAAGTTGAACATGATAAACGCTAGGAAGATACCGTAGTTACGCCAGCGGTGTGTGTATTCGGAGCTGACAGCCTTGAGATAGTCGTTGGTGGACGACACCGAGCAGAAACGACACTCATCTGTAGCGTCAGGATCCGCTAGGTATCCTGTCCCAGCAGACGAGATGTAAGACTGCATATACTGACCACAGGTCTGGCCCTGAGGTGGCGTGAAGCTGACCATTTCGTAGTCGGAACAGTGCACGTCTGCATTAGCCAATCCAGTCGATAGTGTACCGTCAATGAAGTAGGTAAGTGGGGAAACACGGTACATGAAAATCCAGAACCGTGGCATGTTGTTAGGTTGAACCATAACACCACAGAACGACAAACACATTGTGAACAACAACGAGGAAATTTGACCGGCTGATTGAGCCACTTCTTGACTCGCGATCACCAATTGTGCCATGGAACCTGTGAAAACATAGAAAGCGGTAGCATATAGCCAGAACAATGCGCCACGCTCGTGCAACTGGTCCGCGAACGATGCATTGTTGTAGAAACCGACTGGAAAGTAATACACAAAGAAACCGACAGTTCCGGCCAAAATGTTCCAAGGAATTTCAACACTGATCTGGGATAGAATGAAGGCGAGCCATGAGAAAGTGCGAGAAGGACGCTCACGCGCCTCGTACAGGTCACGCTGAGACACAAAGGTGGGCAGATACTGTTGCAAAGTTGGGTTGAAAATAACTGTGAACATGAATATCGACAACATCTGGTTTTGCAAACCTTGCATGGAACTGTCCGCTTTGAAGAAAGTGAAACCAATAAAAATCTGGGAAATGATGGTTAGACCGATCTTGGACCACAAGTACGAAGGGGTACGCCAGTACTGCTCCAGTAGACGCTTGGTGACAAGACAGTACTGGTAGAATAGCGAGGTGGAAAACTCGGATTGTTCGTTACTGGTGTCGATTGGCTTCTTGGGCAATTCTCTTTCCATCCATTCCAATTCTTCTTGCACGGCGCGGTACTCGTCAGAGTTGCGCCACACGTCGTGGTAGTTTTGAGAGGCGTGAGTGCCGGGAGCAGCACCTATGACTTCAAGCATCCATTCAGCAGGGTTGGCACCGTCGGGACACTTGTGTGCACCATGGCTTTCAAAATAGTCGATCATGGTTTGGCAGCCAGGACCCAAGTCACCAAAGTACACAGTCTTACCACCACGTTGCAAGAACAACAAACGGTCAAATTCTTGCATTAGTAGAGCGGAAGGTTGGTGAATAGTACACAAAATGGCCTGACCGTGGTTGGCAAGTTTACGCATGAGCTGGCAAATGGACCAAGCGGTTTGGGAGTCCAAACCGGACGTGGGCTCATCCAAAAACAATAGTAGCTTAGGCTTAGCGGCGAGTTCGACACCGATGGTCAAACGCTTACGTTGTTCGACGTTAAGACCTTCACCGGCGACACCGACCACGGCGTCAGCGTAAGGGAGCATTTCCAAAATGCGGATCACTTCCTCAACGTAACGATCTTTTTCTTGTTTAGAGATGTGGGAAGGTTGACGTAGGTAGGCGGAGAAACGAAGCGATTCACGGACAGTTGAGGTTTCCAAATGCAAATCTTGTTGTTGACAGTAACCAATGGAACGCGCAAAGGACGAGTCCCGCAAAAACCCGTTGATGAACATGTCACCAGTGATGACACCAGTGGTGACACGAGAGGCAAGACAGTCGAGCAAAGTGGTTTTACCAGCACCGGAAGCACCCATAAGAGCGGTCAAAGTGCCGGGCTTGACCCAGCCATCCACATGGTCCAGGATACGACGAGTTTCCTTCTTGATGGGCACGTCAAAGCACACATTACGCCAATGGTAGATGGCTTCGGATTGCGTTAGACCGGCTTCGCCCATGGAGGAGTTGGTAGAATTGGCCGAGTCGGTGCTGTCCTCGAGCAGCTTTTTCTCGTTGACAGGGACAACGCCTGCAGAGCTCTCGAGATCTGCAGCGGAGCCTCCTCCTCCTCCTCCTCCGGTCGTTTCTGAGCCGCGGGCACCGCCGCCATTGTTCTTCTCGCTGCGGTGGCGTTGCTTTTTCATGCGGCGCATAATGGCCTGGGGGAAAACCAAGATTTCACCACGTTGTTTAGCGCTCTCGTTGAACTCCGTGACGGCGAGGTAAACACCCAAAAACACAATTGCATACGCCAATCCGATACCCAAACCACGCCATTTGTGAGAATGGTAGTAGCCGTACGCCACGTTGATGTAGGTTTCACCGTTGACATAGTCTTGCCCCGGTACAGCACCCACGGCAGAACACACACGCTCAGTGCCGGAAATCGACTCATACGCGGGACCCGTAGGGATGTAAGCGGAGCAATCAAAACGACGGTCGTGGAATTCGTTAACCATTAAAGATTCAAACACGTACGATAGCGGGTTGATGTACCAGATCCATTTGGACCACCCCAAAATCTTGGTCTTGGGGATGGCAAACCCGGTGTAGATCGACAACGCCAATAGCAACACGGACGCGGGCACCATGGACTCGGCGTAGGTCTTGGTCGAGGCACCCAGACATCTGAAAATGTGCGACATCAAAAACGTGGCTACCATGGTCATTAAGAAGTAGAAGAAAAACGCGCCAGCTTCACGTTTGAAGTTGCACAGGAAATATAGGGCCAAATTGAACGAGACCGAAGTCAACAGCTTGGCGGGCACTTCGGAGATCACGGACGCCATGGCGTCCGCAGAAGGATGGTACAGCGAGTACCGTTTGTGTTTTTCGGACACTGGACGCGCCTCGTACAGAGCGAAAATCTCCAGCAAACACGAGAATGCGTTGAACAGCACGGCGAAAAACAGTGCACCGGCACGCGAATAAAACCCTTCTGTGGTGTCGTGTTTGAGCACTTTGTAGAACATGGAACCCAGGATAAAAGCCATGGATCCGTTACCGATCACTTGGAACACGGTGACCCCCATATTACTGCGGATTCTCTGCATGTTTCTAATCAAGAGATACTTGACCTGTAGCCCGTAACTGACGGTGTAAGGAGATTTGGGTCTGGCACGACGCGATTGCTTGGCGACGTGGTTTTCAGCCAGATTGCGCATGTTGTCGGCCTGTTCGTGGGCGGCGTACTCGTCGATCTCGCCCAGGAGACGCTTGTAGTCCGGAGACTGTTTCCAGTACTTCTCCATTTCGACCGCGGTCGCGGGAGGGCGGCAGCCCTCCCGGACGATCCGTTCGGCCGGGTTTGTGACGGCGGTTAGAAAGTCCGCAGTGGTCTGGCGCGACGGACACACGTAACCCATGGTTTCGAAATATTGCTTGGCCTGGTTGGCCGGACCAAAGTAGATCTGGTAGCCCTCGTGCAGGACCGAGACTTTGTCGAAGAGGTCGTACGCGTCCTGGGAACACTGGTAGATGGCGATCACGGCGGCACTATGCGTGAGTTTGGCCTCGGTGCGCAACGCGCGAATGAACTCCAGTGCGGTGGCCGAGTCCAACCCACGCGTGGCGTTGTCCCAACACTGGAACTTGGACCCGCAAATCGACACTTCAGCGATGGACACACGCTTACGCTCACCGCCCGAAACGCCTCGCACCAGTTCGTTGCCGACTTTTGTGTTACGCGTATGTGACAGACCGTACGTTGCCATGGCGACTTCCGTGATGTGCGTGCTGAAAGTCTCACGGTCGACGCCGTGGATCCGGTTGGAAGGACACGACAGCCGCGCCACGGTCTTAAGGGTGTCGAACACGGTCAAATGCGGGAAATGCACGTCGGACTCGGCATTGTACACGACCTCGCCTCGGTAGTGGCGGGCCACGTCCTTGGGCGTGAGACCATCGTACGAGATCTGGGACTTCGGGTCTACGTGGAAACCGTGGGTGTTGGCCGACACGGTTTTCAGCAGTGTGGAACAGCCGGAGCCGGGCCGGCCCAGCACCACCAGCAGCTCACGGGGCTTGACGAGACCGTCCATGGGCTTCAGAATGTCGAAAGTGTCTTCTGGACGCGCTTTGCGCGCCATACGCAGCACGGTTTCGGCCAATTGCAAGGGCAAGTTGGCCACGGTGGACTGGTACGCCACGTCAGTGGCGTTCCCGTACGCCCGCAGGTTGCGCCAGCTGCAGCCTAGCGAATAGGGCTTGTAGTGGTCGGGGTCACGTGCAACGAGCTGGCTGACGTTGTGGACCCAGAACGCGGACGAGAACTCGTCCGAGTTCGGGTCCAGGCGCGCGTCGTAGTGTGGGGCGTCAGGGGTGGAGAAGACCGGGTTGATGGGGGACATGGAGGCGACGGAGCCGGGCGCAGACGCGTTGGTGAGCGTGCGTGCGAGATTGCGCACGTGGTCCTGCGCCTGGTCCTCGAAGCCGCGGTACTCTGGGTGGAAGGAGTCCGGCTCGCTGTTGTTGGAGGTGGCGGCTGCGGCCTCGTGGTTGGCGGCTAGGGCCTCGGGGAGATGTGTCGTGCCGAGCGACATGGTTGTTTTTGTGTCGTTTGGTGGATTTCTTTTCTTTGTTGTGTTGTGTTGTGTGATAGCAGCGGCAGGGAGCAGACTCTGGTAATTGGGAATCGACCGAAGGATGCTATATAGCTTAGCTGTTACCAGAACTTCAACGCCAAAAAAACCAAAAGCTTGAGAGACTTGAAACAACTGCAGTCTGAGGGTTCGTCAGTCTTTTTCTCTCTGGTGGCGAGACTGGCAAACGGATGGGTGTGTGTGTGTGTGGTGCTGTCGCTACTGATATATGCTGTACAGAACAGGTCTTTTCTTGTTCCCCCCCTCTTCCTCCCCCTTCCTCATCACTGCTGATCTGGTTGCTCACCTTATATATGAAGGGCCGCCACTCACCAGGCCTACTCACGAGGCCCATTCATAAGCAACCGGATTATCTGTGGGTGGTTGTTCCGTGGAACAACCAGCTCGGCCGGAGGACCACAGCGAGACAGGTGAGAGTGGCGCCGTGGAAAATGCCGTGGAGTGGTTTCGGCCGTAAAAAGCAGAACAAAAAGTAGCCTTTCCGCGGAACGCGCGCACGCGTTCCGCGCGAGAGGCGGAGCGTCGTACGTAGTGCCTTGGCTTTTTTTGTTTGTTTTTATGTGTGTTTGTTATTTTCCGCGGAGAGAGAGTGAGAGGAACCCAAGATGAGCGAAGAACAATAGCGAAGGAACCACCACGTGTCACATACGAGAAGGGAGTGTGCAAAGGCGTGGGAGCGAGGTTGACTCGAGCGGGGAGTAACGGGAGCACTCACGGCCGAGTTCGGAGCCATTGGGAGCCCATCCCACTTAGACGCCGAGATAACATTAATTAACAATGATGGTAATGCTTAGTCATCGTAGCTTTTGTGCGGTGCCAGGAGCGTTTACACTGTGTGCTTATGTAAGCAGATGTGTGGTCGTTTTGAACGTGATAAGAAACACCTAGGTGCTTACGCTCGGCTTACCAGGCACCTTTTTTTGACTCCGAGAGCGCCTCCGTTCTCATCGAGGCTGAAATCTTGACTTCTCCGCGGCGAAAGTCGCATCTGGATGTGTCAGCGTGAGGCTGAGAGAGAGGACGTATCGGTTTGCACTTACTGATGATCTTTATAAACTCACCATGCTTCAACGTCGCACGCAGGACGAGGTTTTGGGCTGGCATGCACACGTCGGTGGCTTGTTCATGAGCTTTTCTTCTGGTAGGTCCAGGCACGGCCGTGATTTTACGGATCTGGCCGTTGTAGTTGTAATGGCGCTCAGACGAGCTTTTGGTCTGTCGTGCGTTCATATCAAGATTCATTTCGACAGACACCTCTTTACAAGCTTTGCCACGTAAACGAGTCTCCACCCATTCTTATACACTACCAGCAAGAAGCATAGCCGCCGAGCTCTGAAATTGAAGTAGACCCTAAGGCACCGATTGCTTCCTCCTGAGCTTAATTCATGTTTTCATTGAACGCGTTAACTTTGAGATATATATATTTCTTGTTTCGTGCCGAACTCTAATGGGCTCGTGATTTCCGGAAAGTACTCATGGATCTCCCATCACAGGAGGGACTCAATACACGGCTGAATCACGTGACAGCTGCCAACCAAAAATCAAAATAAATAAGCTCAGAGGCTTCTATACGTCATTCCCTTCTTTGTCCATATCCATTTCAAACCGGTGAGCCAGTCTTTTACGTGAGGCGTGCTCTTGCTAACCAATGGCCGCGAGACTCGCACATTCACATGTTGTGCGATGCCCAAACTTGCGGCAAACCACAGCTTTTCAATTTCTGCCCCCCCCGCCCCCTCCTTCTCTACTGGTGAATCAAATGCTTCCTCATTTCCTGACCGAGTGCTCTCAAAATGGAAACTCGACTGATATGACCGTCAAATCTCGGCATTCTGACCTTTATTTTAAATTAGCCATTGTCATCTGTCGTTCAGTCACATGATATGTAGACTAAACTTTCAGGGTTCTCAGATGACGTTAACCAAAGCGATGTGTTGGTCTTCTTTCAACAAACAACTGCGTCCTTTCCATCTGACATTATTATCCTTCATTTGAGACTTGATAATTCAGAGTTCTACAAAGTCTACGTGCTCTCCAACCCAGCAGCTACACACGTTATCTTTCATCTTTCAACTAACCTTCACATCTTACCGCGCATAATGAAAGATGATCAATGCAGGTTGTAAAGGTCTTTAACTGCGAGTTTCTTTACTGGCTGGAAATCTCAGCCCCGCTTCCCACCGGGGATTCTACTATTGTGTTTCCGCCATTCTTGTATAAGCAGGCAATCTATTTGAAGCCAGCGAATTTTGGAAGTAATCTTTGTTATGATCCTAATTTTAGGACTCGAGCTACAACTATGTCAATAAACTTCGAAATGAAATATCACACTCCAGCTGAGAAATAGGCATAACAGGAAGACATTGCCATTCTACTAGTGCATATGACTAACAAATTATTCGAGGTGTTTGTGTAGACTTACCACAAAAACAATGGACCGAAAGATACTGTTCCACAGCTCATCCAATGATCTCAGAGTCTCACTTCAGGGTCCGAGGAATTTTCACTCCACCTCCACCGCCCATCTTTTTCCAGCCTCTCTTTCCACCGGTTCATGCATCCACGTTTACGACCTCTTCACTGTAATCACCCGTGTTAGGTTTTCCACCTATATATGCTATTAATTAAATGCTTTACTACACGCCATTGCTCAATTTACCTATAATACAAGCGAAGGATCAGCTTCTCCCTCCTCTCTTTGCCAAAAGTCTCGCAACAAAACTCCATATTTCTGTAATTCTTCAACGCTTATAATCAACTCAAAGTCACACAAAATCAAAAACTGAAGCTCTAAATAATTGAGCTCCTTTAGCGAAATCCCCCCAACACGCGCATACCTGGAATTACTGTAGAAAAAATCGCTGAAAAACTTGGTGCTAACCGTGACCGCGGATATGATTAGTCGATGAATGTTCAACGAATCCATCACAAACAATTGATCCTTCCCATTATTGCAAGCTTTGGCTATTCTATCAAAATATACCAATAACGACAAGAAAACGTCATTAGTCGTTGGACAATATTTCTGTATTCGTTGAAAATACTGTTTTAATGTTATGGCTGGTACATGCTTCCCGCGAAAGCTCAAAAGCTCCGCAGACATTCCTGTTCCCATGCTATACGTGCGAGTGTGTACCTCTTCTTGGGGCTCCGGTTGCCTTCCGTTAGGAGACCGATCTTGGTGCAATAAATCATTAGATTGGACGATCTTATCCAGCAAGGCGGTCAACATATCCAGAAGCCGATCCGTGGGGAAATTGGCAATTTCTATTAGTTCGGGATCTTCTGAAAGCTTAGGTTCCGCTGCAATCTCATCTGCTTGCCGTTTCTGCATCATGTAATTAACGCTCTTGTTGGTGCCATAAGAGCTTGATACTGACGTCGGTGTGTTGTGAAAGGGCGAGTATTGCTGCAAAAAGTCATCTTTTTGAGCAATCTCCTGGAAATATCTGGACCTTTGAGGTTTGTCATGCGGTGAGGAAGGTTTGTTTTTCGGTACAGAGTGCATTACTGTGGTCTCTCTATCAGATGGGGCAGAATTGGTGTCTCGTAGATCTTCAACAGTTGCGTCCGGCTCCGCTAGGTCTTCGTCGAATTCTGTTGCAGGGACGACTTTTGAGAACGCCCCGGGCTCGTAACTCGTAGAGGGCTCCGTCACAACCGTGTGATGAATGTCGTCTCCCAGTGATGTTGAAATAAAGCTGCCATTTTTGCCCACAAACGAACCTCGAGAGTACGAGCTTCCTCCTCGAGCAAACGACGGACGCTTCCGTTGAGACACACCGTGCGCCGAGCCACCCACGATTCCAGAGAGCTGCGAGATGTTCGAGCCAACCCTGAAGCTGGATTCTGGATCAGTGTGCTGCTGGTTTGGCTGGTAGACATGCTGTCGGTCGCTAAGCTGCGAGCTCTGCGTCGAAAGCGAATGTTCATCAGCTGGGATATAAGACTCTGACGAGTGGGAGCTACTGAAGGTCTCCTCCGTGACGCTCGTGGGTCCTTCCACGTGAAATGAAGAGATTTGTCGAGGAATCAGCACGGGTCGGGACCGCTGACTTGCATTGTTGTTATGGTCAGAGACATGCTCCAAAAATGTAGCTCTTTGGGCCATCAAAGGTTGTAGAAATCACAGAAAGAACCCCCTCGAGCAAGCAGAAATCCTTATTAAACCTTGTTTGGATCGTGGCAGTCGGTTCCTTAGCGAAATGTGTGAAGTGATCGAACCTTTGCAAGAAGGTTAGGCCCTTCATGTCCCTTGGAATTGATTAAAAATCGTTTTTAGTACGAAGTGATGAATGATTTGAACTATATACATGTAGTGACAGGATTGATTGACAGTTCAGGAGTCTTGAACAATGAGGTTCCTGGGCTTTGAAGTAGTTGGAAAACTAGTGATCATGGTCCGAGAAATTTTGCTGGGTTTTTGGTATTTTTCGCGGGAAAGTAAGGTTGGGTTTCTGGGCTAATGAGGTTTTTCTAGCTAATTGGGCGAGCTTTGAAGCCTCTCAAAAACCCTCCGGTGGTAGAACACCACGATTCAGGAGTCTTCAGTAGGATATGAAACCTCAAATCACAAATGCGTCGCGTCAGGGCCAATTTTTAGGTCGAGGTCTATCAAAAAGGGTTCAGAAAACCCCTGGTCCGATAAAACTCCGTGACGAGCAAGGATCATTTACGCTGTGATGAAAGACTCTCTGGAATTGTGATTCTAAAGCCCTGAACGGATCCTGTGCGACAAATGCTATTTAGGTGATGCTTGAGTGTCCTTGTAGAGATGATCAGATAAGAGTAGACTGGTCACCTTGGTCGCAAAGACCGCGACTCGAAGTGGGCACTACTCTTACTTTACCTCATTGCCGTTAGTGGTCAAAATCTCGCCCGACAACGGTTGCATTGACTCGTATTTTTTGCGCAGTTCTTGCTGCATTTCGTGCTCGCTCTTGTTAAACATTTGTTTCCTCTGCTTCTCTGGGTCTAAAGCAGCCTTTCTCTCTGCCATTCGCTTCGCGTCCTTAATGGGACCTTGATGCAGAGTGTCTCTCTCCAGTTCTTGCACATAATGCACTCCGACAACCGTCACTGCAGTTGCCAAACACGACAAACCTAGAGTGATCTTACTTGCTCGACTCATCGCGTAAAGTGGCTTGCGTAATAGATGAGAAGTAAATGCTTTCGAGACAAAGATGCCGGTGCTACAATGTTCATCATCCAGATATCGATATTGAAGAGCATGGAAACATCAATGTTTCCAGCACGTGACCATACTTGGCCTCCAGGCTACTAACAACTGCAGCAAAGCACATCACAGCACAGTGTACTGCAGTTGTGTGTCCCATCAGCTCCAACGCTACACGCGGACCTCAAAATTTCTTCTTCTAACCTAGGTGACTTTAAAAACTTTAACACTTACAAGTTATACAGATTAGTTCTTCTTGCTGTTCTTGGATTTCTTGTTACCGGTTTGCTTGGCGGACTCGGCTTGCTCCTTGACAACCTTCTTGACGATCTTCTGTTCCTCAATCAAGAAAGCTCTGACGATTCTCTCCTTGACGGCGTTGGCGCAAAGAACACCACCGTAGGCTCTGGAAACGGTCTTGCTGGTCTTGGAGACGGTAGCGTACTGTCTTGGTCTCAAAGTAGAGATACCCTGCAATGGGACACCGGTGTCACCACACTTAGGTCTGGTAGCCAACTTCTTGGTGTGTTGAGCACGCAAAACACCACCTGGGGTCTTAACGACCTTGATCTTGTTGGAACGGGTGTTGTCTGGTAAAAGTTAGTAAAACTGAGAATATTGGGGGAAAATTTGGGGCATTTCAAGTGGCCATTGCGCGGCGAGTCGACGATTATTTTTCAACTTTTCTGGTCAAATTCCTGGACTGGAAAGTCATTACCAAAGGAAAGACGTGCACACACACGCACAGAGAGAGATTCGAAAAATCGTAACTTCCCCAAGTACTTGCGATCTTACTCAAAAGTGCAATTTCAACAATCTCTGGTCTCCTCGAATTCGACATGTCCTCGGTAAATAGCATTTCAGTTCCTCTTGCCCAGTTTCTGGCTTTGAAAAGTTGTCATATAAACCACCACTCGCTGGACGCGGCCAACGCTCCCGAGGAATCTCTCGTCCTTAACATACATGGATTTCTTCTTCTGTAAGTAACACGTTGGACCATCTTTGGTTTGTGAGTTCTCCTGCTGCTGCTGTAAGAGGTGTCCCAAAAGCTAAGTTTTCACTAGATGAGAGAGTAATAGTTTCAAAATTTTTCAGCTGCTAGCACCCAATGGTTAGAGAGCTTTCGTGTTAAGAGATCTACCATTCTCGTCATTCACGATTCAAAAGCCGCTAAATTATGATCAGGTGACTGATTATAGGAGTCTTTGCGACAATTTTGCGTGGGAGCCGGCCAAAACTTAGGCGGAGCGCCAGTGGAGCTAGGCAGAAGACCACTGGGCTGCTAGGCAGGGCCTGGGTTTGGCAGAGTTGGGCTAGGGGGACAATCCTAGGCTCGGATCGAGCCTGGGCGCTAGGCTGCACTGTTTGACTGTGAGGACTCTTAAGTTGGCTAGTTTTTTTATTTCATCGAAAATTTCTTGTATTTCTTTGACAGAGTTTTGAGAAAACCCAGACACCGCAAAATAACAGTCATACCTTATTCACAGAGCTCGGTTTTTTCAAGCAGTGACAGGTAAACATAACATGGACCTACTCTGCTCGCCCTGTCTTTAAGGTGAAAACTCGATTGTGGCTATGGCCACGATCGTAAAAGCAGTTGGGGACTAACAACGAGGGTGGAACGTTTCCAAATCAGAGAGCAGAGAGCTAGTGACGCCTGCTCTAAAATCAAGTACTGTATGCCATGCAATGCCGCGCAAATGAGACATGTTAGGGCCTCTTCCATTGTCTCGATATGATAGATATACAGAAGTTAAAGAGTTTCACAGCGTAGTTGCAAAACCTTCGAGCTCTATTAACATATACTTTACGTACGTATTCCAGAGCGACTGGTAGGTCGGTCGATTAGTGATCCCAACCTGGCCGTTGTTTAGTCCTTCTCCACGGCAATGACCTCCATTTCCAAGTCAACGTTCAATGGCAAGGCAGCAACCGCAACACAGGATCTGGCAGGCTTGTGCTCGTGGAAGTACTTGGCGTACACAACGTTGAACTCGGCAAAGTCCTTAATGTCGGCCAAGAAAACGTTGACCTTGACGACCTTGTTTAAGCCCGAGTTGGCCTCCTTCAAAATGTTGCTGACGTTCTGGATCACTTGCTCGGCCTTGTCGGCAATAGAGCCCTCCACAGGCTTGTTTTCAGCAGTGTAAGGGATTTGGCCAGACACAAAGATCATGTTGTTGACTTTCATGGCTTGCGAGTAAGACGCCGCAGCGGGTGGCGACAGCTTGGTGGCAACTGGAGTCAAAGAGGACATGGTTCTGATCGATTGCTTCGCGACGCTTCTTAGAAACATACTAGGTCGACGATGATGTTAGCTGATGGAATGTGCAAAGGATATATATGGCAATTCGAAGCCAGGTGTGTTGAAATACCAATAATCCGATCAGTCACGTGAACAGCTCGAAGAGTACTTCTGACACTCTAAGACGCCGAAAGGCTGGGCACCAGTCGAAGAACTCTGTCACATCGCTTTGGAGAGAATATCAGTGGGACTAGACCAATTCAAAAGCCTTCTATAAAGCTTCAAGACCCACATAAAATCACGCTTGTCGAAGAAAATCAATTGGGGATATGGGAGTTACAGAAAACTGCACATTTCGCAATTGCTTCCGAAATAGACAAATGGTCGTGTGTGCAGTTGGACCGAGCCAAACTATCTGTTCTGATCCCATAAAGTGATGTGTCGTCCCACCAGAATTCGCTGTAAGCGAGATATATATATATATATTGGTTTATGTGAGGGACTGCCAACACGTAACCGGCTACCTACACACGCACAGGATTTGACGCGAAAGCTGGCAATCAGCAGAATGATGGATAAAATTACACGATCAACAGTGAGAGAGTCTCCTAAGCTGATGTGTAATGATGTTGTGCTATCGTATCGGGAGAAAAGTCGTTTTTTAGAAAATTACTCTCACTTATGTTTACACACACAGTACTCAGTCTCCGATTGCCTTTATAAGAGTGAATTGATGTTTCATTTATCTGGTTAACCAAAGCCAGACGCTTTGACCGTTTTTTTGTCAAGGCTTATGCTGTCAGGCGCTCTTAATTTAAAAATCTATTTTTCTTTAATGGAAACAACTGTCGTCGATTATTCGAGCAAAGGTTGTCATCTATAATTGCCGATCGTGAATCGAGATTGCCCGAACTAATTCCTTTTGCACATAAACTGAGTACAACGTGCGGATTTTATCTGGAAAACTAGGCTCGAGATTGCTTTCGAGGCCTTGGAATTGTGCTACCTTTCGGGCGTAGCCAACTACACTCAAAACTGTTACACCTTGTTCGATTTTAGCCAATATGTGATGAATTTAAAATGACGCTGTCGTTTAGTCACGTGTAATCGCTCTACTGAGCTAAACTCGGCGTTATATTTAAATAAAGATTCACAGTCCCTATATCGATGTTGTGCTCAGCAGTACTCAGTAAATCTCGGAATTTCGACGCTAAATGACATTCTATGTAGCCACTTAGGACCAAATTAAAAACGCCAAAAACTCACACTGAAATCTCTCAATTTCGTCACCCGATTCTCAAACTCTCCCAATAATAAATCGCACATCACCAACGTCCTCAAGTCGTAATCGAGGCGATGAAACCAGGTGGCTCGATGATAGTTTCTCAGAATTTGACTCGTTCGTGAAACTTTCGATCACGTGTACTGTTATCGCTGTCAGAATCATGGTATATTTATATTACTCCCAGTGGAAAATGCTCATGGTGATGACTTCAAGAATTAGAAGCGATGAGATGTAGTGTTTTTGATACTTAACAGGGCACAGTGACCATTCCTGGTCTATCGTGCCATTTCATTCGAGTAGTCTGACTTAACAATTTGAGCTCTGTAAAAAAAACCAAAAAATGTCGGACGAAATTGCTCCCGTACAGCTCATCGATGACTACAAGAGTGCTAAAGACCCTGCCAGAGTAGCTAAAGATTTGGCTGCGGGAACTGCAGGAGGAATTGCCCAAGTACTGGTAGGCCAGCCTTTTGATACCACCAAAGTCCGTTTGCAGACTTCATCAACGCCTACTTCGGCGGTGGAAGTCGTCAAAAATCTGGTGTCGAAAGAGGGTCTGCGAGGCTTCTACAAGGGAACTCTCACGCCTTTGATCGGTGTGGGTGCTTGCGTCTCGTGTCAATTCGGCGTCAACGAGGCAATGAAACGTTTTTTCAGAGGCGACAACCCCAATCCTAGTGGTCTGCTCTCGCTTCCACAGTACTACACCTGCGGTTTCGTTGGTGGTATCGCCAACGCATTTCTAGCATCGCCCATAGAGCACGTAAGAATCAGGCTACAAACTCAGACCGGCTCAGGCGCAGCTGTTGAGTTCAGCGGTCCTCTGGACTGCATCAAAAAACTCGTCAAGGGCAAGGCCTTAATGCGTGGACTCACACCGACTTTATTAAGAGAAGCTCATGGCTGTGGTACATATTTTCTAACTTATGAGGCCCTAGTCTCCAATCAGGTGCAGAAGGGTGTCTCACGGTCCGACATTCCCGCCTGGAAGCTATGCTGTTATGGAGCTCTGTCAGGTACAGCTCTGTGGTTGATGGTGTATCCACTTGATGTGATCAAATCGATCATGCAAACAGACAAGATCAGTCAGCAAGTACACGGCAAGACCACGCTAGGAGTCACCAGAAATGTCTATGCAAAATATGGCTGGAAAGCTTTCTTCAAGGGTTTTGGTCCCACAATGATGAGAGCCGCTCCTGCAAACGCTGCTACTTTTGCAACATTCGAACTAGCCATGCGAACTTTGGGGTAGATGATCTCTTACGCACCGCAGCCGTTTCAAAATTCTCATATATTATTACTCTATCGACACATCCACTACAAGCATTTGCCTATTCGCATTCTAGTCTACGGAGTAGGTAGTCCACTTCGACCTTCTTGGTCAAAGGAATCACCAGGTCTCTGTAAATCTTTACCAAGTACGTGGGCGTGATCTTCCGCTGCCCCTCTTTGTTTGTGGGATCCACTCCATAGACCTCGGCTTTAACGCACAGCCTTTTTAAGATCTTCTCTTCCACAGCACTGTTGGTGATGTTTTCATAGATTCCCTCGATATCCCTTTCGCGGATCATTTTCGTGTACAGGGGACGGTCGGCCTGAAACTTGGCCTCAGCAACGAATTTCCCAAAGTGAATTCTTCTGCTAAGACTCTGTAAACACTCGATATCGATGGTAGCCACCGATCCCAGGTTCTCCCAGCTCTCCCCGTCGTACTTTGAGATAAGCTTGGTTATTTGGTTGATGTAGACGTCTTTGATCTCGCCATTGATATTGATCTCTGGCGAGTAAGATGCTAACACTCTGGGATACTGTACGCTGGGGAGAATTGGCTTCAAGATCTGGTCAGGGAAAAAGGGCGTTTCGTCTGGCGACTCGAATCTTCTCAATTGTGATTGTGTCATTTCAGTGCGTGTCAAGGCCCAATCCAAAAAACTGCCTTCAAACTCGGGAATACGAAGGTTGGCGTCACCTTCTCTGTATACTGCTGGGCAGGTTGGGAAATGCGATCTCTCGATGAATTTAAAGATAATGGTATCTTCCATTCTCACCAATTCATCGCGGATGTTTTTCAAGTCTAAGACAGTCTCAGGTTTCAAGAAGTCCATCTGTGGTAAGCAATGCAGTGATAGTCTTGTCAGGAGCTTTGGTTGATTGTATAGCTGAAGTGCTTTCTGTTCGGTGGAAGTTATCGAGAGATCGCTAGATAGGCGATCTAAATCAGTCGAAGCCTAAGTGGTTCCTACGTATAGTGTGATAAATATATATCTGTATGACACTATATAAGCTCTAATTTGTAAGGACTCCAGTTAAGGTGTCATCTTCAAATACTCTGGATTGCGTAGTTTAAAGCTGATTTTATAATCATAAGGTCATCAAATTCAAGCGATTTATGTAAATAAAACTAAGAAGGATGCTTTCCAATTGCAATCCTTAAATTTCCATTATTTTCGGTGGGACGGCTCATCACTTGACGATTAGCGACTGCGGGCTTCCTTACACCTGAGCTCTTGCACAATCTTTTCGTTTTTCTGTGCCTCTCTGTCAAGATCGTCCTTGGACCGATATATTCCATAGGTTCTAAACCACAAAAATCGTCTTAGTCTCGACCATTTGTCGGTATCGAGACCGTAGTTCACGTAGGCCTGTAGTAGGTCATGCTCGGTCTCGTCGTGTGTGAAGTGGGTTTTGGTGAGGGTTTCCTCGATGCGCGTCAGCAAAGCCGTGCACTGCACACACACCAACAGCCCGCACATCCACGCAACTACCACCCACATCGACAGTTTTTTGTCCGGGTTGGAATCGTTCATCCTATTCACGTCTTCCCAGGTTCCAGCGTTCCAGTATTCGTAGTTGTGGTTGTTGTGGTAGCCGTGGGCTGTAGCTGCAGCTGAAGAGTATGCTGCGTTTCTGACGGAGGCAGGCGCGTACATCCAGCCAGTTCTAAAACGATCGTAAGAGCTTTTCTTGCGTGAATCCCTCAAAAGTTCGTAAGCCTCGCTCACCACTTGGAAACGGCTCTGCCGGTCCTGAGTGGACAAAATCGTCGACTCGTCGATTTGGTAGCTGTGGTGACTTTTGGATGCGCTGTCCTGCAGCACGTTGACGCCGCTGGCGATATCTGGATGGTACATTTTCGCCATTGCATGGTACCTTTTCTTCAACGTCCGGGCGTCTACTTGTCCTGGGGGAATACCAAACACTTCGTAAGGAGTGGGATGGCTATTTTTGGGCCAGGAAGGCTCCTGGAGAGATTCTGAGCCCGACCCAGTGCTTTGGCTAGCGTATCTTCTCATTAGCGAGTTTTTGCAAGGCAAAACTCGGCATAAACGGGCAACCATGGTTGAAGATACAAAACGGGATGAAATGCTCTCTAGATGAGCAAATTGAAAGAAGTATTAGGGAATCTTATTGAAAGGCGCCAGTTAGCAGTACAAGACGTTGAAGCTAAGAACGGATAGTCGGTCTCGGTTTGACCAGTTTAAGTTTTGGCTCTTTGTAGAAGCAACTGCTGACGATTTTTGATGCTGAGATGTTTGGAATCATTCCTCCATGATAAAGTCCGCTCATTAAGTATGCCGGGATTTTATCGGCGGACCTAAATAAACCTGAGTCTGGTGAAGAGATGACAGAATTGGTAGAAATGACAGATTTATGAACATGTGGATTTTGGGCTGGTTTAGCCTAGTTTGAGCTGGAGAGCCGAAGCTTTCTTGAAGTTTGTCCACCAGGATTGGATCTGCTGTTGCTGGAAATCTCTTTTTTGATTTTGGTTTTACGTCAAAAGGCGTTGCATGGCTTGAGACTCAGGTGAGAGCTGATGCAGTTCTAAATGACGGGCTACGAGAGGCAAGCAAAAAACTCACACATGCAATTTCACGCTCCAAAATTCTCTATTTGGTTTTATTTCTGTACATAACAATCTTTCATAAGTTTTCGGGCAGTGGACGTCTCCCGAAGCGCAGGCGTTTCGCCACGGCTGGAATTACGCCTTTTTGTCGGCAGGACCTGGCTGAGGGAACACAACGTTCATATAACACACAGCAAGGGACACCCCTGACATCATGATCTTGAGCAAAGGCGATTGTTCCGCAGCGCTCTCCTCGCCTTGGCCGTTCAAGGCGTAGTGAACGGTGCTTAGCAGGGCAAACCAGGCCAAAAACTTGTTTTTCATAAACATCGCAGCCATGGGCATCGATTGGGCCAAGATTCCCTGACTGGCAGCAGCAGCAGCCGATTTGGGTGCTGGAACGTGTTTGTAGCTGCGTGTCGTTAGTAAAAGAGGGTTTTGAGCACTAGGAAAGAAAGATAATGCGCTTTGACGTACTTGACAATGAGGTCGGGCCTTTTGCAATTGTTCATCTCGAATAGCAGGACAGAAAGGGTTGGTTCAGCGGGGTTATGGTTTCTGAGTTACACTTTTGTCTATTTATTTATCCATCTGGGTTCGTTACATTTTCGATATATTGATTATTCGAGATCCGAGTACTTTAGTACTCGCGTCTATCGAGTACGCTCCAGCCAAGTATCGCTGGTGTCTGACGTTGGCGTTCCACGCCGCAGCAGTCTGTTATTGTACTTTGATTAAAACATCCTATTTATGCGATTAGTTTTTGCCACTACTGTCTAGTGGTCTTGCTCTATAAAGTTTGTGTGTGTAACATCGTTTTCCAGGACCAGCCCGGTCTGATCGACCTTTTCCATGTTCCTAGTTGAACTCGAAGCCGCAGCTTCCGCCGTACGAGTCCTTTACAGGCACCAGCTCCAGTCGCTGAAACCGTTCCGCGTCTTTGTGATAGTAAAAGCCAAAAATGTTGCCGGTCAGCTGGTCATGGACGATGTAGTAATAGCCCTCGAAAGATGCGCCCTCCACGGAGTCCAGGTCTGCGTCTGGAACCAAGAACCGTTCCTTCCAGCGCATGTAGATGAACCGTTTGCGAAGGTAATCGGAATGAACGTAGGAACCGTCGAGGATGGTGGATGCCACGGTTTTGTCGTTGCAGCACATGCCTTTGAAACTGGGGAAATTAAGCCAGTGCTCCATGTCTATGGTGTCGTTGGCCCTCAAGTCTTTGAGATTGTGGGGCACGGAAGAGGACAAGAATCCGGAGTTTTCCGTTGCAGCAAAGCCCTCGAAAAAAGTGGTAATTTCGGACTGGTGCGCCGTGAGACCCTGGATGGTGAAGAAACCTGTCAAATGTGGGGCACCAGCGGTCTCAGACCCGTTCACGGGAAGATCGACGGTCTGTAAGACCACGTGCACGTGATTCCTCTTGTAGCCCGAGATCTGGAATCCGGTGTATTGTCTGCGAGGCTTCAAAAACGAGGTGTTGGAGGTGCAGGAGTGCGGAGTAGCGACGGGACTTTGGGATCGACTGCCGTAGGGCGAGTAATCGTTGTTTATGTATTTTTTGGACCCGATAGTCGCGGAAAGCGTGGGATGCACCGGTTCTGGCGTGTATCGTAGCGATTCGAGCGATTCGAGCGACGAGCACGGATGAAGTGCGTTCTCGTGTTTGCACGATTGCAGAAGTTTGTTTTCCAGGCCGTGGAACGGTGGTGTGGTCGGTGTAGCAGGTGTCACCGCCGGTGTCTCTGGCGTGGCCGATGTGGACTTGAGAGGTTTCCACGTTTGCTTGTCCTTGGCCGATTCGTTTATCATGTTGGTGGACCTGAGAGATTTCTCGTAAAGAGTTGTGTTGGTGTGTAGATAGATAATCCCGATTCGTGGATCGGATTACAGCTAGCTGTTTTTATACTATCGGTGGGGGTTTCAACATATGTCGCAGCTCATCGGTGTTGGATCACCAGATTATGGGAAAAGAAAGTATATAGCGAGAGGAACTGCATACAACGGTGTTTTGAAAGATGGGAAAAAAAAGAAAGGAGGAAGGGCGGATGGTCATGTGATGTATTATGTCGTTTTTATCCAAACTGACACCATCACGCTTCCCCACGTGACACATATCACTATTACCCAAACTGACACCTTTGCTCACCTCCGGCTTCCTTTTTTTTCTCTTTTTCTTTGCGCCAATGTCTCCCACGAAAAGCAACAGCAAGAGTTTGCGGAAAATTTAAAGAAAAAGAAACACTATCGCGATGAGATCACCACGAGTACACAGACCGAAAATGCCACGAGTACACCAAAAAATGACCCGTGTACACACAACTGGCAGTGAACACAACTTGCCTATCAGCCAAAGAAAGACACACCCAAGTATTACCACGCCAGGTAATAAGACCACGCTAGTTTCGCGTCTTCACACGAACAAAGAGTCTACTACGTTCCATCCTCTCGCTTTCTCGCCGCTCTCGTATCACGTGCCAATGACGTTCTTCATCAGTATGGCAAAGAACTTGAAACACGTCTAGTCTGTCTTGGCTATATTTAAACGTAGCCACCATGAATCTCGCGGCAGGGCTTATGATGAGTTAGTAGATATATAAGTAAAGGCGAAAGACTGAGTGGTTCGAGGTTGATTTTCAGATCAAACACACGAGCCAGAACGCCTATTTAGAGTATTTCAAAGTGAATCTTTTAGCTTTGAGAGCGATTCTTACAACCTTTGAGAGTGAATCTTACAGTTTCTAGAGAACAAAAAGTTCAGTTCAAAATAGTCCAGATCTAGTTCTCTCCATTGTTTCAAACGTTTTGTTGAGAAAAGTACGCTAGGAGCTTGGTATTTGTTAGTTTTGGTTTGGTTTCCACCACACACTACACATCATTGTTTTCTTAAATCAAGCTAAAAATCGAAACTTTTATTGATACTAGATAAACTCATCAACAAAACAAGTGCAAGTTTTTAAATCTTTTGTCCGAAAAACCAAGCCATAGATACCGGTTTTTGTTGACTTATAAACTACTGTTTCGAACGTGCAGGACGCATTCGGAACTTTGTTTTACGTTTTACGTTTTGAAGTAGCGATTCTATCGAAATCGCCACGGAAAACGGACCTCTACAGCTCACCACAAGCTCTCACCATTTCAGCACCTAATCGAGTCTCTAGAAGCCCCTTTTCAAAGCTCCCATTCACTGCCCGAAATGTCCGAACAACGTCCTAGACTCGGCGCCAGAAAATCAAACAGAGGCTCCAACGAGCGTTTCCTCTTCTTGAGACCCCGCTCGTCGTCTCGCAGTCGCACTGGCGCTAACAATAGGGCTTCGGCAGCCTCAGACTCCGATTCAGACGATAATCAGGACCGTCCAGACCCATACGACCGCCCAGCCTCGCGTGCTCTGCCCTCTTTCGCGCGTGGTCCCGCTTCTCACACCAACAGGCGTCAAGATATCGAAGAAGACGCCTTTGATACTATCCAGGTCGATAACGGCGACACAGTGGACTTCTCGGACAATGAAAGTGGTCAAGAGGAAACACAGAACCCAGAAGACCCCAAGAGCACCGAAAGGGCCCCCAACAGCGCCCGCGACGCCGAGGAGCATGTCAACTCGGACTCCGCTCCTCGCCCCGCTCAACAAGACTCCGACAAGCCACAACAATTGCAATACCCCTCCTCAGACGACGAAAAAATAGACCCAAAGGACTCAGATAAGAGCTCCCCCACGCACGTCGCCACTACAGAGACGCAAGACCCTTTCAAAAACCCAGCTTCGCCTGGTGATGAAGATAAAGACGGTGAGGGGTCCTCATCGGACGAAGACAAAGTTGACAACTTCAAACGCTTTTTCCGTAGAAGATCTACTGCTCGTCGTTCCTCCACTCGCCGGTCTTCTCATGATTCGCGGCCAAGTGGCATGCGGTCTGTAAAAGACGACGACGAAGACGACGAACATCGCGGCTTTCTCAACAAATTCTTAGAATACACAGGTGGTGGTATGACCCCAGGTCTACGAAGATCCAGCACGCAAAAATCTCACATTGACGAAGAACATGTAGCGGGCCAAGAAAACTTGGAAGAGCCTGTGGATGGCGTCGATGTTAGCGAAGCTGCCCAGCAGATTCTTCAACAACATGGTGCCTCTACAACTCAGAACCTCGCTGTTCCAAGCGGCTCCGGTGACAATTACAATCCTGCTCTCGATACACCCGATGTTACAATGAATAACCCTTCAGACGGCGAAACTATGGTCCAATCTGGTAAAGATTCGTTTTTTGCCGCAAGAGTCGGCCATTACGACGATTTGGATGACGATGCTGACGGTTTCAACCCTTTGATGGAAGATAACTCGTACATTGCACCACCAACTAGAGTTCGTGGAGGTGTTTTGGGATCTTTGTTGAAATTATACCAAAACGAAGACGATGCTGCTTCTCGTTCCCAAGTTTCTCTAGACACCACGCCAGAACCTATCGATTATTATGATGGCGAATCACTCCCACTCACAGGAATCACAGATGTAGCATCTGGGCAGCCTGGTAAAAAGGGAAAGAAGATCTCTTTTAATACGCCCTCGTTTTCCGGTATGAAAGACAAGGCGTCTCAGTTTTTAAGCTCAGAAAACCTTCCCGCCAACGGCAAGTTGCCCAATTTCAAAGCGACCAGGCCTAAAGTGAAAAACTTGAAAAACGTGGCCAAGCAAGCCAACAAGCTGCGCCGCAAACAAACAGCAGAGGCTAGAATTACCGTCCACATTGCGGCACTACTCCAGAGACAGAGATTCATTTTGCGCTTGTGCAAAGCTCTGATGCTTTACGGTGCTCCAACACATCGTTTGGAAGAATATATGGTGATGACCTCAAGAGTGTTGGAAATTGATGGCCAATTTTTGTACGTCCCGGGCTGCATGGTCGTCTCGTTTGGCGATGCCACCACCAGAACCTCCGAAGTTCAACTAGTCAGATGCGCACAGGGATTGAACTTGTGGAAGCTTCACCAAGTTCACGCTGTCTACAAACAAGTGATTCACGATTTGATGAGTGCGGAAGAGGCAAACATGGCAATTGACAATATTATGAAGGAAAAAAACCTATACCCTCCCTGGGCCTGTGTCTTCCTGTATGGGTTCTGCTCTTCGATGGTCACACCATTCGCTTTTGGTGGTGACTGGATCAACATGGCCACATCTTTCGTGATTGGGTGCTGCGTTGGATGTTTGCAATTTATTGTTTCACAAAGGTCGAGTTTATATTCCAATGTGTTTGAGGTGACTGCTTCAATCGTTGTCAGTTTTTGCGGTAGAGCGTTAGGATCCATCAGTCCGTCGAAAAGTCATATTTGTTTTGGGTCCACTGTACAAGGTTCTCTTGCCTTGATTTTGCCAGGTTTTATCATCTTGAGTGGATCTTTGGAGTTGCAAAGCAGAAACTTGGTTGCGGGGTCCGTGAGAATGTTCTACGCAATCATTTATTCTCTCTTCTTGGGGTTCGGTATCACGCTAGGTGCTGCCCTGTTCGGATGGATTTACAAGGATGCCACCAATGACACAACCTGCAAAGATCCACATGTCCCTACTGAGTTCAAAATCTTGTTCGTGCCCGCGTTTTCCATCGGTATAGCGTTGATTAACCAAGCGAGATGGTCGCAACTGCCCGTCATGACATTCATATCATGTGCAGGTTACGCTGTTACCTTCGGTTGTGGGAAACATTTCAAAAACTCGACAGAATTCAACTCTTCCATCAGTGCGTTTGTTATTGGTATTCTAGGCAACTTGTACTCGAGAATCTGGAAAGGTCTCGCTGTTTCTGCCATGTTGCCTGGCATTTTCGTCCAGGTTCCATCCGGTGTGGCGTCGCAGAGTTCTTTACTTGCAGGTGTTCAGAGTGCCAATGCCATCACCAATAGCAGCAGCAGCAGCGAAACCGTTGTCAACGACTTGTCTGGGTCGATGTCTTTCGGTGTTACCATGATTCAGGTGTCCATTGGTATTTCAGTTGGATTGTTCGCCTCGACTCTTTTCGTCTATCCATTTGGCAAAAAGTCCACCTCTCTTTTCACTCTGTGAGCGTGAAAACCCTGCATTTTGCATAACATAGTCAAGTCAAGAGCCTTTATAAAGCTTGGCTCGATCAGAAATATTCATACAGTTTTATATATGTATTTCGCTTTTAACCCTACCTTAACTGAAAATTGGCACCCGGAGACCGACAAGCAAACGAGTCGGAAAAAACTCGATTGTAGCAGTGATTGCATATAGTTCCTTATCCCTTCTAACATCACTATAAAGCCAGTTTCTCACTTGGCAATGGCCAATTGGTATATTTGGCGGCGACATCGAGCCGTCCATCTTCTTAATCCTTCAGTTGTTCTTCTACTCAAAATCCTAATTACTTAAGCTCCATCTTTAAGTTGACAAAAAATTTTCTAGCGATGAGCTCCATCTCTCTAACTCATCCCTACCGCTAACACCAGTAAAAGTTACAGAGTCACCGTCTAAAGGATGTCTTTGAGCGATCAATTAGCGCAAGTAGCGGCTAACAACGCCACTGTAGCTTTTGACCGGAAAAAGAGACAAAAGCTTCACTCAGCTTCTTTAATATACAACCCAAATACTGCAGCAACCCAAGATTTCGACTTCATCTATGAGAATGCGATCAGTTCGTTGGAGGAATTGATAGAAGTAGACTCGAGATTTGCAGTGTTTCAAAAGTCTCTTTTCGGAACCTCTTCAGCTACCATCGATAGGAACGTGCAGACTAAGGATCAGATCCGTGATTTGGACCACGCTGTGAACTTATACCTGATACTGGCATCGTCCAAATGGCACCTAACGCCAACGCTACATGCCACCGAATGGCTAGTGCGTCGTTTTCAAATTCATGTCCACAACGCGGAGTGCTTGTTGCTCTCCACGATCGACTACTACCAGACTCCAGTCTTCAAGCGCATTTTAAATATCGTCAAGCTACCACCCTTGTTCAACGCACTCAGCAACTTTGTCAGAACTGATCGTTCCCCCTCGAGTCTTACGATTATAAAGCTCTTCAGCGACATGGACTTTTTGAAGGTCTACACCCAGTATTTGAGCAAAGTCATAGAGCAGAAAGTGGCATATACTAACCAGTTGCTCTTCACCACTTGCTCGTTCATTAATCTGATTGCCTTCAAATCGGGCAATATCGAAGTTCTGAATGCATTAGTACCCACCGTCTTGGAGATCTGCGCCAAATTACTGGCGTCAGACTCTGCAGATTGTCAGATAGCCGCACATACCATTTTGGTAGTCTTTGGCACCGCATTGCCTTTGAAAAAAGAGATTTTGATTGCTGCGGCAGAGACCATCTTGGCAAATCTGAAGGAAAACAAGGCCAAGAGATCGGCATTCATTTCTATTGGCAAACTATTCCAGACTCTAAAGGGTCACGGAAATGTTGACCAAATGCCAATTGGCTTATACAAGCTCTTTGACTCAAAGTTCAGCTTCCAGTCATTGATCGACCAGTTACGGGGCAGTGACGAACTCGTGATGGACAAGTTCTTGACCTCATATATCAGATCCATCCTAAGATACGACCACCAAAAACTTGATTCACTAGTTTCGCTTTTCAAAGTTATCAAACTCGAATCATTCGAGATCAAACTGATCGTTCTGGACCTCATCAATTTATCTGAAGTTTTCGACGATAAAAGGCTACTTGTTGAGATCTTTGAGTACTTTGTTGCGCTTGATGAAGACCGTGTGATCAAATGTCTACACTCGCTAAATTTGAGCCCAGAGCTCTTCGAATTGAGATTGACTACCTCTCTATTCAGAGCCAAAGAAGATGCGGAAAGTTCACTCAGGGATCTGGAAGCTTCGAAAGTACTTGGTGCCAACTCGCACGTTGAACCCTTCAAAGACTTCCTTAACAAAAACTCAAGATACATTATTACCAAAGTTACATCAATGTTGATCGAAGGTGACGAGAAGTTCTCCAAACTTTTGTCTTTATACGTTGAGGCAGTGTCGAAAGGTTTCAAGGCTGGCTTGTTTTTGTCATCTTTTTTCACCACGGTAGAAGGCAGACTGACCTTTCTTTTGAGAGTTATCATCTCACCTGCAGCTCCAACTGCGCTTCGCCTAGAGTCTCTGTCAAACTTCTCGAAATCCATTCATCAAATTGGTCAAGACTCGAACTTGTTTAGTTTGGTCCCAATCCTGATCGCAGCGTTACACGATACTTCCAAGAGCGTGAGGAATGCGGTGAAAAAAATCTTGCACCAAATCTCAAAGAGACCATCTACGAAACACTACTTCCTAGCCAACAAGCTATACGGCGATGTAGAAATCCCTATGGTTAGTCCGAAAGACGCCGAATCTTGGATGAATAAGTTCTTGGACGAATATATGATAGAGAATCACAACATTACAAACTTGGTGATCCCGAAGAAATTGGAAAAAGTCTTCATGGTATTTTGGGCCAATCAAGCCATCCACATGCCATTGCCGCATGCCAAGACAATTTTCATCAAGTTTATTACTGGCCACAAGTCATACAATTCAAGCTATTCTTCTCTATTCGAGAAAATGCTTGTCGATTATCTCGAGCAGAGAGAAACTTGGGAGAAGACATGTATTAACAACAAGACGAACTTTGAAAGTTTCGAAAATGCGATCGCCTCTATCATTTCAATCAGAGAGAAGAACATGACAATCATTGGGTTTGCTGAGAAATGCCTGAAATGCGACTTTGAGCAATTGGCAAGATTAGTTTCCGGACGCTTATTGGGGCTCTTCCCCACTTTGAAATTGTCACACCAACAGCAACTAGTCAAAGATGTTGTGGACTCTACCGCAGAAAGAGAGTTGTCTTATGACTCTGTGGAATTCTTGCAATCCATACCTTTGTCGTCCGAAATTTTTGTCTTCCTGCTTTCTCAGTACCGAATTAATGCTACCGGAGACGAAGCAGGCGACTTTGCCAAGAAGAGAAGAAGAAGATCATCCACTGCGAACAAAGCTGCATTACAAAGAGAAGAGGTCTCACAGATTGCTGAGCTTCATCTGCGCAAACTCACATTAACGCTGGAGGCATTAGATTTGATCAAACCGGAAGGGTCTGAGCCGCTGCTGTCGACTCTATTCAGTACTCTTTCTGATCTGGAAACTCTCGACCAAGACGGTGGTCTGCCTGTACTTTACGCCCAGGAAACACTTTCCTCTTGTATGATTTCGGTCATTTCATCAATGCCAGTTGAATCCAAATCGCAGCTGCGTTTGCTAAGAGCCGATATTTTAGTTTCAGCGATTACCTCCTCTAACTCTCCTCAGGTTCAAAACAAGCTCTTGTTAGTGATAGGAGAGCTGGCCAAGTTGAGTCCTGAGATAGTTTTACATTCCGTCATGCCCATATTTATTTTCATGGGCGCCAAAACTATCCGTCAAGATGATGAATACTCTAGTTACGTTGTCGAAAGAACAATTCAACTAGTCGTTCCGGCCTTGCTACATTCTAAGTCATCGAATAGCACAGAGGAAACCGAGTTTCTGCTTACGAGTTTCGGTACTGCATTCACTCATGTCCCAAGACACAGACGTGTGAAGCTTTTCACAACGCTTGTTAAAACCCTTGGTTCAGATATTGCACTCGGTCCATTTTTGTTTTTGATCGCTCAGCAGTATTCATCCTCAGTACAGAAATACAAAGTATCTGAGAGTAAGACCGTTTTGGAGTTTACAAAGGCTTTTCTCACAAAGTTTTCAGTGTTGGATCAACTGATAGGAATCCATGCATTGTTCACTCTGTTGAATACCTTATCAGAAAACTGGACGGAAGACTCGAAAGCGCAACTTGCGTCAAGAACTCTTTTCTCCAATGGAATTTTGAACGCCTCTAAGTCAGAAGTTCTCGCCATCAAAAAGAACGGGTTTAAGTTTCTTGACAGTATCATAGTGGAGGGCGACGCTGACTTCCAAAGTTCAGGTAATTTGAAAGTTAGAGTTATGGGAGCATTATGGGATAGCTCCAGTGAAAAGCAACTTCGGGACGATGTTAAATCAAGATTTGGAGAATTCTTGAAAACTACTCTAGATTCGCTAAACACTTCAGCTTCTCTCGTCAGTTTGCCGTTTGATAATCAGGAGCCTTTTGCCAGTGGTGAATTGGATGAAATGCGTGACGCCATTCGCGAAATCCTCTTCCAAATACTAGGCCATGTATTAGACCTTTTACCAATCGAAGAGTTTGTTTCCGCTACTCTACCTCTCATTTCTGCCGACAGCTCTCTTGACACCATCAAGCATCGTTTGATTTTGGTATTGTCATCTAAATTTGACCTAGAGCCCATTGAGTCGGTAACTCATGCCAACCGTGTCATAGAAGCCCTATACACTATTATTGACAAAGAATCGAAAAATGACGGCATTGTTCAGGTATCTCTGAATACACTAGAGTCGCTAATAGCCAAATATGGAGACAAGATTGAATCTGGACTCATCACCAAGGGTATGAGTATTGCTAGCGAACTGCTTCTATCCCAGAAAATGGAGATTGAAATCTCGTCGTTGGCTGTCTTAACAAGTGGTGTGCAAGCGCTAGGTGTTAAGGCCATTGCGTTTTATCCAAAAATTGTCGGACCAGCAGTGCAAATTTTCAAGGCTTTGGAAACGAGTGAGGCGGATGTTAAGGAACAGCTACAGTTAGCTATCATTCTAGTCTTTGCATCGATGGTCAAGCGCATCCCTGCATTCTTGCTATCGAACTTGGTTGACGTCTTTAGAGTCGTCTTCTTTGCTGACGAAGTTGAGAACACTGTTCGCTTGTCTGTAATTTCATTGATTGTCGAGCATATCGATTTAAAGGAGGTTATGAGAGCGCTTTATAAGGTTTGGCTTTCTGATGTGTGCAAAACTGGCGATTCTGCAGCGATTTCTCTATTTCTAAGTGCTTTGGAGTCAACTGTGGACACGATTGACAAAAAGATAGCAACGTCGGAGTCACCCGTCTTTTTCAGACTTCTTCTCTCTCTGTTCGAGTACAGGTCGACTAGCGACTTTGATCATAACACTATCAGTCGCATTGAGGCTTCGGTTCACAATGTAGCCAACGCATACGTCCTAAAATTGAACGACAAGGTTTTCAGACCATTATTCGCTCTCATGGTAAGATGGGCGTTTGATGGCGAGGGTGTCACCAACGACACCATCAGCAGAACCGAACGACTAACCGCATTCTTCAAGTTTTTCGGCAGATTGCAAGAAAACCTCAAGGCCATCGTCACGTCCTACTTCACTTACCTGCTAGATGCTACCGTAGAATTGCTGCGGTCTTTCAGCAAAGGCGAAGTGTCGAACTCAAATTTGCGTCGTTTGGTGCTTCATTCGCTCACTTCCTGCTTCAAGTACGACAGAGACGAATATTGGAAGTCTACTTCGAGATTTGAAGTTATCTCAGAAGCTCTCGTCGCCCAGTTGCCAAACATTGAGCCACCAGTTGGTCGCTATCTGGTCAAGGCAATCAGCTCTTTGGCTATGAATAATGCTGGTGCAGACGAGCACAATAAGACCATGAACACCATGTTGATTTCGCACATGAAATCCAATTGTTCGAGCTCAGAGAAACTGTGGGCTGTAAAGACGGTCAAGACTATCTACTCTAAAGTGGGAGAAGGGTGGCTTTCGTTCCTCCCTCAACTTGTGCCAATTATTGCCGAATTGCTCGAAGACGACGATGAAGGAGTCGAATACGAGGTTCGCTCTGGCCTCGTCAAGGTGGTTGAAAACGTGTTAGGCGAACCCTTAGATAGATACTTAGACTAAAACTTAGACGACAACGTCAAAGAAATACCATTATAGATCAATTGTACCAGTCATTAAATCAGTTTTCTCTTGTTTGGATATATATAATGGACAGGTGCGTGAGCATCGGTCACACTTGGTCTGAATCTCGTTGTCTTAATCGACTAGCTGATTTCTAATTGTTCAAGTTTTAAGCATCGTTTATATTAAAATGCTTAAGCTCATGGGTATTTGAATATCAACAATTTCGAGCCAAAGTTGACAGGTTTTTGACCCAAAGAAATTGTATGTAGATCATGTCAGAGCTCCCAGTTACATCTCAAGATCTCAATTCTAGGTACTCCAAGCCGGAGCTGCCCACGGTTCTCAAAAGACTGTTCAAATCGCATAAAAATCTTGACTTTGAATCTGCAGTGTGGGAGATGGTAAACCTGGTTTTCAGGCCTCGAAAAGCTCACAGAACGTTCTACTATCAAAGACAGACTCGGAATCGGTGGTCTCGAGACGATCCGTCGTTTTTCATTTTACAGATCGGACTTTTATCAGCCAGCTCTCTGGTATGGTCCATCGTTTACGGGCATTCGTTTCTGGGGTCTCTTAAGATGATGCTGAACATGATATTGGTGGACTTTTTCGCCTTCGGATTCACTGTAGCTACGTTGTTTTGGGCGGTTTTGAATCGCAGTTTTTTCAAATTCAAATCGGCACAAAATGCGAGAGTCGAATGGGCATATTGTTTCGACGTGCATTGCAATGCCTTTTTGGTGGTATGGTGTTTACTGTATCTGATGCAGTTTGCGTTGCTCCCAATTATCAGATTGCATCGCTGGATCGGTCTTTTCATTGGTAACACGCTATATTGCACCGCTTTTGGGCAGTACTTCGTGCTTTCCTTCTACGGGTATAGCCAGCTGCCGATTCTGAAGAACGTCAACTTCATTCTCCTTCCTACTTTGGTATTTGCGGGATTGTATGTGGTTAGCATGTTTGGAATAGATCTTTCCCAAGCGTTTAGCTTTCACACTTATTGATTTGGTATGTGCCATGCGTATCCTATCCGTCTGCTATTCTATCCAGACCATTTCATCGGCTTCTCAAGTCTATTGAAATCTATAAACAACAAAAAAACGATGGTAATGGTCTCCCAAAACCCCTGAGAAAGTGAAGAAAGCTCGCCTGCCAATCCTCGTCCTCATTTCTCACTTTTCGAAAGCCAGCACCCCGACAAATGGCTGGACCTCACTGTCAGAGCTTCCTGGACGAGATCCTTCAAAAACCAACTCTGGAACCTCGTAGTCCGGACTTTCGGGGTCTGTGCCTTTCCAAGGTGGCAGTCGCTCGTCAATGGTTTGCATGTCGAGTTTGATGAAGTCGACTCTCAAAGACATGTTTTTCCTAACTTCGCAGTAAAGCTTAAATTTTTGACTGAGGTCTTTCTCATCGTTATAGTATAAAAGGCCCCACGACTGACCATTTACTCGGGCAGTACATGAACCGATTCCCGTTACGCTCGAGTTTCCGACCTTAACGTTGATAGTTGACACTCCAAATGGCCCGATTTCGATCTCCACACTAGCTGCAACAGAATTCCGATACTTAGCAGTTCGCACCATACAATTCAAAAACAATCAGCTATGAGGTTACAACTAACGAAATAGGACTAGGACGTACGCCAGGAAACTCAGGTCTGGTAGCATGTATTTGAGCGATGAGATCGCTGATGTCGCTGATCATCGTTTCTGCTCAGCGAGTACATTCTCAGAAATGATCAGTTCCGTATGAAATGATTCTCCATTTATCTAAAATAAGAGGTTTCTAACTTGAAGCTGTGTATGATTTAGAAGGCTAGCTCTGGTGGGTTCCATTGGTTATATTAATTGTTTGTGTGTGGCAACATTTTTTGCCATCTGCGTCGGCTCTTTCTTTGTGAAGTTTAACGTTTTGAGATTTATGTTTTGCGAGAAATTCACCCGTCTGCAGGTAGCACTGGTCTGTTCTTTAGCAAGCAATCGGGTCAGTTCTTTCTAGACATGGGTCACATTCACTGGTGCTGATGCTAGTGTTTTTTTAGTTGAGAAACAGTGAAATCGAACTTTGAAATAGTGCGCTGTCGCCAGGAGATAATTCAAAATATTAATAGAAATGCGATTACTTGATGATTATCTGATTATTTACCGGTATATTCGGTAACTACAAAAACGGAGTGTTGGTACTCCTTGTATTCTTTTGTATTCTTTCATTAGCATGCTTTAGGCGAGTAGTGTGTGTCTTTCCCTCACTGACTTGCTTGGCGATATATTTCAGGAGATATTGGGTAAGGCATACTACCATTGGAGGTTCGATCAGAGACTGGCGACGACGATACTCGGTCAACGGCTTTAGCGATCGATGCAGTCATTTTGGGCTCGTAGTCGCGCGAGACAGGCTCGATTAACAGTAAGAGCTCGCTCTGCTCGGCATCATGCCAAATGTTCTCGAAAAACGTTTTCCCGATATTCATTTGATCTCTCAGGTGTAGTTTCTCGGGGTCAACGTCGTCATCCTTAGCGGCGGTTGTAGGTAGCGCAATTCTAGTGCTTCTGAATAACCGCTCGAATCCTGAACCCTCGGAATCGTCAGTCATTCGAAGAACAGGCGCCTCGTGGATCAACTGTTCTCGGAGGTTTTGTTGATCTTTTTTCTTACGCTCAGCCGCCGTAAGATACCCTTTTTGGGCTAAACACTTTATCCTGGACGTCAAGACTTTTTCGCCCGCAATTCCTGAAGATGGGAATCTTTCGATATTTTTGAGTTGATTGCTCCTTTGTTCCGTTAAGAGCTTCGTTTTCAAGTCATTGCGGAACCAAAATTTGGGGAACTGGATCCTAGGGTCGCCTGCGACCCCGGTATCGCTTCTGTCCCGGCCGAGATCGATCTTGGATTTCGAGACGCTCGGCACGGATAGAGAAAACGAGTAACCACTTCCGTGAGAGCTAAGATCACCCTTGAGAAACGCAGTACAGCTATCGGAATTGTGTAAGGTGTCTTGGTCTGTCACGAAACTGTCAAATCGACTTTTCATTATGTCCATTTTCATCTGCAGTCGAGACGTATTGGATGTCTCTTGCGACCCGGCACTCGACTTACTCGAGAGATCATGCTCGAAATTTTCCAGCGCTGCAGAATCTGTTTTTGAAAGCTTTCTGGCTGGTATTCGTGTCAAAGGGGACTGATTCGAGCTGGTCATACTTCGTGCCTTCTCATTTTCGGGTTCTCCGGGAGCTTGTATGATGTCGTCGAAACGGTTGTCGAAGACATACTCCTTCGGAAACAGCTCTTCGCTCATGGCAGTTTCGATCTGTGTCTCCAAAAGAGTGTTGGCCATTTCCTCGTTTTCGAGTGAGGCGCCAGCGTATTCAGCATCTGATCTATCAGCTAGCGATAGTGAGTCTTTCCCGGCCTGGGGAAAATTCTTCACATTCGATTTGAAGTCAACAGCATTTGGCCGTTGTAGTAAAGAGCTCATTCCTGACAAACTCGAATGATTTTTGCTAGGTCGAAGTTCGACGTTAACAAACGTGTTTGAACCGGCAGCTTCATTCTGCCGAATGGTTCCCAGCGACGGTATATGGGTTGTACTTGAACTCTTGGGCCTGGTGGCCATATTTCTTGCAAACTGGTAGTGGTTGATGGGGTTGTTGGCCCGCAGCGATTGGTCTGCAATGTCACTTCTGGGATCTTGTATGACGACGTTCAATGCTTGACGTGTGCTGTTCGAGTTGGAGCTGTTGCCACTGGACGCGGCCGAGTTGTTTCGCATGTCCTTCAGCGACAAGTTACTGCTGTTGCGTTTGTTTTTCAGATTGGTGTAGAGCACGCTGGCAGCGGAACTTCGTTGACGATTCGCCATCAATTTCGATGCATGATGTGAGATGTTGGCACTGGGAATCGCAGGCTCCTCATGGCTGTTTTCTGAAACTGTGTACAGTTGTTTGTTCGGCAGTTTGAGCGAGCTCGTCCGCAGCAACGGTGCACGTCTTTGTTTGTGATGAATTCCCGCATTTAGCATCGCTGAAAGCTCGCTACTGTTCCCCCCCGCGCTTTCGGTGCTGTCGTTCGATCCTCGATAGAGTGAACGACCCCTCATGGTGTTCCTAATTCTTATTCTTGGGCAAAGCTCGTCTTAGAGAGCCGTCCCTTGAATTGATTTCAACGTCAGTTCGGCTGCCAAAAATTGTCCTAATTCTGCCGTTCGAGCTTTGCTTGAAAATTCGACCAATACCTTGCACGTCTAATACCATGAATCCTCGTCGACAGCTTCTTAACGGACTTGCTTCGATCTAGTTTTTAAGTTCTTCACATTTCGATGATAGAGAGAGTGCGGCTTCTATCTAAATTGATCTTTCTTTATCTTATCGTATCTGAAAAAAAACGTCCCATCAACTTATCAAGCGTATCAAAGACCAACTCAGTGTATAATGCCCCATCGCAAGCTCATAGCGTCAACGGATAAACCGTTTAAGATCGGTTGTTGACGCTTTGGTAGGATCATTGCATTTTAACGAGAAAATCGTGCTTTTATAATGAAATAAAGACCGAAGTGCAACGAATACAGCTCTCAATTGCGATCAGTCATCTCATGGGTCAAGTTTTGGTCAAATTTGGGCGAATCTCCAGTGAAAACGGTTTCTCGAGGGTCGCTGATAGATCTAATGACGGCTCTTAACAATCTGGGTCGTTTGTCACTAAATGTCTCTTTTCTTGAAACTCGGTGTGAATCGATACCGTAGTGTCTTTAGTCGTAGATATCAATAGGAGGCAACCTGTCTGCGCTGTAGAACCAGTTCTTGGACTCGACCTCCCGGGCAAGCCAATCGGTGGGGAAAACGACTAGATGGCCATGGATACGCTCCAAAATCCTCTGTGCCGTGTACTTGTCAAAAATACGCTGGTTGGCCCCGTACAATACGCTGCTGGAAAGCTTCATTTTCAACGCCCGCGAGCGACCTTTGTAGTTGGCGTGACCATTGCCGCTGCTGTTGTTAGCAGTCCTCGAGGACGAAAACGCGTCTTCCCTGTGAGACGTATGACGCGCCTGCGAAGATGGGTTTTCGTCCTCGCCTTGCCCTCGCTCGTGATCGAGCTCTGGATGTTGCTCAAGGTCGATCACCGCGTCTTGACCTCGGTCAAACTCCTCGTGCAGACGATTGAAATCTTTGTAGTCACGCCAAGTTTGCACTGAGTTGTCCGGCTGACAGTGAAACACGAGTCGGAATAACATGGTGTTGCGCAGAGCTACTGCGAACCACAAGTCCTCGTAAAAGGAGTCACACACTGGATCCTCAAACGCATACGGATCGATGAATCTCAAATTCAAGAAATCCCTCTTTTGCGACCCATTGTTTCCAATTGGAGGTAACAGTTGCATCAACATGTCGCTAATAATCTCATCGTCTAGTTCATGGTCTTCCACAGCGCTTACATGGCTTGATCGAGACCCCACATTGCTGATTTCGGGCGATGGAAGAGAAGAGTCGGAAGATACACTGGAGGAAGAAGAGCGTGCAGGTTCATTTGCCTTTTTTAAGTGGTTCTTTTGTTCGTTGTTGTATGACAAAAACTGCAGGTAACAAATTCGCTTCAACATATCCCATTGCTCCGTTGCAGAGACAGCAGGATCATTGAGGTAGTCTTCCACGTCTTCACGATCTGGCAAAAACATATCTGCGCTTTTGTCGCGTCCATTTTTGCCAAATTGTACAGGAAGTACCTTCTCTGCCCAAGAACGGAGCTTTTCCGTCACCTTTTGCTTCAACTTGTGGCCGGCCTTTTTCCATTCATCGTGCCCTAGACCGTCAACGTCGGCAGCATGCACCTCATTGTTTACTAGCCTTGAGTCTGTACTAATTGGTTTCTTATCTCTCATTCCCAGGTTAGCTTCACCAGCTCTGTTATTAAAAGAGTGATAGTGATTCAAAGTGGACAATTTATCGTCGTTCTCGTGCTTGACGCGCGGTAAGCTGGATTTTTTGTCGACCTCCTCGGCCTGCTCCATGCTTGAAGAATCGTTTATGTCCTCGAAATCGTGATTACCGAGCCCAAAGTGGCTCGTAGATGAGCCGTACTTTTCCTCCCATGCTTCGCTCGCATTTGTTAGCATTACTTCTCTGTAACCAAGTTCAATGAGAGCAGATTCGATTTTGGCTTTCTTGCTATGCTCACCGCCGTCCAGTAAGTGCAAAGTGTTATAGTTCAATCTTGCAAGCTGTTCAAATCTGCCGAACTTTCTTTCCACGACCTCGATAATGTCAACGTCGCAGCCTAAATGCTCGCGCATCAGCCTTTGTCTCAATTCCCAGGCAAATCTTCCTGCTAAATAAGGCTTATCTCCCATCTTTGTTTCTACCAAATCGGTATCTCTCACCAAAGCAGCGACTTCGCTGTCTCTGTTACCAAGCATCGACCTCTCATTCACATTAGCGCTCCCTATAATGCACGCTCTATCATCGACAATCAAAACCTTTCCGTGCACGTAGAGCTGCTCGGTGACTAGGCGACCGTTCTTTCCCAGAGAGGACCATTTTCTCAATGAGAAAAACTGAATGTATTGCAATGGATCGATGTCTAGCTTTCTGAGCCTAGCAAAAATGGAAGTCTCTCCTCTAGATATCGATTGAAACTGGCATTGCATGATCACCCGAACACTCGAGCCTTCGGGCTTATCAACAGGAGAATCAAAACCAGGCATTAGCGGAATAACGACGAAAGCTTTCCACGCTTTTCCTTCGCTGTTTGCTTTGATAATTCTATCCACAAGGGCATCTCCGATTTTGTTCTCGACGACAACACCATCCCAGCTAGAGCTTGTGACAAAAAATTGATTTTCCATATAAACGTAGTGGTTCGATGTCTCTATCAACTTCAAGTAAGCATTCTGGATCGAATGTTCTGTCTTTTTCAAACCCAGGGACCAGTTCCCAGCGCTTCTTAGAACCTGTACCTCGCAAGTGGAGCGTTCCTTGATTTTTTGGAACAGTGGGGAATTTTTCATCTCAGCTGCAGTGAAGTCGCTTGGTGGAGTCAGCAAAGGTGTAGGTCTGCTAGGGCGCTTTTGCCGAATGAGATAATTCCATCTCTGAACAAAATGGCGAGACATATCGCGAGCCGCTGGACCAATGGTCATCATATGAACATCGTGCCAAGGCATTCTCGGAATGTAATTTCTGTCATACATTGACTCAAAAGGCTTATCCAGGTCGTAAAAATCGCAGACTCGAGCATTTGAATAATCTTTACCAGGAAAATTCTGCTTTTTGAAATCTGGATTGTCGTCCTTCAAAACATGCTCCGGTGTATCGAATCTACCGTAGCACAAATCTATGCCTCCCATAAAAGCTATACTATGGTCAATGACAGTCATCTTCTCGTGGTGAGCCCAGAAGTAGGTGTTCTGTAGCCACTGATTGGGCGACCTGATTAAATGGATGTTGGGGTGGAGGTTTAGCATCGAATGTTTCGTCCATGAGGAATCGGTGCCCACAGTTGAGCCAACGTTTCTGTAAACGACGATAAACACCTTGACGCCTTTTTCTGCCCTTTCTTTCAATATTCTATCAATACGAAACTGTTGGTTACCTTTGACGGGTCTGCGCATATAAAGCTCCGGGGAGAGCCACCAGTCATGAATGAAAATGACATCCTGTGCCATCGAGAGAGCTTCGCTCAATGCCCAAAAGTAGTCTCTTCCGTCAACCAAATACTTGCAGAAACAGTTCTGTCTAATTGGTGCAAAGCTATCGAATCTCTTCTTCTGGGTCCAGATTGTAGACTCGACCATCTTTGAGATGGACGCTACCCACAACCTCAATTGAAATTCGGATTTAACAAGCATTTGAATTTTACGCTCGCTGTTTTCCAACGTTATCATCAGCTTGGTTGATAGCTTTTTGGTATCTTGCCCCATAGGATCGAAGTTTTTGTAATCATTCGCCATAACCTCAAGCTCTCCGGGAACTCGTATTTGAAAGCTTGAATCAACCAAGAAAACCTCTAAGGGTGTAGTAGAATGTAGATCAGACACGTAAAGGATGTATGAGTGTCTAATCAAAAACCACTTGTTGGTGTGTCTTTCGATCATAGCTCTAAAGTCCTGAAATTTGAAATGAGACACTCTCCATCCTTGCGAGCTGGCCGTTGACCTTACGACCATGTATCCTTGCTTTCCTTGGTAACCATTTTCATAGCTGAGCAAGTTGCCGATAGGTGATAATTCGTAAAACTGAAAAAGACGATTGGATTGCGGCCTGAGGCAAAGCGCTAAATTCAATAGCTTCAAATAACGTTCCAGCCTTATATGCATGGCATGTGAGGTATCGTCCTGCTCAGCAAGGAGATCTTGTAAGTGTCTCATGCGGAATCTCTTTATTTCGAACTCATTGGTACGCCCTGTATGCAGTGATCCGCTGCCATGAAGCTCATGTGCTCCACCTATGCCATCGGCATGATCTAAATTGGAACCAATGTTAGTGCTGTGACGACTTGAGTTACTAGACAACGAACTTCGCTCTCCTTTCGCAGGATCGTCAAAGCGAGGAAAGTGAGGGAGGTGCATAGGTTGAAACTTATGATTATCAATGTGAAGCTTATTGATTGCGCTTTGTTGGAATGACATGAGCTTCAACTTGGCGTGCAGTGAGACCAGGTCTTTATACGACTTGACGACTGACCATTTCATTCGATTGTATCCGACACCATAATCGAGTTCTAATCTGAACTTGACAGCGTTGCTCTGAGACTCCTGATTAGCACCTTCTAGCCGACTACGTTCATGGCCATTGACGCAAGAATCGTCAAGTGGTGTTGACGGTTTTACTTTCACTCCCAACATAGCCAGGAGCATAGGAGCTCTTCTCACTCCGTGTTCATCGCGGAGAAAGAGACAGCTGGCAAATAGAGCAGCAGGACAGCCGGCAACAAGTGTGTCTATAAGATCGGATGCCAAGCTTTGCGTGTACACATCTTCTGGACTTTGGTGTTGCGAAAGCGAAGGTCTAGCACTTTTCCCATTTTCCGGCCGTGGCACACGTCTACTTGCAAGCTTGGAAAACCGACGAAAAGCTTGACCCACTTCTCTGCTCCATTCTTGTGGGTTCATCTTTCTCAACCATTTAGCTTGGTCATTCATTCCCTCGGTTTCTGGACCTTCTGGTGAGTTTTTGATGGTGGAATTGGGTACGCCTTGGAACTTAAGATTTTTCATACGTGCTTCCACATCATTGGAGTCATTTTCGATGGCAAAGCCATCGTCGTGTTCTTGTTCATTCTCCGGTTCAATTTCTTCACCCTGATCATTACCATTTAGTTCTCTAGCATCCGATAAACCTGGCACAACACCGCCCTGGGTGTCCAAGTGTTTTAGATGACCAGGCGCATCGTAATAGCGTTCTTCTCCCATGCCAAATGCTATCTCAGAGTCTGTTCTAGGACCTTTTTGATGTCTCGAGAGATTTGAACAAGTACGCAAAATCCATAATTTGTTAAAGTGTCAAGTAAAGATTATAATGACAGAATTCAAGCTTCGAGCAAACTCTCTAGAAGTACGAATCGAGCGTGCTTGGGGGTTAGTTATAGCTATTTATAGCGGATTAAAGATACGCTGACTCTTTGAGTTTTGAAATTGAGATTTAGCCTCGCTTTTCGGAGGCAGTTTGAGTAAGTATTGCATATTTTGAGAGTTCGATCGATTGGGGCCTTCAATGGGCATCTTGAGTGAGAGAGGTTAGATTTTTGGTTGGACTAGCTTTTGAAATTACCAAAGCATTTTTTGTGTTGTGCGTTGTCAGTTTACAGAGTGTTTGCTTGTGTCTAGGTCCGTTTTGGCTTTTGGTTTGTCGAATCTTGCAATTGAAGGGCTTTTCAGAGTAGTGTTGCGACACAATACGTTGATGAGGGAAGTGCTAAGACAGAAGGCGTAAGATGTGGAGTTTAGAATCCTAATCTTCGACCATTGTGTAAACTCGATTTTGATGTTGAGAGAAAACTCAAGATGGGAAGGTGTAGTAATCTACACATGAAGCCGTCAATGATTTGCTCCTGGTAACACCGGGAAAGAGAAGTTTAGATGAGTCGACAAAGAAAAACTCAACCGTCAATCATATGATTCTGGTGCCGTTGAGGAAAAACGACGCTGATGTTGAGGGAAAGCCAAGATGTGTATACGCTGCTTAAATATACCAAGTCGTCAGATTTTGTATTTGGTGGAAAAGTACGAGGGCAATGTAAAGGGAAAACCCAGGATGCGAATATGTAGACTTAAAAGTCCCGACCTTCAACCATTTGTTCGTGGTGACAGTGAAAACCAGCGATTGTCTAGATAAATGAAGACATCTTCAATCAAATGAAATTGAACGGAGGAGTTTGATTTCTTCCCCTCAAGTATCGTGGATTTACAAATCAAATGCTGGCCCATAGGTATTTTCATAGCTTGCCAACCGAGATCCAAGTGCCAAGCATTTGGCTTTCTACAAGGTATTTCCTTCGTACTGGAAATTTCAAAATTAACTACGGGGCCAGTGACGCACTTGAAAATGGAACCCGACCTTATCATGCAAATCTCACCGGCCTTGATATTGGAAGGACCAAAAATATTCCGTTCATTTGAGCTTCCACTGCATGGAACGCAAGTGCCCGATTTTCAAGCTAATACCGAGAACTTCTCGATTTATATTCAGCACCTAATCCCCCATCTTTCCCTCCCCGCAAGAAAGATATACATTCTGAAAGATTTAAATTCTCGCATTTGCATTCTGTGCAAATAAGATAGGACTCCGCTTATCGCCGCTCGTCTCCCATCGCCAATCTCATGTCTCCACGGGCCAAGACCCATCGAAACTACGCTTTTCTCGTAAATAAAGTTATCGATCTTGGCCGTCATAACCAATTATCACCGTACCGCAGACCGCAGATTTTCAAAATAATCTCAGCACTCGCCCCTTGCGCATTTCATATCTCGTTATCGTCTTGGGACACTCCTTTTCCAGTGACATAATCTATCTAAACTTTGAAACACTTGACACACCCAACCTCTATCGATCTACGACAACCAAATACCCACATGCATGATCCCTATCTACCAAAATTAAACACACACACACACATCATTGGTTTCTCTCACACTACCCACCACACCCGCCACACTCATCATTACCACTCATCACCGTCGTCGCGATAGAAAAGTCACATCGGTCGTTCCCACAACTGCTCGCGCCCGCCGCGTGCCGTGCGTCCTCGGCCAGCCCGATATAACTCGTGTTAGTGACCTTTTGAGTAGATGAGAATAGTTGATGGCGATGTTGATGTTGATGTTGATCTATCAAGTTCACCGTGTTCTTACCCATCTGGTTGGTTCCAACAGATAAGATAAGATTACATTGAGAAATTATGGGAGATACTCTCATTTCATCATAATATCGAAAGCTCAAAACAGACAAAATATCGAGTTGACAGGCCATTATAGCCAACAAAGAGAGGATTTTAACAGAGTTTGACATTAGGAATCAAGTACAGGGATTTGCAGTGATTCTTGGAGTTTTTAAAACGAGATTTTGGCCGTTGACTTGGTAGAGTTTGTCGACGATTTGTGCTTTACAAAAAATTTTCGAGCACCCCAGATCAATCGGTATTCAAGCTCAGTTGGCAAGTCTGAAAGCAGCTTGCAAGTTTTGGATTGTATCAGACGAGATTCCTGTGATTTAGGCGAGTTTTTTCGGTGCTTTTGCGAGGATTTCGACGATTTAAGATATTTGTTGAAACCAGACGATATTCGATCTGCTTCGCGTTTTGATCCAGTGTGACTGATTTGAAGGAGATTCGATCTGTTTTGACTTGATCTGCGTTTCGATCTGCTCTGCTCTACGCTCAAATCACTCTTTCTAAACTCTTAACTCACTCACGACAATGACGAAAACTAGCGTGGCAGTGATGTCCCCATCAGAAAGTGGGACCAGCGCTGCTGTCGATGCAACACCAAACCCTAGCGGAGGACCCATGTGCAAAAACTGTCACACACTCACCACGCCTCTATGGCGTAGAAACGAACACGGTGCAGTGCTATGCAACGCGTGCGGCCTGTTTTTGAAACTCCACGGCCGTCCTCGACCCATTAGTCTCAAAACAGATGTAATTAAGCCTCGAAACCGTAAAAGCACACATTCTGCAGCCAATTCCTCGCCCATCATGCTCCACCAGTCGGGTTCCGAAAGTCGCAAAAAAGAGACCAAAAAACGCAAGATCCAGGACCCACGCGAAATCAGTGCAGCTGAAACTCTCGAAACCATTTTGCAGTTCGAAAACGGTCCCCGTCAGCCCACCAAGCTGCCGGATTCACACTCAGGCGAGCCCACCGCGGGCCATGGCTCGGGCGTCGGCAACATGCATGTTTGGCGCAAGATCGTACCTGCAGCGGGCCAAACGACATCGCCCTCGCCCTTGGGAGCCACTACACCGCAGTCGAAAATCCCAGCTCCGCAACATATCAATGGGCCCCTGCCTCATCTTTCGATTCTCCTAGAATCGGTCAAGACTGCGGATGAGAGATCTCAATCACAGGCTCAGAGGATTCAAGAAGTGCCGACGTCGTCTGTCGACCCAGAAATTTTGAAACAGCAATACCAGGAACAACGAGGATTGTCGTCGCCGCCGCCACAATCAAATCGAAATCAGGCTCCCCCGCTGGCTTCTCCGAACGCTTCTGCCAGCGGCACTCAGTTGGCTCTTTCACACCCACAGTCTAACACTTCCCAGCGGTCGGACTCCGGCCGTTCTAATCCATCTGCGGCCCAGGACTCGCAATTCAAAGAGCATTCTCGACAAGAATTGAACGATAATTACCAAAATGTATCGACCCAGCCAAATGTTGCCTCTACCAGAGCAGGCGGTGAGGTCGCCCAAGTTCCACAGATGCATATGGCTTCTATCAACGAGATTCTGAACAATCAGAAGCCCACTTACGAAAATTCAGGCATATACGTTTCGTCAATGAGCGGTAAAAAACCGGGCAGTGGCATGGCATCGAGAGCACAGTCGCCAGAACTTCATAGTGGTCTTTCGAATGGTCATTTCTCTCACGTTTTGCAGCAAAACAGTTTAGAATTGGCAGGTGTGCATCAATCTCAATCTGGATCTCAAACCTCAGACTCACCGCCGCCAATCGACATCCAAACAAGTGGCTTTATGGGCCCTTCGCCCAGTAAAGGTAACAACTCGGCGCTCAAAGGTGGACGAACTGGAGGAGTGGATGCAGGCCAGCAACGCAAACGCTCCGAGCGAGAAATGGCAAATTCTCAGCAGCAGCTGGAAGAGGGAGAAAAACCGCAGCAACGCAGTGGCACAGATTATGGTGCTAACACATATACACACGCCAGTACATCGCGTGGCAGCCGACATAGCTCTGACGAAGCTCCAACACCTTCTAGCGCCTCTCTCATCAGCCTGCTACAAGGACAAGAAGAAATGATAAAACTCAAGACCCGCATTAGTGAATTGGAACTTGTCACCGATTTGTACAAGAGACATATACTCGAGCTCGACGCCAAGTGCCGGGGTCTGGAGGAGAAACTCTACGATGTTGGGAAGTAAGAGGCATAACGGATTAAATCGAAACGGGACGTGGCACAGATGCCGGAAAAATGACCAGATACGAGAGGAAGCGGAAAAAGCTTGTGGCTTGGAAGCTAGGTATCAATCGACAGGTCAAAACATAGATACACAGGTCGTAGACGTTGACTTTCAGGTGCGATATATCTATATATTTGTGAATATTTCCGTTACACATACACACCCTGTCTGTGAACGCATTTATTAGGGCGTCTGCAAGATTGCAATATTGAAGTGTGAGTCGATCAGCACTTGAGTTAAAACAATGTCGAATGGCCTGGAGACGCAAACAATGAGGGACTTGGTGCTGAATTTTCAATTTTTGTATGGAAACTCAACGAGAAAATATTCCGGACCGCTCGCATGCTACATATTTCGCTTTCGATAATCGATATATTATCAATGACAGAAGCTTTTAAATTTGGTATTTTTAAGACTCTCAGTAAATCATCAGCTCTCTTCCAGCGCTCTAAGAAGTGCGGTCGAGGAAACTATGCTCTCAGGGATCAGAACCATGTCAGTTGACGAAACCTCCAAAACTATTTTGTTTGCAGGAATAAAAGTCGCAATTTCTGACAGTCTAAATAAGGATACTGAGACGCATTCAGTAGCTTGGTTTTAGTTGAAAGACTGTTTGAGCATCGATGGTGTCTTGACACTATATTGATTACGTAATTGAAGATTTGACGACGGATAAGTATATAGTGATGACAATTCTGACACCGTCACCATCGAAGCACATATGAACGATCTTGAAGCATATTCGAAGGATCAGCAACGTCCTGGACTATCCGGGACTTGTTATCACATATGATTCATATATCTCCTGTCTTGGGAAATAAAATTAACCACTTTACTTTTCTTTACCAGTCATCTCAACTATGAGATTTTAAACCAAGCTCAACTCTAGTCTAATCGAAGCTCGAGCTCAGCACAAGATCGATCAATACAGCAACAGCAATTACACAGTTCAAACATCACACATTCGTCCAACAATAGCTACACACGCAATAAAAACCATTTTCCAATAAAATACACACAGACAGCTCATTTGTGGCTCAAATTGGACATTTTAAAGCCTCAGATATGCTAAAACTTGTACTCTGGCACGTATACGGTCGATGGAAAGGACTCACGGCTTCTTAGCTTCAACAAGTGTCTAAATGCCAGAATTTTACTCGTATGATGTGATGTGTCTTTAAATTAGTTCGATGATGACTGAACAAGTCGTAATATAATCACTTCATCATATCTATAACAGTGAAATTTGGGTTGACATAAAAGTGAACACCTATCTCGACTGGATCGCCTATAAAGATGATGTCGCGCAATCCGGCTGCGGGTCTCGAAAACACACTATTTCAGCTAAAGTTCACGTCAAAACAGCTCAACAAACAGGCGCAGAAGGCCGCTAAGGAGGAAAAACAGGAGGCCAGTAAATTGAAGAAAGCTCTCAACGAAAGCGAGGAGATAGCCCGTTTGTATGCTTCCAATTCCGTTCGCAAACGTAACGAGCGGCTCCAGCTGTTAAAACTGGCCTCAAGAGTCGATTCTGTGGCCTCCAGAGTGCAAACTGCCGTGACGATGCGCCAAGTTTCGGGGAGCATGGCGCAGGTGTGCCGTGGAATGGACAAAGCACTTCAAAGCATGAATTTGCAACAGATAACGATGATCATGGATAAATTCGAACAGCAGTTCGAGGACCTAGACACCAGCGTCAACGTTTACGAGGACATGGGTGCGAATTCCGATGCCGTGGTGGTAGATAATGACCGAGTGGATGAGCTCATGAATAGAGTGGCTGATGAAAACGGACTGGAGTTGAAGCAGTCTGCAGCGCTGCAGGATGTGACGGAAGTACCAGCCAAAGCGGACACGGTATCCGACGAGAAAGAGCAGAAACTGGCACAACGGTTGAAAGCCCTACGTGGATAGATCAGCAGTGCGCTGCGCTCACAATAATACGGTAACTGGGATATTCAACTCGCTGCTGCACTCAGGCATGAGGTGGGGTGAAGCTTGCTGGAAACTACCCTGTTTTTTTGGCTCCACTTGTTTTTTTCTTCTTGCGCAGGCACTATTCCGGCTGTGTAAGCTTGTGCACACGGGTTATATCTACATGGTTTACAAAACTTAACGCATTGGCACTCCTCTGCCTCTGGCACCGCCCTGTGGAGGCATCATACCAGCATTGGCTGGTTGGCTCTCTTTGTTCTTGATAGTTTCGTCAACAGACAAAATCAAATTCGTGGCCTCGGTCGCACTGCTCAATGCGTTTATCTTAACGAGAGCAGGCTCCCACACGAATTTAGCAAAGTTATCGCCAATGCTCTCAGTCTCGAAATCCACACCGAACCATTTTTCACCACGGCTGTGAGCCATTCTTAGGCGATTCAGAACATCCGTGGCATCAAGACCGGCATTTTCACATAGTTGCCTAGGAATAACTTCAAGAGCTTTGGCAAAAGCGTTGATTATTAGTTGTTGCTTTCCAGCGATTTTCTTAGATTCGTCCCTTAGGTATCTTGAAATCTCCATTTCTATGGCACCGCCACCGGCGACAACGAGCTTACTCTTGATAGCACGTTTCACTACCATTATAGCATCGTGTAATGATCTTTCGACCTCTGCAATGACTTGTTCGGCACCACCACGCAGTAGCAGTGTGCAGGTTTTGGCTTGCGGGCAGCCTTTGAAAATGTTGTAACGTTCGCCGCCAACCTGAACTTCTTCAAACTGTTCGCATGTACCTAGATGCTCGGGCTTTATGTCTGAAGTCGTAGATTGGACGGCACCGCCGACGGCCAAAATAACACGGTTCATGTCTTCGGCAGCAACTCTACCGGCACAAAATATGTCTCTGTCAGCGAAAAATTGCGTTGCCAGATCGCCGATAGGTAGTTTAGATAGCACAATGTTGGCACCCGACTCTTCGATTTGTTGGAGCTTGTCTAAGATGATTTTCCATTCGGCATCGACAACGGCGTTATAATCCTCCACATGCTCAACCCGTACCTCTGCGTTGTCCTTCTCTGCTTTCAACTCCAATTCGACGTTCAAGCTGAGAACTTTAGGATTTTCGAAAACCTTGGGTTGTTGTTCGAAGCCTGCATATGAGAACGTTTTTTGGAATGCAACACCGTTCACAAAGATGGAGTCCTCCATAGCTCCACCAGGGATTTTTTTAATACCGATTAGCTTGTCGTCCAATTCGTCTTGGTCTAGAGACAAAACGGAGTCCACACACATTTTCACGAAAAAGTCAGAGTTGCTGCTGATGAGTTTCGATGACATCGCAGTTCTAGCACACCGTTCTAGTAGATCTCTGTTGGTGCCGTTGTCGCTGGAAACCGATGAGGCCAATTCCTTAATTTTCTTGATTGCCATGTTGGCAGCGTTTCTGTAGCCCTTTACGATGACATGCGACGAGATACCTTCCTCTAAAAACGGCTTGGCCTCTTTCATAAGCTCACCAGCCAGGATGGTCACACTGGTTGTTCCGTCACCTACTTCTGCATCTTGAGCTCTTGAGATGTCCACTAACGTTTTGGCAGCAGGATGAACCACATCCAAAAGCTTCAAAATCGTCGCACCGTCATTAGAAATTGTTGTTTTCCCGTTCGAAGACACAATCAAGATGTCTGACCCCAATGGTCCCAGTGTAGGCCTTAGAGAATCCTGAATCGCTAAGCATGCATTAATATTTGAGATAATTTGACCACGGCCCTGAGAGGCATCTGTGCCCTCTTTTAAGACCACAATTGTGGGGGTCTGACTTCCAAAATTCATCTAAAATTCGATTGGTGGATCCAATGGACTCTTGATTCCTAACTTTATGGTAAAGACAGGACTTCTTTGTTGTATGAAATCAAGCTCGATTGCCACTCGCAGGTTTTTCAAAATGAATAGGAATGTCACTTTGTACGATGAGAGAAAGCTGTGTTTCTCTAAGTGTATTAAACTTGATGGTTAGTGTATCGAAAAGATAAAACTAACGGCAAATAGAGAAGAACCCATATAAGTACGTCTTTTGATAAATTATAAATTACCGCTTAAATTTTGGCTTTTAAATGATACCACTTTCATCCAAATCCCACTCAAATTGCGCATGAACAAATTCAAGATCGTTTTTTGGTAAAAAATGGTCAACGTGGGACAACGCACCCCACTTCTTGGTACTCCAGGGTGAATGAACATCCTTGCTTGCTTAATGTAGTATTTACAAAGTATGTGTGAGAATATTTTTTCCAATGAGATTTGTTTGCTACACGGCCCACGTATTGACATCACCGTTGGTGCGTCCTTCGATCAAGTAGCCGTTCTTGTATCTAACGTATTCGACAAGGCTGTCGTCCGAACTGTCAGGAGCGATCTCGGTCTCCCCGCATTTCCACTTTCGACCGTCCTTGCGGTCGTAAACCCGTACGCAAGATTCGTTGTTGGCAGCGACGATTTTGTCAAGATCGAACTGCAGACTGCTGACGGGACGATCGTATGCAAAAACGTCCGCCAACAATCCCGTACGTAGATCCCAAATTCTGATGCTACGGTCCAGGGATCCCGTCACCAGGTTGACAGAATCGAATTGCAGACCGGTGACGGCGTCAGTGTGACCTTCGAGTGACCTGACGACCTGCCCAGATCTCAAATCCCAGAGTCGCACTACACCATCTTTTGTACCGGTAGCCATGGCCGCATCGTAAAACTGCAAAGCACCAATGACTGGGGGGTCATTATGCGTGAGTAGCACGTTACTGGTAGGATTCTGCGAACTGATCGACGACAGCCCGTTCGAGCTGCCTCGGTTGGTAAAATCGATGTCAATTGTTTGCAAACATCTCCCTGTGGCAAGGTCCCATTGACGAATTGTTCGGTCCTGCGAGCCTGACACAAGAATGTTTTCTTCCATATGAAGCGCCGTGATCTCGTCTACATGGGCATCAAACGTATGCAAACACATGTCTTCTTCTTCGTCGTCTGTGCCATTCTTCCTGAACGCATCCTCGGCTTTCTCGACATCCCAAACCTTCAGCAATGCGTCGCGTCCACCAGTGACTAATGTATAAGACTCATCCATTTGCATGCAGCTCACAGAGGCCAAATGGCCAGGAAGGCTCCCAATTTGAATTCCTTTGCTCAAATTCCAAATCTTCACGCAGCGGTCCAGCTTCCCAGCCGTGCACATGGTACCGAATGGCATGTCAAAGTCCAGACAAGTGATGCCATCTTCGTGAGCTTTGGGTAATGCTAAAATTTTACTTCCAGGTTCGTAGAATTGTTGTAGGGTGGGGTATGTTTTGCGTCGCCTTTGACTGGTATGGGGCTTAGCCTGTGATGAGCCGTTATGGCGCTGAGCACCCTTAGCCGGTGCTTTAGAGCTCCAACGACTATGCTTTCTTTTGACTTTTTGATAAATCGACTTGCTCATTAGGGCGGATGTGTCTTCATCATCGCTTTCATTGCTTGTGGCGTCATTGCTTTCTTCTGCAGAGGCTGTATTAGACTCGAAATTTAGATTTTCGACGTGTGATTCAGACGTATCATGATGCTCGGCAATTTCTGAAGCTTCACTGTCTAACCCACTAGATTCGACTAGATCAATTCTGTTTCTCACCAGAGCTAAATGCTTCTCGTAAAAAATCTCATTCTGGTCTACCCTGGCCACCCGTTTGAAGACTAGATCGCGTACGGTTTTAAGCTTTTCGAGCTTTCTATCGATCTCTTTTATTTCGCTTGCCGCGAGGTTTTTCTGTATTTCTAGAAGATCCAGACTGTCTACCAAGATCTGAGATGCTGCTTTCAATGATCCCAATGACGAGGTAGTGCTAATCTCGTCCCAATTGATCTCTGCTGGAAGCGAAAAACCCTCGTGCGCGTCTTGACTATTCGCAGGAATTTCCGTTGCAGTGCGAAGGGCAGCCCTCTGAACAGAGCCCGTGGATATCGTTTCGTTGATAGTGGGCAGTGACGATGTGAAACCCTGGAAAAGCGACGGCTCTTCTTGTCCGTCATTTGTGTTTCCTTCGGCATGTTCGCCATTTTCGGTCAGCAGGTTGCCAGATTTTCTGCCACGGCTCTGGGAGCTGTTACTATTCGGTATCTCATATAGCAGCTCATCGCTGAGGTAACTCAGCACCCTGAAACTGGTTTTTGTGTTGCTGAATTGGTTTTCGAAAAAGGATCGACCGTTGGACGCAGAGTAAATGTCTTGATATGCCTTGTTGCCCTCTTTCCGAAATGGGTTTGCCGAATTGCGCAGTTTTGTGAGTGCGCTGCTTGAGCCGGAGTGTGTGATCGTTTGATGCAGGAGTCTCTTGTATGGACTGCTATAGGATAAAATCGTATCTTCCATCGATTGCGACCCGAAGATCGCAGAGGCAGTGGTCGAGACTGCTCTGCCAATCTGGGCCAGCTGGTCAGAGTTGCTTGAACTTGACCCCATGACCTGAATATCGATCTTACCAAGTCCGACCAAAGACACTTTTCCGAAGATCTGTTAGCCACATGGGATTTTGCCTTTAGGTTTTCTTTATACTTGGAAGTATAATCGAGAAGAGTTGATCACATGATTGTGGATTTTAGGTGATAGTTTAGAATCCGAGTTTGAGACGTCAGCGTCAGGTTTTGTGGGGCGAGTGAATCGGTATGTATGGACTAGGGGAGCCATTAGAGCCATTAGTTTTTTTCAAATGGCGATTTTTTGTTTAGAAACTTCGATGATTTTTGGGTGTTATACCATGACCATGGAGGGTTTTGCTACGTTCGGGGGTTTCTTCATAGCTATTTGAGCTTTCGCCTTGCTTTCAAAGTTGCGGACTATTATGATTGTGGGAATGAATTCATGGAGTTTCCTTGGTCTCAATGAGTCGCACCTCGTTTTTTCGCAGTTTTCTCTTTGGAACTTTAATCATGCTTCTAAGTCGACAGTAGTGGTGAAATTTGGGAGAATTGAATACAAAAACTTCACAAGTGGCATTAATACAGTCCTAGGTTTGCTGGAGTCGTTCCAGCTTTCTGCTGAGCTCTAGAATCTCCTCTTGCTCTTTATTAATCAGTTTCGCCACCCCAGAGCTCATTTTCATGCCTTGCAATTGGGCCTCTTGGTCTGCGATCTCGACGCGAAGCTGCCTGATATCGGAATCAATCTCTTTGTAGCGTTGCAACAGTTCTGAGTAGTTTTTCTGATATTCGGAACTCGGCCAGTTTGTCACGATTTCGCCGTGTACCTTGAAAATCAGCTCAACGGGGAAGTCCTCCACGAAAAGAGTCTTGCGGCGGCTTTTGTTTGGAGAGTCACTGTCTTCAGTTATAACCGTGCCGTTTTGCAGGGCATGTAACAGATTCCGTACCTGCTCATCGCCCTCAAATTTCTTGAGTAACGCCTTAAAAATCCCCTCTGTTTTGAGCTCCTCGAGCAAAAATCCGCGGTGCTGCTCGCTCCGAATAGCGTCTTGCTCGTGCTGTCTCAAATAGAAGCTTTTGGGAACATGGATTATCGGGGACTCTTCCACACTCCCCATACGCCTATTGCGCTTCGAGTTCGCCTCGTACTCCGTCAAAAAGTCGAAAACACCGACTTTGTCATCTTTACGTCTTGGCAGCTTGTTCTGATCAATCTTGTAAAGCGGAACTTCCTCTTGAACATCCCCATCGCGAATAATGTTTGTTATTATATCTGCATAAGAGACTGATGGGTCTGGGACGATAGCGTTATGGAAAATGCCAGGCGGCTTAAAATATAAGGTGGATATAGAATTACTGGACTCTTTCAATTGTTCCAAGCAGTCATTGAGGCTCCCGGACATGCCGCTGGCTCTTGATGGGCTACTACTACATGATTTCTATCTAGCATTTATACGACATCCTTCCTTTAGAGAAACAATTTATATCGTCTTAAGGTATGTAAAATGATAATGACACAACTTGACCGGGCAGTTTCCCAGCAGTGTCTATAATACTAGGCTGTATCGTACCGGTCTCTTTGATGCCATTTTATATAATGTTCTTACTCTCTCCAGGCCACATAAACTTCATCGGTCCTGAATTTTTGAGTGACGACAGTGTCAGCCAGATCTTGGACAGCATTGCCCATTCTATATTGTAAAAGTCCGGCTTGTGCGATCATGACACCGTTGTCAATGCAGAACCTCTCATCTGTAGCGTGGACCTGTCCATTGGATCTGTCACGACACATGGAAGCCATCATCTCCTGCAATCTCACATTACAACCAACACCACCCACAATTAAGACTTGATTGGAGTTGACGTGGGCCATAGCACGCTCTGTTATCTCTACCAGCATTGCAAACAGGTTTTCTTGAAGAGAGTAGCACAGATCAGAGACGGTGACGAGTTGCTCGCCGGTTTTGGGGTCGAAGAGCAGCTTGTTTTTGGTGTTATGGTTGAACAAGTCCTTTGACAGGGAATCGACGTACCCGAGAATCCCACTCATAGATAGATCCATTCCCTTTACGGTGTACGGCAGCTCTACCAAGTAGTCTTTGTTTGTGCATTTGAGCGCAAGCTGCTCGATGTTATAGCCTGGCGATGGCTCATTTGGGATTTTCAGTGTTCTTGCGAACCTATCCAGACAGTTCCCGATGGCGATATCCAGCGTTTCGCCAAAGATACGGTAGCGGTTTTCTGAGTAGGCAATAACCTGGGTGTTGCCGCCGCTGACGTACAGAACCACTGGGTTTTCGGCCTTGGTGATTTCTCTGCCCATCTCAATATGGCCCACGCAATGATTCACACCGACGAGGGGAACGTCCCATAGCAGCGACAGCGTTCTGGCCATTACCACAACCGAATGTAGCGGTGCTCCCATTCCCGGGCCCTTAGTGAAGCAAATAGTGTCTAGTTCACTTGGATGGTCGATGCCAGCCTCTTGCAGCGCTTTACGCACCAGCCTGACAGCCCAGTTTCGGTGATGTCTGGCGGTGTCTCTGGGCAGAAATCCTTCTCCAGGTGGAGTCACATAGGTGTCTCTGATGTTGGCCAGGATTTCCAGTTCGCAATGATGCGAAAGATCGCTGTCTGCATGTTTGGGAAGTAGCGGATGTTTTATTATTCCAACACCCAATTTGTTGGCTGAACCCTCCAGTCCGAGCGCCAGATAGTAGTCTCTTCCGTTACGCGGTAAGACTTTATTGAGGTTAACCATGCTTCTGAGAGAATCGAGAGAGTCTACGTTTCGGATGGGATGGGAACGAAGTTTAGACGGGGGAGTGACCTAGAGGTGGCAGATGACGATATGAACAGGCTTGAGAGGATACCACGGATGCCAAGTCGTGGAGCTTATATTGGAGAGGAGTTAGATGGTTGGGATTTCTACGAGCGACTAGGAGTAAATTTTAAAGTATTTAAAGTTAATGTTAACATTGAATGGACTAACAACTTGAAATATATTAGACAGGAAAATTGATCAATGATAAAAACAGTAAAGGGGCCCTTAATGATCTTTGAAGCAAGGCTTGATTCTGCTGGATATATGGAGTCTATACGGCATTAAATATCCATCAATTGGCGTGTAGAAATAAGTATGAATAATCTTTCGACATAGGTAACTTGTCGTATTGTTGCAAGTGCGGAAACCAGATTTAGAAGAGGTTTTGAGTCAATTCCACTGGTCTGTCGTAGCACCACTTTGCGGCTTGGGAGCATACCTGGTTGAAATTTGAACGGGAGCGCTTGAATAAGTATCTCATTGCTGTTGGAACACATTTCGTAGAACTTTGAAAGCATCATGGGATTGCGATACGAAATTTAACTCAAGACTTGGTTTCGTGCTGTCATGGTTGAAATTTCTCGAGGGTGGAGAGATATTGCACTAGTTTTCGTTCACTCAGAAACCCCTTCATGAGTTACGACTACTCAGTTGGACAAGTCCGTGCACCTAATAAGCGATGAATTAAAGATCTTAAAAAGGTAAGTGCAATCGTAAATGCAATTTGGTGAAGAGGAAAATGGCAAGAATGGACTGCTTTGGGGAGCAATTAAGAAAGTCAAGAAACAATTCGAATTGGATCGGGTTCAAACAATAATTCCACAACCGTATCTCTAGAATCACCCAGTACAATTATTGAAAACTGTGAAAAGTTAATGTTCACATATTTTTTCCTATTAGCTTGAAGAGTGGCTACACCAGTGTAAAGAGTGCCAGTCGCTTGGCACCATCGCTGACGCGCTCTGTCAAACCTACCATTGTATAATCAAATAGCTACATGTCATGTGATGAAGTGACAGATGACACGACGGAACAGAGTGATGGGACCCGATGGAGTAAACACAAGAGGGTCTAACAGGCGCGTGGAATACTTCCTGAGGCTTTCGACTCTGCCAGTAGCTCTTCTTGCCGTTCTTAAAACCTCGCACATTAATTTCGCCAAAGTGATCGATGATTGCCTGGAAGGACGGTTTTTGACTGGTAGATCTCTGACAGGGCACGATATACAATGATATGAAGCAGGCTATACAGCTCTAGCCAAGTGAGATTGAATAATAATTTTTTTTCAACAATTTTCACATTTTAGCATTCATGATGCAAGTTGACCTGGCATACTCTTTCCATGCAGAATTGATCACAAGGTGCTGAATGTGTCACTACTCTTAAAGGTCACAACGGAGGAGGATGGCCAGCGATCTCAACTGCGCAAGTGCTTTATTCGAGCAAAAGGCAATTGCAGCGATTGATGATGCTGACGTGCATTATGCGGTGACAGATCCGTAAGCACAATAAGAAAACCGAAATCGTTTGCAATCAACAGCGCCCTGTGTGAATTAAGCGAGATACCGCAGCTGAAAATTCGGGAGAGGGCTTACTACAATTGCTACGGCTGTTATTCGAAAAACACGAGGTCTACAGTGACATTACCAGTTCTCTTCTTAATAATTGAGTGCGACAGCAATCATTTATAAAAGATAGGATAAGTATAAGTAGAGCTTGAATTATGATGGGTGTTTGGAGAATATCCAGTACTAAAAATTCTCTACTTCGTAAGTGAGCGCCGAAGTGCTCACACTTCTACCATTACTTAGTAAAACAAAAGAATTCGTACTTATCCATAAACGATAGCTTGCGTAGTGCCACAAGTTCTCTTCTCATTTACAATTGATCGCTTACCACTCTCAACCGTTCAACAGTGTTTCGTGTACCCGTGCTGGTTTTCGCCACTCGGATCTTGACAACCGATCGCTATCGCAGTTTGAACGCTAACACTCTTCATTGAAACGTGGCCCTTACGAACCTATAGCGCTTCTAACAGCTTACTGACGCTCTTCAGTGTTCACCAAAATTGAAGCTGTTCGACTTCTTCACAATCGAGAGCGATTGTTCAACTATGCTAAAAAATATCATGGTTGTTAAAAAGTGAGCGCCGACGCTCTCGAGTGTACAATACCAAGAAATCTTGAGTGGCGCTCTCGATTGTTCGATAGCCCTAGGAATTCTTAAGTAACGCTCTCGATTGTTCAGTGGTATTTGTAGCAACTCTTATTTCCCACAACTGATCGATGGCGCTCTTAAAAATCAACCATTCCAGGATTTTTCTATTTGTTCACAATTGATCGCAAATGATCTCGATAAGTTATCAACACTAAAAGTCCTCTGCTTACTCAATGGAACTACACGTTCCAAATCCCTGGCCCTCACGAATGTTCAATATTACTAGAGTTTTTCCACTTAGTCACAATCAAACGCTGACGCTTTCGATTGTTTAATGAAACCATGAGTTTTCACTCTATTCACAATTTATTGCTAACACTCTCGATTGTTCTATAATATTTTGAGTCTTCTACCTAATTCGATGGTTTCTGAGTTCTCTACCACTTTTCAATCGATTGCTGACGTTCTTGATAGTTCAATTGTGTAACGAGTTCTTTGCCCATTCACAACCAATCGCTCATGCTCTCGATGATTCAATAGTATTTGTAGCCACTATCTGTGACGCTATCAAGTATTCCATAATACTAGGAGCTCAAACTTGCCACAGTGCTCGTAGCCATCGTACGCTTTCACTGACGCTGTAAATTGTTTGATAGCGGTTCGAGCACTCGTACTCGCCATCACTCTCACCCTAAGATAACTAAATGACCTCTCATTTTATACCATTAACAATCGAATAAGTACTAGTGCTACGTCAAACATGTGGCATGCTTCTGGTTATAAGGTGCTTGTCGTTATCGTACGTTTTCACATTTTTGCTTGACGCTCTGAATTGTTCAATGGTGCTAGTAGTACCCTTCGCTGACGCTCTCGATTGTTTATGGAACTAAGAGCTCTTGATTTTTCACAACTGATGATTAACACCCTACCTTGTTCAATAGTACTAAGAGTAGCTCGAGTAATCGTATTCATACGAGTACTACTATGCCATCACTAATTCACTCGATCGCTAATCACACTAGTACAATGTGTTGTTCAATAGTGCTTCTAGCCTCTATAGGCTCATAGTACCCTTCGCCGACGCTCAATTGTTCAATGGTGACAAATTTTCATTCTGTAGCTCTCAATTGTTGAGTATTACTACGAGTTCTCTGATTAGTCACAGCTGATAGCTGGCGCTCTTGATTATGAGTTCTCTAGTTTTTTCGCACTTAATCGCTGACTATAGTACCAAGCTAGCCAAAACTCTCAATTGTGAATAAGCAGAGAACCCGTAGTTTGAACAATCGAGAGCATTGGTGCTTGTGTGTACATTGTGCTTGTAGCCGTAGCCCTTCTACTCATTCACAAATGATCGCTTATGCTGTCAGTTGTTTAAGGATACTAAGAGCTTTTAATTTTTTCATTACTGATAGCTTACGCATTCAGTTGTCCAATAGCACTAACGGCTCTCTACATATTAACAATTGATAGCCTACGCTCTCAGTGTTAAAACCTCTTGATTTTCTCCCAACCGATAGCTTACGCTCTCACTTGTTCAATAGCACTAACGGCTCTCTACGTATTCACAATTAATAGCTGGTAGTTCTTCGAGTTCCCACACTATTCACAATCAATCACTGATGCTCTTGATTGATCAACAGTACTAAGAGCTCTCTAGTATGTTCACAACTGCTCGCTGACGCTCTCAGTGTTAAAACCTCTTGATTTTTTCACAACCGATAGCTTACGCTTTCAGTTGTTCAATAGCACTAACGGCTCTCGACATATTCACAATTGATAGCTAACACTCTCAGTTGCCTAGTAGTGCTTCGAGTTCCCACACTATTCACAATCAATCACTGATGCTCTTGATTGATCAACAGTACTAAGAGCTCTCCAGTATGTTCACAACTGCTCGCTGACGCTCTCAGTTGCCTGGTAGTTCTTCGAGTTCCCACACTATTCACAATCAATCGCTATCGCTCTCGAATGTTCAACTGTGCTTCTTGTCTCCCCAGTTCACGGCACTTGTCGTTGTTACGGCACTGTCACCAACCAACCCGGTTTCCATCCACCACGTGCCCACTTCCCTCTTCCCTCTTCTCGCTTCGCTTCGCTTCGTATCCCTCCCACGTCCCTCCCGTTATCAACTTATCGAAGCGTATCGTATCGTATCGTATCGTATCGTATCGTATCGCCCACTCACACTCAGCAAGGCCCCAAACCTTATCTCACCACAACGTAAGGTCAACGTCTTGGCAAATTAGAGCTTGTGTGGTGTGTTTATAGCACTGTGAGTGATTGTAGTAGAATGCCTGTTGCAGTGGATGAATGCAGCGGATGCTATAGTAATAGTGGGCGAGCAAGTGTCCACACGCTTACAACGCTCTCTATCAGTGTTGTGTGTGTGTGTGTGTGCGTGTGTTTCCGCGTCTCTCATGTGTCGCTGTTTCTCGGGTTGTATCTGCAAGATAAGCAAGCGAACTCCACACGTTGTGCGTAATGGTAGGTATATAAAGAGGTGAGTGTGGTTAGCAGTGCGAGTGTAGTTTTAGTCTCTCTCTTTCTCTCTCTCTCTCTCTCTCTCTCTCTCCCAACACCACACTTTCTCTCTCTCTTCCATGTCCGAGGACAAGAAAAACTACCTGTATTCACAGGAAGAACCGATTCCCGGCGATGCGTCCCACTCGTACGAGACATCGGCCGAGTCGCACGTCTCGCCATGGCAAGACTTCAAAGACAGCTTCAAACGCGTGCAACTGGAGGAACTGGACCCAAACCTCACAGAAGCTGAAAAAGTGGCCATCGCCACCGCTCGCTCGCCCCTCCAGCGCCATCTCAAAAACAGACACCTGCAAATGATCGCCATCGGCGGTGCCATCGGGACCGGGCTGTTCGTCGGGTCCGGCAAAGCGCTCAGAACTGCCGGCCCCGCCGGTATTTTGATCGGCTGGGGTCTCACAGGAACCATGATCTACTGTGTGGTGATGTCCGTGGGTGAAATGGCCGTCGCGTACCCCGTCTCCGGAGGCTTCACCACCTTCGCCACCCGTTTCGTCGACGAGTCGTTCGGGTTCGCCGTCAACTGGAACTACATGCTGCAGTGGCTCGTGGTGCTGCCGCTGGAAATCGTGGCCGCGTCCATCACGGTCAATTTCTGGGGCACCCCGGCCAAGTACCGCGACGGGTTCGTGGCGCTGTTCTACGTGGTTATCGTGCTGATCAACATGTTTGGTGTCAAGGGCTACGGGGAGGCCGAGTTCGTGTTTTCCATCATCAAAGTCGCCACCGTGATCGGGTTCATCATTCTCGGTGTGATCCTCGTGTGTGGCGGCGGGCCCAACGGCCACTACATCGGCGGCACCACCTGGCACACCCCGGGCGCGTTTGTCGGCGACACGGCGGGCCAGCGTTTCAAAGGTGTGTGTACCGTGTTCGTGACCGCTGCATTCTCGTTTGCCGGCTCTGAGCTGGTTGGTTTGGCCTCTGCCGAAACCGCAAACCCCAGAAAATCCTTGCCCGGCGCTGCCAAGCAAGTGTTCTGGAGAATTACGCTGTTCTACATCATCTCGCTGTGTTTGATTGGCCTTCTTGTTCCTTACAACGACAGCAACCTGATCGGCGCGTCCTCTGTCGACGCTGCTGCGTCGCCCTTTGTGATTGCCATCAAGACCCACGGTATCAGCGGTCTGCCCAGTGTTGTCAACGTGGTTATTTTGATCTCGGTGCTTTCGGTTGGTAACTCTGCCGTTTTTGCCTGTTCCAGATCCATGAGCGCTCTTGCAGAGCAAGGATCGCTTCCAAAAGTGTTTGCCTACGTCGACAGAAAGGGAAGACCGCTAGTCGGTATCGCCGCCACCTGTTTTTTCGGTTTGCTATGTTTCATTGCGCAGTCCGACAAAGAAGGTGACGTTTTCGACTGGCTCTTGGCGCTTTCCGGTCTGTCGTCTTTGTACACCTGGTTTGGTATTTGCTTGTGTCACATCCGGTTCAGAAGAGCCCTTGCAGCTCAGGGCCGTTCTACAGACGAACTGGCCTTCGTGTCCACTGTTGGTGTGTGGGGGTCTGTCTACGGTTGTTTTTTGATTCTTTTGGTTCTCATTGCTCAATTCTGGGTTGCCGTGTGGCCACCTGGAGACAAGCCCAGCGCCGAGGCCTTTTTCGAGTCATACTTGTCCTTCCCTGTTCTTTTGGCCTTTTACTTCGGCCACATGTTGTGGAAGAGAAACTTCAAGCTCTTCATCAGGGCCAAGGACATTGACATTGACACTGGTAGAAGAGTTGTCGACATCGACACTTTAAGACAAGAAGTGGCCGAGGAGAGATCCATCCTGCAATCGAAGCCAGCCTACTACAGATTCTGGAAGTTCTGGTGCTGAACATTTGATGTCTGGTAAAAAATCCCACACAGCAGCGAAAGTCCGGGTCTTCAACGAGACTCTATATAATAGATATAATTGAGGACTCTATATTCATAAAAGTGGGTGACATAACATAAGAGATGTTTACATGAATTTTTGATGAAGCGAGGTTGTTGATAGCATAGCGTCAGTGGTAGCTATTGCATTATTTTACTGGTTTCGAGCGAACAAACTGTACACAATTGCGTGTTGTAGTTAACGTGCATTTAATAGTCTGACACTGCCATTATTACTTCTATCAGCACTAGCGCTCCTCTGCTACTTCTACTTCCACTCATCCTCTACTACTACTGCTACTGTTATTACTACTATTACTGACTCTCTCTACTTCTACTCTCTCTTATTCTGGGATCGACGATATTCGAGCCGAAAACTGGAATTTCCAAAGTTCATGAAACGACGGGAACTGGAAACAGATGGGAAACAAAGTGGAAACAGCCTCAAAGACAAGAATACCTGCGCCAACGGACAGGAAACAAACACACACGACTGTAAACGTCCAATTCCTGGCCACCTGTATGAGTCTCATGTTGAAATTGCCAACCAGTGAGCACACAGCAAACAAAACCGCAACCAACCGAGAATCAGATAGAAAACACGGAACAAGAAGCACATTGCACCTTTCCATGTGTAAAGACATGCGACTGTCCATCTGCCAGGCGATCCATTGCCACTCGACATCCTAGCTCGATATATTTGCCAGCTTTTATTCACCAGCGACATCTACCCATTCCTCTTATCGCTGACTAGAAAATCGCATAGCTGTCACCTTCCGTACGAAAAGATCCACGCACATAAAATTTTTTTTTCACCGGTGGAACTTTTTTCAGATATAAAAGGCATCGCATCTCATCGATCACCACCTCTATCGACATCTCTTTTTTCGACCCTCCCCATCGCACTCTTTGCTAGTTAAACATGTCTTCTCGTCCTCAAGTCTCCGTGCAAACCCTAGCCGGTGGAGCTTCCGGTAACTCCGTTGCCTTGCCAGCCGTCTTCTCGGCCCCAATCCGTCCAGACCTTGTCCACAGCGTTTTCACCAGCGTGAACAAGAACAAGAGACAGGCTTACGCTGTCTCCGAAAAGGCTGGTCACCAGACCTCTGCCGAGTCCTGGGGTACCGGTCGTGCTGTTGCCCGTATTCCTCGTGTCGGTGGTGGTGGTACCCACAGATCCGGTCAGGCTGCTTTCGGTAACATGTGTCGTGGTGGTCGTATGTTCGCTCCTACCAAGACCTGGAGAAAGTGGAACGTCAAGGTCAACCACAACGAAAAGAGATACGCCACCGCGTCTGCGATCGCCGCCTCTGCCGTTGCCTCTTTGGTCTTGGCCAGAGGTCACCGCGTCGAGAAGATCCCTGAGATCCCTCTCGTCGTGTCTTCTGACCTAGAGTCCGTCACTAAGACCAAGGAAGCCGTCGCCGCCCTAAAGGCCGTCGGTGCCCACTCTGACGTCGTCAAGGTTCTCAAGTCCAAGAAGATGAGAGCCGGTAAGGGTAAGTACAGAAACAGAAGATTCACCCAGAGACTAGGTCCTTTGGTCGTCTACGCCAACGACAACGGTCTAGTCAAGGCTTTCAGAAACTTGCCAGGTGTCCAAACCTGCAACGTTGCTTCTTTGAACCTATTGCAATTGGCCCCAGGTGCTCACTTGGGTAGATTCGTCATCTGGACCGAAGCTGCTTTCGCCCAGTTGGACCAAGTCTGGGGTTCTGAGACCGTTGCTTCTTCCGTCAAGTCCAACTACACTTTGCCATCCAACATCATCTCCAACACCGATGTTACCAGAATCATCAACTCTTCTGAAATCCAGTCCGCTGTTAGACCAGCTGGTCAACCAAGCCAAAAGCGTACTCACGTTTTGAAGAAGAACCCATTGAAGAACAAGCAGGTTTTGTTGAGATTGAACCCATACGCCAAGGTCTTCGCCGCCGAGAAGTTGGGCTCCAAGAAGGTCGAGCAGAAGAAGAGCTCCGTCTCCAAGGTCTTTTCCGAGACTTTGAAGCACGACTAAGCGTTTTCGCCAGCTCAGCATTTTCAAAATTTCTCTTCTATTCCCCAACTTTTAGAAGTTTCAAGAATTGTATATAGGTCGGGTATATAACTACTAGATTAAAATGATTCTTGTTTACTAAAACTCATGTTCACTGCTATAAATGAGCTCCTTCCGAAGTAGCTGCTGGTGTAAAGTCATCAAACATGCTTCACTTCGAATGATTTCACTATTGCTATTTCGGAGGGCACTATTATACAATATTAACCTATTTACACATTCATCAATGCATCAAATACAAGTTTTGGTTTTTCTTGGATCTTTGGTTGGCTTCCGCACCTTGAGCCTTGAATTCGTACTGGATTTTCACATCCAAATCCCTGTTGTTGGTCTTATTAGGAGCGCAGGTTAGGTCACCTTCAAGAACATCGCCCTTTTCACACTCTAGATCGTCTTCTAGGTAGAAAACAGTTTGTTTCCAGTGGGTGTAAGGAGCGTGGGCGCCGGTGGAGAAAGTCACTGGTTTCTTGCCCTTAGGAGCTGGGAACTCGATGTCGAACCAACTGATCAGCCCGTTAATAAAATCTTGTCCTTTCGCTTCAAGCTTGAACTTGGTCTTGAAAGCCAAGTCAGCGACCGTGATGGTGTTTAGATCGAATTCCACCAATTTTGCCCTTGTGGTATTTACAGCACTGTGGTTGACGGTGTCTACCAAAGGCTCTCTCTTGACCAAAGGAATAAATGGCGAGTAATCGAACCCGTATACATCCTGCCAATAGTTTAGTTTTTCATCCTTATACTGCGAATCTTCGATACCAGCGATATGAATCGAGCACTTGTCTGGAAAGATCAACCCACCTTCAACAAGATAGTGGTCACGGGCCCAAAGCACGGTGTCCATCATGGACTCGTACAACAGGAAATAGCCCATCCATTCGGATATGATGATGTCCACCTTAGGATATGGCAATTCCACATCCTCAAGTTTACCACGTAGCAAAGTAATTTTATCAGAAAATCCATTGAGCTCCACGATTTCACGAGCCATCTCGATGATGCTCGACATGTCCACGCCAATCACATGCTTGGCTCCATTTTTTGCTGCAAACATCGATAAAATACCAGTTCCACACCCTACGTCGAGAACAACCTTGTCCTTGAACATGTCTTTGTTCTGGACAATAGCATTCCTGTACGAAAGAGTCCTAACGGTGTCTTGCAGCATTTCTTCATGGATTCCGTAATGATCATAAGAACTGAAGTAATGTTGATCGTACTCATTAAGGTCCTGCTTCAGCGTCGCTGAATCATCCACGTTCGTCTTACTCATCCTGCCAATATGTTTAAAAGACAGCTAGTGAGACTTAAAGAGGATCCTGACTTTGATGTAGCTCTTCTTATTAGTGGTGATGAGCTTAGCAGAGTAGTGAATTCTGAAAAATTTTCTTAAACTAGACATTGAAGCTCATCGCCATGAAATTCGTCAAGTTAAAAACCAAACCTGACGGATCTTTAGCCTGTCATTAGCTGTTAAAAGCGTCACTGTGTTGTTAAAATAAAGATCTTAAGTCAGAGTTATTATGGTGTTGCTGTAGCTTTCTTGGTGTCGTCGTCGCCAGACCTGAAGCCCTGCACCTAGTGAAGAGATATATGTTCACGGAATTTTATAGCTTGGATTGGTTGTTCAAAAACCAATTCAAGGCACGATCATCTGGCAGCCTGCTTGAGGTTATCTGTTTCCATAGACCATCGAGAACCTTTTCCTTCTGGGAGGGACACAATTGGATTAATTCGACACAATTTTCCAGCCAGTCTGTAGTGTAGTTGCTTTGTATGTGGGAAAGCTGTTTGATCAGACACAGTATTAGTGTCGAGATCACCTCGGGATGCTCATCGCGGCAGTTTAAAATGCGCAGGTATGTGTAGTGCAGAATTTCGCGAGAAATGTCAGGATTCGCCTGGCTCAGTAAAGGAATATCTTGGGAGATCGCTGCAAAAATATGAACAAGTTGGCTCGACGACAAAACGCCGCCCAAATACTGATGGATTGATTGCTGTAGAAAATCCTGGTAGTGCGCTGCTTTCCAAACCTGCAGAAATTTCCCACTTGAGTTGTTGGAATAGAGACATAGCTGTGCAGCCTGCGCAGCCTCGCAGATAGAGGTATTCGATGACGCTCCATAACGAGATAGAACGGGAACGACATAGTCATCGAGAAAATCCGGTGCAATGGGGACCAGGCCCAAAGAAGACTCCAGAAAATTTAGTAGGAATAAGATCCGGCTGGTATTGACGACGTTGCTCTCGTGCGAAGGCCAAATATTTCCGCGCATTACGCTCAGACAGCAGTAGTATTGGGCGATGCCAATAGTACAAGCTGCTGAGCTCACATTGTAGATGTACTCGTACGACTGAAACCCTGCTTTTCCAAAATCCTGTGCAATGAAGTCCATGTAAAATAGGGAAATTATGGCCTGATTATACCAACCTCGCGGAGTCTTTGAGCGAAGCAGGCATCCTCGAAGAATCAAAACGACTGTGAGAAGCTGGTTCGAATGGGTTTGAGAGGAATAGTTGGCTTTGGGAGCGTGCATTTCGCGCAACGAAATATCAAACGCGGTTGCACAAACGGAATTCAATGTTTCATTGGCAAGCCCCACGTCAACATTTGGTAGCGTTGCTTCCAACGTTTTGGCGATGCTTCCCAAGTTTTTGGACACAAAACGAGGGCTTGCGTTGGGGCCTTTGACGTAAGCCAGCGACAAATGCAGTAGAACGGGAGCCAACAGGTCACCAGAGATTTTCTTGACGTCTCGTATCTCAAAAAGCTGCGACATAAAAACCGCCAAATGTTCTGCCTCAATTGGTGCATTCCTCAGACTTACTGTAAATAGCTGTTGCCAAAGAGGCATAAAGAATTTGTATTTCCAATCCAGATATTTCCGCGATACGGAGCTTGGAGCGTCCAGGAAAAACCTAGTTTGCAAGTCCTCAAATTTAGTTCTGGTGTTAAGTATCCCCGCAATAATTGTCAGTTTTGCCACGGTCCAAGCTCGACAATTTCTAATGGCACGATCCCAAACTTCGTAAAACTCCGCTACATCAATGACGGGCTCTGAGATTTCAAGTTTCCACGAAAAAATAGCTTCTGCTGTTTCCTGCAAAATAATCCAGTCGCCATCAATAGCTACTGGCCATATGGCTGATTCCAGCATAGCCACAACAAGCTGTTCCAATTTTCTATGTGTGCGTAGTCGCGGTACATAGTACACCAAGTTGCTCAAAATGTGTTGGATTTTGCCGCTAAAGCCAGGCTTGTGTAGAATACTAACGAGGTAATCTACTGATGCGTCCAAATCGTGGCCCTGTGTTACCAAAGACATCTTTTATAGCTCCTCTTTCATTTTAAGAAGAGTATGGCATCGAGTAATTTATGAATATAACTACATATCATATTCATCTTGAACTAAAAGCTAAGTCAAGTTAGAGTAATGGTGGCTACGGAGACGCCTCAGGGGCTTACGAGCTTCCCAGTGACGAAAATGTGTGCACTTTTAAGTGTAGGAATTCCAATTTTTGCGTCAGTAGCCGGGGTCAAACATTGGTTTCTGCTTTATATCGATCCATTTATCTCAGAGTACAAGCAATACTACAGGTTCCTGACATTCCAGGTTGCAGCGGTCAACGAGACAGACGTCATTCTTCTAACGCTTATATGGTACTATTTTCGGCACCTGGAGAGACTGTTTGGGAGTCGAAAATACATCAGCTTGATAACACTCTCATGGGCATACACTTCTGTTGCTATAATAGTTGCAGCTTGGGTTTTCAACTTGATTCCATTCTTCAAATGGAACCGGTTCACCAGTGGCGCTATCCCAATCGTTATGAGTCTTTTCCATTTCTATAAGGAGCACACCCCCCAAATGTACCAATTTGACGTGAAGCTCATCAAACCATTGGGCGCGCGCTCCAAACAGCTGAAATGGACGTTCAACGACCAGTTTGTAATAAATGCACTTGTGGCCATTCTGCTTCTGAATCAAGGACTTGTTAGTATCGCCACGGGGTTTTTGAGCTGGATGTGTGGTGTTTTCATCGAGAGGGGACTATTCCCAGGCTTTGATATGTTCAGGGTCCCATTCTTCAAACAAAGCTCGCAGTCAGCATCGACAGGAATCATGGCCTCTGAGTCTCATTCCAGCACGCCTGACTTGGACGGTGCGGCTGTCACGCCCGGCCCAAACAATGGGGATGACGAACATGGTGACGAACCTGGCGACGAGCCCGCACGGCCATTGGGAGTGCAGTTTCTAAATACTTTTAGGATGTAGGTAGCTTAATTTAGTATAATGTACGAAACGAGGGAAACAGGTTAAGCACTCTGCTGGGCGAGTTTCAGCAGTTGGCGCTTTTCGACGTCCCAATTGTACAGCCTGGCGCAGTTGACTTCCATGGTGGTGATGTTCTCTCTGAGATACTCCACGTCTTCCTGGTTCGTCTCCAAATTCCTCTTGCCGTCGGCAAGTTTCTCATTCAGCAATTCTATAGCTTCATCTATCGGATATTCCAACATCACGTCTGCACCCAACCAGAGACCGACTTTAAGTTCTTGTGATGTGTCTATTTCCGCTTTGGTGTAGAGCGTCTCGTTCAGCTGGTAGTTTGCCTCGAGGTTGCGACCATGTTCCTGCTGCTCTTTCAAAGCGTGGCACATATTCAGGGTATTTTCAATATCGGGGATCTTTTGTTTCAGCTGCTTGACCGTCAGCATCTTTGATTCCTGCATGTATTTGTATTTCGATAGCCTTTCTTGGAACTTGTTGAAGCAAATATCAAAGTCATTGGGATCCTTTATAAAGTCTTCAACTTTTTCTACAAATGGAGCCTCCGGAATCCCGCGGGCATTAGATTTGGTGGAGTTGAATAAAGTGTCCATTGGGTCTTTTTGGATGGCTACAGAATGGCCAAAACTTTTGGATGTTGGTTATACATCTTTGGCATTTCCACGATAATAGCATCCACATCTGAATTCACTTAAGTAGAAAAACGAATCACGTGATTGGTGTCAGTTTAAGTTTAACTGTCGAACTCAGGAAATAACGTCATGGCATGAATGTTTTCTCGATTGAGTCGTTAGGATCTGAGAATTCAGAGTTTCTGGGATTTTTGAGATCTTCTTTGGGTTAAGATCGCTACTATTTCGACTACCAAAAAAAGGGACTCAATTCAGGTTGTTAATGGTAATGACTGTGGAGTGATTCGACAAATTAAAACGCAATTCGTTAATAGAATATTATCTACTCGAGTATTCCACTTCAAGGAAACCATCACGGATTCCTGATTCTTCTAAATTTTGCTTCTTAACTACTTTATGGTGTACGACACTAATGAAAGGGAATTAATTTTTGATGAGATCTGATGAATATAACCAACTTCAAAACCAAAATATTTCATAACTCAACCTGAATCGTTGACGCTTGGCAGGGTCTAACGTGGTCTTTGAAGAAATAGCGAGTGTCTAGAGAATGTACGATTTAAATTTGGTCTTGTTACCCAACCTTCAGGCTTCGGGCTACGTAATAATCGACCGCGGAAAGAAATATAAATCTGAGCAGAGCTTTCAAAACAGCTAGTACACGTCCTGCAACCTCACCCAAAATGAAGTATCCGAGAACATTGTTCCTCCAGATGATTAGTATCTGTCCTATGACCGGCGTAACACTGTCTGATTTTTCAACGAAAAAAGGCTGTGTTTGAACGGGAGTTTCGCGAGCTCCTGGGAACCAAGCCCAAGAACCGAGAATGAATCCACGGCGTAACAAGAAATACAATCGCAAACGGGCACGCTTGATTCAAAGGTTTCTGGTGTCTCGGACTTTTCGTTCAATTTGATCTAAAACTGATCAAATGTCATCGACATTTAACGGGTTTAGATGAACAGCTCACGATGACCTTAAAAAAGTTGTAAGATTGGTTCGAATCGCTCCAAATTCCTACTACCAGCAATCAAAACCTATGGAAATTGAGCTTGTCGAAAATGAGCTTTCTTTCGCCACCGCTTCCAGGGTGTCCTTGATGGTCGACAACTTATCGGTCTGGGCTTCTAAAGACGTGCCCATCGTTCAAGACATATCGATGAGAATACCGAGTGGTTCTATAATGGCACTCATAGGTGGATCAGGCTCTGGAAAAACTACGTTATTGAATGTCTTGGCCTCAAAAATGTCTAAAAATCTCAAATATAGCGGGTCATTCCACTACGTCCCTGAACCGACTTGCAGAGACGATTCACCCGAAGAATACTCCGCTCCAAATTCAAAGCGAGCTGAAAATTGCTTTACGACCGCCTACCTAACGCAGCAAGATGTTTTGTCGCCAAGACTAACTTGCCGTGAGACTTTGCAATACGCTTCGGACCTGAAGCTTAACAGCAGCAAGAATGACCGTCAAATGTTGGTAGACGAGCTGATTGCTGAGTTAGGACTCCGCGACTGTGCTCAAACGCTTGTTGGCGATTCACGCCATCCGGGGTTGTCTGGTGGTGAGAAAAGAAGACTTAGCATTGGTGTTCAAATGATTTCGAATCCATCACTTCTCTTTCTGGACGAGCCTACAACGGGATTAGACGCTTATTCGGCTTATTTGGTCATCAAAACACTGCGAAAACTAGGTCACAAGGGTGGTAGAACGTTTATCATGAGCATTCACCAGCCGCGAGCTGATATATTGTTCCTGCTAGACCAGGTTTGCATCTTATCCAAGGGTAACAATGTTTACTGTGATAAAGTCACAGAAATGGTGCCTTACTTCAGAAATCTGGGGTTTGAGGTACCCAGGCATGTCAACCCCGCAGACTACTTCATTGACATATGTAGCATTGATACAAGATCGGAGAAGCTCACTTTGCAAACACAAGACAGACTCAACAAGCTGATCGAAAGCTGGAAAGTAAGGCAAAGAGACTTCGAGTCTCTTGTACTACCAAGTTTGACACAAAGCGCCCCGATGATGCCACATGTGCCATTTGCAGCACAAGTTAGGGTTCTCACAAAACGTGCTTTAAAACTCAACATGAGAGATCCGATGACCATGATGGCTCTCTTACTCGAACCTGTTGTGGTTGGTGTGATTACAGGATGGATTTTCTACAAGCCAGAGCCTTCCACAAAGGGAATCAGAACTCTTACAGCAGCCCTCTATTCCGCCGCTGCATTGCAAGGTTACTTGTTCCTATTATTTGAAACATACAGACTGTGTGAACAAGATATCAAGGTTTACGACAGAGAGCGCGCCGAAGGGTGTGTAACACCTTGGTCATTCCTCCTCGCTAGGCGACTGGCAAATTTCATATTCGAAGATTTCGCCATACCGTTCCTCTTTTCGATCATTACATTCTTCATGTATGGACTGAATCTCGGTGCTCAGTCTTTTTTGGTCTACTTTTCCGTGGTGCTTCTTGTTCACCAATCTTCTGCCTCTTTTGCTCTCCTTTCAGTTGCGATTTCACGAGATTTCTCGCAAGCTTCGCTAGTAGGCAATCTCAACTACACTTTACAATCCATGGCTTGTGGGTTTTTCGCCAACGCCAGGAAAATGCCCGTCTACGTTAGATGGACGAAGTACATCACTTATTTGTGGTATAGTTTTGGAGCCTTGATGGCCAATCAGTTCACAGACTTTGCATGCAACCTCGAGGGGCAAGATGATTGTCTAGGAAACATGATCTTAGAAAGCTTGGGGTACCCTCGATTTTGGAGGGCAACTCCAATAATCATCATATTTTGCTGGTCAATCGCTTTTTATGGTCTGGCAATATTGATGCTTCAGCTGAAGAGAGTAGATATCAGCCTGGCAAAGCGAGTAAAGGTGAAGAAAAACATTCCAAGATCTCCCAACGACCTTGACACTGACTTGGAGTCAAATACCCTAGGCTCGAGTTCAACAGCAGAGGAGGCCATTACCGTTGAGGTTCGAAACCTTAACATGAAAGTATACAAAAGACGAGCATGGCCAATTCGCAAAGGACAACAAACCTCTCCAGACTATATTCCAATTTTGAATGATATCAACGCACTTTTCAAAGCCAACGATATCAATGCTATTATGGGTCCATCAGGATCAGGGAAATCAACCCTTCTCAATCTTTTGTCAGGAAAGCTCAAATCAACATTCTGGTCGTCGTTCGAGACCACAGGTGAGATTTATTTCAACGGTGCCCAAGTATCGCAGCAAATTTTCAAGAACGTTTGTTCTTTCGTTCCTCAGGACGACGATCATCTGCTGGCACAGCTTACCGTCAAGGAGACCTTGTCCTTTGCGGCAGATTTGAGATTGTCGAAAATTCGGCCAGCGGATCGCATTTCGAAAGTGGACGAAGTAATTTTGGAGCTAGGTTTGAAGCATTGCGAGGATACCTTGGTGGGGAATGAACTTATAAAAGGGATTAGCGGCGGCGAGAAACGAAGACTTTCAATGGGAATTCATCTTTTAACGGATCCGTCTATTCTTTTGCTCGATGAGCCGACTTCGGGGCTGGATAGCTTCACGTCCTTCAAGATTTTGGAAGTGCTATGCAATATCAGCAGAAAGCCAGGCAAGACCGTCATCTTGACCATTCACCAACCACGGGCCGAGTGTTTTCAACAGCTAGGCAACGTCTTGCTTTTGGCGAAAGGTGGCCGTATAGCATACAATGGCCCACCACTAGCCATGATTGAATATTTTGCCAACCTTGGGTATGAATGCCCCCCTCTAACAAATGTAGCGGATTACTTTTTGGACCTAATTTCAGTCAATATTCAAAACGACAGGAACGAGTCATACTCTCGCGACAGGGTTCAGTCTTTACTTTTAAAGTGGGATCAAAATCTGAGAAGGCGTGTGGACTGTGATGTTTCGTCAAATCACAACAAATTTGCAATGCAAGGGCACAGTAGAAAGAAAGCTCCCTTCATGGTGGCCTATAGGGTATGTGTAAGACGTCAATCGAAGACAATAACCCGTAATGTGGAGTCATTGAGCGCTAGATTGGCCCAAATCCCGGGAGTTGGTATCATTTTGGCCCTGTTTTTCGCCCCGGTAAAGCACGACTACGCCAGCGTTTCAAATAGGCTTGGTCTCGTTCAGCAATCTACCGCTTTATATTTCACTGGCATGTTGACGAACTTGGCGTGCTATCCGAGTGAAAGGAATTACTTCTACCAGGAGTTTGACGATAACGTTTACGGCATTGCTCCATTCTTTCTCGGCTATATGACGCTTGAACTGCCGATGGCAGCTTTCGCGGCCTCTTTATTCGCGGTCTTTATAGTTCTGGCTTGTGGCATGAACCGATCCGTTGGCAATTTTTTCGTTACGATGTACTGCAGTATGGTCATATCCACTTGTGGGGAAGCTCTTGGGATAATCACGAATACGCTATTCACCACGCCAGGATTCGTGGTCAACGTCGTTTCAATTGCTCTCACAATTGGCTGTGTGATGTCGGGGCTAATGTCACTGCAAATGTCGCGTGTTCTTCAAGGATTCAACTATTTGAGTCCTTTGAATTATACTTCGATGGTTTTGATAAACTACGCCTTTCCAAACAGTCTCAAACTTACCTGTTCTGATGGTGGCCAGAATGCAGACGGCTCGTGTCTTTTTTCATCGGGCTCGCAAGTGCTCGAAAGCTACGGGCTGAAACGCAACACGCGCAATTATCTGGGAATAATTATATGCGTTTGGTTCATGTACAGACTCGTTGCCTACCTCACTCTGAAAGCAAAACTGGAGTGGATAAGATGGTGATATGGGAGAGGAATATGAACTGGCATTGAAAAACAATGGCATATCGATAATATACTCATAGCAACATCAGCATTTTGACTATTTGTATGCGAACGAATCGTTGCAGTGCGTAAGTCAAACATGCCAAATTTGTAGCCGCAACCATGCCACTACTTACACCAATGTCGCGTGGAAGTTTAGACATCGCAGCGTGGCCTTTCAAGTGTGCTGGCACACTTTTCAACATACTCATTCATGCGTCTTCTAGTCGGACAGGAACTTTCGAGTCGAAAATAGTCCAATTCAACTAGAGAATTACGTAAGAGCTTAATATGACGAACTAGTTAAGACCCGAGATTAAGGCTTATTTTATCAAGATGTGTATATAAGAGTGAGTCCAAGTGATCGAGTGCTAGCGAGTTATTTTCAAGTCTTTGAAGCCCAACAAGCAGTGCTCAAAATGTTCGACTTAGATCCTAAATTTGTCAACCTTGTTTCCAAACAATCTGTAGATGAATTGAAAGCGCTTGAAAAGCAGAGTCGATTGCCCCGGTTCGATTACAACATTGCATTCGAGTTTGGTTGTAAATTGAGACAATGGGCAATCTCAACATTCCCCTCTAAGGCTATGGTGATTGACATTTCTTTACCTTCTGGTCAATGTCTTTTCCACACTACTACTAACAAAGATACCGCTCTCGACAATGATATATGGGTATCCAGAAAGAAAAAGACGGCGATTAGGTTTGGATGCTCAAGTTACGTTATGGGCCAAAAACTCAAGGCAAAGAAAATGAACAAACCGGAAGATGCGTTTTTCATTGATTCCAAGGAATATGCCGTCCATGGTGGTTCAGTCCCACTCTACGTTGAAGGAATCGATTCGATGGGAGCAGTCCTGACTGTGAGTGGTTTAAAGCAAGAAGAAGATCATGCATTTGCCCTACAAGCTATTTCAGAGTTCGCAAAATCACTTGAACCATCTGAGCTGGACTTGGACTGACGAGATACACCGTTGTTATCCACAAATACTTATACACCAAACCTAAAAATCTAACAATCATATATTTCTTTTACCAGCAAGAAATTGTGGGAGCAAGCCGCTTGCTCCCCACCTCCACCTGAGCTTCCTTTTCGCCTCGATGAACCAGATCATTGTTTTTGAATCTACTACTTTATTGTCGCTATGCGGGCCCGTCTTATGCTGTAATTGTAATTGTAATTGTAGTCTGTTGATGAGATGTGAAGAAAATTGGCCTGTATTGTGCCTCTTGAAATTCATCGGCAGTGCCTCCTGTGCCTCTCTTAGCGACCCTTCACTCCCCATGCTATAATCCTGCGAATTGTTAATGGAGTCTGAGGATGTATCAAACTCGTAGTCCTCTAACAGCTTTGCTGTCTCTTCGTATTTGAGAGTACAGCAAGAACAAACTATCTCGCGAAAATGGCGTCCTTCAATCAGTGAGCTGATCTCGTGCAAGGGCTTTTCGCAAATGACACAACCTTTGACTTTATGTTCAAAGTCTAAACTCTGAAGATACCGATCATTGTCGTCATTACGCTTCATGATTGCTCCTAAAATCTGCTCAATATCCGTGACCGCAGTTCGATCAGATCTCGCAGAATGTCGGTCAGTTCCTTGCAATGAAGAGCTTTCTTCAATCATGCCCATATTGGCGAATGGGTCAGTTTCCTTGACATGAGGTGTTAAGGTAAGTGAAGACGTGGTCGACAGTAACCGATTCGTTCTGTATTTGATGGGAAGTTTTGAGAGCTTGCTTTCGTGGACCTTAGCCTTCAGATCTGAGATGGAGACCTTACTTTTGGCAAACTTTAGTCGTTTAGAATTGTCCGGAATATAGTCTTCCACCAAGACTATGGGCGGACGGCTTTCATTGGAATCATCGCTGTCGCTTTGCTGCGCACGTCTTGGATCCACGCTAAAACGCCTATTATCCGCATGAATGCGAAGTTGAGCTTCATTGGTCAGATTATAAGGCACTTTACGATTTCGACATTCTTCAACTGGGGGCGGAATAGGCAGGCTTGTGAGCTTCTGATCATCCAGAAGATCGAGTTTGGTGGTTGATTCCTGTAAGTTAGATCTGAACCTTGGCGTGGCACCGCTAAGCGTGCTTCTGGCTACGCGGCGCTTACGCAAAAGCTTGCGAGCCGGATCTTCTAGCGGATCTGAAGCAGTGGGTTTGGACGGTGTGCTGTTGCTGTTAAATTGAAACTCTCGATGCGCTGCTTGCCATTTCACAGGGGTATCGCTGGCCAAAGGACCGAGCGAGGCATCGGACTGACCCTTGGCGAAAAACAGAGAGGATGGATGGCTAGCATCTTGCGAGACAACTGAAAGCGACGAGAACGACGATTTCCCGTCGAGATCCATGGACGGCCCGCGAGAAATGAAAGAGCTCGTAGATGCGGTGGATGCGATGGGGGGAGGGCAACAACACCTGAAGTTCGTCTCCCTGCTCTCAACTTATTATTTTTTTCGCCTGGCTTAGCCTGAAGCCAGTTCTCTGAGACAGATCTGATCCCATTAGAGAATTTCCGAATCAGCCGGACTACTGTTTTGTTTATGCATTTCCTGATGTGGAAGACATCACTGCTTGCGAATTTGACGACACATTCATGCAGACGAGGGCATCAGCGAAGGCCAGCGGAAACCTTTATCATTCAACACATTTCCCGTCTAGAAACCTTTTTGCTCAAACAATTTCAGCCGTGCTTCCGTCAACGTAGTCCATACGTACGCTATTTTCTTCTACACAGTGATAATTATATTTCTATAAGATACTCTACTATACAAACCAGAGTCGAGAAAAACAAAAATCCCATTGTCTTGGCTCGAAAAGCGCTCTTGAACGGCGCTAGCAACGCTTTTTGCTTTATCTCTAAACCCTATTTCTTGCACCCTTCGACTTCATAAAGTTAATCAATATTTTGACTAGAAGAAGACCTAATAATCCATATTTCGTCAGAGATGACATCAACAGTTTTTGAAATTAAGTTTCATTTAGGTAGAACCTTGTGATCTCGCTAAGCCTAGATAACAGTCGATAGTCCAGAAGATTGAGTTTAAGAGAGTGACTTCTTCCCTTAAGAGTACTGCTTGATCAATCTCTCTAATTTGGTTAAGCGCTTCAAGTTTTTGTTTCAGGTTTTAGCGTTACTTACACACTTCAAACGCCCATCGAAATGTCAGCAGCAGAATATTACAAAGGAACATCCAATTACCAGGCTCAGGTATGTTTAGGCCCGTTTTTTAGGACCAGAATGTAGCCCAACACATCGTTTCGTGTTTCGGGCTCTGTTTTTTGACACTTACTAACTTTCCCTTGGTAGTATTCTAGCCCCGTGGGACCACCACCAGGCCACCAAAGTGATAACAGGGGTGTTTTCAGTTCACATAACCAGCAACAACCCCCTCAACAGGCATACTACGGCCAACAACAGCAGCAATACTACGCCAGCCCTCCTCCAAATTACAACCAGCAGCAGCACTTTCAGCAGGGCTATCAGCAGCAGCCAGGCTACTATAACCAACAACAACCGGTTTATGTGCAGCAAAAACCCCCCACAAACAACAACTCAGACTGTCTGACTGCCTGTCTGGCAGGTATGTGTCTATGCTGTACGCTGGATCTTCTATTTTGAACGCCAAATAGCTGTCTGCCCTCTAACATGTCCCATATCAATACCAGAAGCTGAGATCCGTTTCCACTGGGCGCAACTGAGAAAAAACCTGTTGATGTACTTTTTCTTTTACGTACAAACTCAGTCACAGAGTGAAAGCCTTCTTTTTAATCTAACCGTAATAAATACTGTCTTTTCAATCACTAACATCGTTACTAGAATCTTTCAACTTCCTCGTCGATAGTGTCAATCAAACGATCGTACTCACCAGTCTTGTCGCTCAGTAGGAACTGTGGCAAGTACTTGTCAGGAATCTCGATCGCGCCGTTGAAAACCAAAGTTCCAGCTACCAGTAGCATGAACCCAAAGAGTTGCAAAAATTTGAAAGACTCCCAACCTAACGACAAAGACGCAAGCCAAACAAGTAAGGTTCTGCAGGTGTCAACGGTGCTTCTGGAAGTAGCACTCACGTTTTTCGTGATGGACGTCCCAAAGTAGTTGAAACATGCAATGGAGACCATAATGACTACCGACGAGTAAAGCACTTTTCCATTTGAAAGCATATCTTTGAAAGCCTGACGCATGTTGAAGCTGGAATTCACATCCTTTTGGCCGTAGACGACATGTCCAAACAACAACATGCCAAAGGTAATCAAGGACCCGAATAGACCTTCGAACCCCACGAGACCCAGTGGAATAACTTGCCAGCGAGCCATAATGTGTTCCTCGATGATAAACTGGAAAGCCATGAACACCAGGGCCAGAACGACCGAGCATATACCTAGGAGCATGGAGCCAGCGAGAGGCACTGATTCTGGTTCAGCATCGACAACCTCGGATTGGCCACTGTACCCGACAACTGCCACACCGAGGACTATCACAACAAGTGAAACCCACTCCATATGAGTAATTCTCCGCTTCAAGAACAAAACGCTGAAGAGAGCCACGAAGAACACGATCCCGCCCCTAGTCATCTGGTAAATCGACACGGGAATCATGATCAGAGCAAGATTGAGCAGTGTGGAGGCGATGATGTCACAAATTGCGGGCATGGCCAGAAGAAAGTGCTGTTTGCCTTTTACTACTGGCTTGCTGCCGATGGTTTCACTGATAGGAGCAGCTCCCCTTTGGCGACTCCAAAACACCGCTAACACTGCCATCTCGCCAATAAACATCTGCAGCGTTTGCAGCACTGGCTGGTTGAAGAAAACTGGTGAATTTCCTTTGCAATCGCGCACACATTGATTATCTTGATATTTGGTGAATAGTGAGTTGATACCTCCCGTTACGATCAATCCAACACACAGGAAAAGGATGTGAAATCGTGCCATAATCACCTCAGTACTATAGTTGTAGTGTAGAGGCTATCCAAGAACTTCGATATGAGTCTTTTTGACAAAACTTGGTGTTTTATCAGTAACTCCCTCGATCAAATTATCATTATCAATAACCTTGAACATACCTCATTAGTTTAAAAAACCGGCTAAGAGAGTTTCACCGGAGTTTGAACGACAGGGTAACGTCATCAGCGATCACTTTGAGCGGCAACTGGCATTCAGAAGAACACCTCTGTCATCTTGAACTTTTGTCGCAGCTTGTTTCTACACTTATCGGCAGGACATTGACTGGGACCGTAATTGTCTGGGTTTGAAGGTCCCTTCGCTTCTTTGAGCTTTTTAGCATTCTTCTTGTTCGAGTTCCTTGCTGTATCGATTCTCTTAAAACAACGTCCACAGAACATATGGCCACAACTGGCCACGAATGTTCGTCGCGACAGGTCTCTGTCTGCAACACTGAAACTTCGAAGCGATTGGTATGGACAATGAAAATGGTATTTGTCAATTAGCTGCTCGAAAGACTTATCTCCATCCAAAGCACTCATCCCTGCGTAGTCATCGGGAATACCCACACCCAGCTCTACACCACAAATGGTGCAGGCGGGGACTTCTATTTCGTTGGCTTCATCGTCTTCCAAAGCGATAATCTCTGCTTTATTGTTAAGCTCATTCGGCGTCTCGAACTTGACTGTGGGATCGAACGACGCACTGTAGCCCTCAGTCAAGCCCTTGGCCTCTTTCAAAAATGTTTCTCGCTTTCCCTTGGTACTCTCCATCAGCTTCCGCTTGCGATTATCGCTTTCTAATTCTTCGCGAGCCTGAATCATCTCGATAATGCCCTGTGTTTCCCGAACTTCGTCTGGCTCCCTACCAAAATAACCACTCAAATGCGGCGGAGCCCACGTCCTTGTAAGGCCATATGGTGGACCGTTTTGGCCCGTGTAGTTCCCCAGAACTTGTGCCCAATTAAAACTGTTTCGCCCGGTTCTGCCTTCGTTGCTGAGATTTTGTTCGTTTGAATTTGTCACCATTTCGCGATACTGCGCATACAAAACTGTTAATTCTTCCAAGTTCTGCTCGTAGCTTTCTCTGTCTCTAGCCTCCAAAACGGCCCGAAACTCGTCGATGGATAGTGCTTCGTCAAAAGCGGCACGAACGCTCCCTGGGAGCATGGAGAGCCGAGATTGAAAGCTGGCAAAATCAGAATGGCCCAAAACATGGCGAGTCCACGACATCGGTGTCTGCCTTCTTGCATTTTGTCGTAACTGTCGATTATTTCGCGCTTGTCGTGATTCGTCTATTCGACGTCGCTCGTGGAATATCGATTGCCTGTCGCTTGGAGCACCTCTAGACCAGCTTAGATTTTGCCGAGCACTAGCTGCAGCACGTTCAATCCGTCTCCTCCAGGAACGTGAGCTGTCGATTATCGGTACTGGTCTGGGTACCTGATTTTGAAATGATCTTCTGATGGGCTGTTCGTGTGAACTACCAGTGATAAGTAGACGCTCACCACCGGGTAGGTTCAAAACAAAACTTGAGTTTGTAGTGTTTTGCCCGAGAAACACGACGTCCTCGTCCTCGTTGTTGGCAGTGCCCATAGACGGCAGTCGAGGCCTTATTTGAGCCACGGTGATGACGCCCTCGTTATCGAGGTCGATATATTCCGCCTCGGGGTCCAAAGGCCCGCCATCATCGACTACTACCTCATTTACCACTTCCAAATCATCATTGTCTTCGTTTACGTCTTGAACATTTCCATCGCTGCTAGAAGAACGTAATTGTTCAGGCCTGAAACGGCCCGATCGGTCTCTTCTTGGGCCCGAAGAGTGCTGTCGCAGCTCAGAAGCCCTCTGAATCTCTATTTCATCTTCTGCACAGCTTTCAATTTCTATCACTTCACCGCTGTCTTGGTGTGTGCCAGTTTCCGAACTTCTGACAGCTTCGTGAACTTCATTTGAGTCCATCTTGGTCGTATCGAGACGCTTGGAAGTACGCCCTATTCAACACAACGCCCTGCGGTTCCAGAAAACGTTGTTTGACTGGAATCAGAGGCCTGTGAGTGTTGTTTTTGAATGAATTCTTTATTTTCGATGTTTTGCAATTCAAATAGGCCTAGTGATCAAACGTAATGAATAACACTTATTCCACTACAGAGGCCAGTATAAATTTAAGACCCGGGATAACACCCTCAGCGTAGGCTCCTGTTGACCAAGTGGTTTCGATTCTAGTACACAGACCTCTAGATATTGTTTTATATTATATATATATATATATATATATATATATATATATACGTGAGGTCGTCCGCGACTTGGACGGGCTCTTTTGGATATATCTGAATTCACTATTATACAAGCATGGCGGGAGACGAATGGGGGGAGTGTGCGACGCGAGTGGTTTTTTACAAGCCGCTTCTCATGTATCTGCCGATGACAATACAGTGGTCTCTTTCGTAAGGTTCCAAGGTCAATTGTTCCAAAGGCTTGATGCGCTCTTCACGCAACTTCTGCACTTCTCTGGCGAACACGGTCTCGGCGTCCACGGTGGAGTCGATACAGTTGGCTTTGATGGAGATTACAACACCACCTTGATCCTTGAGGAACATGTGAGAGTTCAAAGCAATGATACGGGCCTGGTCCGGTTGGGCAACATCGGCGAACACAGCGTCGACCATACCGATGAGCATTCTGTATTTCTGAGGGTGTCTGGCGTCCTCAATGATTGGGATAACGTTAGGTCTCTTCTTAGCCATGGAGATCAACTCTCTGCCGGGTCTGTGGGAGAACTCAACGGCGTAGACTAGACCTTCTGGGCCAACGACATCGGCAACGTGCGAGACAGAGGTACCGGAAGCAGCACCCAAGTACAGAACCTTCTTGCCTGGGGCGATGAAAAGCTCGTCTAGACCACCCATGATACCGGCAGCCAACTTGGATCTGAAGGGGTTCCACACACGGTACTCGACCTTGGTTGGGGGCACACCTTCTTCAGTGGAAGGCTCTTCAACAGATACTCTCTTTTCACCGTATACGGAGTCACCAGGAGCCACGTTCTTGGTCACCAACAAATCTTCTTTGCCTCTGGCAATGAAAACACCGGCGTGTTTGTGGGGCTCAATGACCACCTTGGCACCACCTCTGGCACCGCCACGGGCACCGCCACGGGCACCACCTCTTGGGCCACCACGGGCACCACCTCTTGGGCCACCACGGGCACCACCTCTTGAGCCACCACGGCCACCACCGAAACCGCCTCTGGCACCGCCACGGCCACCACCGAAACCACCTCTGGATCCACCTCTGGCACCACCACGGCCACCAAAGCCACCTCTAGAGCCTGAAAAACACATTTTGCTTGTTAGTACAATGTTGCCATGAAATGAATTGATGAAGCTTGAACAAGATTTAACGACAATTTCCCAGGATTTTTTTTTGATCCCATGATCCCAAACTCCCATCTCTACACACCACACTCACATCCGTCTCTTAGTTACACTTTCATAGTCCCTGTCGTCGTTCGTCCACCTTCTCGTCAAATCTCATCGCTTCGTTCAAATTCGAATTTTACACCTAACATACCACCACGGCCGCCTCTGCTTCCAGCTTGAAAAACCATTATTTAATCTCAACTATTCTCGGTTAGAAAATCGCAACTCGTAGCAGTTAACTGGACGCTATTTGTTTGTTCAGATCGATACAACTGGAAAGCTAAGTTAATGGTTGAAGATGTCTACATTTTTATGAGATGAGCATCTCTAAAAATTTTTCACTATTGAGAGAGGTAGGTGGTGAAAAAGTAAGCCGACGACACGAAGGGTAAAAGTGATGAGTGTGGCACTAAAAAGCGTGTTAATGAGCAGGTTAGTACGCGATAGTTGTGAAAGCTACGGAAGGACAGTTTGTTTGAGGTGTTAAGTGAGCTCTATGATGATTGGGATAATTGGGTGAGAAAAGATCTGGGATTTTGAGGAGTTTGGCGAACTAGGCACGAGTACGAGTACGAGTACAGGTAGCTCCATGAGTACAGGTCTGACTTCAGGAGTACGAGTACTTTCGCGAGTACCTAGTTGGCTACTTTGGAGAGATATGAGCTTATAGTCAAGAACTGTGAACAAAATAAGCAGCGCCTAACTACAGCACAGCTTCAAAGGTCGCAATTGTTCCAAAGTGCTATCCGTACATCATTTATTCCCATATATATACATCAGCATGATTACTTAGAGTACGAGACAGCTTTTGGCAAATAAGCTCCAGCCCTTGAATGTCTCTGAAAAGCTCAAAACTCTTCTCTCGAGCTGGCCCAAACGTGAAAAGTGTCACTAGAATCGATAATAAGCTGAGAATATTTTGTTATGCATATGAAAGTGTTTTAGGAAATGGTCCTTGAGAGATGCGAAAGATGTCTGGCGTTGAATCGTGTGTTTGATTTACTGACGCCGAGAAGTGCTTGGTGAGCCACGTGAGCCACTACTAGGTACCCTAAGCTACTCGTAAGCAGTTGCGAGGAAGGGTTGGTGTTGTTGGTATCTGATTAAGGTGTCAGAGTGGAGGCTATAACTCAAGTGGGACGATTGAGAATCGTCAGCGAATACGCAAGTTGGACTCAAGCACTTTTGATCGAATGATACTGCCAGCGATCAACTGTGATTAAGAGTAGATCCACGGTATTAAGAGCACCAACGATCAATCGTGATAAAATAGAAGGTATGGTCGCTGATGCCTCCAAGTGTGCATGAATAGTAAGGACCTGGTGTCAGCGTGGGTGAAAAGTGATGTGGCATGTGGGTCATGTGACGTACTGATCGCTGTCGTCGACGTTTCCGATGCGAAAAACGCGGACGAGCGAGGGTATAAGAGCTTTGTGGGATTTGAAAAGGTTTTGGTAAGATTTTGGCTCCACCCAGCACATTTTTAATGCAACAAAATAGCTCTCTTACCCATAATTAACATATAGATTATTACATTTTTAAAACCGTGGGAAAAGGTCGGGAAAAAGAGGCAACGAAGAAAACCTAAAGGCAATTGTCGATCCCACTACTACGCAGCCCTTAGTGGTCGCGTTTAAACACGCTGTGTCTCGGTTGTGATTTTTATATTCTAAATCCACTTCCGTTTCATCACCCCACACGAATCTCTTCTCATCACTACTAAAATCTAACCTCTATGTCTAATCCAGCTAGTAGTTCATTTACCACCGACACGACTTTCACAGCCAATTGACAGCTTTTGAACCACAATGAGCGTCACAGTCAAATCCAGGTCCAAATCTTTGAAAGATGTTGAGCTCCCAGCGGGAACCAAGTTTCTATCGTCCGCGTTGAAAGAAATCTCAACCAAAAACAAGAACATCAACACCAACCGGATCAGATTGACCATTCTTAAGGAAAACAAGCAGATTCCAATCACCTCTGACCATGCTTTTGAAGATCTTTCTGGTGCAGAGCTCTATGCAAAGGACATCGGACCTCAAATCGGATGGAGATTGGTCTTTTGCATGGAATACCTGGGCCCTATTATCATACACTCAATTGTGTACTATTTATCCGCCAGACCTGAACTTATGAAATACCATTGCAAATCCCGTCCCTACAACCCATTCATCAGCAAAGTGGCTTACATTTTGATTGTTGCTCATTACCTCAAGCGGGAATTGGAATCCCTGTTCTTGCATCAGTTCGCGCAGTCAACCATGCCACTTTTCAACTTGTTCAAAAACTCATTTCACTACTGGGTTTTGAACGGTGCTATCTCGTTGGGCTATTTCGGATATGGCTTCTTGCTCAAAGACTTCACCGTTTTCAGAATTTATTCAGCTTTCAAGTTGGATAATTTTGGACTCATACTGGCCTTCTTCATTAGCTCTGAATTTTGGAACTTCTACACTCATTACAAACTTCGCCGCTGGGGTGATGCTCAAAAAGCTAAAGGAATCACCCAGCGTGTACCTCTTGAAGATGGCCTTTTCAAGATTCTTGTCGCACCCAACTACACTTTTGAAGTCGCGGCCTGGACTGCTTTCACACTAATATTCAAGCTCAACATCTTCTCTGTTATTTTCTTGCTCGTGTCGACCGTTCAACTATACTTGTGGGCTGCCAAAAAGAACCAAAAGTACGGAACAAAGAGAGCCTTTTTGATCCCTTTCGTTTTCTAGTGCCATCCCCTCCTTTGTCGGAACTTTAAACTTTGTTTTAAGAATGCAAATGCGATAATTTATGTTTAGCTATGCTACAGAATGAGTTGTTTATCTCTCAGTTAGTTTTCAATTATGAGAACATCATCTTCGTCATCATTCTCTTCCGTGACGTCCGAGTCCACCAGTTCGTTGAAGAACGTAGAAGAAAGTAGCTCGTCAGCAGTACTTCTCTTGTGTGGATCAAGTGTCAAGCACTGATCCAAAACCTCTAAACACCAGTAATGGTCGCTCCAGACCTCATCGTGGTACTTCTTGAGTTCGTGATCCGCCATAAAGTCAGGGTCATGACGTCGTAGTGAGGGTGCAATGCTTCCGCCTGATGACTTGTTCACCAAGTATTCGTAGGTTTCGAATGCCACTGAGTAGCTGGGGAAAGTACCAGCTTCGACTTCTGCGTGTAGCAGCTCTTGAATGAAATCGGCCAGACCGCCCTTGTAGCCTTCTTCACTGATGCCGTCGAGTCCCTTGATATTGAACCCGAGTCCGTGCAAAAGGGCACATTTTCTCATCTTGCTGATGCCAAAAATGCAGCAGAGCTCCAGCAAGGAGTCCGTGTCGTCGAGACTTTGAAACATAGGAAAGCGTCTCCCCAAGAAGCTCAATAATATGACGCCAACGGACCAGATGTCAATTTTTGTGGTTTGGTTCGGGCACTTCATGAGCACCTCGGGTGCACGAAACCCTCGAGTACCGGCTCGATTGGCACGTTTGTTTCGACGTGTTTCGTACTTGGGATATCCTTTGGTTAAATCTACCAACGAGGGCGTCGCGTTGGGTGTGGCCCCAGGATACTTGTTCTTGGGGAATGCAGGCTGTCCCTGAGTTGAAGCTTGGTTCGAATCGCCGGCGTTGCAGGGACAGTAATGTTCTAAGGATCGCAAATCCTTGGTATTTCGCGTATCGCGGACGGCGTTGTTTTCCATCTCTGCGAGCCCGAAATCCACCAGGACACCGCGCCCTATTTGCGGGTTGTACAGAAAATTGGTCGGCTTAATATCGCGGTGTATGATGCCCTTTGAGTGTACGAAGCTCAGTGCTTGCAGCAGCTCTGACATGTATTTCTTTATGCCTTTTATCGGCAAATCGCGGTAGAAGTTGCGAAATTCTTCGTGCCGGTACCAGGGAAGCACGGCCACGACCTGGTCCTGGTGTCGCAGCGCGTCGCACAGCGGTGCGACGCGTGTGGACCCACACAGCATGTACAGAAGGTTGAGCTCGTTGTAGATCCTAGTTGGCGACGACGTCACGTAAATCCACTTCAGTGCCACGTACCGTTTTTCCTGTCGGCTGGAGTATTTCCAGAAGTGGCGCGAGAAGCTTTTAGCTACAGTCCCCGTTAAATCCTCTGCTTTAAACACCGAAGAGAACGTTCCCTCGCCGATCTTGTCCAGCAGTTTGTATCGCGCCTTCAGACTTGGTACTGTCTGCGACAGTTCCTGCATTTCTTCCACGACATCTGGAGGAACTTCGCCCATTTGTGAATTCCGTTCGCGTGGCGGTTGAGGCGCTTAGATGCCAGCTAGTGCGACAAAATGTGTTAGTCAAGATTTTGAAGCGATGCGATGTCCTGAGTATTTAAACTTGATCTATAAAAATATCAACTATATCATTAGAAACTTTAACTGACACTGACTCTCACGACAAAATACAGGCTTTAAAGCACATCTTTAGGCTTGATAATGAAGTGTGTAGCTCGTTTGATTTGTATAATAAGTTGGTATATAAATTGCGCGTTTGTAGCAAGTTCTCCGGTTACATTTGAGCTCCGAACGGGCCAGCAAGAGTGTATGTATGTTGAAGCGTCTAGTGGCACTGTCATCTCGTATTACTTCGCAGTTCAGCACAGTTTAGGGTCGAAAATGGAGCTGGACTATGAAATTTTCGGTCCTGATAGCGATGTGGAGCCCATGTTCAAGCGCCAGCGGGAATTGCAGGGCGAGTGGTCGTTTTTGGCGCACAAACAGGGCGAGTATGCATTTTGTTTCCAGGCTCCTGAAGCAGATCTCGTAGTGGACGTGCAAATCGTAGTGGATCTGCAGAAACCTGGTGAAGCAGCTGAGCGGAAAACCGTTCCCTCAAGCGAGTCTTTTGACCCGTTGCAAGATAATCTGGACCGCTCACTAGAGCTTATTGAGCGTCAGCTAGCTGTGTTCGAGGCAAACATGCGCAGATACAAAGCCCGGACTAACCGCAACGGGTTCACAGTGCTGTCTTTCGGATCGCGAGCCAGATTCTTGGCCGTGTGTGGAACGACGCTCACCGTGGTTGTTCTTGTTGCCCAGACGCATTGTTTGAAAAGCCGAATCAAGAGATTACTACGCCGTCGCAGGGGCACTTGGAGTGACGACGGAGCAAACGTCGGGGAGAGAATCTAATGGCTTTAAACTGTGCAAATCAAATATGAAAGTACATCTTAGCGTACTTGTGAAGGCATATCTAGTTTAACGTAATGCTACCAGCCAAGAAATCAAACAGTCCGCGGCTCTAAGAGTGTCACCCCAAATGGCACATTGCTATGGCCATCTTCATGTTCATAAGCGATCTTGCCTCTGACGTATGTCGTCAGTACCTGGCCTCTGAGCTCCTGTCCATCGTAAGCCGTCAATTTGTTCTTGAAAAAGACGGTGTCGTTGGATACAATCCGCTTGCGGTACTGATCTACTACCAGAAAATCAGCATCGTAACCTGGACGCAGAAAGCCCTTGCAATGTTGCAATCCTACTTGCTTAGCAGTGTTTTCGCAGCACCATTTTGAAATCTCGACAAGAGTTACTGGCGGAGACAATTTGGCCCCCTCTGTTATCATGATCGACAGGCCAAGGCCCACAGACGATATACCGCCCCATGCAGCAAAGAAATCGCCTCTGGCCAGGTTCTTAAGCTCGGGAGTGCAAGGCGAATGATCACTTACTACTGTCGTTATCACGCCTTCGCGCAGGGCTTTCCACAGTGCTTTCCGGTTGTCCTCAGACCGAATGGGTGGACAACATTTGTAATGAGTGGCTTTGGCTGGGATCGATTCCGCCGCAAATTTCAAATAGTGGAAACATGTCTCTGAGGAAATGGGAAGTTTCAGGACCTTTTGGGCATGACGCAGCATGGGGACGGCTTCTTGAGTTGCTAAATGAACAACATGCACGCTGGGGATGTTTTTGGAGGTTTTGGAAAATTTAGTCAAACAAGCAATGATTGTGCCAATAGCGGTAGTCTCGAAGACGTCGGGTCTAGATGCTAAAAATGGAGCGTACGCAGTGGGGTCGATCTTGTCCAAAAGGTGGTCTTTTCTGGCCACAGAGTCCAATGGATTTTTTGAAGAATGACTTTCGTAGACTTCTTGCGACGGTATGCCAACTGTGGGTTCCACAGATGCCAAGATTTTGGAGTCTGCAAGGGCATGCACTTGGGCGTGTGACAGATTCTGACCGCCGTTAGCGGTTTTCACATGATCCAAAAAAACGTCGTCCGTGGAATGATCTACCAGCCCATGGTTTTCGTCTGATGGGGTCTGCTCGGCGTGGAAGAGAAGTATGGTTTTCTCACCTTCCAGCTTTTTCAGAGCTCTGTTGATGTAGTTTTTCTCAATTGCAGGAAACTCGTCAACTCCAGAATCCATCATGAAGCCTTTGAAGCCACGCACGCCGCTTTGCACTAGAGGCACCAGTTCATCGAGATTGGAGGGCACCATGCCACCCCAGAATGCAACGTCGCACCACATCTGGCCCTCCGCTGCGGCCAATTTGATGTTGAGATTTTCCACCGTCGTCGTGGGCGGAATGGCGTTCAAGGGCATATCGACCACGGTGGTGACACCACCACCGACGGCAGCCCTTGTGCCGGTAGCGAAGCCCTCCCACTCGGTTCGACCGGGTTCGTTCAGATGCACGTGAGAGTCGACGATACCGGCCATGATCACGTGCGGTGACACGATCTCGTAGTTTTGTACGAGCAGCAGCTGCAGCCGTGAATCTTCCACGTTCGAAATGACCTCATTTTCGTATACAGTGATGATCTTGCCAGATTCCGATGAGAACACGATAGTCGCTGCCATGATTTGGCCGTCGATGACAACGCGATTGGATGCGATCGCATTTACTGGCATAATGCTGTGTGGTGTGGTGTGGTGTGGGATGTGTGCGGATCTGGATCAACAGTTTCCTCTGAACTTAGTCTCTAAACCGACTTTTTTTTGCAGAGCCCTGGGCACTACTTTTTCAGCTCGAGATTTTGCCTAGTATTGCAAGCAAAAGAAAACCAGACGGCTGAGTACTGAGAAGAAGCGAAAGAAGCGAAAGGATCGCGACACAATGGAGTAGGAAAAGGATCGGAAACTTCCTAAAACTTCTGACCAGATTCTCTTTCCCAGGATATACTGGCATTTTAATCCTTTCGTCTATGGTGATCTAAGCCCATATCTGGCTTATCGCTAGACTTATCTCTGATCTTCGGCTTTCCCCGATAAGACGACAGACAGGCAAAGAACGGCCATCAGGACGGAACTCACAAGGATGTGCCATGTTGATGTTGATGTTCTGTGGAGTTTTGATGGAACGTTGACGTCAATCGCGCAAACCTCTGGGGTTGTAACCTGTGTTGAAAAGAGGCACGTCGTGATACGCTGGGCAGAAAGATGGAATGCACAGCGACGACGAAAATGGTTTGGTAAAATAAGATCGGTAAGCTGGCGATGGTGTCGATGGTGTTGATGGCTCTTGTTTCTGCAATTAAACCCGTCTTTTAGTTCACTGTAGATAGAGAAAAATTGATAGTTTTGATAGACTCATGTAAGACTCACGACAGACTCACGACAGACTCTCGACAGTGATTGTCTCAGGATTCATACTCGCCCTCTGATTTCACAAAACTCAGCTCAACTTGCAGTATGTCAGTCCTTCCAACTCACGAAAACTGACTCAAAAAATCAATTTCCCCTTGCGACAGCTTTAGCATCAGTAAAGTTGCCGAATGGGTCATCAGAAATGCATACAGATCTTCTGCAAACCCAGCAACTTCCACGTCTTGAGACACTCCCTTCACGAACTTCTGCAAAGTTGACGAGGACATCGTTCTTCCGCTGTCGGTGTAATTCATGATTTTGACGAATCCGTAATAGGCTGCGGTTTTTTCTTCCGGGTCCGACAAACTCATGCTGTGTTCGCACCAACGCGCCCAGCTGGCGTCACAGGCAAAAATTCCTGTTGAGAAGACCTCTGGGTGGTATTTGGCCATACGGCCTATTGTGACCGCCAAGTTCTCAATGATTGAGCTGTGGATGACTCGCGTAGTGTCACAGAAGTTGTCCAAAACAATGCGGGATAGGTCGATCATGTATTCTGCTAAATCAATGCGCTCACTTATCAACCCCAAAGCCCAAACAGCATTATTCACAGACGGTGTTGCATCTGAGTCGTCGTTGTGTACAATCTCAGTGCTGATGTATTTCAAAAACATCACCAAGTGATCGCTTAGTATGGCCGGGTCGTAAGAATATGCAATGTCGCCTAAAAGTGCAAAAGCGCTTTGTCTGACTTCGTGCACTGGATCTTGCAAACACTGGCCCAAGACTTGCAGTGCAGCATGATCGCCCCCGGGGAACAGAAGCTCTTGGCTGCTGGGCCCCAAGCCCTGTATCAAACCATCGATCAGATCCAAAGAAGTTACAGTAAAGTCTTTTTCCGGAACAACAATCGAGGGATCGTTCTGAGAGCGCGTCTCGAGCTCAACGCAATGCACCAAGATTCTCCACGCACGGTCGTAGACCTCTGGCGCCATAGGTGCGAATTTCTCACCCAGGGATGCCGCAACATACGAAAGACATTCCAAGAGAGGCCACAGCTCTTTGTCGGTATCCGACAAAAATCCCCATTTTTCGATGAGATGGGGGAGTATACAGTTCATAGCAGTTTCATCAAACTCACATTTCTCTGCCAATCTCCCGACTGCATCGTACAATATAATGACGTTTTTCTTCTGGTACAACTGAAAGCATTGGTGAAACCTCACTAGTAACTCATTGTACAGCAATGTCTCCACTAGTTCTGCATCGCAGTTTTCGATGAACACTGCAACGCTACTTATGCTGGCCTCTTGTACCATTTTCTTTTTGTCTACGAGGGCAGTCATGAGTGATTCTATAACGGGCATCAAAAACTGTGTGTTATCTGCCAATATCCACGTTGAGAATCTGCTCAGAGTCCAGCAAGTTATGGTACGGACAGGAGCCCATTGATCGTTTAGCTTTTGCAGCAAAAACGGAATCAGGGCCGGAAGTTGGTCTGAGAAATATCTCATTCCGCCGTCTGCCATCGCACCAAGAGCCAGGATCGTGGCTTCCCGAACATACCAATGCTCTGCTGAAAGTCGCTCTCGCAGTAGTGGGAACCCAACAGACAATACGTCTCTAGGCAGAATACTCGTCAATATATCTAGTGTAGCGGCGCAGCACTTCCGCAAATTCCATTGGGTATCGAAATCACTTTCGTCATCATCTTCGTAATCGTCATCCGCCCCCGAAGCCTCTCTTTTCTTGCTAATTTTGGCCGTCACAGGTTTTATATCCTCGTCTCTATCTTCCAACTCGGCATCGTCCTCGTTAGAGGCTTCAAGCATGAGAATCTCATCTTCATCATGAATCATTTTTATCAAAAGAATTGGAACTATATCGTTCACAAAGGGCTTAACATTGTTCTCCGGAATGTAGGAATTGGATGCAAAGGCTAGTAAGAACTCACCGGCCTGTAGTGCCACGGTTTGGCTATTAGCCGAGTTGATTACATGCAGCACAAAACTCACTATACCGCTCAAGTGGTTTATCAGTTTATCAGGTCTAAACTCGAGGAATTCGGTTAAAGCAATGCAGATTTGAATAGTCACCACATCGCTCTGGTCGTTTTGTGCTAGTTGGAAAATGTTGGCAAGAAATTCATCAATCTTGACGATGAAGCTCTGGGTTTGTAAGGGAATGACTTGGTTCAGACATTTGATTGCCTCTGCTCTTACCACAGAACTGGAACTTGATATCGTAAAAGTCAAAAAGCTGTTCACCAACGTATCCATAGGCTTAACGGAACCCGACCACTCAAGTAAAAAAAACTGAGCGTTGTCTTCCATAATTTTTGACAGGGCCTTTGCACTTGCCTCCTGGCCATTTGACATCAATTCTAGCAATTGCGACAAGACTTCAACACCTGTTGAATCTTCACGATTTTTCCGGTAGTATGTGGAGAACAAGGTGGTAATGACAATACCGGTGATATTGGATATGAGCGACACGTCCGAAAGGAGGCCCTTGGTGATATTCACTTTAATGTAATTCAAATCATATCCTCTGGAGTCCTCCAAGAGCGAGTTCTTTAATATCATCCCCGCGGTCGCCCGATAATTCTGGATGTCTTGACGTGAGTATTGGGAATTTAGCAGTGAGTCCGTGTCTGCCTCAGTTAGCATATAGCACAAATAGTTCAAAAACTGCGACTGGATCTTGAACGATTGCAGCAACTCCATAGCATGGCTTCTCTGCTCTTGCATTGGGGACAATGAGTCTGCAATGACCGCAACAATTTGTAACAGAGAAGTATCATCTCTAACCCAGTCGGACATTATGAAAGCGTAATGTTTGCTGAACTAGCAATCGATGAATGCTTTGTTTCGTGTTGGATATCCTTGAGATGAGCAGAGTTGATGCAGTTTACCATTATAACAAATTTTAGAGAACATATATATTGATAAAGCGACAGTTTGGTCTGAAGTGATTTTCTTCAGAGACCAGGTACTAACAACTAATAGACTAACCTTGACGGACGAATGCCGGGGGACTCAGCCCTGTTTACCAGAACTGCCTAATTTACATAAGTTTATTTGATGTTGGATGCAGATGATGACTAGAAAGTGAGCTTTTTTTCCAGTTATTCATTTATGACGCTGTTCAGTCTCTCAAGTAGATCATCGATCTTCCCAAATAATGGGTTGTACAACTCGTGTACAATTGGGTGATGATTATGGTTGTGCTTGGCCTCGTTGAGCGAAAAAGTGCTATTAATAGTGGTTGTTGAAGTTCCCCGCCCTTCGTCTATGCAAGAATCGTCAGATGACGCCGAAATGCTCTCGCGATGCGAGATGTGTTGTGCTAGTGGGTACACCCCAGGTGGGCCTGGGGTTATGCAGGATGTAGTGCTGTGCTTCTCGTCTTTGTTGTTGTGATTTTCAGCATGGGGTTGAGCTTCTGACTCTTGAGAAACAGGTTCTTCAAGGATTTCAGGATGGTTTGAGTCTTTGCTTTCTTGTACATCGCCTGGTATGCACTTTACCGGCTCACTCTGTATCGCCCCTTCTTCCGGACCTTGGCTTTCTTCTTCATTCTCGTTTGATTTCACGAGCTGGGAGATGTCTTTAATAGCTCTAGAGGAGGGTATGCTCTCTGCAGTAACAGTGTCGACTTCAAAGATGCCGTTATTAATCTGTGGAGAATCGTTTGTCCATTCCGATGAAGAAGGCGAATACTCTCCTATTGTCGATATGGAATAGTTTGAGTTGGACTTAGGCATCTCCTTGTGCCCCGCAAAAGGTATGATGGGTGCTTGGAAAGTTTGGTGAAGGCCGTCATCGGCAGCTCTCAGAAGTTTGTGCTCTTTTTTTTCTCCCACAAAAGGAGACAAATGAGTATCCAGCTCTTGTGTCTCGAAGATGTGGGGCTTGGAGTCCGCTGTCTCCTCAGCTTTGCGGTCCACCCCCGTGTTCCTTACTTTTTTAACATGTAAAGGTAAAGTGGTGCCTGTGTTGAACGAAACATCACTTACTGCCTCACTGGCATCGTCATCATCATCGTCCACATGCAAAGCAGCTTCATATATATCACCCACCGTGTCAGTGCTCTTGTTGCGGTCAGACTCTTCTTTGTCCGTATCATCGAGTTCTTCTAGGTCAGCAAGGCTGCCCTCCCGTTCACTGTCTTGAAGAAATCTCTCTGCGTAGCTCACAACGTCGTTGAAGCTTACGGATTTATTACCCTTCGAATACGGCAGCTGGTGATCTGTACTATCCTCTGCCGACTGTTCTGTGGTCGTCTTGGTCTTGAGATCTGCGCTGTCCACTGATTGACTCGACATGTTTTCATTTTTCCAGCAGTTCAACCTAGCAAGCCGTTCTGGGAAAGTTTCTAGAATTTCTGCAGGTGCAAACCCGATTTTGCCGTCGTTACACCGTTTGACCAGCCACCAGTAGGAGTCCTGGTCGTTTAGAAGTATGCAATCCTGATCTTGATAAAGCTGGCAGTGAGACGGATCAGGACCCCGGAAAGGATATAATGCGTATAATTTGCTGGGGTCAATTTCCTCAGGTGGAGCTAACGCTTGAAACTCCTCCTCGATCTCGTCGTCTTCGCCGTCGCTGTTATTTGATTCAGAATACGGCTTTATGCTTGTGAACGAAGTCGTGAGGTCGTCTTCCTCGGACGAGCTGTCGCTGAAGTCTCTGTGGTGTACTTCGCTCTCCGAATCGTTGTCTTGGGTGAAAAAAGCCATGCCTGTTCCATGCTTAGCGCTGGATCTAAGATCTTCGAGTCTGTTTTCCATGTCCTCCTCAAACTCAGAGTCGCTATATTCGTAGTCAGTATCGTTGGACGGCTCTGCAAGTGCTGGCTCTTGAGTTGCTTCAGTCTCCTCCGTCTGGAGGGCAGGTGTAGAAACCACTGTAGGCTTCACAGGTTTTGTGTCTTTTTCGGGCCAGTTTTGCGAGCTTGCAGTGTTGATCACTACGCTACCGTTTACGCTCGTGTTCTCCTCGTCTAGCCGTAGTTTCTTTGGCATAGTCTTCAGAATATCACTGTAATCCTCCACTAGATTAGGATCACATAGTAAGTCCGTGTGTGCGTCTGATGGTGCAGAACTAGTTAGAGCATACTTGTCGTATGCCTTATCCAAAATGTTCTGCATAAAACAAGTGCCCACAGCTGGCTATAGGTGTGTTGGGCACTGAACGGTTTCAGAGTTGTGTTAAGTGGGACGAAGTTACTAGTATCAGTGTAGGAATTTTTGATGTTAATATGTACTCGAGTACAGGGCGTTAAAACCGTACAAACGTACCTGACAGAGACGACAGCGTTTGCGAAAAGAGCTTCTGGGGGAGTCCTTGTAGCGGCTGATATAGTTTAATGACTACCCTTGAGTCGATAAGGCGAGTGATTTCACAATTTCTTCCTGAATTACAATCCTAAAACTTTGAAAGGGTGGTGTGAAATTGTTAGTAATTTTTGCTCGGTTTCCCGTTGTTATTTCGGTGTTTTGAATCTCTGCCTAGAATCTTCAGAACATTTAACTCGGAAACATGTAAAGACTTCAGCCAGTTTCTGGATATTCAAAGCTTTTCATCATTGACGCTTCTTACGTGATTCGAACTACGGACTTTTTCCCTGACTCTGTTCAGTAATTAATCTGTTCGTTAATAATTAATTGAACAATCATTTCTGAAATATATGTAGAACTGACATCATTTCATATATAAAGCGGATAGTCTGATCTGATCTGATCTGTCGCATCAGTCTAGCACACCAGAGCTCTTCCGGGAAATTTTCTCAGTAATATATTTCACAATCCATCAGCGTCATCATGTCTTTGCGCGAAACCAATTTGGACGGCATCCTACCACTGGTAGCCAGAGGTAAGGTCAGAGACATTTACGAAGTTGACTCCAAAACTCTGCTTTTTGTCGCAACAGATCGTATTTCCGCATACGATGTCATCATGGAAAACACCGTGCCCGAAAAAGGTATCCTTCTCACCAAGTTGTCGGAATTCTGGTTCTCGTACTTGAAAACCGACATCCGCAACCATTTAGTCGAAATCCCCCAGGGAAAAACCGTTTTTGATCTTCTTCCTTCGGAGCTTTCGCAACCCAAGTACAAGGCTCAACTCGAGGACAGATCCATGCTCATCCAGAAATTCAAATTGATCCCATTGGAAGTGATCGTACGTGGATTCATCACTGGTTCCGCTTGGAAAGAGTACAAGCAATTCGGGACCGTGCATGGACAACCAGCTCCAGAGGGCCTTCAGGAGTGTCAAGAGTTTCCTACCCCTATTTTCACACCCTCGACCAAGGCTGAACAAGGAGAGCATGACGAGAATATTTCCGAAGCACAAGCAGCTGCTTTGGTTGGGCCAAAATTGTGCGACCGGGTCGCCAAGATTGCCATCCACCTTTACGCTAAGTGCAAGGATTACGCGAAAACTAAAGGTATCATAATAGCAGACACCAAGTTCGAGTTTGGTATTGACGAGTCAACTGATGAGATCATCTTGGTAGATGAAGTTCTTACCCCAGATTCCTCCCGTTTCTGGAGCGGCAGAGACTTCCAAGTAGGCAAGCAGCAAGACTCTTACGACAAGCAATTTTTGAGAAACTGGTTGACCAGTAACAGTCTGAATGGCGTGGAAGGCGTTAAAATGCCGGAAGAGATTGTTGTAAGCTCTAGGGCCAAGTATGTGGAGGCTTACGAAACTCTAACAGGGAACAAATTCGAGTGATTTCATAGACATTCATCATATTAATTTACACTTAAGGTCTCAAAGAAGTCCTCTTAATGATAAAACCCTCTTTTCTTATCTCATCTCATCAACCCTTTACCCGCCAGTGGTAATCTGGTCTATGGAGTTGGTTCTTACCTACCATAATATCTGGTACGCCGCTAACTTTCTTGCCATTCAAAATCTCCCTAACTCGCTGCTCAACAGCATGGTCGAATTCTTTGCGGTATTGATTTTTTATCACCGCCATTTCGGCTTCATATTCTCCAGCTTGTCGCTCTAAGATGTCACCTATATTCATGAGCTCCTTCTCATAATCTAGCAATGTGTCTTCGAATCTCTCTAGTTGCAGCGACTTGCGCGCAATTCGAAGTTGGATGTTTTGCAGCAGAGAATATGAAGATGCGCGCGACTGCAAATCTGGGTTGATACAAGAATCGATCACCTGTTGGAGCTCTTTAGAGTAGTACTCGGGTATTCGTTCAAAGCTTCCCGCTCTTATTCGCCTCTGCAGATCTGAATACGTTTTCGCCTGAAAGGGCGGACGTAAGGTACACATTTCGTATACCACACACCCCAAAGACCAGATGTCGCTCAGTGGTGAGTACGGCTGATCCATCAAGACTTCGGGTGACATATAGTATGGTGTACCAACATAGGTAGTTGCGAATTCTACGCTAGATCCGAGGGATTTGGCAAGGCCAAAGTCTCCAAGTTTTACAAACGCTTTGTTATAATCTAGCGTTTGCGAGGCTGTTGAGGGATCCGGGACCTTTTCTGTGCTTAAAAAGATGTTTCCGGGCTTCAAGTCTCTGTGAATGACAGCGTTGGACCCCTTTACGGGGGGTCTCACTTTATCGTAGATGGATTCTAAAGGAACTAGATCAGTTCCGTAGTGACAACGATATAAAGCAGTGAGAATTTGCACCATGATTCTCCACACCAACTTCTCAGGGATGTACTTGCGCTCCTTTTTGAAGTTGCTGATCATTTGAGAGAGGTCACCATTACTACAATACTCCATGTAGAAATATAGTACATTTTTGTCTGAGTCCCATTCGTAGAACTCCACAATGTTTTCATGCTTCAATTGGCTCAAAATAGCACATTCGGTAATTAGCTGTTGACGCTCTTTCGAGTTCATATGTCCATACTGAATTTCTTTGCGAACAAGAACTTTGTTCGAGGGTAAATGCACCACTTTTCGGACAGACCCGAACGAACCTCGTCCAATTTCCTCTAGTACCTGGTAATCATTGATTCGTGGACCACTCTGTTCCCGACTTTCTAATTTTCTATTATACATTCAATGCAAACTCGGTGCTTTCAGTCTTCATCAACTGGTATATCGGGCACATCTCTCAGCATCTTGTTTCTTGGAAAGCGATTCAGCCCGATGAGTTGAGCCAAATGACATGTTTTGGATTAGCCTGTTCAGGTATATCAAGAAACCGTATCACGTGATTGGAAGATGACACTAACACCCGCTCATGGAAAGCTTGGAACCGGCGCTGGTATCGAGAGCCCATTTCTTTCTAGCCGCTTGGTATCGTTAGAGTGTGTGGTATTTTTCAAAAGTTCGATATCGCGACAAAGTTGTTTTATAAGCACGGAGTCTCCGCCAACCTGATTTGGACGAAGATTATCTGGTCGCCAGTTTGAAAGTAAAAATTCGATGACATCAGAGAGCACTTGGCAATCTCCGACAACAAAATTTGTCTGCATAGCAGTGGATATTAGAAGGTTTGTAGGGATGTCTTTTCTCACTGACCTGGGGGCAAATTCTGTGTATCGTGTAAGTATCAGCTTTAGAAATTTCAGGAAATCGATTTGGATTATCAAACTGCTGCGATAGACGTCGAACAGGGCTTTCGTTTTTCTCATGAAGTGCGGATGCGAGACAATATCGAAGGCGAGAGACTTGCAGGGAGGCAGCGAACATAATCTCGAAAACTTAGTGATGTAGTTCCCAAATTTGGGCTCCTCCGAATAAAACGTTCGTAAAAGAGTGACGCGTGGAATAGTGACCGTTTCTGTGCGGCAATTGATAAGAATGTTTAGCGAATCTTCAGTGATTGCACAATTCTCGTGCATTGCGAAGAGAAAACAATGCATTAATATTTCGGTTCCGCCTGTAATGAAATCTGGAATGCCAAGAAATCCTAATGCAACATCAACTGCGGTAGGTAAGTAAGTCACGTTCACTTCTTGAGAAAGCTCGACACAGAGGTTTAATGCTATTGAAAGCATTGACTTCTTGTACCTCGTGCGAGAGTCCCCGACAAACCTTTGTATGAGATTTTGCGTTAGTTGCAGAAACCCGCCATGTTCAACAATCTCCCCAAGTACGACACGATCGAGATGACCTGCATTGAAGCAAAGTTCAATGAAGTTCTTTACCAGATGCTGATCTTCAGACGCATTTGGCGTGAACTTGAGTAACCAGTCGATAAAACCTTCTGGTAGTAATCGTCTTTCCGAGTAAGCACTTAGGTTCGCAAACCGGGGACTTGAAAAGGTCACTTGCGGCTCTAGTGTTGAAGACTCAGTTTCTGCGTAATCCGGGTCTATGCTTCCAACGCTTTTTCTCTCCAAGAAACTATTAAGACTTTTGAACACTGTATAAGTAAGTCTTTTGTTCAATGTCAGAGGCAGGGTCATTAGTCTAGCTATAAGACTCTCCTTCATCGGAAAATTGGCATCAGACAGGCTGAGCAACGTATCGTGAGCCAATCGATCGTCTGCCTCAAGCCCTTTGACGATAACGTCTTCTATGTTGGGCAATTTGCAGCACCACTGGCACCACGTTTCAAAATCTACAATCGCACCATAAGCCGCAACAACTGCAAGTACCAAATGAACGTTTGCGATGGATCCACAGTATGGAAGTATACCGCATTTAATCAACTCTTTGACGTCTTCAATGAAAAATTGACTTAACACGGCCTCTGCCAGCCCAATATTACTCAGTAACGCTGGAATACCTCCCAATGTGATGAACATATTCTTGCACTCGCCTCCCTTATATTGAGAATCATAGGTCATCATCTCTTCCACTGTCTTCAGCTGCCCCCGCTGGCACAAATCGATCAGGCAGGTGGCAATGCTATAAACGTCGCATTCGTTGAATATCAGGTACGGATTGAAATGCCCACCTGGTTGTCTCAAGCGATTGAGATTCTGTTGGGCGTCGGCCACATCATTTTCCTTGAAAGGAGAAACCTCAACCTCGATAAAATCGTGGCGCCAGTCTTCTGAGGATTCTTCGCCTTCTCTGAACCGCTCGAGCGAGGGTTTATGGGGCTCGGTTATCCAATCATACTTTAAGAGATCCTGGGCAGTAGGCCTTTGAAAGACAATCTTTTGGAAACATGCGCGCATGAACTTCCGGCACGTTGAGGACAGCGATTTGGGCGGCAGGTAGACATCGTGAACTATTGCGTAACATGCTGCCTCGTTGACGAGATTGTGGAATGGAGGATTACCAGTCAAGATCTCGACAACAGTGGCGCCAAGGGACCAGATATCGCTAACAGTCGTCGCACCCTGGCCCATCATAACTTCTGGCGCCATCCAATTTGGAGATCCGGCATATGTCATGGCCAAGCTATTGACCCTGGTGGAAACACCGAAATCAGCGAGTTTGACTACATTGTGGCCGTCCAGCAGCAGATTTGCAGCCTTGATGTCGCGGTGGATCACACCCTGCTCGTGCAGATATCGCAGTCCATGTAGAGTCTGTTTGATGTACGCTCTGCACTCATTTTCGTCCACAGGACCCCTCTTGATCAAGTCTCTGAGGGAACCTTGGCTGCAATATTCCAGCAAGATGAACAGCTGGTGCGATTTCTGGATGAATCCGTGGTACTTGACGATATTTTCGTGTTTAAGGTTCTTCAAAAGGTCGATTTCCAGCATATGCTCGTTCAATTCTTCTTCTTCGTCATACTCAATTACCTTGATAGCCACTTGTTTGCCGGTTTGTCTGTTGACGGCTCTGTAGACAATGCCATACGCCCCCTTCCCTACGACCTGTTTCAGGGCATAGTGATGAGTGTTTCCAGAAGACGATGAGTGTTTCTGAGCTGGCGTGAGGTTCACTCTAGTGGCCATATCTCACACGTATCCTGGTCGGCTTTTGGCCCGTGTCTGTTGCATGGGAAATCGTCCATTGATGATGATAGGTTAAACTTACGCGTGTTGACGTTTCGCATTGCAAAATTGTCGCTATGTACGTACAGCACTTTTTAGTAAAGCTTAAAGAAATAAGAAAATGATTCTGGGGGCGATAAACTATCGAATAACGCTGAGAGACTACTCTTTGGTGCTAAAGAATATGTCATGAACATCATTTGCCCCATGTTTATGTTCGAGATCTGTTCGAATTTCATTCAGAATTATAGTTAGCGGCTAATTTAATTAATTCAATCTGAGAATGTTGTCGTTTCTAACGGCATGCCCGTTCAGTGTATCAACGATCAGAGTCAATCCTTCCACCTTGTAGATAGGGAGTAGCAATGAGGTGGAAATATGGGTAATAGCACAATTAAGATTGGCAACCTGTTTGAAAAAGTGCTCACTCTTTGACTGATGTCTTTTAGTGCAGATTTGTATGGTTCAAAATCCTTTTGGACTGGGCCCTAGTCTCGGGCGACAGAGATCAAGTATTTTACTTCACAAGGATCAGGAATAGTTCGATATAGAGAATTTTTCAGTCCCTGTGTGCTATCGTGGCTGATGTATCAAGCTCTGTTTATTTTCGTGACGCTGAAATCAAATGTGTTTTTTTCCCGTCGTCGAGATATAATATATATATTATTCCACACACTGTTGATCGATTAAAGCCTAAGGCGAGTAAGGTAAGTACGCTACCTACCACGGCGCCGAAACGTGTACATAATTTGAATTTCAGCTGCTTTTTCAATCGGGCTTAGAGTTCACGAAGTTGCGACAATTAAAGAGGAATCTCGGACGCCCAATGGAGGTAATCCACCTTTTTTCAAATGTCTAAATCATGGATATAGGACAGCCCGAAACACGCTAGCAACAGTCCAAAAGGAAAACTGCTGTATAAAACTTTCTTGGAAAGCGGAGAATTTACAAGAAACCCGGATGCATCAATGACCATTGACTTGCCAAAAATGGAGAATTAATCCGACGAAGTCAGAAAGAAACACCCAATAACGCTAAAAATCTCTGGCGTTCAAAAGCCCCCAATCAATTGATAATGTTTCAATGACCAAACAAGCTCTATTACAAGAACCGGTAAGACCAGCTTTCAAAGTCTCTTCGCCAGTGTTCGCTGTCTCAACCGTTAACAGAGTCGTCGGCCGCGATCAATAATGGGTGACAGAATAAAGATATGATGAGTACTGTCATCAGTAATTACACCGATGACCGTGCTAAAGGGCTGAATGGAACCCGAAGCTGAAAGCCGGTGTGAAGATATAAGAGCATGTTGGTATCTTCTTGGAATTTCAATCCAAAAGGCTGAAGTTCAAGTTTAGCTACTGAGTGTCGAGGTATTATAGCTGCTCGATTTGACGCTCTTGGATATTGCTACACTTTTGACATCCCACACGTTTTAACAATCATGCCCGCGAATTCCACTCAGTTTAAAGGCCCTGCTGAGTCTCCAACACTTCCCAGACTTCCAGTTCCTGCCCTTGACGACAGTTTGAGGCGATATTTGGATCGCTTGGGCCCGCTACAGGACCCTGAAACCCATCTCCAAACGCGAGCTGCTGTCCTCGGTGATCAAAATGTGAGCTCCCTCTCGGAGCTACATCAAGAACTAATAGCGTACGACCAAGAGCTCCAGTCAGAAAATCCCAACTCTTCGTACATCGAACAGTTCTGGTACGATGCTTACTTGCAATTCGATGAATCCGTGGTCCTCAATGTGAACCCCTATTTTGAGCTTCGAGATGATCCTACGTTAGGCCATTTAAGCAGCTCGGGACCTTACGGTGAAATTTCAAGGCTAGTTCGCAGATCTGCAAATCTAATTTTATCGACGATCTCGTTTGTCAAGGAAATTCGGAGTAGGACCCTGAAGCCCGACTGCGTGCGAGGAAAAAGTTTATCAATGGATCAATACGAGGTGCTCTTTGGGTCAGCCCGTATTCCTCCCGATGCTGCTGGACATTCATGTCAACTCCGGACAAGTGTAAATTCCACGCACATCATCGTCATGTGTCATTTTAACTTTTACTGGTTTGACGTCTTAGACGCTCAACACAACGCACTCTTTACACCGCAGGAACTGGAGCGCGTCCTATATGCGATTGTCAAGGACACAGAGAGTTCAAATGAAGGGCCTGAGCCTAATTACCCATGGGGAGTTTTCACGACGGAAAATCGCTCAGTCTGGTCGAACATCAGGGACTATATGGTGCGAAACCCCGTTTCTGCCAATAAAAAGAATCTGCAAATCATCGACAGCGCCTTGTTTGTCCTGTGTCTTGACAATGTTCAGGTGGACAAGCCCGTAGATCTGGTACAAGAAATGTTGTGCGGTACATCCAATGTCGACCTGGACCAGTCACAGGGAAATTTGGAATTTGGTTTTGGATCTCCCACGGGAATCCAGCGCGGTACATGTCTCAATCGATGGTACGACAAATTGCAGCTAATAGTAACACGCAATGGGAAGGCAGGCATCAATTTTGAGCATACTGGTGTGGACGGATACACAGTGCTACGGTTGGCCACTCATATCTACACTGAATCCATATTACTATTTGCGCATAGCATCACAAGACGGCACTCGGATCTTCTTGCACTGCCCAGCAGCAATGAGGGTGCAAATTATGTCAGAGTTCCCCGCAGATTGGAATGGAAGGTGGATTCGTATCTACTTTCATCGCTTCATTTCGCAGAGACTCGACTTTCTGATTTGATATCCCAGTTTGAATTTGCAAGGCTAGACTTCAGCGGCTACGGATCTCACAAGATAAAGGCTTTGTTCAAAGTCTCGCCCGACGCGTTTGTGCAGATGGCTTTGCAGGCGGCCTTCCATGCGCTTTACGGCAAATTCGAAGTGACTTATGAGCCCGCTATGACCAAAGGATTTCAGAATGGACGGACTGAGGCAATTAGGACCGTTTCTGAGCAGTCTAAACGGTTCGTAGAGGCGCTAAACCGGGGCACGGCTTCTGAAGCGCAGTTGAAAACATATCTTAAGGGTGCCTGCGACAAACACTCTTCCGTCACGCGGGAGTGCGCAGCTGGAATGGGACAAGACCGGCACCTGTACGCACTGTACTGCATTTGGAAGGAGCGATTTCAGGATCGCATGCCCAAGCCTACGATTTTTGAAGATGGAGGGTGGAGTCTACTTAATACGAGCGTCATCAGCACATCTAATTGTGGAAACCCTAGCCTACAAGCGTTCGGTTTCGGGCCAGTTTGTGCCAATGGCTTTGGTATTGGCTACATTATACGAGACAAAACGATAACGGTTGTAGTGTCATCCAAGCACAGACAGACCGAGAGACTTGTTGGGCTACTCGGCCAGTTTTTTCGTGACATGGATGCCATTTACACAGGTTAAAGTGGAATGGTCAAAACGTAAAAAAAAGTATAAAAAAGACCCCAACTAAACCAATAACCACCGAATCGACCTGGGCGAGACCAATTCGACACTACTGAGCGTTCATATCCCACAAATAAATGCGACATTACTCTCGAGATTTATACTCTTGGCGGTGAGACATAATTTGATCACTTTACACGCAACACTGGTCAAAATGCATAGAAATCTCGCTCGTCTATGGTGATATTTTTCGAACTCATAAATACGAGCAATTTGGGGAGATGCTGTTCAAAGGATGCCCTTCAAAGTTGACAACTACAAGAAACTCTAAAAACATCACCAACTCCATTCCGCATCTTCTTCAACACATCCTTATTAATACCAGGAACATTCACTTAAGTAACTTCAAGTGAAAAAGCGGTTCAGTTATGGCGGATCATCCAGTTAGCAAACCATTGCTAAAGCTTAAGCTTCTGGAATCGCTGCGTGAGGGCGACTTTGCGTCACTGGACAGTCTGGTAAAGACTCATTTCTTTCCAAAAAATGACGTTAGCGTTAGAGAAGTTGCACAACTGATTCTGCACTATGCCGTCCAGGTTGCCCCTTTGCAACTGATCAAGGACATTTTGGCGCATTGGCTCACAGACGAGGAAATCAAGCTGGACATCAACCATGAGGACCCTGACGGTAACACAGCGCTTCATTTGGCCGCGTACCAGTCGCGTGGGGATGTGGTTAACCTGCTTCTGGACCAATCAAACATCAACGACTGCATCCTGAACAATTCCGGCCTACAGCCCATCGAGATGTGTAAGAACCTCAACATCGCGCAAATGATGCAGGTGAGGCGCTCTGAATATCTAGGCGAAGTGGCCCAGGAGTTCCGGAGAGCATTTGTAAACCGTGACTGTGAACATTTGGAAGCAATTCTAGCGAAACCCCGAAATTCTGAACTTTTGGACATCAATGGCACTGACCCGCAAACTGGGGATACTGTGCTGCACGAATTTGTGAGGAAAAGAGACGTGGTGATGTGTCAATGGATCTTGAGTCACGGAGGGGACCCTTTCAAAAGAGACCGCAGAGGGAAGCTTCCACTCGACTTGCTGGGCAAAGTTCCGCCAGCTAATGAATCCCCTAACTCTAGTCTGTCACCAGAACAACAGCTGAAGCGGATGCTCGAAAAAGCTGCTCGCGAGCAGAGCGTAATAGAGGTCGCTAACAGTCTGAACGAGCCGCCAACCTACAAGGGTTACCTGCGTAAATGGACGAATTTTGCCCAAGGGTATCGTTTGCGGTGGTTTATTCTGAGCCCCGATGGTACTTTGTCGTACTACAAGGACCAGGACGATACCAGAAATGCGTGTCGTGGGTCTCTTAACATGTCAACTTGCTATCTACATCTAGACTCTTCGGAAAAGCTCAAATTTGAGATTATCGGCGGGTTCAACGGCACAGTCAGATGGCATTTGAAGGGAAACCACCCCGTGGAAACCAATAGGTGGGTTTGGGCAGTTCAGGGCGCGATACGCTTTGCCAAAGACCGTGAAAGAACAATTAGAAATGGCGGCAATACTGTTACGAGTAGTTCTGCTCATCCTGAACCAAAGAATAAGTATGCAGGCCACCATCTAAATGCCCCCAGTAGCCACAGTTTACACTCCTCTGTGGGTCGCCGACAGCGAACCCACCAACCCCAACGTTCCATCAGCTCAATTTCGTCCATGTCGTCGGGGGACGCCGACTTGAACGATAATCTCACTAACAAAGGCAAGGAATATGTCACGAGGGTCAAGTCAGGGAGAACGTCGTTAGACGCATGTGTCAACTCTGAGGACAACAAATCAGTCAGCTCAAGATCCATCCGGGACAACGTGGAGAGTACAGAAGATGTCGAAAGTGAACAAGAATATTTGAAGGATGAGATCACCGAGGAATTTGAGGACGAAGACATGAAGTTTGAGTATGGTCCCCACCATCAAGAAGTGTCGATGATCCAGAGGTCGATAACTATTGAGCTAAGTTCACTTGCAGAACTACTCGAAAACAAAGCTCCGGATGCTGATGAGCTGAATATGATTAAAAAATCCTTGAAATCCTTGTCCTCCAACTTCGAATCTTACAGTACCATGTCGTCTGTTAGGGACAAGAAGCTCTTGAAGCTTCTTCAAAAGCAACGTGACGTTAATCAGCTGTGGATTAGGTCAGTGAAGGAGCTCGAACTGGAATTGATTGATAAATCAGAACGTTTGGCCTCGCTCGATATAGAAAGGAAAAATCTCAAGAAACTGCTGCAGAAGAAGTTGCTGGAGATCTCTGAAGGAGGGGTTCCCGCCAATGACGCAACAAACAAAGAACGAGATGTTCACGACGGCAATGTTGTCGGATCTGATAACAGTGGGCCTCTAGAGGAGATCGCGGAATTCATGAACTCGAACAAGGAAGTGGATGAAGATTCTGACATTGACGAATTTTTTGACGCCGAGGAGACTGAATCCTTTAAGGAGCAAATGCAAAGACCCGCTGACAAGATGCAGCACGATGACAGTGTTTCTGGTGTTCAGGAAAGACAGGATTACAATGCGAAAGGCTCAGAGGGACAGAGAGTGCCGGAAAAAGAAGCGACGAGTGCTAGCTTCGAAAACATTGTACAGCCAAGTGGGGACAGTAAGGTTTCCACCAATTTTGAACAGAATGTGACTCATTCTGGTCTGACTGACGGATCAGTTCAAAATACAGAACGTGCTGCCGAACCGTATGAAAAGGTTGAGAAACATGCTCCAAAGACCACCAATGCTTCATCTGCTCGTGGTGGCAATGAACCCTTGCACGGTACATACACAGAACCTCAAGAAAAGAAGAAAGACATTCTCAATACCGAGGGTTCTTACCTTGGTTACGAAGACGGTTTGAGAACAAAATTGGCCTTGAGTAAGGATGATCGCCCAAAAATTAGTTTGTGGTCAGTTCTGAAATCGATGATTGGAAAGGATATGACGCGCATGTCCCTCCCAGTCACGTTTAATGAACCCACTTCGCTGCTGCAAAGGGTAGCAGAAGATTTGGAATATTCAAGTCTTTTGACCGAGGGCGCCAGCTATGAGGACTCGACTTTGAGACTTCTTTACGTTGCTGTCTTTTCCATATCGTCCTATTCTTCGACCACAAAGAGAGTAGCAAAGCCTTTCAACCCTATCTTGGGCGAAACATACGAATACTCCAGACCCGACGAGCATTTCAGATTTTTCACGGAACAAGTTTCGCATCATCCGCCAATTTCTGCAACCTGGTCTGAATCTGCGAAATGGGACTTTTGGGGAGAATCTCGGGTAGATTCTAATTTCAATGGTAGATCATTTGAAGTTGAGCATTTGGGTTTATGGTATTTGAGAATGAGGCCAGATTCCGAACCTGAAGATGAGCTCTACACCTGGAAGAAACCCAACAATACTGTGGTTGGTATTCTAGTCGGTAATCCTCAAGTTGACAATCACGGGGATGTGGAAATCGTTAATCATAAGACTGGCGACCGCTGCATGATTCACTTCAAAGCTCGTGGTTGGAGATCTTCAAATGCGTACGAAGTCAAGGGTGAAGTGTACAACAAAGACGGTGGTAAGGAATGGATCTTCGGCGGCCATTGGAATGAATCTCTGTACGCGAAGAAGGTTTTGAAACCCAACTCTTCCGAAGAGATGCAACTGGACAAATCAAGAGCTTCATCGAGCTCGAAGACAGGGCCCAATCGTGACGGCACCAAGTTTTTGATTTGGCATGTCCATGACAGACCTGAACATCCATTCAATTTGACGCAGTTTGCCGTTTCCTTGAATGCGCCTCAGCCCAAGCTTCTGGATTGGATTCCTCCTACGGATACCCGTTTGAGACCTGATCAAAGAGCCATGGAAGAAGGACGGTATGATGCCGCGGCAAAGGAGAAGGATCGTGTAGAACAGAAACAAAGAGCTGCGAGAAAGAGATTGGAGAAAGCTAACAAAGAACACGTCCCCAAGTGGTTTGAAATGGTCCAGCACCCAATAACCAAAAAGAATTTTTGGCAATTCAAAGGGGAGTATTGGCGGATTAGAAAGGACAAAAAATTCAGTGACCTACCGGACATTTTTTGAATTTTATAATGACTTCTCGCCTCGAGGCGGTTTATATGCATAGCACAGCGTTATAGTCTAAGTATTATAAGCTCCTTCGATAATGCTGATGTTGGCAGGTGGCGTAATGGGGTAGTGGCACTACCCGAACTCGCCCTTTTCACACGGGGAACAGGATGTGGAACAAAATAAAAGTGTGGTGAAAATAAAAATGGTCTCTAGCGGGATCGAACCGCTGATCCCCGCGTTATTAGCACGGTGCCTTAACCAACTGGGCCAAGAGACCAATTAATGATTAAGATGAGAGCATTTAAATAATATACCGATTATTTAGAAGTCCGTGCAGATTCTTGGTTCCCCCGGTTTGTTAGCGTCTGTTGTTGTTTGTAACAACATTTCAGTACCTTTAATTCAAACAGTTCTCGCTGACCATAGCCATCTATTTAAACTATGTGGGAATTTTTTTCCCTTCTTAAGAGTTAATGATTCGAGAAGAAAAGGTGACATTCAACCCGGACGTTATCAAATGTAACAAGAGCGGCAGAAGCCAAACGTAACAGTATACTATTTAGGCGATAAATTTCCAGTACAATTTGCAACACATACACACACTGTGTCATTAGGCAACCGTTATCTTGAATAAGGGCTGTCAAGATCAATGGAAGTGGCTCGTAAACCATGTCTCGAAACCATCTCCGTATAAAGCGATCTAAACAACAATCGTTTAATGCAAAGAAGCGTCAACCGTCGGAAGCCAATCCGATATATCCTGTTGCCGCTAATCACGAGCAGAGTGCATTGATCCCCAAAACTTCGCTTTCCACACGCGTTTCCCGAGTTTTTAGCCTTCTCGAAACAAGAACCTGAAATATATTCCGAACGTTCAATTTTTTAAAACAAAAGCTCTACCATTTCTGGCATCCTTGTAAGCCTGTCGTCGTGCGCTGATGAGCTTGAAATACTCAATTTCTTGAGTTCTGGCAAACGTCGTTTAGGCTTTTTCGACGTATCGTTTAGCACTTTTTTCACGAAAGCGTGAAAAACGGATCTGGCGCCATTTAAAAAACACATATAAGATTAAACATATCCTTTCCTGTGGACAGACCTATAATTCATCGAAAGACCACCAACTCGAGTCTTGCGACGATAAACACATTGTTGAACTTGTACTACACTTTACGCTGGTAATTGACAAAAAATAGGGATCAAAAACTCGGTTTTAGCTTGTCTACACTACTACTACATAACTGATACACGTTTAGCTCCAATGACCGAACAAAACCAAATCAAGAAGCAGAAAACTAGCGACCAACCACCAAGACCTCAAAACATTGGTATTAAAGGTATCGAGGTGTACATCCCATCGCAATGCGTGAATCAGGCTGATTTGGAAAAATTCGATGGTGTCTCGCAGGGCAAGTACACCATCGGGTTGGGCCAGACCAACATGTCGTTTGTCAACGACAGAGAGGATATCTACTCGATGAGCTTGACAGTGCTGTCCAAGCTACTGAAAAACTACAACGTGGACCCCAACTCGATCGGCAGACTCGAGGTCGGCACCGAAACCTTACTCGACAAGTCCAAGTCCGTCAAGTCTGTATTAATGCAGCTATTCGGCGAAAACACTGACTTGGAGGGTATCGACACCGTCAATGCGTGCTACGGAGGTACCAACGCGCTTTTCAACAGTTTGTCGTGGATCGAGTCGTCTGCCTGGGACGGTCGCGACGCCATAGTGGTGTGCGGTGACATTGCCATTTACGACAAGGGTGCCGCGAGACCCACTGGAGGTGCCGGAACTGTGGCCCTTCTGATCGGTCCCGACGCTCCAATTGTGTTTGACTCCGTGAGAGGCACTCACATGGAGCACGCATACGACTTTTACAAGCCAGACTTCACCAGCGAGTATCCTTACGTAGACGGCCATTTCTCCTTGAGATGCTATGTCAGTGCACTTGACAAGAGCTACAAGTTCTACTCCAAAAAAGCTATTGCCAAGGGCCTTGTTCAGGAACCTGCTAATGCGGAGGCCGTGGGCGTCGCCAACTTCTTTGACTACAACGTTTTCCACGTCCCCACTTGCAAACTAGTCACCAAGTCCTACGCCAGATTACTCTATAACGACTTCAGAGGCAACCCTGCTCTATACCCAGAGGTTGATCCAGCTCTTGCAACGATGGACTACACTGCCAGTTTGACTGACAAGAACGTTGAAAAGACCTTTGTCGGTATCGCCAAGGCTTTGCACAACGAAAGAGTCGCACCTTCCTTGAATGTTCCAACCAACACCGGTAACATGTATACCGGGTCCGTTTACGCCGCTCTAGCCTCGTTGCTCTTCTTTGTCGGCTCCGATGCCCTACAAAACAAGCGTGTGGGTCTATACTCCTACGGGTCTGGTCTTGCCTCGTCCATCTTTTCCTGTCGTGTCGTTGGCGACGTCAAATACATGACCGACGTGCTGAACCTTGACAAGAAACTGCAATCGAGAATCACGGAAACTCCCGAGAGCTTCGAGAAGGCCATCAAGTTGAGAGAAGATGCTCACTTGCAAAAAGATTTCGAACCTAAGGGCTCTATTGAAAATTTGCAATCTGGCGTGTTCTACTTAACTAAAGTTGACGACAAATTCAGAAGAGAGTACGCTGTGACCCCATGAACGGGCATCAGAATAAATTGGTGAGTCAAAGTTTCCAAAGACGTAGTGGCACATCACTGTCTCGCCAACCAAACTTTATTCCCATTTCTAAGACTACGAGAGCGCCCTTCAATTAGTCGGTTCTATCTCACCCATACTGAAACTCTGCTACCTCCTTTCCTCGCTATTGCCCACTCCAGCTCCTGTGTCTCGCATGCCGGTCACATACTACAACATTCCGTGCAAGCGCGGCGCACACTTTGTGACTTCATTATTTACGCATAGAAGAATTTTACAAAGCTGCTACAACTACTTACTCCCGTCTAGTACAGTTTTCAGCATTGTCGGTTAAGCTTGCTGAAGTTTCCTGACGTTGTTGTGAATTCTATGGTCGGTTAGTTGGCTATGAAATGCTTAGTTATGCTGTTAGCCAGTGTGCTCATCAGCCTGATCCAATGAGAGGGCCGCCGTATCAACTGCTATAAATATTCGTGTATCGCGACAAATATCGGAAAATTCAGAATATCAGAATATGACTGAACTTGACATCTATACAACTACGCATTAGTCTCGACTCTGCCTCTCGAGCAAGCTTTGCAGCATATCCAGCGAATTTCAAACTTCATTTTAAAAGCTCGGTGAGGTCGTCAGAATCGCACGACTTTCCCAATTTTTCCGAGTTTTTTTTTGGTGAAGTTTCGGCGATTACTATCCCAATTTGGATGGTGGTAAGTGCTAGCACATCTTAGAACAAGCTAAAATGGTGTTCAAGTCATTCAAGTGCAAACTGTACTCCAAAAGCTACCACTCGTCGGCTCAGAAGCAATCGACAGCTTTTTTCGAGAGCTCATATCAGTATTTGCGGCGGAATCAGGGTCTGGTGAGCCAGGATAGTTGCATACCTTCCCCAGATAATGTGGCAATCGCACCAAACCCCGTGGTGGTAGCTAACGTGAACTATAACAATGTTGAGCTAGCCCTGGATCCCGACGCTTGCGAAGGAACACATTCACCGCTACACATTAGCCAGGATGGCGTTATAATAGAGCAAAGACAGAGACGTGGCAGTGGATCGCGCAGATCTAGCTTAGGAACTGCAACTGTCTCTGCCACGGTTCCCGTGGGCCAGTCTCTCGATCGCTATCGTTCTCGCCAACATAGTGAATCTTACGCCCGCTATCCGATTCAAAAGTCGATGGAAATCAATGGAAGACTGTCAAAGAGCTATTTTTCAACCAGCACCGCGGAACGCTCAGGTACGAAAATCCCAGACAATTTATCTTCTATATCTTCCAATCCAGTAGAACCACATATTCTCCCGGCGGAAGATGCCAAACATTCAGACATGCCGGTGGCATTTAGTGAAAGAAACGCTATAGAATCCATCCCTCCTAAGGATACCCGTTTCGATCCAACTATACCCACCTGGGAACCAGACACGGAAGAGTGTCTCAATCCGAAAACCTTTTTAGATACCCAAACCAACCAGATCAGGAAGTCTTTCGCGAAAGGGGACTACGACATTATAAATGCCTGCTTCCAGTCTCTATTGAGAAACGATATTGTTCCGCCATTGGATGTGTACGCCCTGGTGATGAAGTCGGTCTGCAACAGAGATCTAGACAACGACAACGTGGACAACCGTATGTTCCAGCTGTTAAGTTGCTACCAGAGCCTCATAAACAATAAGATGAAGCCTACTGAGGAAATTTACGACGTGGTAATAGGCAGTCTCCTAAAAGGCTCCATCGCAGCTCATGAACAAGGAAACACGAATGGTCTTGATTTTTACAAGATCGCGGTAGATCTTTTCCAGGCTTCTAATACCAACAACTCCCATCAGTTTTCCAAGGAGCTTCTGGACTTCTCCCTTCTGGCTATGAACCTATACCCTGGGTACGTCAAGCTTGATTACGTCCAGGGTGTTTTACAGAAATCCAAGCTTTATTACAAAGATTCATTTTACTATGTGGCACTGACATCCTACGCCAAAAGTATCAACGACAATGCTGCCGTAAAAAGCCTGTACGAAGAGTTCAGAAATGCGTCTGTCTCCGATTCTCATCTACAAAGACATCAATATGAAATCTACAGCTCTGTTTTGTCGGGTTTGGTCGAGACAGGCGACATGGCGTTGGCGATCAAATTGCTGGACAATGTCTTGACCGACGCGAAGGAAAGGGTGGGACTAGCATCCAATGTTTCTCTCGTGCTTTCGCAATTCCTGGTGTCGGTCAGCAAGCTGGATTGTCAGAAGGCTTACAATCTATGGTATGAGTTCAAAAAGCTTCGATGGGTCCCTGAGTTTTCCTATAACTTCTACCTGAGCCTCCTTTCTAACAGTTTGGGGAATTGGCGATTATCGAAAAAGATCTATGATTATATCTTCCCCATGACGCGTGAGAAGCAAACGCAGCCAAGCAGTTTGAGTGGTCACCTTTTAAGTTCATATGCTACGGAAACGACGCTAAGTTCGTTCTTGGACTATGCTCTTCAATTGAAGGACACTGAAGTGGTCATGAAATTATTAGAGGAGTCGGTGGTCAAGAAGTTTGGATTCGAACCCGCTGTCTATCCCTTCATATTCGGATTTCTAAGGGATATCCATTGCCCTGAAGATTATCTGATACGATTTATCAACTGTCATGGTGACTTTATGAGCAGAAGCAAGGCCAAGTTCGAGTTCTTGAACGGATTGATTGACGCATATCAGTCTCAGGTCATTTTGAGTAAGGTAGCCAACACTCAATTCTTTTTGAGTTGCTGCAAGAGTTTTCACGCACCAGACAGCGACATCAACTACAGTGGCTTGATCGCATGCTTCCAAAGCTTGTGGGGCTGTCCACAAACTATTGAGAAATACAGTTATAACGTCAAATTGCATGGGATAATGATTTGCAAACTCTACGACCCAGAGGGCTATTATGCTGTGATGGAAAACGAGTTCTTGCTGCAGTTTAAGGATCGCTTGACGGCTAGGTTCGAGAAATTAATGACGAATTATCAAAGACTTGGACTCGATCCTAATGAAATAACAGGAACGTCAGTTCAGGCAGCCAGGATGATCAACATGCCAGAAGAAGTAGTGGAGTTTTTTGCTCATCCAGGTGATTGGGACAAATCTTATCCACTGTGTCTGGGGTCGATGATCCGTAACTCTTTCGTCACAGGATCCAAAGCGTATGAGAGATTGCGCAGAGAAGGATTTTGCTTTGACTACGACACGTACAAGCAGTTGGTATCGCAAAGGGTAAACGATGCGGAAACAGTCACCAAGTGCTTGGAACTCTGCCCTGATGAAGAGGAAAAGAAGTACATGAGCAATTGTTTGGTTGTGAAAACGCCAAGTAAAGAACTCGAAAAAAAAGTTTTAGAGCATCCTTCATTCCAGGAAAAAATCCTGCCATATCTCAAAGACGATTCTTATCTTCGCCTCGCGAAGAATGTCGGTAATATTCAAACTTTCATGGAAAGAGTTCATTTTCCACAGAACTTCCGAGCTATTACAGAACAAGCTGAACATAAGGCTTCCATCGGTTATGTTTACGAACAACTATATCGAAACAAACAATACTCCTACATTGTTGAACTCAACAGCTTATGCCCTGTTCTGGATATTGGTCTCTTGCTGAGGGCGTGTATCCGTTCCGGCAATTTTTCGCAATACAATACGTTGTGGGCAAAGTATAATGACCGTCTTGGAAATGAAAGCTGCGATATACAGGCCGAGTTTTTGCTAAACAACAGAGAGGTAAATGAAGCCATCAAAGTGTTGAGAAATTCAATTGCTAAAACCGATCACAAGTCGAATGATTTGCTGTCCTTCGCCCTCTTCCTCAAATCTTTCTCGACACGCGTGATACATCTGGAAAAAGTAGAGAATTCTTTGCAGTTTGCTAATGTGCTATCTGCTCAAGACACCTTTGCGGGCATGGTTGCACTTTACCAAGCTCTCATGAACGAGACAAACAGCAACTTCGACATAACAGTTCAGCAGGCTGTAACATTAGAAATCACGGAGCAGATGTTGAACAATCTTGAGGATTCCTTGCAATTTATCGACTTGAACAATGATCAGATAAAAAGGACAGCAATCCAAAAGCTTTCCAATTACTTCAGGTTCAGGGCGTTTCTCAAACTACCAGAAGTTGCAGAAGATGACATATACAAAGTTGTCAACATTTATTCGAAGATTCAGCCTTCTGGCATTGACGCGCTGTTCAACAATATTGTTGAGACCATTTATCTCAATCCCAACACCAGGTGCCTGTACCTACTAAACAATATGAAATTCAACTTCGACCCACAACAATTGTTCAAACTCATAACGTTCTTCGAGAAATTCTACGCAAGTGAACTTAATGAAGAAGATGCAGAAAAGGCTAAAGGGTTTGGACTTGTTTTGCATAAACTTTACAGATTGAAGGACTGAAACACGCGCATCAACCGCATGGCCTGCGAAACGTATTCTCTACGGAGCACAGGTCCTCAAATCCAGCACACGAGTTCCCTAGCGAACTTCAAAGGTGGATTCACCACGATAATGATACATCCCATTTTTTACATATCAAGCATTTATCTAAAATTTATGAACTAATGACCCCCAACGTCCTATGATTAAGAAAATGCTCTTTTATCTGAGTCAAGTCGGGATTTGGTGCAATCTCAGACGGTCGTAATGTTGTCCATGTATTCTGCCAAAGCTGAGTTCAGAGGTGGAACGTCCGCTAATACGTGCAGCACAATCGGCCTGACTTTTTTACAGAAGCTAAAACCAGCTCCTTCATTATCATTAGATATCAAGCACAAAAAGGTCGCGCTTGCTTTTGAAACATCCGATAAATTCGAAGGAAACTTGATTGCTGGCAAAGTAGTTTGCGAGGCCTCACTAGCTGTGCCGTCTTCATCTTCGACTGTAGAGACAACCCGGTTCCCCGAAGCACTAGCGGCCGCGTCCCCAGCAGGGATTGACACAGAAAATCTCCTGGGTTGGATGCCTTTGATAACAAATCTTTTTTTACCAGTGGCCTCATCCGTGATGACCATCGCGGACGCGTGCTCGAATGTGTTAGAAACATTTTTAATAAACTCAACGGCTGGCAGCAGCTTTCGTCCTGAGTCTCTAACGGCTTGTGAAAATTCTGATTCATACCCCCTCCAAAGACTAATTTGAGTTACTTCTGCTTCCTGAATGGGTTCGAAACAGCACCGCAACCATGCCGTTGATCTCATAGGTTCATTGAGCTCGAGAATCTGGCTGAACAAGACTTTATCCAGTTTGGGTGGTTCTGTCGGAGCTGGTGGTTTTACTCTAGCTTTTAGTTTCACTTCAGCCTTGTTGAAACGCTCATAGTCTGGCAACACTATGCCATACGTCAGCAATTTCGGTAATACCGCAGATAAAACTGCAAATCTCTGTTCGCTTTGTAGTAGTGTTGTAATTCTTTCGTTACCTGGCAAAACATATTGGTAAAGAAAATCCAAGGAAGCCATGACTAATTCGCTGTCGTTGTCCACCAGTAGATACGACACAATTTGGTCCAAGGTATTGTCATGTAGATTATCGGCAGCACTTTCCTCATCTGCTTTTGATCTGACCAACAACCTGGATAATGAGCGCAAAATGGAAATTACCATGTAGCGGTCTTTGGTATCTCTAAAGATCGATACCATATTTTGGAAATAAGGATCGTCTTTTCTGGCGGGTGCGATGTACGAAGAGATTGCTTCCATGAGGTCAATAACGTAGTGAATAAGCTCGTTGAAAAATTGAGAGTTTGGCGAGTACAACAACAAGGTTGCATCCTTGATACTATTTGCCATTCGTAAGACCGCGAGGATGAAATCTTTGATCACAGCATCCAGGGCCAGAACCTGAGTGGATTCAGCGTCCTGAGCCAGGTTTCTGAGGATCAAAACTGTACTGAGGCACTGCTGAAATACAGGGATATCTCTTTCCCGATTCAAGGGCATATCTAGTTTCTGCAGCAGTGGTCTTGTTTCTGATAGGATCCTAGTGAAAAGCGGGAGAAGGTACCGGTTTTCCTTCAAATTGATCATATACGGAGCTTTGTTACTGTAGGACAGATATTTTCTCAGAGCCCAGTTGACCTCGCTGGGAATCCCACTCATCATTGCCATTTTTATTCGTGTCAAATCGTCCACACCTTGAATAGAAGACCTGGGAAGATGCTGAAATATGTTCAGGCTTGTTAATGTGTATTGCAAGGCGCTGAGTCCGGTCTTCGTGGTTAAACCGCTGGATTGTTCGCGTGAGACGTAGATTGGTTCTGGAACCACTGCAGACAATGCATTGGTGGTTTGGCCCAAATCCAGCGGGTCCTTAGCTAAAAGAGACTCGCTAGGAAGTGTAATTGATGGCGAATTCTGCTTGAACGTTCTATCAGTCATGGACGCATGCACTGGGGCCTGAAGTTGGGATCAATTCGAAGATGTTGTGAGTGTTGTGTGAGTAGAGTGCCGTTGATTATAGGCTTAAGTTTTAGAGCGTTACGTACATAGTGACTTACTGCCAATTTAATGAATATGAGCGGTAACACCAGTTCACAATGGACGAAGAAGCGCCTACTATGGGATATAGCTATAGCTGTCTTACATTGATGATGGGATGCGGCTTTTCGTCCAGGAAAACGGTTTTTTTCAGGCGTTCTTTTCAAGCAAGTATAGAATGAACACATCAGCGACTCATTAGTACAGAGTGATAGCAGTGCTGTCGTTTGATCTAAAATATCGAGAAATACGTGTTCGCACGGTACCATCGGGCTGCGAGCCGAGTCTGACCAGGAAACTGAGTCTGAAATGTCGAGGCCCCAGATGATTATTTTTCCAGTCGAACATGTGTGTTGTGAAGCTGAATGGCATGGTTGTGTTGTAAGACGGCCAAGTCAATGCTCGTGTTGGGTTCAGTGGCGCGTGATAGAATCTGCTTGCCGTCTTCAGAATTGAGGGAAATGCTAGGATGATTAAGTGCTAGGATGATTAAGTACTGATCTCACTCGTGTGAGTACACTCACTGCGAAAAGTGCTAGTCTGGCGAAGTATCGTTCAAAGTGCCAGCTTGGACTTGTAAACCTTTAAAATTGTGTTTAAAGCACAGAGTAGTCGAGTTTGGCATTGTTTCGTTGTTTGATGGTTTGATTGTTTGATTGTTTCCTATTGTGTGTGTTGTGTATTACGCTTTGCCTCATCGTACTTGGTAGCTACGAGAAGATTTGTACTCGTACTCGAAACTTCTACCCGTACTCATAACCGTACTCGTACTCGCGTCCGCCGCTCCTCGAATTATTGCTCCATCCTTACAACATAATTGCCCTTCATCACCAACCACTCGTTTTGACCATAGCAAGACTTTAAAGGGTCTCAAAACTCCCCTCATCATTGCCACAATTATGGAGATCTAAAAAAAGGGGCCCACAGCGTAGCAAAAACTGGGTATTTCTAAGTGCGTTGGGGTGTATAAAAGGGGCTACGAAAACAGCAGTGGGACGCAGGTAACGGTGTTCTGGATATGACACATTGAGGATCGACTGGTCAGCGTTAAACACACGGCAAAGCCAGAGAAGAGAAGAGAAGAGAAAAGAAGAACGAGAAACCTACGAACTACACGTTTAGGTTCGTTGTCTCACTCGATCCTAGCTGTTAAAACGAGTATTTTATTTTTGACACAACACGCATCATGAGAATAAGAAGCGTTCCCGCTGCTGCCGCAGCACTGATGCTCGTCTCCGTGGCCGTGGCCGACGTGGCCGGGCTCTACGACAAGTGGACCCCCGACGATCTACAACAGTATTTGCAGGACCAGAAACAGACGCTGCAAAAGGCAGGCAAGGAAAATACGGATGTGCTTCGCAAGCACGCCGCAGCCGTGTGGCAGAAACAGAGTCAGCCCACTCCGTGGTGGAAGTTCTGGGCCTCGCGCAACCGGGTCGCCGATTTTGCCCAGGATCAGGACCCCATCTCAGAATGGTTCTTCGACACGTGGTCTGCCAAAGACCTGCGTAAGCTGCTCTCCAAGAGCAAAGTCAAATTCAACTCGGATCTCTCGCGCGACGCGCTAGTCGCCAAGGCCAAGGAGAGCTTCGACCAGATCTCTTCCAAGAACAACCTGTCCGGCTTCTATCCTTCGCAACAGTACTTTTCGTCATGGGACGAATACGATCTCAAGGCGTGGCTAGACGAGTATCACGTGCCCTACGACAAGACCAAGGCCAAGAAGGACGAACTACTGGCCAAGGTGCGCGAGAACATCTACTCGGCTTCTCGCTTTGCAAACGACGAGCGTCTCAGTCTCTTGGAGCAACTGGACCTCGCCAACGAGCAATTTGTGGACAAGGCTGGCAAAGTCAAGGACCAGGTTTTCAACTCGTGGTCTTCGCGCGAGATTGAAGACTGGTTGCGCGTTCACAAGGTCAAGATCGAGGACCAAGCGGCCCACGATCGCAAGTACTTGCTGAACGTGGCCAAGAAGAACAAAAACTATTTGCAAGACGATGCCCTTTGGTACCTAGAGGCTGCTAAAAAGAAAGCCTCGCCATTTTTGGCCAAGTCCGAGGAAGCCGTGGCCTCCGTTTGGAGTCAGACTGCCGACAAATGGCAAGGCTTCAAAGACTACTTTACGCAAAGCGACAACATTGTGAACCACACTTTTTTGCTAGGCGTTGAAACGTGGCCCAAGAAGCGGTTGCGGGCCTTTTTGGATGCACGCGGAGTTTCTTATTCTTGGTTCAGCACACGTTCTGACCTGTTGGACTTGGTCAAACAATACCGCAACCGTCCTCTCAAGAACCTGGCTACTATGCCCGCTGTAACGGAATTTTTCGACGGCTGGTCTCTTGAGAACCTAAGGGAATGGGTTAAGGACAGAAACGACGATGTTACTTCCAGCGATGTTTACAAAGCTGCCAGCAGTAAAGTCAGCGACATTTTGACCGAGACTCAGCGTCAAGGCCAGAAAGCGTTGTCGTTTGCTCAGAAGAAGGGTGGTGACGCCGCAGACTACGCACAAGCTAAAGGCTTTGAGGCCGCCCAGGCCGCTGCAGACTACGCCAAGGACGCAGGTTCTGGTGCCGCCTCTTTTGCTAAGGAAAAAGGTTCTGACGCTACTTCGTACGCCAAGGATAAGGGTTCAGATGCTGCTGCCTACGCTAAGGACAAGGGTGGGGATGCAAGCTCTTACGCCAAGGACAAGAGTAATGATGCTGCCGACTACCTCAAGGAAAAGGGCTCCGAGGCCGTTGAAATGGTACAGCAGAAAACTGCAGACATGGCTCATGCTGCTCAGGACAAGGGTGCTGAAGCCTACGATGCCGCCGGCGACAAAGTCGACGAGTGGACATCTTTGTTCACCTCTTGGTCCACAGAGGATTTGAGAAATTACGCCAAATCTTTTGGTATCAAGACTGCTCCAACGACACCTAGGGAAAAACTTGTTGAACAAGTCAAGGAAAACACTCGTTGGTTCTTTGGGTACTACCAAGACCCCATGTACAAGAGAGTGCCCAAGAAGATCAGCCAGATGATGTCCAATAGCTACCAGTACGTCTTCCATCACTGATTCCAAATACTCTCAGAACAAGTTACTCAACGTTGTTGAGTGAAGAAACGGAGAGCTCAAAGAAATCAAGACTCGGCTCACTCTTATCACCCACATTGGCACTGAAATTAAGGCCAGTCATGAAGGAATTAAAATTTATGAATGAATGCATTTACGAAGGAGTGAGTATCGTAAGGATGACAGCGGTTTTTCTCGTAACTGTTGTCTGTTATGCCTTACAATGCAAACTATTTAATGGAACAAATCCTAGTGTTTTATATAGCTCTCATGTATCAAATGTAGTTAAAATATTGCTATACGCCTGATTATCGACTGACTGACTGACTATCTTGGTTATTATGATATTATAACTTGACAAGCTGAAATTATATCTTATATATTTTACTGTAGTATCTGAAATTCATTCCATCTCCAAAAACCATTCTTGAACGGACCAAGACATCATCTAAGAACCCATATAATGTCTAAATACGCTTGGTACACTAGAGTAACTGATGCTGCACATCGTTTGACTGTCTTGACGCTAGTCGGAGGCACCATCTACATGGCCGGAGGACTAGTTTACACTATGCACAAGACCGGTACCAAATACGAGCAACAGGTTACTCAGAAGGCTGCGGAAGCGGAGGCAGAGAAAATTCAGTGAATAAAATGAATAACATGCCGTCTTTGGCTTCTTTGATGAAGGGGATGCCAACTCCCCATTTGGCTTGTATATAGTGGATCTAAGTAGCAATCAAGATATATTTTTAATAACGGATTGAAAAGAGGAGAACAGTGCAGTGTAACATAGCTTCCTTGCCTATTTTACCTTTCTTGGCGTTTGGAGGCTTTGTCAGGATCGCCTTGTACCTTCGACTTGCGCTTCTTTATTTTTACAGGCATCCCGCTATGAGTTAGGCCACTTCGTTCGAGTTTATTCATGCGATCCTCCAGCTCGACTAGTTCGGTCGTGCTGGGATTTAGTGTTATGATATCTGGTCGGGTGTACTTAGCACTACAAACAGGGCAATCGCCCTGTTGAAGCATGCGTCGAGGCAGAACATGGCCGCATTCTGCCAGATATGCCAATTTCCCGGAGCTTCTGCCCCAGATTTCATCGCCCAAATCACATCTCAGCAACACCCCACTGTCACTGGAGTCTACTTCAACGATATTGCTCAGCTCTACCACGTCTTTGAGGCTCTTGATGTGACCAAAAAGGCGAACCTGATCCTCAGTGTAGTCTTCCTTGTGCGGTGTCAGCAGCCATTCCAGAACCGACTCTTTGTTTAAAAGATTGCCACGATAATCACTAACCACCGGTAACTGTAATCGTGAGCTACTAAGCCTACAAACTGACCATTTTGACACGGAATCGAAATCTCCAGACTGTGAGTGGCGACGGTTATCACCACGCGGTTTTGTAGCTGTCAGTAGCGTTTTGACCCTCGCAATCGAGCTACCATCATTCTGATCAAGTTGTTAGTGTCGACAGAAAGAGGATACAGTCATAGAACTAGTATATTTAAACACTTACTCCCATTCTTGTTTTGCTTGTCTTCAGTAGTAGTATATTTTCCAAGGTATATATAATTGATTCATGCGATGAGCTAACTCTTTAACGATCATCGCTCTCTGATAAACACGAAATTGCGATATCTTCGATCAACGAGACTGTGGAAATGTCAAGCTACGAGGACAGAGATAAATGGTATGATACTACGACCCTATTAGCGCTCTTAAAACCCTTTCATTTCGGTATATTAACAGACTTCAAATTTTAGCCATTTCTACTACAAAATAGGTGCCTGCCGCCATGGCGATCGCTGTTCGAAAAAGCACATCCGCCCTACGAGTTCTGCTACGGTTCTGGTCCCCAATATGTACTGGAAGCCCAGCTCTGACGACTCTCAGACGTTACAGGCCGATTTCGATGCTTTCTTTGAAGACGTCTACATGGAGGCAGCTCGTTTTGGCGAGCTGCAAACGATGGTTGTGTGCGAAAACAAAAACGATCATCTGAACGGAAACGTGTATCTAAAGTTTTCGCACCCCAAGGAAGCACACGCTGCCAAGGACAGCTTCAATACAAGGTGGTACAACGAGCGGCCGTTGTACTGCGAGTTTTCGCACGTTACCGACTTCCGTGAAGCCGTTTGTCGAAAACACGACGTGCAGTCGTGTGAAAGAGGTGACGAGTGTAATTTTATGCACGTCCAGCGGCCCAGCCAGCAACTACTCCACGAACTTGAACAAGCCCAATTCTGCCAAAAAAAGCAGCCCAAATCGTGAAACAAAAAAGAGGTGAAGCGTTATCAGACACGGGTATACCATAGACTGTGTATTGAGGTACAATGACGATCAGTGTTACAGCAGCATACTTGTTTTTACGCCCAAATCACCGAAATCGCCAATTTCGCTCAAATTTACTCAAAATTGGTCGGAATTGAACCGCAAAAGTCCTGAAAACCTCCTGATGGTCCATCAAGTTAACACTCCGTCCAATCTAGCTCTACTCATCCCCGAAAACACTCTGTCCCACACTATAAACTGCTTTCTGACAGATCAATCCAAAGCCCATCGCCAACTCCCAAATCACATGGTACGAATATTCAATTTTCACTATTTTCCCATATATTCAAATCTCAACTCGGTGGCAAACCCTTTTGACACTTTCCAACCATACCACCAGCAAGTTTTAGTGGCCAATTGACCTTGAATATTGCTAGGCGAGCTCCATTAAACGTCAAAAAATGGCTGACAGATACTCCTTTTCGCTGACCACTTTTTCGCCAAGGTATGTTGAGATTTGAGTCGATTTGAGGGCGCCATTGGAATTATCAAGACTAGATTTCATACGTGTGATCTGAACGCTGAAACTGTCATCTGGTGTTTGTTTCGGGTTGTTTCAACGTACATTTTACTAACTTCATTTTTTAGCGGCAAATTGGGTCAAATAGACTACGCTTTCACAGCCGTAAAGCAAGGTGTCACTTCTTTAGGAATAAGGGCCACTAATGGTGTGATTATCGCCACTGAAAAAAAGGCAGCATCCTCCCTGGCATTGTCAGATTCCTTGTCAAAGATAGCACAGATTACCCCAGACATTGGTGCAGCTTACTCCGGAATGGGCCCAGATTTTAGGGTGCTCATCGACAAGTCACGGAAGGTGGCACACACTAACTACCACCGTATCTACAACGAATACCCTCCAACCAAGATTCTGGTGTCAGAGGTAGCAAAAATTATGCAGGAAGCCACTCAGTCTGGTGGTGTTAGACCGTTTGGCGTATCACTTCTGGTCGCAGGTCATGATGAACACAATGGATACACACTCTATCAGGTAGATCCCTCGGGCTCTTATTTCCCTTGGAAAGCCACAGCCATTGGTAAAGGCTCCACTGCAGCCAAGACGTTTTTGGAGAAAAGATGGAATGACGAACTCGAGCTGGAAGACGCAATTCATATAGCGCTTCTAACACTCAAGGAATCAGTAGAGGGAGAGTTCAATGGTGATTCGATCGAAATTGCAGTCGTTGGCGAAGAGAACCAACAATTGCTTGGTTTCACAGGAGATGACTCGGTAAAAGGTCCTCGGTTCCGCAAGCTGTCAGCGCAGGAAATCAATGATAGGTTAGAAGCTCTATAGTAGTAGATTAAGAAAAAAAGTAAAATACAAGTGAACTAAAACTATATGATGGTCAAAATGGCGAGTTATAAGTCTTATTTAAGACATTTCCTCATGCAAGAAAAGTGTGGTTCCCTGTATATGGACAACGTAAGATCTTTTTATTTGAATGGTGCTTTCAATGGATCAATGACTGTTCCACGTTTCGTCATGATTCTTGGCTTAATCATGCGTTGATGAGAGGTCCGCGAAGTCCATTCTTGACCCAAAGGCATTCGCAGAGATCTCTCATATTGTTCTCGACTTTCAAATGGAAAAGGAACAGCCGAGGATTGATACTTCAAGTTTTTCTTGTTCACCTTTTCATTGATTATCACATTTTTCAAATTTTTATCCTTACGTTTGTCCTTTTCAACAGTACCTTTGGTGGTCTTGAATTTGCGCTTCTTCGTGGGCGCAGCTCCAGCACCAGCCCAGTCGCCCCAGCCGGGAAGCGTGACGTCTTCTACCTTGTCATCTTCATCGATAGCAACTCTCTTCTTCTCCTGCTGAAACTTGTCCTCAACATCGTCACCAGCGAAAGCCTCTGCTATGACTTCTTGCTGTTTAAACATGAAACCATCTATGTCCTCTTCTTGCTGGGAGTATGGGTCAACAAGATCCATCTTATTTGTGCTGTCAACATCCAAAAGTTGCTCTTCAGTTCCTGAACCTTTTTTAGAGGCTTGCGCGCTACGCTTAGCTTGATTTTTGGCTATCTTGTTCGCGCTCTTGGCCAACTTTGAGCTGTGTTCGTCTATAACGTTAATCTTATTAGACTTCTTGGTAGAACTCTCATCCCCGCTCCCGACCAACCAGGGATTGAGCTCCTCATTCTCTTCATATTTGTTCGTTTTTGTCTTGGGGCTTTTACCGCTCTTCGCACCATTCTTTTTGTTAGATTTCTTAGTCATCTGGTTGACTAGAGACCTTGAGTCGTCATCTTTGAGGTCCTGTTCAGCAGCTTTTTCAGCCTCATCAGCTTCCAATTTGCTGTCTTCTGTCCCAGGAGCGTAGATTCTTCTCCCCGCGTTAATGGTAACGTTAGCACCACGGACTTCTTCATTGTCGAGACTTGTTCCGTCGTTGCCAGATTCCAAGTCTCTGAGTTGAGCAATGGACTCTTTGTTGGCCTCCGCACGCCTTGCCTCTGCGTTTTTCATGAACGCCATATTCATGACGCCAGTCTTTCCAAGATTATCACGCAACTTAGACTCTTCCGAGGCATTCCTCGAATTCTCAGAGTTCTCGATGTCACTGAGCCCGCTGTCGCTTTCGCTACCAGATTCATGGCCTGCTATCTTGGACCGCAGACGCTCGCCCTGTCTCAGCATTTCCTCCATTTCTTCCCTTGTTTGTTTGTCTTTTGTCATGCCATGCTTAACCATATCCTTAGCCCACTTGGAGGTGGTTTTGTGCTTCAAACTCATTCTTTCGCGAGCCCTTGCAGCGTCGCGATCGTTATCACTTTCTTCCTCTGATTCTTCTATCAGTTCTTTGTTCTTAAGCAATTCCTTCTTCTTAATACGACGATAAGCTTTGGACTTGATTTTCTTAATTCTCTTTGCCTTTCTTTCCTCGCGGAACATCAGCTCGCGCATAAGTCTTACCTCGGCTGTTCTTTTCTTCATCTCCTCGGGCGACATTTTGGCTGTGGCAATCTCTTCAAAGGTAGATTCCTTTACGGGGTCGGCCAACTTACTGGTTTCCAATAGAGAGTCCACCTTTTGCTCAAGTTCTGTGCCAACAGCTCTCTCCGAGGGAGTGAACATGGTTCCATCATTGTGTTGCGTTTGTGGATTCAATGGAAAAGATAGATGCTCCGCTTGTCTGTTCTGCTGCACGACGTCTCTCCACTTATTGACTTCATCCTTGGATATTTCATACGCAGCCTTACGATCGTGTCTTTGCTGAATACGCTGAGGTAGAGGAACGTTTAGAGCTTGAGTCTTGCCCTTTACGAGTCCGGCTTTCTCGATCGCTTCTTTATCATCGATTGCATTTACCATATCAGCAAGATTGAGTTTCTTACGGTCATTGGCAAACGAGGGCAGGGCGAATTCGTTTTCTTCGCCTATTGCTGCGTTATTCAACCGACGGTACTGGTTTTTCTCGGTGTCTTTACGCAAGTTGGCGGTGATAGTGTTGAGCTCCACATTGTCCTCGCCCTCTGATATCTCATCAAACGGATCTTCGGACTTGTTTTCGTCCTCTTCATCGTCCTCACTGTCGTCTTCATCTTCACTGGAGTCCTCTTCTTCCTCATCTTCTTCTTCCTCTTCCTGATCGTCGTCAACAAGATTGAGCGAGTCCTGGACCGAATTAGTTTTGTCGTCCAAATCCCAGACTGCCGATAGAGGCATGAGATCATCTTCGTCTATCGATGTGTAACCACCTTCTTCGTCTTCCTCGTCGTCTGAAGGCAAGTCACCATTTTTGGCGGTTTTCTTACGGTCTCTGATGGTTTGAGAAAATTTCGAGTTCATAACGTCAAACTCGTCTTCTGAGCCCAGGGCTTCATCCGAGTCAATTTCTTCGTCTTCGAACTTGTCCTCAGTGCTATCGTCCCCGGCATCAGAGCTCCTTCTATGAGGATTAATAACGGTTCCGTTACGACGCAGATCACGCGAGAACCCGCTTTCTTCGTCGCTGGAGCCATTTAATTCCCGCTGGGCAATTTCTAAAGCATTTTGAACCCTTTTCTTCGAAGGTTTGGTCTTAGATTTACGGACCATACTCCTAATACCTTCCTGTTCTTGTCTTCCTTCAAGTTTTGGTTCATCGCATCTCATCGCATCGCATCACCTACTCTTTAAGAGCCTAAAATTTTCAGAGCTTGAGAAAAATGAACATCACTGTCCACGATACTATTAGGCTATTCTCCAGTTCAAAAGGCCTCGAACGCGTACGCTGGCCATTATCCAATTAGCTCACGGTGATGCCAGCGATGTGCGTCGAGTGATTTTATCCTCGCTTGTTTTGTCTACTGACTGGTTTGTGCTGAGGCACTTTTTTGTTGTTCGTGAAGTTTGATCGCCGCTTGGCGGATATGTCCCTCGACGGCCATAGACGACTGGCTTTTCTCCTTGATGATGTTCTGGATCTGCACGGATTCCTGGTTGAGCTTCGAGATCTTCTTGTCGTAGAACTCGAGGGCCTCAGTAGCCGATTTTTCCACATAGTAGCCGGTCCCAACGTCAACCATGAATTTCTCCGCGTCTTTGACGTAGCCCTTGACGTAGAGAGATCCAGACAATGGCACTAGAAGTTCCTGCTTCCCGCTTTCCAGCTTCTGTGCAGCTTCAATGTCCTCTTTGCATTCTTTGAACTTGTTTCTGGCCACGTTCAGCGCTTGCAGCGATTGCGAGAAATGTTGCAGTTCCTGGTCAAACTGTTGTTTGACCATGGTTAGCTGCTCTGGGTTCAATTTGGTCAAATCAACTTGAGCCAAAAGTTAGTATTTGTTGATAGAAAAAGAAATCTCATTCGCGTCACTCAATTCGTACTTTTCTGTGCAGACATTGTGCTTGTTTTTCGATAGTTTCTGGAGCTTTGACCATTACTAGAGTTGTATGTGGATCAAATATCTTTATTAATTATTCGAGATGGCTTCGAGAATGGTCACGTGAAGGGACTTTTCAAGAGCTTTCCACAGTAACATCGCTAGTTTTAACGACTCATTGGACTCTCTATTGGCACTAGGGCTGCTTGAATTGGAGCTAAAGAGCCAAAGCGCAAAGATTGTGGTTGATAATGGCCCACTAAAGGACGAGATGACTTAATAGTACAAAGTGATCTGTAAATTCTTAAGCACTCTGATGGTGAAAAACCTCGCTGAACACCAGATACTTTCCAGCTGCAATGCTAGACGAGATATTACTTTTCTACTGGAAGATATTGTGTGCCAGTTGCCGCCATCGACCGCAACTGAGTCGAAGTATTTGGGATGATCATCGTGGGTTTCAACTGACTCAAATCACAGCCAATTAAGTCTCATTCGAGAAACCCTCACTGCTACTTGAAAACGAGATGGCGATACAGGCACCACCAATGCCATGGGCTTCAGCGTTGCCACGAGGGGGGGAGCGATTCTCTCTTCGTCATTGTCCATATTAATCACATTACACGAATATGCTTTTAACATAGGCCATTCTGGGTAGTAACATCTCAGGTCAAGCTTTAAGTAGTTAAAAGCTCGTCATTTCTCCGGTTTTCACCACGTAAACTCTCGATGCGAGATCGCTTATCATTGTGGTAATAATGAGCAGCAATCCTGCCTCGTTTCAGAGCATTCTCGCCGGAGTTCAGAAGCTCCGTGAGGCACACAATGCCAATGACGGAAATTCAACTGATCCTGAGCCCGCTTTAGAGCCCAGACAACCAAAGTCTCCCCCAAAACCTGCCCGTAATGGAAGTCGGGAACAACCGGTAGTCAACTCTTTTAATCAGCAAAAAAATGGCGAAGATGCTATGCATCAAATGTCCCAGGTGGAGGAGCGTAAACGCAAGTGGGCTAAGGTATCTCCCAGTCCCACCAGTGTGGCGACCGGCCAGGGAAAAAATGTACTTGTTAGTGTGTCGCAGAGAGGAAATCCACTTCTGAGCAGTATGACTAACACCAGCTGGCGCTATGTATCACCATCCGGCGGGAACAAAATATACTATGACTATTGCGTCCAGGGTCGAAACATAGTGTTTTTGTCCTTGAAATATCACAAACTACATCCCGAGTACATCTCCAAGAAAATTCAGCCATTGGTCAAGCTCAAAAACAACGTGCTGATATGTGTTGTCGATGTAGACAATTCGGAAAACATCTTAAAGGACTTGAACAAAGCATGCATGTTTAACGGATTTGCGCTTCTGCTAGCATTCAGTTTCGAACAGGCTGCAAAATACATTGTCTTCATGAACAAATAGTGCTGATTGCGAGAAAACACTTTAGGGTTTTGGTCATCAACTGTCTTTGACAAGATCTGTGCCGTGCTTGTTCCCATTTTTTGTCATCTTGGCACTTTTTGCACCGAACTGGATGGCCCGCTTCGGCTCTGTGCCTATGTCTATCAATAGAAGCTTGTTCTGCGCCAGCCTTCTCAAGATCATTTTATTTATCTTGTAATTGAGCGGCAGTTTCGTTGAAAACTCAACGACAGTCTCGTCCAGAAAGGGATAGCGCACCTCCACGCCATTTGATGCTAGCACTTTGTCATCACGACTCAAATTCCGGTCATGAATATTATTGATTTGCCTCTCGAGTTCTGTGACGAGCTCATCTTTGGATTTATTCGCCAGCTTGTGGTAACCGCCGTACAACTCGTCTGCACCCAGACCGCTAAAAAGAACAATGCCTTTTCTGTTGTAGCGCGTTCTGGTTTCCTTTTCATCATCTGTCAAAAAAGCTTCGCCTCTCGCGGCGAAGTAAAAGGCGGCCGCAATAGACAGGTCCATTTCTGTCTGCTTGGGATATATTAAGTTCAATATCTGAGTTTTGTACTTCAGGTAGTCTTCATAGCCGACGTCGACTTCAAGAAATCTAATGTCAACTTCAGGATAGAGTGCTTGTAAAGTCTTGTAGGATGTTTGACCTAATAATCGGTCGGGGACGTCTTCCGGCATGAGTCCTGTCCTAGGGTTCTCAAAACCAACGTTAAGGAGCTCAACCTTGGCATAACTACCAGAATTTGTGATATGCTGGCACACCAGGGCAGCGATTACGGAGCAGTCAAGCCCTCCAGAAAACAGAATGGCGATTGGGCTGTTTTCAGTGTGAAGCGGATGGATAGTCTCCAGTCTGCATTTCACGGCATCACTGAGACATATCATAAGATTCTCCGTATGTGTTTCGACTTCAAGTAGTTCCGGGTCTTCTTTGCTTGACACGACAAAGTCCGCTGGTTTAATCTTGCACTCCGCGCTAAGCGTATTCGTTGCTGTGTCGTACACGTAGATCACGCCAGCCACGCAGTTTTCGAAGCCCTCGGTTTTTCCAGTGACACTAGAGACGGTAAGCTCTTGGGCCTCTTCACCCAAACGAAAGCTCAAGCTCCGTTTGCCAATCGAGTCTCTGCCAAAAAATACCTGCTTCGTGAGTCTGTCGTAAACAGTGTATGCAAATTCTCCCGAAAGAAGCCTTATAACGCGAGGAACATCACTATACTGGGTCAATTGGTCCACGATCCATTGGGTATCGTTATGCAAAATCGAAGAATTATAGCATTCCCCATTGTATTGAAGAACAAACCTATCTTGGATGTCTATGCTTTGTTTCGTCAACGGATCTCTCAGAGACAGAATCGATGAGAACCACAGCATTTTATCCTGTTCAGAAACTCTCAATGATGCATAATTGGGTCCTCTTTGAACAACTAGAGGTATCACACTCTTCAAGTCGCCGAGCTGGTCTGTGCAATTTGTATAATGCATATTCGAAAGCTGGTCTTCGTCAAACTCTGCAAAATAATCCTTAGGACTTGCATTGTCGCCATTGTAGTGCATAAAGATACCACACATACTAGCTTCTATGATCTTGAGTTCCTTATGGAGATGCGAACATTACCATATTTTATGGATGTATATTGATAGCGATGAGCTTAGGATTATTGACAATTTAACATTCTCAATGCCACCTTTTAAAAGTGAAGTTAGAGACTGAATTGACCATGAAGGGACCTGAAGGAGATGCACTAGATTCTTTTACAGTATCACAAATAAGTGATGAGAACAAAATGCGTTCGAACAGCGGGTTTCCTGTTCAAAATGATGAAGAAGAGCTTATCTACGATTTCCAGGCGTTTGTTACGCAGCTGAGAGACCCACGAGCTGATCCAGTCCTAAGGTACACCCGGTCTTTTCTTAACAACTTCACCACCAAGAGAGATATGTGGACGTGTGAAGAACAGCAAAAACTCGTGGATGACTTCAAGGTGTTTGTATATGACAAACTAACACTGTATGAGCCGTTCAAGTCCCTTGACAGTGCCAAGCTCAAAAATGCGCAAGAAGGTATTGAAAAACTGATTATGGGGAAACTCTACAACCAATGCTTTTCGCCCTGTGTCGAGCAACGATTCCAGGGCAAAATCGACCCTAGCCATCACCAAGACCTGAAACGAGATGAGAAATTGAGGTTAAGAAGAGAAGAGTACGCATTTATCGACCCAGGACTTCTGGAAATTCCAAACTCGCTTACGCACCGGCTGCATAAGTTCACACGGCTCTCTGGAAAAGAATTGTCTCGTATCAACGAGTACAAGGCTCCCCGTGACAAGATGGTGTGCGTCTTGAACGCCTGTCGCGTGCTGTTCGGGTTTTTGAAGCATTCGGGACTGGAAAACGGCGGGGCCGATGCGTTTATCCCGGTTCTCGTGTACACGGTGCTGAAAAGCGACGTGCGGTCGCTGATTTCGAATTTGAACTATATCGAGCGATTTCGGTATTCGGAGTTTCTTCATGGCGAAAGTGCATACTACCTGAGTAGCACACAGGGAGCAGCCGACTTTGTAGCAAATCTGGGGCGCGAATCTCTCCACATAACCGATGAAGCTGCATTTCAAGCACAATATGCCAAACACCAGGAATACGTGAAAAATGAAAGGGCTGGGGCAAGCGGCAATGCCGATGCATCTGCTGCCAAGACAAACACTGTAGCTACCTCTACCCCCGCACCTGCTTCTACGCCCGCGCCTTCCGAGTATATCCGTCGGCCACTCGACGAGGCCACTTCCGCTATCTTGTCCAAGGTATCAGAGCTGTTTGCTTCAACTACACAGGCCTCAGAGGCCCCTGATGAACAGTCAGACTCTAAGACCCAGCTGCCACAGCCCGACGAAGATGCTGACACTACAGCTCTCGCACAAGAGCTACAGGAACAAGAAAATCATCGCGTCTTGGAGGAACTGCATGTCATGTTTCCAGACATGGACCAAGAACTCATCCAGGATGTTTGTGAGGCCAAGAAATATCGTATAGGTGTGTGCGTCGACGTCCTACTGACGCTGTCTTCCTAATAATCTTATGAGTACGATCGCCCGTTGAGTACTCGTCTCAGCCCTAGTACACATTTCGGTCATGTGGATCTTTTTCCCGTCGCTATTTGAATTTTTCAGACCATAAACGTCTTTCCCGTTGCTTACGAAGAACATCGAATTTCCAAGATCAAGACAGGCTGTTCATCAAAAAACGTTGAGATTAAACGAATCGAGCTATAAAAGCGAAGGATCTTGAAAGCAAAGGCATTGTACACCATCATTGTTTAAACTAAGTTTCGTGACTTACTAGTGAACCTGGAACCTGATGAAATTGGCTACTTGGACAGCTGCTGGGCTCGGTCTATGTCCACTTATGGCGCGGGCTGAGATCGAGCAACCTGAGTTGGAAGAAACCACGAATTTCTGTAAAATGAATAAAGACTCGCTGGTAGGAGCCAGCTGCGATGTTACTTTCAAGGAAATCAACGATATCAACCATAAAATACGGCCAGATTTACTATCGCTGGTGCACAGCGATTTTTTCAAATACTTCAAACTCAACCTTTACAAGCAGTGTCCGTTCTGGAACGACAATAATGGGTATTGCGTGAACCGTGCTTGTGCCGTTGACGTTATCGAAGACTGGGACCAGCTGCCAGAATACTGGCAACCGGAGGTCTTGGGTGGCTTTGCCAACGAGAGTGTGAGCGCAGATAAAGTCCGCGACGACGAATGCTCGTTTTTGGATCAACTGTGCGACAACTCATTAAACCAGATGAGACAACGTGGTCCAGACATCGAGTACTGCGACGTCGAAGACTTCCACAACGACCAGTCGGTTCTGGTGGATCTCACTGTCAACCCTGAGCGTTTCACGGGCTACGGTGGCGAGCAGTCATCGCAGATCTGGTCGAGCGTCTACCGCGAGAACTGTTTTTCGATCAACGAAACAGGCCAGTGTCTGGCCAAGGACGCTTTTTACCGATTAGTGTCCGGTCTGCATGCTTCCATTGGAACTCATCTTTCAAACGACCACTTGAATACCGAGACCGCCAAATGGGGCCCTAACTTGGAGCTTTTCATGCTCCGCGTCGGTAATTTCCCCGACAGAGTTGCAAACATCTACTTCAACTATGCCGTGGTAGCCAAGGCGCTGTGGAAAATCCAGCCATACCTTTCTCATCTCGAATTTTGCAATGCATACCACGAAGACGTCAAATCCATGATTACTAGTGTGGTTTCAAATCTAGACTCTAAGATCTTTAACGAAAATCTTCTCTTTCATGACGACATCAGCTCCAAGTTAAAAGACGACTTTAGATCAAGATTTAAGAATGTTACCAAAATTATGGATTGCGTTCACTGTGATAGATGCAGGCTTTGGGGTAAAGTGCAAACCACTGGGTACGCTACGAGTTTGAAAATCCTCTTCGAAATTGATTCTGACGACGAAGATGCCAAGCAAACCGTTGTTGACAAGTTGACGAAATACGAGCTCATCGCCTTATTCAACACGTTCGACAGATTGTCTAAGAGTATCGAGTCTATCAATAACTTCGAGAAAATGTACAACAACACTTTGTTGACCGCTGGCGATAGAATCCTAACGTTGTTCAAGGGTAACAACTTTTTCAAGCTCTTAAGTAATGCAGGAAAAAGCTTAAGCTCTTCATTGAAAGACAAATCTAACGAATCGGTGGCCTCCAATAAGTCACAGGTTGAGGATTTTGACTCGCCAAAACTTGACAATGTCGAATCAAACATCATTGACACAGAAGTTAATGATGTGAACGCCACTAAAGTCGAGCTACCTAAACAAGAGCTCAACCGCACGGAGGCCAAGTTTCTTGAGAATGAGGACTTCATTAAGGAGTCAAACGCCACGGAATCGAAATTTACTGAGATCAACTCAGATTTCAAAGAGCACACCACCTCCGAGAGCTCGGATAGTGAGACACCGTCGCACAAATTCAACGACATTGTGATGCCTTCAAAGAAAGCATTTGTTGAAGAAGAAGTGACTAACAACACTCTTAGGAATGCATGGAACACGGAGATTGGAAATGTAAAGGACGCACTGCGCTTCATTTTTACCAGCTACGTGGACTTCCCAAGGAATGTTGCACGGGTGACTCTTTACAAGCTGAATCATCTGTGGAACTGGTTTGTCGGGGTTCCACTTAGTGTAAACGTCGAGTCTGATGAACCAGCTTACGAGCTCAACGTTGAGTAATCATGTCTCGGGGGTTTGAAGGTAAATAGAAAGCTGTTTTTAATAAAAAAGTATTGAGGCAAATAATGGCGCTGGTTCGGTCAATGATGTCGGAAGTGGGCAGGTTCTTATCTGAATATCATAATTTAGATTAATTATCAGAGACTGCCATGAATGGACCGGACGATGAAATGTTTGACTAAAGGACTTCACATCATGCACAGTCGCTAGCTTCCACACCACATGGTGAACACCGGGACCAAGAAATTCACAACGATAAAATGGACACTTTAATGATTGAGTGATTCATCTTTGATTATCCCGCTCGTGTTAGCCATTGTGCCCTCTTTAGCGGGACCACCGTTCCTCAATTCTGTCGATTGCTTCTAGCACCTTCTGCGCATGCATCACTTTGCCGTGTGCAACCTATGAATGCAAAGAATACTATTTCTTCTTCGTGCTAAACCTATGTTGGTGCTCATTTTTGGATTATTATCAGCACCAGTCAAGCAGAGAACCACCGGTGTTCTCTACGAGGGGTACGATGGGCTTCGAAATCAAAATTGCTGAGTACCTTCATTCGCCAGTAGTCGTCTAAGATCCCAGACGTGGATTCACGCTCAAGCTCGTACACAACGCCATGTAGTAGCCTGCTACGTAATAACTTCCATGAGAGCTCTTTGCTCAGTGTGAGAAGAATAGAGATAACCTCTAAAAACTGAGGAATCGGCTTCGTGAGGTCACCAAGCGTATGACAACTTTGTGGAGCTCCGTTGTCATACACCTTTCTCGTTCTCCATGCAGCTTCAAGATAACAAGTACCCTCAGGGTTTGTTCTCTGATGGCATGTCTTGGCCCTTTTTTTAGTTTTTCTTCTTTTCTTACTTACCTCTTTCTTCTCCCCCCGATTAGCCCCACCTTCGATCTCATGGTCGTCATCTGCTTCGTCCTCGCCATCTTCATCATTAAATTCCGCCATATCTCTTGCCCTCTTGGCTGTTTTTCCCTCAGACGACTTGAAAAGCTTATTGGCGTCCGTGATAATTTTGCTGAGCTTGATCAGCTCCTCTGCTCTACCCAACTTGACTTCGTCTTTACGCAGAACAAATTTGAAGTCTTCAACCTTAATCTTGTTTCTATGAACAGTTTGGGCCGTTCTGTAAGCAGACATGCAGATATCTACCAAATAGCTTGACACCAGTTCGTCAAGACAATGCACTGACTCCGGAAGTGGCTGAGAGACGTCGCCATACGCGTACATTAGTGCAGAAACATCTTTGCTGAATAAATGGGGTTTTCTAAGTCTTCTTGACATCCTAGTTTGACACTCTGCTTTTTTGTTATATACACAGTGTTCCGACTTGCTCCGTCTATATAATACGTAATTTTTCCATAAATATACAATAAATTAGGAATGGCGATGAGCTCGAAAATTGTTCATCTACGAGGTCATCGCCCTGCAAAAAACAAGGTATAAAAGACATAGAGACCCCTGTATTTGGCTTGCAAGTGGGCTACATCAAGTATTATGAAACCGGGGAAGACTAATGACGGCAAAGACCAGCGTCGGGCCAAGACTTTCACCGGTTGTTGGACATGCAGAGCACGGAAAATCAAATGCGATTTGCGCCGGCCGGGTTGTGCGAGATGCGAGAAATCTGGGATTCGGTGCGGGGGATATGACATAAAGTTACAGTGGTCGCAGCCTTTACAGTTTAATCGGTACGGTCAGGTTGTTCCGGGCGTCAACACAACAACCTCATCATCAGGCACAGACGAGCCCTCGTCTCAGCGACGAGATATAGCGTTTGTAAGGTACAAAGAGGAGTACGAATATTATGAGGACCTGGACGACGAACTGTCGAAACTGCACTCGCCGCCTCTGGATCGCATCGCAAACAATCGAACTTGGATGATCAAGAAATTCGCGGTTTTTCGCGGCACTGACAAGGTGGAAATCAAACATGTTCCACGCCGCAAGAGACGACGGGGTACTGAGAACTCGGAGCCAGAAGGCAGTGCTCCAAAGAAAACGATAGTAGATCATAAAGAAGCGGGCCTTTTGGATCGGGAGGAAGGTTCGGACCTCAACGGACTGGTGCAGTCGCGTCTTCCGAGAAGGCTGGATCAAGACTCGGATATGGCATCAAGCTCATCATTGCCGAGTACTGAAAGCGTGGCCAATCTATTCAATTTCGATTTCTCGTCAATCAACTTCACAGGTCACGAATGGATATCTAACGAGCTGCGAGACGACGCTCTGCTTTCGGCCTTCACCATTCAGGGTCATTCGAATGAGCTATACAACTCACAGCATGAAAATTCACACCAACCTGAATATAACGGCGACAACAATCGACCAACACAAGAAGACTCATTCGAGCGCTTCGGGGGCACTGCTAATGAAGACCTATCGCAAATATACAAGATCTTGTTTCACAGAAGTGAGGAAAGATCGCGATCAAAGACAGCCCCCAAAAACTTGGCTGTTGAGGGTTCGAATCGTAGGTCATCTATCGTTCCTCTCCAAAATATGATTCTGATAGACTCAGTAAGCGCTGAGGGTCATATGCCGAAAGAGGTTTTAGAAGTCGTTTCTTCCGAAAATCCTGATCCCACAATCTTCAATTTGCCAAACAACAACAATCTGCTCCTTCGCATACCAACCACGGGCCTGAAAGCTAACGGACTCACACGATTCCTGCTAAACTACTATTTACAAAACGTCGTGGATCTCATGACTGTTGTGGCGCTCCCGACTAACCCTTGGCGCACTATTTATTTTCCACGCGCATTACAGGCCATCGGAGATCTGGCGGGCATAGGATACACGTCCAACTCTCGAAATTCGCTTCTGAATGCCATTTTAGCGGTTTCGTGTTTTAACCTCCAGAGTAAGTTCCCCAAAAACTCTCCTGAGATGAAGTACTTTTTGCATCTTGGCATAGAACTCAGGGGACAGGCCTCGGAGTTTCTCAAGACTTGTCTCGATTCAACAGTTAAACAAGAAAGATACAAAGACATCGTAACAGCAATTTTATCAATGAATTCAATTGATGTGGTATGGGGGACCATGGCCGACTGTCAGTACCATTTGAGTCTTTGCGAAGATTTGATCGAGGAGCGGATGAAAAGCCGGCCCAAGATATCAGAAAAGGCAAGATCCTTGCACCGAATCTTTTCGTTTTTAAAGCTGATACAAGACAGCACAGCTTTGGACAAGGTTAGGGAAAATGAGATAGTTGTTAAAAACTCGGGTGCTGAGGAGGAAGGTGAAGCTGAAGATGAAAGCTACGGAAGTCCTCATGGCGGTGGCGAGTTCCAAGAGGCACTGGATAAAGTGAACGGCAGAATTCGCATTGAGTACGTCAGGCTTTCGGACTCAAACCCTAGTACTCCGATTTTCACCAGCATCGCAAGTCAAAACTACTACTATCCACACGGCACTACGAAGAGCAACAACTTTCTAAGCACGGACGCCCTGTATGGGCTCCCAAACTCGATCATTCTTTTGTTTTCCGACTGCGTAAGGCTGGCACGTCATCGCGAGTACTACCGTATGCATTCATGGGAGGTGCCAAAGGGCTTCAAAAAACTTTGTATGAGCTTCGAGGCGAAGCTACTAAACTGGACTTCCGAATGGGAGTTTTACAAGCCGCACACGAAAGAGTTTGTCAACGACACTGTCGAGGGCGTTTATCACCACACAATGAGTTTTTATCAAAGTCTTATTATCTACTACCGCACGCGAATTGAAAGCCGACCAAACGGCGAGGTTCAGTCCAACGTTCTCGAGGTGCTTGTGCATTTAAACAAGCTTACAAGCCTGATCAACAAAAACGGCATCAAGATCGTCCCGCTCATTTGGCAGGGTTTTATGGCCGGGTGCGCCGCGATCGACCCCAAATTACAATTACGATTCAAGGAATGGGCTGCAAAGCTCGCGGACTCTGGTATGGGATCGTACTGGGGCGCAAGACAAATCATGTTCGAGGTATGGAGACGACGCATGAACGGCGAAAACTGTGATAATTGGTTCGATGTCTATAAAGATTGGGATATGAATTTGATGCTCTCTTGAAGACGAGAATGCACGCAATTCCAGACCTTCCACAACGGACAAGTTTCAGCTAGTGTCTTGCACCTCGTCAAAGCTTGAAGTAAAGCGTCAGTTCACTCGCTGTAGCTGTGAAGATCTTCGGTGCATGTGATCAAATAGACCAAAAGGGAAAGTGCCGTGCATAGCGGTGATACATGACAAGGGTTGAGAAAGGTATAAAAAATATAAAAACCGGGGTTGATGTTAAATGTGTAGTTCTAGTTAGTCTTCGAGAAGTGCTCGAGTATTCACTACTAACTCAATAAGCAGCACGCATATCAGTGATATTTTTCCAATAATGAGTCCGTTGACAGTTGGTATCGTTGGCACAGGCATTTTTGCCAGAGAATCACATCTTCCCGCGTATCAAGCGCTGCCAGAAAGCTTTCAAGTTGTAGCAGCTTTTAATCGAACCAAGAGCAAGGCTGAAGCGTTTGCAGAAGATGCTGGGATTGCCAAGGACAAGGTTTACGATAGTCTGGACGAAATTCTGGCTGATGAGTCGATCTCAATGGTGGATGCACTGCTTCCAGTCCAATTTAACGCCCAGACCGTGGAGAAATGCATAGCGGCCAAAAAACCGGTTATTTTGGAAAAACCAATTGCAGCTACCATTGCAGAGGCCAGAAAACTCGTACAATTGGCGAACTCGACCACCTTACCAATTGCAATCGCAGAAAACTGGCTCTATTTGAACGCTGCCGATGCCATGAAAGAGCATCTGGCAGATATTGGCCCTGTCGTCTCCTTCACTTACAACTCGACAGGTGCCTTCGTGAAGCACAATAAGTACCTGGCCACTACTTGGAGACAGAAACCTGAGCACATCGGTGGATTCTTGTCCGATGGTGGTGTGCACCAGTTGGCCCTTCTCACTGAGGTTTTGGGCGAAGTCGACTCCGTAAGCGCCTTCACGAAGCAGGTTCGTGAACAGTCGGGTACAGACGACGTGGTATTCTCCACGATGAAAATGAAGGAAAGCGATTTGATTGGAACGTTCACATACGGGTCTGCTTTTGGCTCTTGCGAGAAATCGATCTACTTCAAGGTCTACGGGCTCAATGGTGCGGTGACCTTGAATCTTTCCGACAAGAAAAACCCCTTCATTACCAAGACCGTTGGCGACTCTGCTGAAGCCAATGGCGATGTGCAGACAATTCCTATCGAAGAGCACCCTTCATTCGGCATCCAGGAAGAGTTTCTAAATTTCCACGAGGCCGTTGTTAAGAAGGAGAAGAGAATCATTAGAGGCTCTCCAACGGTCGCTTTCCACCATCTGGCTTGTGTTGCTGCATTCTTGGAATCTTCTGCCAATAACGGTTCCAACGTCGTTGTTGAGCAGCCATGAAAAGACAGACTACCATTTCAAGACATTATGATTTTATATATAGATGGATGCACCATTAAACTACTAACACGGGTCTATGAGTCGTTTTCGAAACTTATCTGCAGCAAACTAAACAGGCTCGAGCATACTGTTTGCTAGGACCAAGTGCCTCCTAGTTGGTGCCACACTATACTTATGACTTTTACAGCGTTACCAAAATAATATATCCGAAAAACTGTGTGGTGGACGGATGGTATGTTCTACCTCGCAACAAATGTCAAAGTCTGAGCCGGAAGCGCGGACATTGAACGATCTTTTAAGATCGGGCTCCGGAATGGTCACTTTTGGGCTCTCTAAGAATAGGATTCCTCCATCGATTCTTGGCCGAGCGGTGGCACTTGATAATTAAAGTACCGGAGAAACTAATTTTTCCAGCCCAGCATAATTCTATGCCGGAAAAAAGTTTTTCCGATGGAGCGAACGCGGCGATGTGGGTGCTGTGTAAGCCCTGTCCCTGAAGCGTGCCGTCGTCAGGGAAATAGGTGGAAGTGTCAGAACTCCATTGTTGTGTCTCGAGACATCGAGATGGATGTTGCTGGGCACTACCAGGTCTTGACGCCGAGAGTAAAAGCTGGGGTTGAGCGTCTTGCCAGGTATAAAAGAGCATGAAGTTCTGCTCATCAGAGATATATCTGGGAATGCTCTAAACATCAAGCAATAAAAACCACAACAGCTTTTAGTGCTGTGAAAAACTCTCAGCCTCACTATCAATCAAATCATAAACCATAAAGCCCCTTTCTCACAGCAATGGGCATTCTACAAACCCTTTTTCATGCCGAAGAAGACATTCAAGGCTCTAAATTCAGAGCCATCTTCGTCGGACTTTTCGTCGCTTTTGGTGGCATTTTATTTGGATATGACACCGGTACAATCTCGGGCGTCCTAGCAATGGACTACGTCAAGCAACACTTCACTTCTCGTGGTCACTTTACTGCCAACGAAACCTCACTTATAACTGCTGTTCTGTCCGCTGGCACATTTTGTGGAGCCGTTCTGGCACCTTTGGCATCCGACACCCTAGGCCGCAGGCTCGGTCTTATAATCTCTACCGTTATCTTTACCATTGGCGTGATTTTGCAAGTAGCGTCATCGGGACAGGACTTGCTGATCGCCGGTAGAGTAATTGCCGGCGCAGGCGTCGGAATTCTGTCCGCCATTGTTCCACTATACCAAGCCGAAGCCTCTCCAAAATGGATCAGAGGCGCTGTTACGTCGTGCTACCAATGGGCAATTACCATCGGTTTATTACTAGCTGCCTGTGTGAACCAGGGTACTCACGCTAGAAACGACTCTGGTTCCTACAGAATTCCGATCGCCATTCAGCTTGTGTGGGCACTTATCTTGTTCATCGGAATGCTAATTTTGCCTGAATCGCCCAGATTTTATGTCATGAAAGACAAGATGCCCCAGGCAAGCGAAGCACTTTCCAAGCTCAGAGGTCTCCCACAAGATCACGAAAACGTTCAATCTGAACTTGAGGAGATTATTGCCAACTACAACTACGAACGCTCTTTTGGCAAGTCGTCCATTTTCAATTGCTTCAAACCAACCAACCATCAGCTGAAGCGCATTATCATCGGTATTTCTATCCAAGGTCTACAACAACTGACCGGAATCAACTTCATTTTCTATTATGGTACCCAGTTTTTCCAGAACTCTGGTATCAAGAACCCTTTCATTATACAACTGATCATGAATGTGGTCAATGTTGTGATGACCATTCCAGGCATTGCATTGGTTGAAGTCGCTGGCAGAAGGAATTTACTTCTATGGGGTGCGACCGGTATGTGCATTAGTGAACTCATTGTTGCTGCTGTTGGTACCGCTCTACCAAACAGTTTATCTGCTAACAAAACGTTGATTGCATTTTCCTGCACTTTCATTGCCTCCTTCGCATCTACGTGGGGCCCATTGGCTTGGGTTGTCGTGGGGGAGATTTTCCCCTTGACTGTCAGAGCCAAATCGGTTGCTGTGTGTGCTGCTTCTAATTGGCTTTTCAATTTTGCCATTGCCTACGCTACTCCATACCTTGTTGACAGCCAGCACGCAAACCTACAGTCAAAGGTGTTCTTCATCTGGGGAGGGTGCACGTTCTTGTGCTTCCTATTCGTTTACTTCTTCATTTACGAAACTAAAGGTTTCACACTTGAGCAAATCGATGAGCTCTTTGAGACATGCAGGAGTGCCCGCCATTCAAAAGGTTTTGTTCCATCTGCCTGCTCTGCGGCTAGTCCCGATTCGTGTTCGGAATCGAATAAAGCTATTGTTGAGACAATCGAGAAAGTATAGCAAAGGTGTTATCTTCAGAGCTATTTGCACATTGTGTAGTTTATAAGAAACCGATTTAATGATAAGGCATCACGGAAATGGTACTGTGCTGAGCTTGTAGCGATGTAAAAACAGTATCACACATCTCAACTAACTCTGTCGTAAGCTCTTTTGCCTGCTGCCCTGAAATCTACACGAATGGTGAATGCAACAAGACCTTGAATTTCAATCGCATTCTTTTTGTAGTCCAACTCTGAGATGCGGTTGTTGCGAGTCCTGACTTCGATTAATGTATTGTACGCATGACATGATTTCCAGGAAGCATACTTCCAACATTTTTAGCGTCGTTGGCGATTTAATGATAAAAAAGTGATTAATGACCGTGTAGCTTAACGTCCTTCAATACCTATTTCATGGCGAGTTGTGTCTCCTAGAATAATACTCACGCTTTCTTTACACTACTGTCCCCTAAACCAGAACTTGATAATGCTGTAGCTTCTGTGAACTTTCAGGAATGAATTTAATAGAATTGATGATTCTAATTCCAAAGTGCGTTCTGCAGAGGCGCATCCGACATCCACGGCAAACCATTCACATGACAGGAGACATCCGATTCAAATCGACGTGCATCTTAAGGGTGCTACTATAGTAAGAAGATGCTCGCAATCAAATGATGTACTGAATAAATGAATCAAAATCGTCCGAATGCATTGACACGGCCGCCCCACTATTGACCGACGTTCAGGAGAGAAGCACTTCTGTTTTAAATGGTGGCATTTGAAGGTCTTTACAACACTTTTCTTGTAATGAAGTTGTTCTCCCAGATCTCCCGTCAATCCCGAACTCAATTATATATGCCTTCTTTAAAGCAAACGAATGGCTCTCAACGCGGTGGTTTCAAGATTGAGTTACAATGTTGCATTCGTCACTGTGTCTACTCAACATTGTATTCAGCAAAAGATATTACATCGCAAGGGACTTGCATGGCGCGTGTCACGATTGAAGTGATATGATTGATTCTCGAGGACAGGTTGAATTTGGGGACTCAGTACAACAGATTAAGATATTAGCATGCACAAAAGAACAGGTAATGTCTTTTAGTACAGATCGTAACCGTGTACAATCCGACATTTAGCCTTATGGTTGTTAAGTCTGAAAATTCACTGTAAATTTCATTCTGATCGGTCGCTATGTGTTCGCCTGGAGTGCTTATTCCTCGAGGATGGAGTATGGTTGCGGAAGGAACTCAAGCCTTCAAAAGTCAAGACATGACATAAACAGGATAATTACTCGGCGTCATATTGATAATGACAAACACAAGGCGCCAAAGGAGAAAGCACACACAAGGGGTGGAAGTATAACTATATGGCGCTTGAAGTTTATTAGCCATTCTAATTCCCGATGGCTATGCAATTATGGGTCAGACCAGTTCGGTTCACCGAAGAAAACAAAGAGCAAAAAATTCCCATGTAGAAGCCGCAGAAGTTGATCAAAAGTCCGAGGGGAAAAGTCAGGAAAGAAAGTGAGTGCGAGCTGTAAGACAATCATCATCAATTCCGGACTTCAGAGCCTGGAAATAATAGAAAGAGAAGCCATCTCGAAAGCTATCGAATGCGATATACTGTGAGAATTGCTGACCTCTTAATTGATGTTCGGTACACATGGAACCCTTTTAAAGCTATAATTAAATAGACAACCCTGAAATAATTTCCCGTGCCTTATATTTCTCGATAGTGCTAGCAGCCATCTTGGACCGGAAATGTAGTCGTATTCATGCAGGTTATAGATTGAGCTTCATCGTTGGTTCTCTCTGAAATGCATGCCGGGAAGCGCCGTGACTAAATCGCGTATCAGTAATGAGCATGCCGTACCGCGTTCGAAGCTGCCAGCTAAGCTACAAGAGTTGCTGAACAACAGAGAGCGACATCGATTTAATGAGAATGAGTAAAACACTCTTGGTGGTTTCTAACAATTCTAACCAAGCTAAAAACATTGAACACCGCCGCTTGTGAACGAACTCTTCACATCCGAGCGTCGAAGTCTGTAGCCAAAGAATCCAAAAATAAATACCGAATTCACTGGGCTATAGTGCTTTTGGCCAAAGTGCTTGGGCTAGCAGCCAAATTGGATGTTGAAGATCGGATCGCTAGTGCTCTCAATTGTTTATTGTTGGGAACAACGTTCGAAGCTATTTGCTTGAAGCTATTGATAACTCTTGCTCTCCATTGCTCGGTAACTGATGCTCCATAATCATCGCCCGCTCAATGATATCTATGGCCATTATACTCTTCACAAGTACAACCGCGGGCACAACCATAGCTTATTGTATGATGACCACAGACACTACTGATCGATTGAAAGCCTTAGCAAGGGTTCATGCTAATGAATGTTCTACGCATTTAGGATGAGGTACACCACTCCGCCTCAAGATAAAGAATTTGCAACGAGCAGCTCGCTTATAGCCACCAGACTGGCGCACTCAATTGTCCAGTGGCGCTTGAAACCGCCTTAGCGACAGACAAATGTGCAAGTGTCAGCGATCCACCTTGGATGTTCAAAACTAATTAATTACTCCTTCGATTGTTCAGCGGCCCTTAATTAGCCACCTTTCTTTTGTATCACAAAAAGAGAAAAAACTTCCCTCGAGCCGTATGACGCCTCAGAAGCCGCCGCAGAGTTACCCACACCACCATTGCCACGGCTTTTCTTGTAAACGGCGTCACCACGGCTCTCAGGCTCCGTCCACTTCGAAAACTAAAAGACGTCTCTTATCGCCAGCGAAACTTTCAGCGCTAATTACCACCACCACCACCACTACTCTTCCCGCTTATCGTCCGGCAGACGCTCACCTCTTGAACCACTTCTCAATATATATATATACATACATATATATACACACACACATATGTATATATATATATATACATATACATATCCTGGCCTAACCCAACCTGTTCTATTACATCCAAAAGGCAAGGTGAAGCGAAGGCCATAAAAAAAAAAGAGACCCGTGTGTCCTCTGCAAGCCATGTCGGACCAGCTCAAGAAAAACGCCGCGCTGCCTCGTGTCGAGAGCTTCGAGCTCTCGGGTTCTTTCGAAGACATCGACCACCCTTCACAAAATTCCCATACAGGCTCCTTCACTGAGATACACCAAGCCAACGCCTCGATCACTACCTCTACTTCTCCTTCCGCCCCACCAGCCCGTGAAGTCAAGCGTGCGCTGCAGCCGCGTCACGTGTCCATGATCGCTCTGGGCGGAACGATCGGCACCGGGCTCTTCATCGGGATTGCAACTCCGCTGCAAAACGCCGGCCCGGTCGGCGCTCTCATTGCATACATGTTCATGGGCTCCCTCGCCTACAGTGTGACCCAATCGCTCGGCGAAATGGCAACTTTCATCCCGGTCACGTCTTCGTTCACGGTCTTCACGCGCCGTTTCATTTCGCCCGCGTTCGGCGCCGCGAACGGCTATCTGTACTGTTTCTCGTGGTGCATGACGTTTGCCCTCGAGCTGTCGATCCTGGGCCAAATTATCGAGTACTGGACATTTGCGGTGCCGAACGCGGCGTGGATCATCATCTTCTGGGTGCCCACGGTTTTCTCGAATTTCGTGCCCGTGGCTTACTACGGTGAGTTCCAGTTCTGGATCTCGCTAGTAAAAGTACTGGCAATTGTGGGGTTTTTGATCTACTGTTTGTGCATGGTGTGCGGTGCGGGAGTGAATGGCCCCGTTGGATTCCGTTACTGGCGGAACCCGGGTCCCTGGGGGAACGGGATAGTGGCCGCAAATCGCGACAAAGCTCGGTTTTTAGGGTGGGTGTCATCGCTGATCAATGCTGCGTTTACGTACCAGGGAACAGAGCTGGTGGGTATCACTGCTGGGGAGTCACGAGACCCGCGCAAAACCGTTCCCAAAGCCATCAACAAGGTGTTTATGCGGATCGTGCTGTTCTACATAGGCTCGTTGTTCTTTATTGGACTGCTGGTGCCGTTCAACGACGATAAGCTGACATCGGACTCTTCGTACGCGGCCAGCTCGCCCTTCATTATCGCAATGCAGAACTCCGGGACCAGGGTGCTTCCGGACATCTTCAACGCGGTTATCCTGGTGACCATCATCTCGGCGGCTAATTCCAACGTGTACGTGGGGTCGCGTGTTCTTCTGGGTCTGGCCAAGGAGCGGCTGGCGCCTCAGATCTTCGCGCACGTGAACCGGTTTGGAGTGCCGGACGTCGCCGTCGGGCAGGTGTCGCTGTTTGGGTTCCTAGCCTTCCTGAGCGTGTCCAATGGTTCGCAGAAGGCTTTCGACTGGCTCCTGAACATCACGGCGATCGCCGGGTTCTTTGCCTGGCTGTTCATCTCGCTGTGCCATATCAGATTCATGCAGGCGCTCAAGCTGCACGGAATCTCGCGGGGCGATCTGCCGTTCAAAGCGAAGTTTATGCCCTGGGGCGCATACTACGCTGCATTTTTCATCGCGCTCATCATCGTTATCCAGGGATTCACTGCATTCGCGCCTCATTTTGACGTTTCAGGGTTCTTCACCGCGTACATCAGCGTTATTCTCTTTTTCATTATCTGGATCATTTTCCAATGCATTTTCCGCTGCCGCTTCATCAACCGGCTCGAGGACGTCGACATCGACTCCGATCGTCGCGACATTGACGCCACGGAATGGCCCGAAGAGGAGCCCAAAAATCTGTGGGGCAAGTTTTGGGCAGCCTTGGCCTAAGTGGTGTCGTAGCCTGCTTTAAAACATGTACTATATATATATATGTAACATAGCCTAATTCAAACCACAAGGAGTTCGAGTTTGTCTTGTGCATCGAGCATTGAAAAAGTGGAAGCGAAATGCTGTCGGTGGCTGACGGAGTTGCAAAAAGCCGACAAAAATGTGTCCCAAATTAGCTCGAAAGCTTACTGAAAGCGCAGTAGTCAAAATGATACCTCGCGATTTTGAATTTTTCAATGGAGACGAGTTCGCTGACAGATTGTCAAGATTCTCTGGCTTGAAGCATCATACACTAGTTTTCATTATTACTGTGGCACCTATAATTGAGCAAATCATTTAGCCAGCCTGGTCTAGTTGCGAAAAGCATCTCATAAAAGCTTGCGGAATACAAACACTCAGAACCGAGGCTTTCAGCAAAACTCCACGGCGTTAAAGCGTCGCAGTGGAATCTTTGTATCTCAAAGTATTCTGTCACTGAGTCACGTGCTTTTGATGATATAGCCCACTTCAGCTTCAGTCATAGGAAATCTGACACTTTTGAAGGCATAACCGCGAGAAATTGAACGACTTTTCTTCCCTGTCTACCAAGCTGAACTTTTAGTACTCTTTGCCTCCGAAGTTGAATACTGTTTCGAGGAGACATTTCATATTATCACATCTGTTCATTGTTCCTTTACGCTCTTTGTGTCTTTTTCAATTGTCCGTATTATACAGATGCCAAAGACGTTCTTTAAAACCCAAAACTAAGTCTATCTCACTGAGTAGAGATTTACGAATCGATATAACGCTTGACCAAAATTTACGGGGGTTTTTATAAGCAGCAGTGCAAACTCAGATCCAATCCAATCTCACATGCCCCTTCTTCGGCAATTTTTGAGACCTTACGACAGATCGGGTGACACAAATGTTAATTCATGACTACTACAATGTAGCTTTTATGCTCACACCTACTTGAAAGCCAATAAGCAGTTTTCTCCGCATCAACGGCCAGGTAAACAATGGCAGCATGATGTTGGGTACGTCGCTAATGAACGTTAAACTGAAGATCGATTCAACATCTCTTGATCACAACAATTGAACTTGAACAATAATACTCTCAAAATTTATCTGGCACTGCCCAAAGCTTTATCTGTTTGCATGCTCAAACCATGAATTTAATCAGCACGCTTTTTTTTCGAGGGGCGTAATGCGATGAAATACTGATTTGAAGACGTTCGACAATGTCTAATATACCGACCAGCGGTGTGCAGGCAGTATATAGTCTGGCTATTTTGCATACAAAGCTACGTGAGCTACTTCAAAAAGCGCTACTCACACATATTTATATCAAAGATCCCATTGAAGGAGGGATTGTTTGTTCATTTGTTTATATTCTGGAAAGGGTTCAAAGCTGCAGATAGCTATGTTCAAGAAAATCTTGGGCAGGTAAAACTGACCTCTTGGTAATTTGACATGCTCCCATCAGAAAGGGACACCGTGAAAAGAATGACATAGCGGTCTCTGGCCGCGGCGACAATTTAGTTGCTGGCCAGTGACAATATAGGACCATATTCTTACGTTAACGAAGGAAAACGATATATGAAATTCTAGAACGTGCCCCTTGCCACAATCCTATACTGCAAGTGGTATCAACAATCAGGGCATGAATTGACCCAGTCCGAGAGGAGGACTGTCCACTCATGCATCATGTCCAGATTCCTTTGACAACTGTGTATGGAATTCCCCGGAAAACGGCGATTATGCAGGCTGCAGAGGAAGATGTGAACCGAAAGCTCACTTCGCTCAGAAACAGTAGAACTTCAACCCTGGAACTATTTGAAACAATACTGACTGATTTTTGCACACTTAAAAGTCAGGATCATCCCTACGCTAGGCCCTTAAATAACGAAAACAGATTATAGCCAGTAAATGGGTTGGCGTCGCATAAATTTGCCGATATAATCTAATTTTTACCTGTTTGTGAAATCTGCTATTATTGGAATTGGTCTCAGTAGTTTATACTAGCGACCACATTAGCCTTAACCCCTTTTTATAACAAATGGTATTAACTCTAAAAGCTCCACACATCTTAAGTCTCTTTAAATTCATAGGGCCCCGGTTTTTCAGCACAAGCGAATGTCATTTTAGTCAAAAGTTTATCACCATGATACAAGTATGAGGTAACAGTGTCGTTAGCATGAAGCTCGCCAACACCAGCTGGAGTTCCGGTTAGAACAAGGTCACCAGACTCGAGCGACATGACTGTGGAGATATGTTGGACAATTTCATGCATTGGGGTCAACATCAAGTCAGTAGTGCCATCCTGTCTGGTGACGCCATTCACCTCACATTTCAATCGAAAAGCATTTTGAAAGCTTGCTGGATCGCCAAGGTCCCTCTTTGGAATGAAACCCGAGATCGGTAAAAATGTGTCGAAGCCTTTACCTATGGACCAAGGCAATCCCTTCTTTTTCGCTTCGTCTTGAACATTACGCGCCGTCAAGTCGAGGGATAGTGCGACCCCGGAAATCGAGTCATACAACTCCTTTGGACCAAAAGCGTCTTTTGATGCATTAGAGACGTTTTGACTCATGACAAGGGCCAGTTCAACTTCGTGGTGAACTTTCACGCCGCGTGGTATCAAAATTTTGCCAGAATTGGAGCCGTCACTTTTGAGACCGCTGTACGTACAGTTTTCAGGCCCTATATTGTCGATAGATTCGACATTGACCGGTGGAGTAAGAATACTTGAGCTCGGCTTCAAGAAGAAGAAAGGCTGCTTAGGAGTCGGATTGTTCAGTTCCTTGATGTGCGCAGCATAGTTTCTGCCAATGCAGATAATCTTTCTAATGTGTTTGAGATAGCTATAGTCCATTACACTTAGGGCAAGTCCAACTGCCACGGGCTACCAAAGGTCAATATTTTTAAAACCGAGAGAATATAACTTGATCATCTACGCATTGCGAGCATCTAAAAAAGATACAGGTCACGTGAAAAATCTCTATCTAGTCGCACTTTTTCAATCGACGGCTGGCGACGTGACAGTCTCAAAAGTACTGGTGTTCTCCTTTTAGGTGGGCTGGGAGATCTTAAATGCACTTGATCTTTTAAACTGTTTTGAAATTTGGTCGCTCGGAGAAGATGCTCCATGTCGCTTCTAGTAAGACTAATTGTTGAGATAAGATAGATCGTCAATCGCCAAATTAAACGGTAGGAGAAGAACTAAACCATCATCAAACAATGTGTTGTGATGTGATATCGAAAAATTTACTTTAGCGACGCCGCATTTTACGCCTCTGCTCACACGTCGTAACTTCGGCAGGGTATTAAAGCGCTTATACCGGGCCGTTCACATCAGAGCGAATGAATGGGAACTTGGGAAAAATAACTCCCAACACAGCTTAGCTAACTGTAAACCGAACTACTACAAGTAGTCAAAATTTCAGCGAATCACACTTTCATAAGTAGTGTCTATAATGATCCATCATCTCTCGAGCTTTTTTGCCAAGTTTTAAACTTTGATTCCCGAGACCTTACTTAAATCTGGCCAGAAACAAACAGCCGAAAACAACATCTATTAATTTATCCAACAACTGATGAGCATCGTCAGTTTTTTGGTGACTAAAAACAAGTCAAACTACAATGATTTTTTCTGTTATTTCAACTATTATAAGGGTATCTTCGCTGTTTTTCTTTCAGCCAATGATAGGTATGTCACTATCAATATTTGAAAAGTAAGCTCATTGCTGTGTAAATTCAGGCCTCGTGTTTCTCGCAAAGGTTTAAAGAAGAAGTGAAAAGCGTTCATATTCTTTTTATCCCCTGCGAGCCAGTTTTAGTCTTGCCTGATAAAATTCGTTTTTGACGCATTGTTCCCGGGGTTCGATTATTTTTAAAAGCTTTTCGTCATATTTGGTAGTTGGCAGGAAAAAAAATGGCATCAAGACATCTGTCCTCACGCTCTTTGGCGCATGTTAGACCATTTCGATGAGAACCAATCAACAATCACGTCAGTGTCATTTTTGGCGATTTGCACATCACCCTCCAAGTCTTCGTGAGCAAACTTGTCAGTCAAATCAGGGTCTCTCAAGCAAAAGGCGAATACTACCAAAGGAGCGGTAAAAACTAGTGCAACAATGGTTTCGTACTTTTGTACGTGTCTGTAAGCTTCGACGACGGCCTCTCTCTGTGGGGTTCCCCAGGTATACTTTACGATAAACGTGAATGGCGAGGAATACGCTTCTGTGGCTTCCTCCACATTTCCCAGTAGACTCAGCAGTTTGCCATAAAGAATTTGAGTCCAGATGGCACCCGAAACTGCAGAGCCAACCGCACCTCCAACTCTGTAGCTGGTGTAGTTGAGTGCTGTGACTGTTGCCATGTTTTCATGAGAGGTCGCCGACTGTACTGACACATTAACTGGATATGTCCACATGGTCGTCCCAATACCCCAGACTATCAGAGCGCCAATAATACCACCATGGGCGTGTGAACCACCTCTGTAGTGGTAAAGTAGACCCATTCCCAACATCCATAAAGCACAACCCAAAATAATATAAGGCTTCAGCTTTTTTTGTCTGGTGATAAAGAGAGAAAATATTGGCGACCACACGACAGAGACAAAGGATGAAAGTGAAGAAATTCTAGTAGCTGACTTGATTGACTCATGAACGGCTACAACCAGTATTGTGTATAGGTATCCTGCAGCCAAAGTGAAGATGAAGTAGTTCAAAAATGAAATACACATCGCAGCCCATACACCGCGGTCCTTGACCAAAGCGTACGGTACCAAAGGATCTCTGGCCCATCTTTTTTCCCAGTATAAAAAGACCGGGATCAAGACCCATCCGAGAACAAAAGGTCCAATTATATGAGAGTTCTTCCACTGACTCCTCACCCCTCCTGCAAGAGTCAAAGGTGCCAAAATACAGCCAAGGGTCACCACAGCCAATAGAACTCCAACGACATCAAGCTTCCAGAATAGCTCGATCGAAAGGTTGAACACACCGTGGCTCTGAAAGTAAGTCTTGTTTTCCTTTAGAGCAACCCATTCTGGTGCCTTTCTTGCCTTAAATCTCATGTGTAGCATACATGCGATTAAAGGCACACAAGATAGTGGAAATATGAACGCCCACATACCGATATCCCAGGACCAGTTATTTTGTGGGTTCGCAGCCTCCGTGATGTTACCCGAGATCCATGTGTTAATGATAAATGGCCAGGTTGGCACCAATTGGAATAGCAGTCTCCACTTTAACGAGGAGAAGTCGGATAAAATCAGCAATAGAACCAAGACAACTCCAACGTAACCCAAATTATAGAAGACTGCACCAGCTGCATACCTCTGGATATCGTATGCTTGCGACTGTATTATTGTTCCCACGACGTAAAAGACAATCGCTGTTATGAACAACGTGAGCCTTCCAAAAGTGTCGGATAGTCTTGCGTATAAAAGCTGCCCTGCGGCACCGATGATGGCATTGATAACGCCGATCGTGGATATGAGCGAGTGCTCACCGTAGGAGTTGGCGGCATAACTGGTGTAGTTATATCTCAGGGTTCCGTCAAGCCCATAGCCGTAGCCACAAACAAAGGCGGAGAAAAGTAAAACTACTTTATAGTACCAAGCATTGTACTGTTGTGCCAAAATTTCCGTTTTGCGAATCACAAGATATCTTGTTGTGCGCAGGTTGTCAGGAATACTTAGCTCATTAGCGTCTTCCACATCTTTCTCGTAAGACTGCTTTGGAGAGAGTTTGAACTCGCTTTCCATGATCTTCTCACCAGCCATGGTCTTGCTGTTTTAGTCTTACGAATGTTGTCGTGGCATTGTGGAGATACCCAGCCTTCTATATAGCATTTCCATTGTTCAATTATTTTTGGGTGCATTTAGGATGTTATAGGTGCACATACGATTTTATAATGGGCTCTTTGATTTTTTAGTCCAAAACTAGGTGCTGTCGAAATTTCAGAGTAAAAGCCAAGGCTTGGGGGGCTGTGGGGAAAAGCTTTATTCGATATCTAGAGAATAACAGCATCCCTCAAAAGAGCACATTGAATCATTGTGGCTAGCATCTCTCGAGATACTTGTTAATGGCTTTTACACTCCATGACGTAATCAACGAGCACATGACACAATGACAGATGACGAGAAAGGTCGAAATGATAGACACCGATTCCAGGACAATACAATTCTAAATAGAAAATTCAGTGGCTTCTTTCTCCAACAACGAGCTGCTTTCGTCCTACACATTCACAATCTCTCCTTACTTGAAAATAGCGAGTTCACGCGTTATGTAAAATGGTGTCATCGTAATTTCGTCTCCGAAGGCCATTTGCCAGTGCATTGTGCGAACCTGGTATGCAACGTCTAAACATAGTTGGATTGGGTCTACTTTGAATATTGTAATGAGAGGCGTGGCTTCATATCTTGTAGTTTGCACCATGGCAACCGTGCGTATAAAGCGTCACTCTCGTCCGCTTTCATCAGCGATACCCTCACATGCTGGCGGCAGAATGTTTGAGGCCTGGGTGCTCTTCTAATGTCCAGAATCTTGGCTCAGTTCTCTATCTTTTTTCCACTTGTTTCCACGACCGCGCAGCTTTTAATTTCAGAGGAACCTACAATCAACAGTTCCTTCGTTTTGAGCATAGCTCGATCGAATTCCTATAATTAGGAAGAGATCGAACCCATATGGCTTGTTTGAAACCAACAAAGCACAAAATATATAAGCGTCCTTTTCGGGAGGTGGAAAATCAGAAACTCGATTAGGTCAGGTCTGAACATTCATCGATTTGATAACATTACCCATTTTTCTCATCTGCTGCATATAATGTTAAGAAATGGAGGTACCTTAACAGCCGTTAATTGTAGAAGTAATAAAGTACGTGTCCCTAAGAGCCTAATTTCCTAGTTGAGCTGGGCCAAATGCCTGTTTGTTATTCATAGTCTCGTGGACAGCAATAGTCTGCATTCATTTTTCCTCTATTGCTTTGTGAAGGTTTAATTAACGAATAGGGAAACCACTTTGGCTTGTAAGCAAAGATACAATCTAGAAAATATTCAAAGTACCGAAGTCTGTACAGGTTTATCACTTCCACAACTGAATTGTGACACTTTCGCATAATCATATCTCAAAAAATTTCATACGATGACACCATCAAAAAAAGCTTTGCTAGCCATCACCCCAATAACGACACCTTTTATAAAGACGGTTCTAAAACTGGGGGTTTTGTAGTCGAAGCTCTGCACCCTTACCTGTTGTTCAAAGAAAAAGAATTTGAGGTCGCGATATTGTCTCAGAGACAAAAAACATTCGATTACGATGAGCACTCCCTGACTTCTGACTTCCTCAGTGGTAAAAATTCGAAGCTGTACGAAGACAAATCATCCGACTCTAGCAAGGCGGTGCAAGGCGTGAAGAAGGCTAGTGAGCTGAAAGCTGAAGACTATTCCATTTTTTTCGCCTCTGCTGGCCACGGTACTTTGTTTGACTACCCTAACGCTAGAGGCCTCCAAAAACTAGCTTTTACGATATACCAGCACGGAGGAGTTGTTGCAGCGGTTTGGTATGGTCCTGCCATCTTCGAAAATTTGAAGTATTTGCACACAAACAAAAACATCATTGAAGGAAAGTCGACCACAGGTTTCACTGATATAGGAGAGGAGATGCTGAGCGTGGATGACATCATTAAACAAAAAGGTCTGTAAACGGTCGAGAATGTTGCCAAGTCTTGTGCTGCCAAATATCTCTCACGTATTGGACCTTGGGACGACTTTTCCATCACAGATGGTCGTATTGTCACTGGTGTGAATCCAGCGTCCACACATTCCACTGCTCTTAGAGGTAAAAATGCCTTTAAGAGTACATAGAGGTTGCTTTAAATCGACAATTTTCCAAGTGGTCTAATATAACGATAAATGATGCCACATCTCCTACTCACTGAATGATCTTTTCTTGGCATTGCAGACAAACAACGACGGAAGGAAGAGAGAAGAGAATGCATTTTTTTACTTGACTTATTTATACCGGCTGGCCTTTTGTGTGTTGCCGTATTTACCATTACAGTTGTATGGGAAGGAAAGATGACCTATCCATATAGAATGAAGACAAACGACGAGGGCAGGTGGTACAAGAGCTGTTCCATCAGCCCTTCAAAACTGGGTTCCAGCAGTGCAAAAACGATAAGGACACAATTTTGCACAGCATGAAAGATAATATTTTACCGCATTCGACAACATGGACCATTTTCGATGCCTTCTACGCTCTTGGCTGGGACTAATTGGAGGTAAAGAATCAAGAGAAAACGCTCTTCTGCGCTTTCGTCGTGGTCAGGTTCATCCTTGAGACCGAATCTTCGCCATCGTAAGCTATAATAAGAGGCCGTCATACCAGGGCCAATACACGAGAATTTCAGTGCATGGGTAGATTAACAGGTTGTTCTCGCCTTTTCGACCGTTTGCACATAAAGTGCGCAAAGTTTTCCTGATGAGAAGCAGACACAACTAATAAAGAACTCAGATAAAATATATTGAGGATGTTTTTTGTGGGCCTGTATGACGCCAAAATGCCAATCGACAGGTTAACGGCTGAATCATAAGCGAAGTAATCTACTGAATTGAATGTTCGAGCATCTCTGTTAGTATAAACATAAGCAAAAAAATGACGCCGCACCAACTTGTTCTTGCGATATATCCATCCTGACTATTCAAACACTTGACTTTCCTCAACTTTTGTCAATCTTTCGTTAATGGCCAATTTGCTTTAAAAAAAGGACTACCCAAGGCCGCCAAAGACCAGCAAAATCGCTAAATTGGCTTGTTACCTAATATGAAAGACATCGCGTATCATCAAAAAATCGTACCTCTGATTGTGATGTAAGACTGGCTCTGAGATGATGAATTAAAATGCCGTCTGCATTAAATAAGCCTGTTACAACTATTCAGGCCAATTAGAGCACCTAACAGTTGAGACGCTAATTATAATCCCCATGACTCAGCAGTAGTGACGAAGGACAGCACAGACTGTGTGTGAGCTGTATTTCATTGATATTTAAGACCTCTATGAATTGATAAGGCAGGAAAGCATCTAACGGTAAAGGGCAAGAAAGAAATTTGAAGTCATTTTCAGGTGATCATGTTTGGCTGGCATTAGATTTTGTCGGCAACAATTTCATTCAGTCATTGAATCTCTCGAAGAGCGATTGACTTTAACCTCGTGCTTGGTTGTCGGATTGTTTCCGTGGCATTGGGGTCCGGCTAATGATCCTTGGGGCGCATTTTTTCGTTCCATGGGGGCGTGGCTAATATTTCCTGGTGTTTTAAGTTGTCTGCGACAGTTAGTTGTCGGATTGTTTTCTGAACGGCATAGAAACGAGTAGGTGGTACGAGGAATAAAATTCAGGCATGTTACGAGCTGACGAGCAAGGCTATAACTTGTGAAAAGTGGCTATGATTTAAATCTATTTATTTCTCAGATGGCAGATGTTAACCCTCAGTTGACAAAGAGAGGCGTACCGGTAGGTGATGAAGATGCAACTTGAATGTCAAGAATTCTGGAATTTAACCCAGAAAAGCGTCAGTAGCATAAATACTGATCAGCGACGGATCTACGTAGGAATAGCATAGCGACCAGAGGTGTAGGGAAGAAGTAGAGACTAGCAGCGGATCGCTGATAGAAGCGCACGAACGCAGAGATTTCATCCAATATGTTTTTCACTAAAAACTAGAATATCATGGGTCGATTTTCGTACCTAGAACCTTTAGGAAGTGACTCATCCATGCTGGATGCGCCGGCCAAGCTGGCGCTGTTACCAGCTTGTCGTCTGTTACAGCACCATCAATTTCAATATCCTGGTACTGAGCGCCGGCCGCTGTCACTTGAGACTTAATGGCTGGGTAGGCAGCAACCTTCCGCCCCGAGAGTATTTCGGCTGCTAATAGAAGCTGTGGGCCGTGGCAGATGGCAGCGATTGGCTTGTTCGCACTCGTGAAAGCACGGACAAGCTCTAGAACGCTCTCATCGGTTGCGAGATGTTCCGGGGCACGTCCGCCTGGAATAACCAATGCATCGTAATCACTCGCTTTCACGTCAGAGTAGGTGGCATTTAGCTCGAAGTTGTGGCCGCGTTTCTCGGTATAAGTTTGGTAGCCTTCGAAATCATGAATGGCAGTAGCTAGGAAGTCACCAGCTTTCTTCCCAGGTGAAACCACATCAACCTTGTGTCCGATTGTAAGCAAAAGTTGGAATGGGACAATGATCTCGTAGTCCTCAACAAAATCACCTGTGAGTATTAGAATGCGCTGAACAGTCATTTTGAAGCGTTGATATCGTGGTTATTGTAGTGAGTTGAAAGACGTTAAATAAGAAAACAAAAATTAAATGAAAGAGAATTGCAGCGTATCTTTATATAAAGCTGGGGATTGAACGAGCAGAAAATCGTTGTGAAGAAGGCAAACAGGGATCTTCATATCAGTGTGGCGCGTCCACGATGCCGAGCAAAGTCCACTTAGCACAGGTGCTTATTACCCTTAAACGCATAAACGAAAAATTTCGCTCGGCAAGGAATCACCAGACCATTCGATGCAAAGACAATGATGGACCTTCTGAGGAAAAAAACCGTTTATGCATGACATTTCTCCGAAGGACTTTGTAATACTTCTCCTACCTACCACGATTCCAATGCTCAACAAAATATCCGAGAAAATGGTGCAGTGTGAAGGTCGATGGCATGTCAAATCGTGCTAACCTTGGATAGTAACTGCTGGCCAGAATTAAAGCTCCGATTGATGTTTACTGGTGGACCCTCGTTGCAATACTAATGGGTATATATGACTGGAAGGCGCGTGAGTAACCTTTCGGTGACTTGTGGATCGTTCTGCGACCAGCAGACCAGCAGCATATTTTTTTCACGCACTATAAAAGGTACAGCTGCATTCATGATCCATTCAGTGAATCATCTTCCTCTGAAATTTCGAACTCTCGTCACTTTGCCAGGTATCGCTTCCGCCCGGACCGTCACGGAAGCGGTACAAAGCTTTAAAAGCTATGAAAAACCATATTTCTGGATTTCTTCGTACGTTTTACACTTCACTTTGCGTACACCACGAAAAGTCATGGCTTTGCGCTCATCAACGCTAAAACCAGCAAATGTGTCTCGCTGCAACACAAGGGATTCGGCGCTTCACGGCGGAAGTCCGACTCTGTTCCTTTTACGTCGCATAAACTGCACTTGGTGTGAAGCTGCTATTTCAATGTGAAGCTACACTTCACAGATATCTATGCTTAAAGAACGGCTTTCGCTTATACGCATTGTTCTTTGCAGGATTACAGTACCGGTCGCTTCTGCAATCAACAAGTCAACATGAAATGTACTAGATTCTGCTGTGTCGAACGCAAAGTCTCTTCCTCTGCTTCCAAACTTTGTTGAGGCTCGTAGGCCAACAGAAGCAGAGTATTGTCGAAGTTGCTCTGCATGAATTGACGATTTTCCGCATTCTCTTGCACCTCGGTCTCGATCTTTAACATAATTTTATCGCGGCGTCCGTCTAATTCCCGGTCTTTGTAATACTGTTACCCAATAAATTGCCGTCTGCCTAATCCAAGAGTAAAAGCTCTTCGTGGTTTTTCCATGAAGCGTTGATTGTTCAACAGGCAAGCCGTCTACCGTCACTCCAAAAATGCGTGAAATTTCGAGGCCCGCTCAGCATTCGTAGGTGCGATGGTGAGGGCAAGTCCACTCTAAAAGTTACAGATGTCTTATTAGCCAGAGAATTACCCCGTTTGCAGAGAACAAAAGATGTTCAAATTAGTTAAGGGTGGTTTAGTTGAATTTCGTCTACGAAAAGCATGTAAACGAAGCTTCAATTCCCATTACTTCCATGCCCCTTTGACCAGGAGACTCCAATACTGTCTAAAAGCCAACCGAAGGAGAGGAGCCTATTGGGAAAGCAACAGCGGAGGTTGAAAATGGAGCAAAGCTGTAGCGGAGGCAGAGGCTGGATAGGAGCCGGAAGAGACTGGAGCAAAGCTAGAAGCTGGGACGAAACCACAAAAAACTGAATCGGAAGAGCCAGAGCAAGAAGGTCCAGAGCCAAATAACCCCGAGCGTGAATCAGATGATCCAAACCCCAATTCCAATGCTGTACAGACCTCGAATCGCATGTGGTTTCCCTAAAAGTGCACAATGATGCTATGTCCGTTACATCAAAGACCAAATTCTGAATATCGTCCAAATGTTGCGCTACACCAGATGTCTGCTTTGGCACGCCATTGACCATCTCTGCAGAATAGTACTGATAACCGATGACCGACGGAATTTGTTCCGAGCTGAGTAACAAGTCTTCTTGATCTTTTTAGTATGTCACGATGACTGTGACTCCTTCTTTTTGCACGCAGGCAAGCCCCTTACCAGACTCTGAAGCAACATTCAAAAGATTTGGACTCCACACGTATGCGTCTACTAGCGCATCATATGTGAAAATAGCACTCAAAATATACAGCGGACCTTGGTCTGCCATTTTAGCAGCGGTCTACACTTAAGTATGGGAATGTGACGAGAAACTGAAGTTGCGGGTTCCTAATTGCCCGTTTTTGATAATATTGATATGCAAGATTCTAAAATGTTATTAACGCCTTATGACAGGACGCCTTGAGTTACAAAAGGTCACTTATTTCCGTGTTTGTGCGGCCGTCTAAGACCGCAATCGCCTCTAAGCGAAAACCTGATGTAATTCATCGAACTGTCTTTCTACCTCAAGCGCAAAAAAAACCAAGAGTAGTACACTACTTGTCGTTAGAAACAGAGACACTGCAAAATCTCAAGAGGGTGTAGATTTTGGCTTTTTGAATGAACTCAAGATCTGAATGCATCATGCACTGGCTGCACTAACCGTTGAATAGTATGATAGTTCATCTACAAGTTCGTTTATGTCTATCCTGGATCTTAACTCTATATATATCATAATTGGCAAACCAATTAACCAGGATTTTTATCTAAGAAAAACAATCTCAATTCTCGATCTCACTCGTAAATATCCTTTTCGTGATCCCCCACCATGTTTTTCTTCCTAATTTCGAACTATGTTTTCCGCGTTTATTCACGCACTTTTCTGTCTCTGTGAATATGTTAATGCGAACTTCACGGACTGCAAAGAAAAATCGGTGAAAAGCTTATGGTCGAAGGATAACACATGATGCAAGCAGGGAATCTAGGGTAAAGACAGTCGATTTTCGAAATACAGCAGTTCTAGGATTTCATGCAATCAATTCGACGGTTCAAGACTATTTTGTTCGAGTCAGTGGCCAGCGCAGATCTTCAGAGAGTTCCGCTACTGCGATCAGGAGTCGACCAACACTTAGGACATGTCATCATGCATTCAATGAAGCAACAATGCATGAACGCGTGCGTGGTGCATATAGGAAAGGGAGTTCAATTGAAGGCACAGAGAAAGAGTAGTGGTTTTTCTAATTGAAATTTCAAAGATTGCCGCAAGCGTGCTTCTAAATTGTGGAAAGGGATCTACCAGACATGTCATTGAGTAACGAAATCGAGTTTCAAGTGAGCAGCCAGTTATCTAACGCTATCATCCAACAAAGTGTGTCTACGGAAAGTGGAATCGAGTAACTCATCATGTATCCCGTCGGCCATCGTTTGCTCAAGAGCAGGGTGCACAATAAACATGCCATCTACTAGTATGGAGGCCTTCGATGTTCCAAGATTTTTGTCAATGAAAGTAGTATGTTTACATCAAGAAATGTTCGAAAGAAACGGAGTTCGCCAGGAGTTTACCTGAGCTCTCATCTACCAACCTTTACAATCTACAACGAAAGGGTCTGTAAAAGAAAGGCGTTAGATGCTCTGTTTTAAGAGGAAATCGATCAAGTCTCTCTGTCTTCGTCCAGACAATTGAGAAAAATGTCCATACCATAAAAACGCTCTATAATTTGCGACAGTATTTTTTTTTTGAATATTGTTGCACGAAGCATTGTCTCTCAAACTCCGAAATGCACGTCATGTCAACAGTTAGATACCGATACTGCAAGAGGTGGCAACTTTCACACGGGCCTGCGGTCCGTTTGCACCTAATACACGAAATAGAATGCTATTGTAATACACGAAAAATCCGAATATTTACTTCACGATCATGATGCGACTTGAGATATCCGTTTGCTTGATTGCGTTTTCTCGGACCTGAAGGAACACTAGCAAAAGACTGCGCGCGGGAGTTAGGTTTTAGCTTGAACTATGACAGAATATACTTAGATTTGCGCCAGCTGAAGAAGAGCGGCAATATTATTCATCCCGTTTGAAGTAGATCCCTGGTGAACGTTTTATTGGTGTTAAATTGGGTCAATTCCCGAGACGACGGGCATGAGAACAACGGTAATGTGAGCATCGCCAATGCTCAATGGCAATAGTTACCTTCAAGATCAAACCGTGTGTAGTTGATAGCCGTTGCGATAAACGGAGTGAAAAATACAATTAGGAATCCCCAGATTCAGTTTGAAGCTGAATTAGGGGCATGCACTTACTCTTGGCTCTCAAGGGTAGATTACATTTGGCAGTAACTATCCACGCAATAGGTGCCCATGAAAGCGCTTGGCAGAAGATGTGAAAACAAGTGAACACAAGCATACAGTTCCCAGCACCTTTTGAAGCATTATGGTCACGTCTGTTAGGGTATAATCTGGTAACGCCAACAGAAGCATAAATCACCTTACAAGCCAACATCGTGACGCTCCCCACAAAAGACACTGCCGACGCCTGAAAGGCTCAACAGTGTAAATACTAACAAATGTGGAAACAAAGCTCACTACGCCAATGACAATCGCAAATCGAAAGGAATCTTTCAAGCCAACAGATTAAAAGATAGATGACCCGAAGTAGAAAAAGTATTTCTTTCCAGTAAGCTGTTACAAGCACTGAACCATGACACCCATGATCAGTCTTTGCAGAACTTTGGTTTTGCTTTAAAAAAGTTCTCTCCAGCTGGTCGAGCCAGCCATTCTTTCTGCTTTGACACCAGCCAAAATCAGTCCAATCCCCGCGCTCATCGCTGGATCCTCAACGCTCTGTTTATTTGTATTGGCTTGAGAAAGCTTGACCTCTTCTTCCCAACCTCTTTCTGCCAAAAAAGTGGTTCTTGCACAAAAGAAATCCCTAAACTCATGAATGAAGATCAACCAAAATACGAATTAAGGGGCAGTCTTTGCTGGTTTAAGTCGGATTAGTTTTTAGTTCCGCAACTTATACAATGTCCCAAGAAGATGACCGCTGTAATAATGAGTTGGTCACAACGAACAAGAGGTCCCCTAAGGTGCTTAGGAGATAAACAGAGATCAACATGGGGCTCACAATTGTGAATTCCACAACTCCCAAGCCAGAAATAATTCATCCCATGAAGCACTGGTCCCATTGGTCGATGGAAGCAATTTGATTTTTTGACACCAATCATGTACATCAATATAACACTGGTTAGCCCAATTTCACGACCGTAAATATCTCCAATTTTTGACAGCAATCCTCCAAATGCACAGTTGATATTGAAAACTGCAGCTGTTAGTTCCAGTCTGGCATTACTAAAGTAGTTCTCATCCGTGCTGTGCTTGTAACTGCCAAATCTTAGTTAAAAGTTTGAAGGATTTACAAAACATGAGACGGTACCAGGGTCCCAACCATTCATGAACGCTACACATAAGCATTAGTAGACATACTGTGGCGTATGCTGAAAATGGATTCTCTGGGATGTCATTGACATAATCGTTGGCTTCGTAAAACGGTGGAAGTTTCTTCAGATCGTCCTACGACTTATTTTTAGATGGCATTGTGCGTCTTGAATGGGCACTTTTCAGTGATTGTAGCTCTGCAGGTGTAGTGCCCTCCGTTATATTTGATTTTTATAAGAAGTTTCATCGCTTGAAGCCTGTGGAAATTTTGAAATTATTAAAGCTGGATGTGAACATTCGAAGAAAAGCTGTAACTTGGCCAGATTCGCTCGCTTTAATATCTATTTTTGAAACAAGCCTCTCCCCGGTTTTAAACCGCTCTACTGCTAAATGTCCATGTTTTTGACATTACCTAATTATGCATTGCACGTCGAACAAGTTTTTCTAATGTCAACGGCAATTTTATGAGCCTATCTTACGGCGCCAACGTAGTCTCCGCGCGTCCCTCGAGGAGAGGCACAGAAAAGTAAACGAACGGCTTTTTTAGTAAACTTAAACGGTATGAGCGTGTTTCCCCGGACAAATTTCACACGAAGCTGGAAGGCAGGAAATGTTCACGCAGAGTTGCAGCGGAACCCTATGTCACGAATGCAGCATGATATCATGCGACCTATGTCTCTCACTCGGAGAACACAAATTGTCTGAGGTGCTATCAGGCCTTCACAGATCGACAGGTGGTCTCATTATTGTGCACTCAAGATATGAAATACTGACAAAATAGCAATCTTTGACACCCCAACAATCTCTGTTTGCGCAAAGTATACGGATCGCGTACATGTTAAGTTCAAACTCGTCGCGAGACTTGGAAGGTGTTTCTGAAGAGTCCTGGCAAGGATGAACATTTCATACTGCTTATTATCCTATGCAATGTGCTCAAATGGTTGGTTTTGCAGACCCTAAAATGAGGGTTTTAGACATGCGGGGTGGAGCGAGAATTCTCATGTTACCAAAAAATACCCTATTAAATGCCTTACGTATCGACAAAATACAGCTCTGTACACCGGTATACATGTCGATGAATGTTTTACTCGAAGTACACATAGTCCAGTCTCAGGATTAATCACAAAAATAAAACGCATCAGTCCTGAAAGATGGTAGTATAGGTTCATGCTTTGTTATAAGATAAGTAGCAGTACGACTCTCCAACCATGAGTCAATCACCTGAGACTCTTAATACTTATTCTTCGCCATAGTTTAAAATGTTTCATGTCATATAAGTTGCAGCAGGTTTAATTACAGCTTTTGACCGCTGTGAAAGTTATTACCAGCAAAAATAGCCTTGGGTCCCAACTCTTCTTCGATCCTAAGTAATTGGTTCAGCTTAGCCAACCTTTCGGACCTGGCTGGAGCACCGGTCTTGATTTGGCCACATCTCAATCCGACAACCAAGTCAGCGATGAAAGTGTCTTCGGTCTCGCCAGATCTGTGGGACACTTTCACACCCCAGCCAGCGGCGTAGGCGTCATTGGCAGCCTGGATTGATTCAGTCAAAGTACCAATCTGGTTGACCTTCAACAACAAGGCGTCGGCGGCCTTCTTTTCGATGGCAGTCTTGATCCGTATACGGTTTGTGACGGTCAAGTCGTCGGCAACAATTTGAACACCAGCGGTCTTGAAGTAGTGAGACCAGGCCTCCCAGTCATCTTCGGCAAACGGATCCTCGATAGAAATAATTGGGTATTTCTTGACCAGAGAGGCGTACATGTCGGCTAATTGAACACCGGTCAACCACTTGGATTTGTCCGAGTTTGGGTTTTTAAAGTCCAAGTCATATTTACCGTCTTTGTAGAACTCAGAGGAGGCAGGATCCAAAGCGATGTTGACCTTACCTTCGTGCCCAGCGACCTTAATAGCCTCAACAATCAAATCTAGAGCCTCTTCGGCGGTCTGAAGGTTTGGTGCAACACCACCCTCGTCCCCAACGTTTCCAGCGGAAGAACCATATTTCTTCTTTGCCAGAGATTTCAAGTTGTGGTATACTTCCGAGCCAATTCTTAAGGCCTCAGAGAAGGAGTCAGCGCCAGTCGGGACAACCATGAACTCCTGGAGTGCCAAAGCACCACCCGCATGAGACCCACCGTTCAATACGTTCAAGCAAGGAACTGGCAAAACGAATGAATCAGACTTGGCTCCTGAGATTTCTGCCAAGTGCTTGTACAAGGGAACATTTTTTTCCGCTGCGGCGGCCTTAGAAGCGGCCAAAGAGACACCCAAAATGGCATTGGCACCTAACTTTGTTTTGTTCGGGGTCCCATCTAAGGACAACAAAAGTTCGTCAACGGCGGATTGGTCTTTGACGTCCACGTTTGACTTGATCAAAGCTGGGGCGATGATGTTGTTGACATTGGCAACAGCGGTCAAAACACCTTTGCCCATCCACTTGGACTTATCACCATCACGCAATTCATTGGCCTCGTGGGCACCGGTAGAAGCTCCTGATGGGACTATGGATCTGAACAGACCCTTCTCGGTGGTGATTTCTACCTCAACGGTAGGGTTACCACGGGAGTCGTAGACAGATCTAGCGTGAATTTTAGAGATAGTCATGTTGGATTCTCAAGCCAAGTTTGTTCAGCCGTGTTTTGTAAAACGAACTTAAATTGAATTTACATAATCGAATAATTGTGACACTCCCAAATTGCCAAGAAAACCGGTCATAATTATACCTGCATTAGCTGAGGGTTATACACGGAAGTGATTCGGAAAAATCTCTCTTTGATCAAACCGTAACGTTTTGCTTTTTGCTCGTGATGCGAGTATGATGTGTACTACGTAGCGTTTGCTATGGTGGCTGTATAGGCTGTGAGTCTCCGAGAAGAGGACAATGGTTAAATGCCGCAACAACAATCGTGGTGTGGTCAGCTTGCAAAAGTGTATTGTGTTAAAGGGCAAAGCGTGGGGCTAAAGAAAGCTGGGAAGTTAGAAGCTCTTGGCGATGGCTCTAAGCACTGTCGAACAAATGAGAGCGTCAACGATCAGTTGTAGATAAAGAAAGCGATAGGCGCAGCCGACCAGCTGAGAGCGTGAGACTATCAATGGCTTCAGGCATGGCTGAACAATTGCGGGGCTTGGCGATCAATTGTGATAAGAGTTTGTAGATAAGTGCCGTTTAACAGCTAAGAGTGTAGCTATCACTTGAGAATGAGGAACCCCATAAGCATGGCTAATAGCACAGCATGAGTGTAGAAGTGGCTCTACTGTCGAACGATTGAGAGCATAGCGAGAAGTGCTGAATAGAGAAGAACATAAAGACATCTGACAGCTGAGCCTCAGCGACCAGTTGTGAACAAAAGGTGGCTATAAGCACGGCAGAAATGTAGAGACGGCTCTAAGCGCAGTAAAACAACCGAGCGTCAGCGATTGGTATGGTAGAAAAAATCATAATTTCACAAGCACCATTGAACGTTGCGGCCGGCTTATAATAGAAATGAAAACGTATTTAGGGCGTTAGACGCAAGCAAGTAAAGTGAACTAGTGAGCGTCAGCGATCAAATGTGACAAAAATTGATTTTAAGGGAATCTATCAGCTTACTCTGTAGAGCAAAGAACAACTCAAATCGTGTACCGCCATCCATCTTTTGAAATGAAAGATATCCGTCTGTCCGCTGGCTATATCCATCATATACTCAAAGTAAAGCACTTGCGGCATTGAAAGAAAGTTTTCTATCAGTGGAAAATCAATGAGAAGCGACCGCAGTAGTCTCGGAAGCGCTAATGCCAGATGAATCATGCTCTTGAGAAACCGCTTTCTCAATTTTGGTCTCTACGACAAGGAGCTCCTACTATCAGGACAAAGCCAAGCCGATGAGTTAATTACATGACGCCGAGAGCTTCAGAATGTCCAAACTGATCTACACTTGAAGTTCGAGTCATTTTATTGCTAGATACGTATCTTTCTCGCGAGCAACACGAGTAAATTTGGTCGTGGCAAAATCTGATCCGATTACTCGAGGCTACCCCACCCCTTGTCACTCATCACATGAGACGATTGGAGAGCTTTTCCCAATATTAATAAGCATGGTTAATACCCCGTGTGGTTTTTTTTCCACCGAGTATACCAACAACTTAGGTTAAAATAAATATATCTGAGCGAGTGGTCAGAGGAAAACCATTCCAAGATTCATTTATTAACGATAAATAGACCTTTAGAAGTCTATTCCGACTTTTGACATTTCTTTCACTTTTCTGAGGATTGTTAAAGATACCTTGCTGTTTTCTGTCTCGAGCTTTGAAACGCAATGGCTGAAACAAAGGGCATAAAGGAATTATTGGACAATGTTCATTCAGCAAAAGAAGCAACGCCCCCTAATAAAAGTAAGGACGCTGAAAATGTTACAAGCACAGGGGTCGAGTCTAAGGCAGAGAAAAAGGCGGTTGAGAATAAAAGAGCCGCCGAAGAACTCGAGAAGGAAGTTAAAAAAGACGAGCAGAGTGACTTTCTAATCAACAGTGATGATGAGCTATGAACACAGCTTGATTTTGTCAAAAATATCCACTGGAGTTTCAAATTCTCTTCGAATACATCATCTTAAAAATGGAGACTGGATAACGGGAATTCGTTCATCAATAGAAGCGTTTGAGTGAGGTTTGTCTCATGCTGATTAACGTATCACTACGTCTTCAAAAACGGCTGAGCGCTTGAAGTCTGTAGCTGCTCTATACTGGTCTTTGGCTTGAGAGTTATGCGGTGAATGCTTGGTACTGTATGAGGTGTCTTTTAAGTGTTTGGGCAACCGCAGGTTTCCTGGTAAAGCTGGCCAACCTGAGGGAGGATTGGATGTTTGAAGAGCGAAGGGCTGACGCCAGTCATTACAATGAATATATCACAAAATGGCGAAGCATTTCCCGGTGAACGTGTCAAGGACACGAATTTAAAACAAAAACTATTTTTGTACCAGTCATGTAAAATGGGCCAACCCCATTCATGAATTTGGGGATCAGCTACCTAAAAGTGTATTCGATGTAGGTCTTAAAATCGAACGGATTGATTTTTACATGGCTCCTGTGAGTGTTTGTTTTCAGTTCTTTGATGGTATTTAGAAGCAGGAGGCCCCTAAGGGATGAGAATGTCATGAGTGGATGATCAGATGAGCATGGTCATTTACTAAATAATTTCAGCGTCAAATTCTAATTTATATAACTTGCTTGTTGCATAAGGCTTGGAACTTTGTGTCAACACTTTACGCAAGTTCCGGAATGCCTTCCAAATGGGTCCCTGAACGGATTACACTGGTCGCAAAATTGAAGTTTTGGAAACCTTTACTATAAATGGTGGGTGCTCAAGTTCTTCGAAATTCCCCTTAACCAGACTTACGGTACATAACGACATGAAAACGATGACTTCGTCATCCTTCCAAAAACATCACGGCTCCTCGAATTCATGGCCAGTATAGCTGGACTCATCGTATAAGTGAACGGTGCTGCTCCAGCTTATAACCTCTAAATCCTGATATACAATTGTTGCAAATGTACTCTCATTCTCCTTTCCGTGTCTCCTGAGTACTTGGCTAAAATCTTAAACAGGCAAGCGAAAGTTACTCATTCTTATCTCTGGATAAAGTCGCCGGTTTACATCGCGCATGGATGTCTGTACTGATATATTACGTCTCAAATTACTAATCCTGCCTCCGTTATCCACCTTGGAAAGATAGTAGTTATAAAGCTACACGGAGCATTTAGCATTGGTGTTTATATCCTTTCACCGAAAAAAGCATGATGCCATGATTATTTATAACTAAAATTGACGATCCCCCGAATGGTTTCGAGCGTCATGTAGAAAAATGTCAAGCTGCTATTCATTAATGGCCAATCTGCCTGTCACATATGCAAAAACAGATTATAATGGAATGTGCATATGTGTCTCGTTAAACCATGCCACAAACCCTGCCCAAAGACATTCGGTCACTTCGTGCTTTCGTGGTTATCGATATAACTTGCCGCCATGAGAGGCCCTCGGAAAACCCCCGTCTAATAGAACTGTAACAAGTCCTGTCAATATCACTGCAAAAAATATGCACTCTAATTGTAAGCGGTTTGTTGACTTCGCAAATTGTATTGCATTTTGAAACTCTGAAGTAGCTCACTACTTAAAGTGCGTGTCACTGCTTGAGTAAAGACAGATGGTGCCATCTATACCGGTGTCCGAGTCCGTAGGTTCCTCACTATTGTTGATTGTTCTCTTGTAGGTGACTCAAATTTTTTTCACAGAGCTAATATTGAGGTTGCTTAAGTTAGTTATATCGCCATTATTAGAATTGATCACATCAAGGTCTCCTCACTGGTGGCAGATATGTTGTCCATAATGACTTTTTGCTCGTACATACTTTTGCAAATGCCACAAGACCTATACAACTTACCAAAGTTTCTAACAAATAAGTCGGGGAGGGAGACTGTGCCCGCTCCATTGTGCTTGATCACTTCTTTTTCAGCTCCAAAAGCACCTACACCATTGACATTAGATGGTCTGTGAAGCACCTTAGACTTTAGCCGTGAAAGAACTCTCACAAACAGCCGAAAACCACACATCATTAAAAGCACCCTCCTCGGCAGTGAATAACTTCGATTTGGTTTGAACCTATGATGACGTTCGACATTGTACCGCCGGATTCATTTATGAACACAGCATTAGAATGCCACTTTCAGCCTACCCAGCGCACGAAACACCACGATCTTAGGGCCTCATGCCCCCAGCAAAGGATTCTTTGGCGGCAATAGTCCATACAGCCTTTAAAAGAGAGGATTTACTGGAGCTAGGGAGCAACTATATCTTCAAAAATATATTCGGAGAATTATCCATGAAGGCATTTGCCACCAACGGTGTCGATAATGCACAGGCTTTCAGAACTTTCATGATCAAAGGCTTGTTTGCTGTCTAGCTTCAGCTAAGCCGGTGTGTAATTATCAGTCTGTGAATTTAACTCAAAGGGCTTTCATAGCTGACATTTCGTTTAGACCTGAGATAAAATTGTGTAAAGTGAATTCGAGTCTAAAGAACGTGGTTCAATGTCAAGTGGTCTACTTGAACGCACAAAAGATGTTACTTTCTTCCCGTGTGACTTGGTCTGAATGCACACTACGCTAGTAATCAAGATTTTAGGAAAAGAAGATGAGCTCACGGACTTTCGACTAATGTGGGCTGTTTTGATCGATTTTTGTTTGGCACCCGGAATGAGCTGTTCAGGTAGGAAAAAGACCTCGAAGAGTTCTTATAAAGGTTACTTAGACTTAACGACAGAAAGCTGGATGTAATCTGGCAGTTATTTGATCATGATACCCGGATGGTGACTATCTTCGCAAAAGAGCAGAAAAGGCAGAGCAAACGGAAGAAAGGGTAAGACATATATTTCTACACTACTCAGAGCCCCAAAGGGATAACGTCGCGGTACTCAGAAGACCACAAGAACTTGCTGTTTGAACTTCAAATAACCTGAAACTAACAAGCGCTTGAAAAACTTGGATCTTAAACACTTGGCATTAGAGAATATGCTGGTTTGTTGAAGGAAAAGTTGTCATCAATTTACAGATAATCCTTCTTTGGGCCAACTTCACCTCTTTTTACCAACACGCTGCATATGACAGGCGGATCTGGAATTCTTCGAACCATGCAGCCGATCGTAAAAACCCGCCGCCAGTGAGGCCCTAATCCTTTGTAAATTTTCTCCTGGTAATCTCAGCGAGGCTACGACCACCGTCAAAATACTGAAATTGCGGCCAGATTTCGAAAACAAATACATAGCCCTGAAATTTTTGCAACCTTTTGCTCCTGTTCCTCATCCTGTGTTGGTTACAAATATTTGTTCATTCTTCATCGATATCTTATGCGTGCAGATTTAGAGGTCCAAACAAATATTTTCGACTATTATTCTCCTTGTATTATCAATTTTAGTGAGCAATTTGTGTTCAGAGCATAAGGGGTGGTGATAAGCTTGCAACAGACAGCTCAGAACACAAATTAAAAAAGATGGTGAGGAATACCGGAGAAAAGACCAAGTTAGGTAATTTTTCTATAGTATTATGACCAGCGTTACCGATCTTCACAGAATTTGAGATCTTTATTTCGATTCTATTAGAGAACACCTGCTTTTATGGAAATTTCAGTTTTGTCTAAAATTTCGGACGTGAACAAATATTGGGAAGCAGTATGAATGAATTAAAAATAGGTATTTACGTTTGGAAGTATAGTACATGGCGTAAGATAGGAACAGGAATCAACTTGAACATTAAAAGCATGGTTTACGCCCGTGAAAAATTCACGTCAACAATTGTGCTGACAACTGCATCGGTATTCAATGCTCAGCTCCCGTACGTCAAAGCCTAAACATTGGTCGAACTCACTCAAAATCGCCAAAGTTTTCATGTTGTTTTCCCAGGCGAGAAAGAACAAATTCCTAAAGTTAGAAAAGCGTGAAAAACGTCAGTCATATCCGTCTCAAAATCACCTCTTTCGAGAAAAGAAGCAGCCGCTTTTTATTCGTAAGTCAACCTTAAATTCACCCCCTCATCTTCAATGCCCCTAAAGCATAACCTCGTATAAGCGAAGTCATGCTTCGAGGCTACTGCACTATGAACCTTGCACATAAGTGAAAAGTCTAGTAAACCCTGAGAATAAATACGCAAGTTGAAAAAATAGATTCTTGAGTAAAGATAACAAGAGGCTCGCTATACAGCTTGTATCAAGTGGCTGTGGAGTTAAAACAGTATCGGCGCAACGCAGGAACACGAAGTAAAGAATTTGATTCTCTGTAATATTCGGTTAAAGGGTTGACATCATCTTTCGAGATAGAGTCCCAAAAGAGTCCTGAAACGTCGTCGTTGGGAGTATTAGCATCGGTCAGGAGTGCTTAAAGGTCTTTATTGTTGGCCGCTGAATCAAGAAGAGAGAACTGACCAACCAAAAATTAGTTAAACGAGTCTTCCATTGGCGCACCACTGCTAACACTCAATAATATAACCCATTTTTGATCCACTGACCGGACATTCCTTTGCGCAGTAACATTGGCGAAAGCGTGCTTTGTGTAAGATGTCACGTCACATGAGCGTGCTTTGTGTAAGATGTCACGTCACATGAGCGTGCTTTGTGTAAGATGTCACGTCACATGAGCTTCCTTGAAGGAATGGTACCCTTGCCAAGCCCGGAAATGCACACTGGTAGCCAAGACCCCATGGTAAGATAAATTGGATGAAAACTCCCATGTATTAAAAAATTTCTGAAAAGTTGATCTTAACCTCAAATATTTGGGAAGGAGCCACTATCATAATCCAGCGACTCCTCTCGCGGTGCCCAAAGACATCAGGGCGTTTAGACTGGGTTACGTTGACGTCAAAAACAGGATTTTGCTCGTAGTATTGAAAGTTTTGTGCGTTCGCCAAAGAGTCGGCAGTTAATCAGGTTTAACTCATATTGCAATGAAAATCATTCCTTGTAATAGTGAGATTAAAGTGTCGAAAACTTCCGAGGTTTTGTTTTCATCCGTAACAAAGGAGTTTGAGGTGTCATCTAACCAATTGCCCTGTGGCTTAGTTGCGGCGCCAGGGTGTTTGCACGCCATCAAATTGTCAGACGAGGTGTGGCACCAATTCCATGGAAATAAAAACTAGCATTGTTGGGATTTTTAGCTGAGGGATTCATCACCATAGATGAAATTCATTGAGTCGTTCATCCTGCCAACACCAGGTGACAGGTTTATGAGTGGGCGCTCAAGATTGTGCTACTCATCGAACTCAACAGTGTGGGCCCCGAAGGCTAAAGTCAGGCCTGCAAAGTCATTCTTCCGTTTTCCATTTGCTAGCAAAATCTCTCTGCCGAATTTTCAAATTAAAGTAAGAAGCTCTACAAAATTTGAGTATACGAGAACTTTGGGGCGCCTATTATAAACTGAAATGGTTGAGCTTGGGGAATATAAGGGCCACTCGGCTTTTTTTGTTGCGTGCTTTTCACATTCGCCGTTCCAGCTGTTTCGTAACGTTTTTCGAGAAGCGCTTACCATGGGCAATGTAAAACGCCCAACGGACATGACTCATATCAACCCATATCCTCTCTGAGCGGGCTTCAAAAAAAAAAGAATGATCTTCCGGCAAGAGAAACATGCGACTTCAAAGAAACAACTGTGGGAAGAGCAGTCTACCTTCAATTGTCTCGAGGAGAAGGGTTCTAATGTTTGTTTACCGGATTTTAAGTATGACGTATGCAGGCACAACAAAGAAATTAAATTTTTCTGGGGACGCTCATAGTCATTCAAGTTCAGCTTAGGTAAACCAGAAAAAAATGTTTGCTGAGGGTTACTATTTAGTTCTCGGTCGGTACCTGCGGTCGTGTGTACATGAAAGAGTGTTTGCAAAAGCTTTGGTGACAACAAGAGTGCAAATCGTGGGAACGTGGAGCGCTTTGGTAGTTAACAAATGTAGTAACAGCTGAGCATTTCACTTTGCGGTATCGTAGTGCAGCATTCGCCTGAAGAAATACACATTCACGCTCTAGGAATGTGCTTTTCAAGTGCGGTAAAAACAGCGAAACAAAACCTAAACTGACGGGGGTTGTAGTTCCAGATAGGATGAGATTTTTGCTTATTTCTGTTCTGAGTTTCCAACAACAACCCTCGAGTGAGAAGATAAGCTGTATGCAAATTAAAAGAATCAGTACCAAAGCCTTCGTAAGTCTTTGACCAAAACAGGATCTGGTTTATATGTGTATGGGTACGACCATTCTTTGGTGTATTTTTTAGCTTGTTCGGCAACGGTCCTACATGTTTCTATATAAATTCAATGAGTTTCTGACGGCATCAAATATTGCTCGTGAAAAACCTTCCCAACATAGTAGCTGGGAAGACACGCGGTTTTCGAGAGAGCTCTGAAAATATTTCTGTGACATGTCGACAATCGGTCACCAACAGAGATTTCCGGCGTTTACTCTGCCATTCGGTAACGGGTATTTCAAAAGTGTATTGAGCGACTGTTACGGCTTGATAGTGCCAGTAAATTTTAGCTTTCTCCAGAACAAAGTCAAGTAGAGTAATTTAGGTGGATGTGGCTGAGGTGGTTTGTCAAAAAAAATTTCATAATAAGTTTGGCAGTTTTTGAAAAGTTCGGAAGTCGCCAGCCACTGAAAAAACTATTTTTTGTATATCTGAAGGCTAACGTTGGCATCTACATTTATGATAAGTACAATAAAGCTTGAAATTATTCAGCGGCTTACAGAAGCTCAGGCCAGAACTACGTGCTAGCCGTCCTCCTATGAATCTCTGTATAAAATCGTTATTTAGTTCTTAGGTGTTATGACGTTCCATTCCTCCGATGATGTCACTTGTGATGAAAATGTCTTCGATTTTGGGCAACGTAAGAAGTCCGCTAGGTTATTTCTCTTTGACTTTCACCTAGCTGTGCCAAGTTTCGACAGTCATGCAGAACTACTAAAGCAATCAAATAAACAAAGTATCATTTTGCTGCCATTGATGAAAAAGTGATATAAATTGTGGTGTGGCGGTCAAAAATTTATTCTTTAGATCAACGGAGACCTTCCTCGACGCGGG